GGCCGACGGCCGCACCTTGCTGTGCGAGCAGTGTATCAGCCGCAGCACCCTGGTCACGTACGACAGCACATTCGATATCCACAGGAACTGCACCGACTCCCAAAACACGCAGAGAGCGTCGTCCTGTCCATCCTGCGAGGAAGTGTCGTTGCTCACGCTCCCGTTCAGAACCCCTCTTCTACGATTCACGTTCGCCCTCAATCGAGAGAACGATGACGGGGATTGCGCGCAGCTCTTGCCGTAAAGACCGAACATGTCCTCGCCCTGCACGTCGCCCGTCGCGTTGTGCTCGGCAAAGTGCGTCTGCAGGAGGTGCAGCATCGCCTGCAGGCGCACAGCGGTGTAGGAGTTGTACATCATGCTCAGCTTCAGGGCCATATCGCAGCTGTCACCTCCGGAAGCGTCGGCCTTGCGGCGGTACATGCGAGCGATGTCGCTCAGCATGCGCACGTAGTCCTGCAAGTCCACAAGGCGCCGGTCCACCGGGAAAATCAGCGCCGGGACTCGCGCAGCAGCCTCGGGAGCCACCGAGTCCGCATCCTCGTCGTCGGCGAGACTGGGGATCGTCTGCGCAGCCTGCCGCGGCGAGTCCGCCGAGACGGCCCTCTCCCTGCACGACGGCAACGAGAGCAGCCGCCGTACCGACCCCTTGGTATCGTCGCACGACGCACTCGGGGAGACCGGACAGAAGCACCATTCGACGTCGCGCCGCTCGCCGCCGTGGTCGAAGGGGTCCTCCGCATCGCTGCCCCGGTCGCCCTTCGGCACCGTCACCTCCATCACGTCCGTCCAGAACGCGTGGCCGGGGTGGTTTCGGATGGCCTGGTTGAAGTAGATCTCGGCCACCGTGTAGCAGCCCTCCTGCACCTTCGCGCAGCCGTCGTAGAAGCGCGCAGGGTGGTTGTCGCCAACGTTCTCGATCTTGGTTTGCTTGGCACCCATCGTGGCGAGGGCAGGGAAGAAAGCGGGTGCTGAGCTCAACAGGCGGGTCGGGGTGACGGAGTACGCACACTCGCTCGCAGAGGAAAGCGGTGAAGCTGTGTCTTCGTTTGGTTAAGGCGGACCACTGCGCAGTCGGTGGAGCGTCGGTGGATGGGGAGCGGGGAGGAGAGGGCAGACACCAGGGGAGAGAGAGAGGAAAGTGAGCAGCCGTCGGGACACATTCCGTCATCGCGAGACAACCAGCGCAGGTTGCGCCGCGGCGGGCGTCGGCCGCTTCAAGGGAAAGAGGTCCGCCAGCGTCCGCCTACAAAGCGGCTCGCCTCAGCACAGCACCACGCAACACGACACGCACAGCACGCCGTCACGAATTCGGCGCGACACCGCATCGGTGCAGCAGCGCTCAATTCATGCGTTGGGGCACAGCTCGTACAGCACCGGCACCAGCTGCAGCGGGCGGCGCAGTACACGGAGCAGAGGGACGCCGCTCCCGCCCAGCGTGGAGTGCACAGGCACCAAGAAGAAAAACAAAGACGGCCCGCATGTCTTTCGCTGGGGGGCGTGGACAGGCAGGGAGACGCGTCGTGTGTGCGCACCCGAGCAACGCGCTCCTCCGTCGCACAGCAGCAACGCGGCTCGGAAGCGGCAGTACCAGACATCACCGCGGGCCGCCGCGTCGCACAGCATCCACAACGAGCACCAACCCGCGGCGGCACAGGGCAGCTTCGAAAAGAGAGAAAACAAGCACTTACGCGTGAGGCCGCAGCACACAGCTTTAAGGCGGCCACCGCAGCGGAGAAGGGGGGGGGGAGCAGAGCAGAGGAGGGCCACCACTACCGCGTCCCACCGCTAGGCAAGTGCACAACGCTCTCTCTACACCAACAGCACCACGCGCGCCGGGAACGCAGAGCAGCAACCAGAAGGCAGCAGTCCCGCAGCTCGCCGCTCACGCACACGCCCCTTCCGCTCCTGTTCCCGGCACGGGGAGCGGGGGGCGGTGCAGGAGAGCAGGCGGCAAAACCCATTCGGAAGGCGCAGGCGCGGCAGCGGAGAGAGGGAGAGGCGGACGGAAACGGGGTACGCGGGGAGCACCGAGGAAGGAGCGGAACGGCTGTGAAACGCAGGCGGAGCGCGGACCGCGGAAAAACACAGCAGCCAGGAGGAGCGCCTGCAGAGGGGAGAAGTAAGACGGAGTGGAGAAGCAGCGTGGGACACCGAGAGCCAGCGAGCGCAAAGGAAAGGACGCTCAGCACGTGCGCAGCAGCGGCGCTTCACGGCTCACGAGCAGAGGAGGGCAAAGGGAGGAGGAGCAGAGCGGCGTTGAAGTGCAGTGGTGGAGCACACAAGGAGAGGGGGCGAGCAGCTTCATCGCACAGAGGGGCGGCGCTCGCAGGCACACACGCCGCGCCGACCACGGCCCACGCACCGGTGCAGCAGCGATGGACGGCGCGTGGGGCGGCACCGAGCAGCGCACCCCAGCGCCGCCAGAGAGGGAGAGAGAAAGAGAGGCGCGCCCGGCGGAGACGCGTGAGGAGGCACGGTCGAGACATCATCTCCGTCGCCGGCGGCCGTGCACGTCGCGCATGCAGCCGGGGAAAGGGGGTCGACGCACAACGGGAGAAATCAGCACAGACGCAGTCAGGCGGCGCCAACTCACACAAACGGATATCCATACTGTACATCACGCACACACCACAGCGATGCCGGGAAGCGGCACTTCGGCAGCGCAGCCACAGCAGGCGGCCCTCGGAGCCAAGCGCGCAACGGGGAGGGCACAGCACGACGCGCCAACAGCTGCAGGCGGGCAGCGACAACACGCAGCGTCGGCACCACCGGCTCTCCGCGCAGAGGCACAGCGCGCACCGCCCGCCCGCTAGGAGCCCGCCTTGTCCATCGGACGGTACGGGTACCGGCTCGCACGCGCAGCGAACTCCTCGTTGCGGCGACGATCGGCCGCAAACTTGTCCGCGCGGTACGTCGGCGCCGCCCTCTCCAGTCGCTCCAGCATCCTCGCGTTCTCCTCCGCAACAACAGCCTGCCGCTGCTGCCGCGTGCGCTGCGAGTTCACCGCACGGTTGTGGTCACGCCACGGCTCACTCGTGTCCACGCCGCCCTTCGTGTTCATTATGTGCACCATCTTCTCCACAAGCTTCGCGTTGTCGCGGTCGATCTGCGCGGCGCGGGCAGGGTTCGTGCGCACAGCGCCGGGCTTGCGTGCGTAGGCGCAGCTCGCCGGCGTGTCGTTGTCGATGCGGCGGCGCTGGCTGGCCACGCGCTCCCGGTGCTGCACGTACGCCCGCTCGCGGTCGCGCTCCACACCCACCATCGTGCCGTTCATCTTGGGCTGCATCGGCGGCGACGGGGCTCGCGGTGGCGGCAAAAGGGCAGTGTGTCTCGGGGGAGAGAGGGAGAGCTGCGGGTCGGCTTTGGGGACTGTGTTAGGGGAATGGGCCAGCTGCTGGCGTCGTACGCGCCGCGACGTCATCCGGCGGCGGCAGAACAAAAAGAGAGAGGAAGAAGAAGGCGTGAGAGGAGGAGCGGCAGGTGGCGGAGAAGGGCAGGCAGCGCAGACGGCGAGGAGCAGCAGGCTCGGGAGCACACATCAGCACCACGGTCGCACAGCAAGAGAAGAGCACCAAACAAATGCGCCTGGTTCTGGTCGCATCGCAGCGCCGTCGTTAAGCAGCGACTCGTCTAGCCAACGCTCACCGTTCGGGGAACGCAGCCGTCAAGGTGGCGTAGCGACCTTCCTCTCGCAAGAGAATACGAGTGGCACGCGACTTACAGAGAAAGTATCGATTAGGGTCCTGAAGCCTCGTGAGAACAATTTTTGACTCCGTAAAAAAGCTAAAGAACAAATGCGGTTTTACTCCTTAATGGCGGAGTAATAGAAAAAGGATAGGAAAAAGAAAAGCGTTTACAGTGAGAGAGAGAGAGGCTTCTTTTGAGGCGCGTAAGTCAAAACCGACGTTGTCGAGTAGAATCGTAAAAGCTTACGGAGGTACCAAATATGTTATGTTGGTGACTCCACAAACGGGATCCGAATAGATAAGTGTATAAGTGTATAGGAAGAGAAAGCAGCGGAGATGATCATGGAGGACGTGTCCATTCTTAGATTTGGAAAATAGTAATAATAATAGATGTTCTTATTATCTTTTAGAAGGAAAAAAAGCACTAGACGTTACAGTTAATCAACTGAGGTTTTTTAAATGAAAGGAAGAGAAAAGGGAAACAGTTCATGCATATGAGAGCATCTCGCGCGTTTCCCCGGCTGCTTATTTTAACGAGTTCAAGTTGAACAGTAGCGCTTACGGAGCTCGAGAAACAAGAAAGCAGTACAAGTCTCTCCGGTGGTGAAACAAAAGAGAGCCAATTAAGACCGAGTCCGACGCGTTGAAGAAGACAAACAAAAAAGAGGAAGAAATGAAGTGAAACAGGAAACACAACAAAACAGAAGAACATCATCAAAAAAGAGAAAGGGTAGAAGATGAGCCGCCTTGCAGCTGCATCGGAAGCTCTAGCCTGGTACAGCAAATCACCAGCCTCTTAAATACTGGCGAGTACACGTGGACGATGATCACCACTGTGTTTTACTACAGTTTTCACGGTTTCGCAAAAAAACTTAAAAAGTGGAAGACATCTTTTCGAACGCGCCTCTCACGCTGAGCGAGGCGGGCTGAGGCAGCTGGGATCGGAAAAGAGGAGAGGTTAGAACACGAAAAAGCTATCGAAAGAAAACAACAGAAATCTACGGAAACTGAGAAAAACACAATCATGGTTAAGCCCAGCCAGCTGAGCCATGCCACCACCCAATCATTTTGCGCCCCCACTCTAAACAAAACGATCGAGAAGAAGAAAAAAACTTGTACCGAAAAACGCCGAAGACTGATTGCAAGCCTCTCGGCTCCAACCTCCCTCGCATCTGCACCTTAGAGAGGTGACAAAATAACTGGTGAGCAGTGCAAGTAATAAACACTAAACAAGATGAGAAGCCAACAAAACAAAACCGCGAAAAACCAAGAGTGTCAGCAAAGAAAAGCAAACTAATTTCACCGTCTTCCTCACACCGACGCTTCGCTCATGACCTGCTGAAACTGCGCTTCAACGAGATCCGAGATGGGCGTACGGCACCCGTACATGTTCAACGCAAATTGAACCGTGGCGTTGCAGAGCTCCTGCGATTGACCCGTCTTGCCTCGTGCGTGCAAAATGAAACACGTCATCATTGCCACTCGCAAGATTCCCACGCTCATTTCCTCCAGTCCAACAGCAGCGAAGAGACGCCAGTCCCGCATCGTGGCATCGTCAGGCACACCGCACATCTTCAAGAGGTACGCGCTGCAGCCAGGGGTGCCAGCACGCCGTTCAAACCCTCCGCTAACGTCCACCCCCATGTACCACCCAAAACTCCTCTCCATTGGCGTCATCAGTTTGATTGAGCGCTTACTGTAACTGTCTCGCTGCATCATCAACTTCACTGAAGCAAACAGCTGCACGTCTAGGAGAGGAAGCGACAGCGCATCCCACTGCTTGGCCTCTCGAAAGAAGTTCAGCTGGTCATCCGAGAAGCTTCGTGACGTGCCCAAACGCAGGAACGTGGTCTTCGCTTTCCTCGGTGTGCGAGAACTCTGATCCGCTAGGGTGCTCCGATGAGCCCAGGTAGCCGGATCCTCGTCAAGCGCGCAGCACTCGCTGATGCTGTTCCCCAAGAACGCAATGAATCCACCCATCAGGTTGCCAAGGTAGATGTGCGAGTTCGCCTCCGCAACACGCGCCAGCTGAGCTCGCACAGCCTCCAAGCACGTGAGCGACAGGTCGAACATGTCTTTGAAGGCCGACGGCCGCACCTTGCTGTGCGAGCAGTGTATCAGCCGCAGCACCCTGGTCACGTACGACAGCACATTCGATATCCACAGGAACTGCACCGACTCCCAAAACACGCAGAGAGCGTCGTCCTGTCCATCCTGCGAGGAAGTGTCGTTGCTCACGCTCCCGTTCAGAACCCCTCTTCTACGATTCACGTTCGCCCTCAATCGAGAGAACGATGACGGGGATTGCGCGCAGCTCTTGCCGTAAAGACCGAACATGTCCTCGCCCTGCACGTCGCCCGTCGCGTTGTGCTCGGCAAAGTGCGTCTGCAGGAGGTGCAGCATCGCCTGCAGGCGCACAGCGGTGTAGGAGTTGTACATCATGCTCAGCTTCAGGGCCATATCGCAGCTGTCACCTCCGGAAGCGTCGGCCTTGCGGCGGTACATGCGAGCGATGTCGCTCAGCATGCGCACGTAGTCCTGCAAGTCCACAAGGCGCCGGTCCACCGGGAAAATCAGCGCCGGGACTCGCGCAGCAGCCTCGGGAGCCACCGAGTCCGCATCCTCGTCGTCGGCGAGACTGGGGATCGTCTGCGCAGCCTGCCGCGGCGAGTCCGCCGAGACGGCCCTCTCCCTGCACGACGGCAACGAGAGCAGCCGCCGTACCGACCCCAGCGGGGGCGAGGAGGTTGAATTCCGTGGCGCGGCAACGAATGCACCATCGACGTCGCGCCGCTCGCCGCCGTGGTCGAAGGGGTCCTCCGCATCGCTGCCCCGGTCGCCCTTCGGCACCGTCACCTCCATCACGTCCGTCCAGAACGCGTGGCCGGGGTGGTTTCGGATGGCCTGGTTGAAGTAGATCTCGGCCACCGTGTAGCAGCCCTCCTGCACCTTCGCGCAGCCGTCGTAGAAGCGCGCAGGGTGGTTGTCGCCAACGTTCTCGATCTTGGTTTGCTTGGCACCCATCGTGGCGAGGGCAGGGAAGAAAGCGGGTGCTGAGCTCAACAGGCGGGTCGGGGTGACGGAGTACGCACACTCGCTCGCAGAGGAAAGCGGTGAAGCTGTGTCTTCGTTTGGTTAAGGCGGACCACTGCGCAGTCGGTGGAGCGTCGGTGGATGGGGAGCGGGGAGGAGAGGGCAGACACCAGGGGAGAGAGAGAGGAAAGTGAGCAGCCGTCGGGACACATTCCGTCATCGCGAGACAACCAGCGCAGGTTGCGCCGCGGCGGGCGTCGGCCGCTTCAAGGGAAAGAGGTCCGCCAGCGTCCGCCTACAAAGCGGCTCGCCTCAGCACAGCACCACGCAACACGACACGCACAGCACGCCGTCACGAATTCGGCGCGACACCGCATCGGTGCAGCAGCGCTCAATTCATGCGTTGGGGCACAGCTCGTACAGCACCGGCACCAGCTGCAGCGGGCGGCGCAGTACACGGAGCAGAGGGACGCCGCTCCCGCCCAGCGTGGAGTGCACAGGCACCAAGAAGAAAAACAAAGACGGCCCGCATGTCTTTCGCTGGGGGGCGTGGACAGGCAGGGAGACGCGTCGTGTGTGCGCACCCGAGCAACGCGCTCCTCCGTCGCACAGCAGCAACGCGGCTCGGAAGCGGCAGTACCAGACATCACCGCGGGCCGCCGCGTCGCACAGCATCCACAACGAGCACCAACCCGCGGCGGCACAGGGCAGCTTCGAAAAGAGAGAAAACAAGCACTTACGCGTGAGGCCGCAGCACACAGCTTTAAGGCGGCCACCGCAGCGGAGAAGGGGGGGGGGAGCAGAGCAGAGGAGGGCCACCACTACCGCGTCCCACCGCTAGGCAAGTGCACAACGCTCTCTCTACACCAACAGCACCACGCGCGCCGGGAACGCAGAGCAGCAACCAGAAGGCAGCAGTCCCGCAGCTCGCCGCTCACGCACACGCCCCTTCCGCTCCTGTTCCCGGCACGGGGAGCGGGGGGCGGTGCAGGAGAGCAGGCGGCAAAACCCATTCGGAAGGCGCAGGCGCGGCAGCGGAGAGAGGGAGAGGCGGACGGAAACGGGGTACGCGGGGAGCACCGAGGAAGGAGCGGAACGGCTGTGAAACGCAGGCGGAGCGCGGACCGCGGAAAAACACAGCAGCCAGGAGGAGCGCCTGCAGAGGGGAGAAGTAAGACGGAGTGGAGAAGCAGCGTGGGACACCGAGAGCCAGCGAGCGCAAAGGAAAGGACGCTCAGCACGTGCGCAGCAGCGGCGCTTCACGGCTCACGAGCAGAGGAGGGCAAAGGGAGGAGGAGCAGAGCGGCGTTGAAGTGCAGTGGTGGAGCACACAAGGAGAGGGGGCGAGCAGCTTCATCGCACAGAGGGGCGGCGCTCGCAGGCACACACGCCGCGCCGACCACGGCCCACGCACCGGTGCAGCAGCGATGGACGGCGCGTGGGGCGGCACCGAGCAGCGCACCCCAGCGCCGCCAGAGAGGGAGAGAGAAAGAGAGGCGCGCCCGGCGGAGACGCGTGAGGAGGCACGGTCGAGACATCATCTCCGTCGCCGGCGGCCGTGCACGTCGCGCATGCAGCCGGGGAAAGGGGGTCGACGCACAACGGGAGAAATCAGCACAGACGCAGTCAGGCGGCGCCAACTCACACAAACGGATATCCATACTGTACATCACGCACACACCACAGCGATGCCGGGAAGCGGCACTTCGGCAGCGCAGCCACAGCAGGCGGCCCTCGGAGCCAAGCGCGCAACGGGGAGGGCACAGCACGACGCGCCAACAGCTGCAGGCGGGCAGCGACAACACGCAGCGTCGGCACCACCGGCTCTCCGCGCAGAGGCACAGCGCGCACCGCCCGCCCGCTAGGAGCCCGCCTTGTCCATCGGACGGTACGGGTACCGGCTCGCACGCGCAGCGAACTCCTCGTTGCGGCGACGATCGGCCGCAAACTTGTCCGCGCGGTACGTCGGCGCCGCCCTCTCCAGTCGCTCCAGCATCCTCGCGTTCTCCTCCGCAACAACAGCCTGCCGCTGCTGCCGCGTGCGCTGCGAGTTCACCGCACGGTTGTGGTCACGCCACGGCTCACTCGTGTCCACGCCGCCCTTCGTGTTCATTATGTGCACCATCTTCTCCACAAGCTTCGCGTTGTCGCGGTCGATCTGCGCGGCGCGGGCAGGGTTCGTGCGCACAGCGCCGGGCTTGCGTGCGTAGGCGCAGCTCGCCGGCGTGTCGTTGTCGATGCGGCGGCGCTGGCTGGCCACGCGCTCCCGGTGCTGCACGTACGCCCGCTCGCGGTCGCGCTCCACACCCACCATCGTGCCGTTCATCTTGGGCTGCATCGGCGGCGACGGGGCTCGCGGTGGCGGCAAAAGGGCAGTGTGTCTCGGGGGAGAGAGGGAGAGCTGCGGGTCGGCTTTGGGGACTGTGTTAGGGGAATGGGCCAGCTGCTGGCGTCGTACGCGCCGCGACGTCATCCGGCGGCGGCAGAACAAAAAGAGAGAGGAAGAAGAAGGCGTGAGAGGAGGAGCGGCAGGTGGCGGAGAAGGGCAGGCAGCGCAGACGGCGAGGAGCAGCAGGCTCGGGAGCACACATCAGCACCACGGTCGCACAGCAAGAGAAGAGCACCAAACAAATTCGCCTGGCTCCGGTGGTCGCGCAGCGTCATCATGGTAACGCCTCAACGCGTGGAGTCAACGCTCACCGTTCGGGGAACGCAGCCGTCAAGATTGCGTAGTGACCTTCCTCTCGCAAGAGAGTACGAGTGGCACGCGGAGAAAAAAGCGGTAGCAACGGGGGAACATGAAGCCTCGTGGGCACCGGTTCCGACTTGACTCAATTCCAGGTTTTGGATTTGTCTCGAAAGAACAACACGAAGTTTATGAAATGAACTAAAAATTTTAAAGAACGAAAAAGACTGCTTAAAGAGGAAGCGCAAGTTTAAAGCTGCGTAAAACACGAGCAGTCCAAAATCTTACGCAAAGCGATCCCGTGCCGTCTGCTGTGTGTTTCTTTGCGTGTGTGTGGATCGCACAGGCACCGGGCTTCAAGATACATCACGGAACGAAGAACGAACGAAAAAAAGGTAATGAATGAAAGGAACAGAGAGGAACAGAGAGGAGTTGACCTCTCTTTTTTGGTTTTCCAAAAAAGAAAAACCTAAGAAACAACAATTCATAACTTGTTTTGGAGTATTACCTTCGTCGCTTTTGATGCGCGAATCGCAAATGAAAAGGGCAATTGGCAGAATAATTCGAAAGGAGGAGAACATCGAGTTTACGGTTCAGCAGCTGCATCAACACAAATTGAAGATGAAGAAGCATGCGCACATCACGCTACCTGACAGAACACTATGGCATGCTTCTCACGCGGGGAAAACAAGGGAAAGGACCGAATGAACGCGGTCAAGAAGGAGAAAGCAAAAATTGGAACTGTTAGTTTCACGAATAGAAAGGTCTCTCAGATATATAGCGTTTCCAGGAAAAAGTAGATTTAAAAAGAAGAGATGATACATCGAAGAGGAGCGAGGATAAACATCAGATTTATAATAATAGTGAAGAAAAACAAAGAAGACAAAAAAACAGCACAATACTCAGAAATCGCGGGCGTCGAGTCACCTGTATGTATACATTATGTATTGAGCCCCCCGGTCATCACATGGTGGCATTATCTGTAAGCTGCTTAAACTGTGCGTCCACGAGATCCGAAATGGGCGTGCGGCAGCCGTACATGTTCAACGCGAACGGCGTGCTTGCATTGAACAGCGCCTGCGACTGTGCGAATTTGCCTCGTAAGTGTAATATGAGACCAGTGATCACCGCCATACGGAACAAGATGATACACATCTCCTCCAGTCCAGTGGCAGCGAACAGACGCCAGTCCCGCATTGTGGCATCGTCAGGCACACCGCACATCTTCAAGAGGTACGCGCTACAGCCAGGGAAGGCGGCGTGCCTTTCAAAGTAGTTCCTTACATCCACATTCATGTACCACGGGAAACACCGATCCATCGGCGTCATCAGCACTATCGCCCGTTTGCTGTGCGTGTCGAACTCCATCGCCAGCTCCACGGTCGTAAGATTCCCCACATCGAGAAGAGGAATCGACGGTGCCGCGAAGTGCTTGGCACGTCGGAAGAAGTTCACTTGATCATCCGCGAAGCTCGGCGACGAGCCCAGACGGAGATACGCGGCTTTCGCGTCTCGTGGTGCGCGCGTGTTAGCGTGGCCGCGGCCGTTCCGCTGAGCCCAGGAAGCCGGACCTTCGTCAGATTCAGTGCATTCCTTGATACTGTTCCCCAAGAACGTAATGAATCCACTCATCAGGTTTCCAATGTAGATGTGCGAGTTCGCCTCCGCGGTTGACGCCAGCTGAGTTCGCACAGCCTCCAAGCACGTGAGCGACAGGTCGAACACCGCCTTGAAGGTAGCAGATGGCGCCGATGTGCCCGATGAGCGCATGAGGCGAAGGGCCGTCGTCACGTACGATACCACGTTGGACATCCAGAAGAACTGCACCGACTCCCAGAACAAACAAACCGCGTCGTCCTGTCCATCCTGCGAGGCCACGTCGTTGTTGACGGTCCCGTTCACAGCAGTTTTTTTAATGTTCATGTTCATCTTGTTTCTGGGAGGTAGTGACTGGGGCTGAGCACCGCTCTTGCCGTAGAGACCGAACATGTCCTCGCCCTGCGCGTCGCCCGCCGTGTTGTGTGCAGCAAAGTGTGTCTGCAGGAGGTGCAGCATCGTTTGCAGGCGCACAGCGGTGTAGGAGTTGTACATCATGCTCAGCTTCAGGGCCATATCGCAGCTGGCACCCTCCGAAGCGTCAGCCTTGTGGCTGTACATGCGAGCGATGTCGCTCAACATGCGCACGTAGTCCTGCAAGTCCACAAGGCGCCGGTCCACCGGGAACACCAGCGCCGGGGCTCGCGCAGCTTCCTCGGGCGTCACCGAGTCTGTTTCCTCGTCACCGGCGAGACTGGGGATCCTCTGCGCAGCCTGCCGCGGCGAGTCCGCGGAGACGCCGTCGATACGGCGGCTTCCCTCGTTCCCCTCCTGTACGGACGTACCGCGGGTGCGAGCGGCTGCTCTAGTTTGTGCCGAGGCACCGAAGGCCCTGTCGAACTCGCGCCGCTCACCGTCGTTATTAGGGGATTCCTCCTGATCGCTGCTTCGGTCGCCCTTCGGCACCGTCACCTCCATCAAGTCCGTCCAGAACGCGTGGCCGGGGTGGTTTTCGATGGCCTGGTTGAAGTAGATCTCGGCCACCGTGTAGCAGCCCTCCTGCACCTTCGCGCAGCCGTCGTAGAAGCGCGCAGGGTGGTTGTCGCCCGCGTCCTCAATTTTGCTTTGTGTGGAGCCCATTGGAAAGGGAGCAGAAGAAGAAAAAAGTGGGTGGTTAGCTGAAGAGGCGTGTTGGTGATACGGAGCACACGTGTACACTTACTCGCAAAGGAAAGCACTGAATCCGTTGCAGCGTCTTCGTTTAGTTACAAGGGATGACTGTACAGTCTGTGGAGCGTCATCAGGAGGAAGAGCGAGAAGGCGAGGACGGACAGCGGGAGAGAAGGATAGACGAAAGAGAGACAGGTCGCTGCAGGCACACACAGTTACAAGACGCGCAGGCAATAGGGAGTTAAAAGTCCACCAGCACTACGAAGAGTAAGGGTGAGCTCCGAAACTATCCAGTACAAACCGCTTTCGCAGCGAGCGGGAGCCCATTGAAAGCGCATTGAGTCAGAACGCTTCCGGCGTACTCTCTAGTTCGAAAAAAAAAAAAGAGAACAGCGGGACCCAAAGGGAATCCCCCGTCCCCTTGGACCGGGAAGCTACCGTCTCTGCCCAACAAGCCACGCTGAGCACATAGTTGAAGAAACGTTCCCGAGTCTTACCTTCTGCTCATGGCAACGGCATTTGTGCTGTTAGGCTTTCTTTTCTGGTGGCTGAAGAGCTTGCCCTGAATAGTTATATACGCTGTCAATGAAAGAAGGGAGAAAAGGAAGCGGGTATTGCGCTCGTGTCACGACTTGGAGGAGGGGTAGGTCAACGCGCTTTGTTAGAACGAAAGAAAGATAGATCTTCGGATTTAAGCACTCTGGTTTTTTTTCGTTACAACATAATTGATGCTTCCTTTGACGGAGAAGATGGCACCGGTGTATCTTGAAGATTTAAAAAACTACCAGAACAATTTAAAAAAAAAAACAATATTAACAGATCAACAAGCCTTCTTTGACTTCCACGTGACTCTTCCACGTATATTCTGTGTTCTTGTTGCGGCTTTCTGGGTACACACCGCAAGCGGCGGCGCAATCCGGATCGATGGCGGCTTCTGTACATTCTATTCTTGGTGTGCTTTGATCGTCCACACCATCCCGGCAGCACGTACGCCACTTGCACTCTCACGCGCACACACAGAAGAGGCCGTTCACGCTTCACACGACAGCTTTCAGAACAAAGAAGGTTTTTCGAAGCATATATAATACGAGCAATAGAGTACGAAAGAAAAATAACGCATCGCATCCATACGATTTATCCAGACAACGAAAAGAGAAAGCATTTTTTGTTTGTTTACAAACTCCTTCTGGCAACTATATATGCTGTGGTGGGAACGGGAAAAGGAGCGGCCGCGCACGGAGCACATCATTTCTTCTTCAGCGTCACTCACACAAATAATTTTATTCGCTGTTGAGGGACGTTAGCGACTCTCAGAGGGCTTCATATTCAAGTCGCTGCTCAGATGGGCTCCTCAGTAAACTTGCCGCCAGCAGGCTCGCTCTCCACCGCCGTCATCACAACGGAGCCGGGCAGGTGCAGCTCAGCGGGGCGCTTGTACGCCACAAACAGAGCCACGATCACGCCGGCAACGGTGATGCCCAGGCACACCCACACGAGCGGGAACTCCTCCTTGCTGGCAGAGACGAGCGACAGGCACGCCGCGAGGGCGACAAGCAGCAGCTGGTAGGCGGACATGATGGTGATAGGGACGGTGAGGGTGAAGTTAAACCGGTGAGAGGTTTGTGACGGAGACGACGCTAGAGGAAGCTGAAGGTAGTTAGAAGGCGGTTATAGATCTTTGTCGAGCGCACAAAACAGAACCTGAATGGGATGGGGCCACGACGGCAAGTGCAGAGAGAGATGAAGTTGAAGTGCAGGAGGAAGCCATGAAAGCGTTGACTGCAGTTGATGAAGGTGAAACATGGGGAAGCATACGAGAAAAGCGGCTGCATTTCTACAGCGAAACGAAATAAAGCAGCTCCCCAGACATGGAGAGTTGCACCACCAGATCGTCCTCCTCCAACACTCCTAGATGTTCTCTAGAACCGGGAATGAAAAGCGTTCTGGCATGACGAGGAACGACGGCATTTCTCCCGTTCATCACCCAACACTTAGACAGCGTAGAGGCGCATTCGAAGGCGCGTATCTCCTTTTTGTTGCTGTTGCCACAGATACCGTGTTCTTCGTTCATTACTCTTGCTTCTTGGAGTGTATATATATATATATATGAAAGAAACGAATTGGACTGCTTATGAGCTCAAACAGAAATAATTAAAAAGGAGAAAGGTATACAACAGAAGTTAGTCTTGAAGGTACTATTGAATCACCGTCACAGCAGGCCGTTATAACTGGAAAGAAGTACATCGCACAAACACACACGGACAAACATAGAACACACAAAAAAAGCCGTTCGATTCTTGCGAAACATGAAGCGCGTATTTGAAGGGATAAAAACAAAAAATCGAGCGATGTCATTGCTGGCTTGTGGCGCCTTACAACGCAGAACTACAGCAGCCACTCCTCTATTTTGTGGCCCAGACGAAACGAATGACAGAGCACAACGCATTTCTTTGCTATTTTTGTCTTCAAAATTTGAAAGAAAGAGACAGGAGAGGTGGAGTTTACGCGCGTCTGTGTGCGTGGGGGGAACCCAGCAGCGGTGAGGTCCTTTAAAAGATAGTACCAAGATGAACGAAAAGGTAGGAGTTCATCTGAATCAACTTACGAAAAAAAACTGAAAAAGAAATACTTCAGGTAAGAGAACGAGAAAGCTCAAGGTTGCAGCGTAGTCACCCTCTAAAGAGCCACAGACGCTTGACTTGGATCCGCATTGAGGCTTCTCTGCCGAGAAGCTTCCGGGGCGTTGTACAGAAATCCTCCAATGATCCGATGTGTGCTCACCGCACGCGAACAGATACATCGCATTCATTCGCGACCTCTCCCCGGCCGCCATACAAGACGAGGACCTCAACGAGAACCCTCAGTTGTTCTACTTGGGGTGGACGCTTCTTCATCAGGAAAAAAAACAGCAAAGAGAGAGACCATCAGGGCTGTCTGAAAAAGGAAGAAAAACAAAGAAGGCACGGAATACGACGATTGTGGGCATCGTACTGGAAGAGCGCAGGCCCGCGAGAAGACTAACCTGGTGTGTGCTATTTATCATCTACCCTCTTTACCATTCCCCTCTACTCTTCTCTCGTTTACAAAGAGCAGCAGAATAGCGAAAGATGAAGACAGCAGCGGCTACGTCTCCTTCCACATATATATATAGATATATACGCTTAGATGGGCTCCTCAGTAAACTTGCCGCCAGCAGGCTCGCTCTCCACCGCCGTCATCACAACGGAGCCGGGCAGGTGCAGCTCAGCGGGGCGCTTGTACGCCACAAACAGAGCCACGATCACGCCGGCAACGGTGATGCCCAGGCACACCCACACGAGCGGGAACTCCTCCTTGCTGGCAGAGACGAGCGACAGGCACGCCGCGAGGGCGACAAGCAGCAGCTGGTAGGCGGACATGATGGTGATAGGGACGGTGAGGGTGAAGAAGCGTGGAAAATATGGAAAGAGAAAAGAGTCGCTTTCAACTAATAAATAAACAATACGCGGTGTGGAAAGATGACGACGAGTCGTTTGGTGCTTTGAGAAGGCAAGGAGAAGCAGGTAAAGCTGGAAGTGCGCTCTTGGTTCTGGTGGCATCGATAACAAAAAGCGGGCAGGGAAGAGAGGCGATCGACGACAGCCGGGAGAGACAAGAGAGAGAAGCGGGAAAAGTAAAAAGAGGTGCACAAGTGATTCAAATGAAAGCGATGAACAACCACATTCAGCAGACCGTAAAGAGACACATATGCCGCCGGATGCTCACCGGAACGGAGCACTTGCGGTACGTCGATGCTGCCTCAACCGATGGAACAACAAAGAAAGAAACGAAGCAACACAGAGCCGCCAAAGCCACCTCCCTTTCTTTTCTGAATTGTCTACCGTGTCTCGGACCTGTTGAACTTTCATTTCTGGCGCTTTCATCAAAAATGTGAAAAGCAGAGTCCTTCAAGAGCTGCGACATACACGTACTAATAATAATAATATGAAGACAGTGCACAGAACATAGAACACTTTAGGGAGACGCAACGTACCCTCAAACTATCTCGTTTTTCGCTCCGGCGTCTTGTGCCTCCACTGTGAAGACCCCCGATTCTTGGCGGCGTGGCGAGTCTCACTTGGTAGCGAAGAAACAACCGCTTGCAGAAAAGCCTCGTCATCGGCAGAAAGGTGCGTTGTTTTGCCCGTGCTGTTCGCTCGTTGATCTACGCTTTTGCGGGGATTCACGCGAGTCGCGTGCAACCCTCCCCCCTGCAACTCACCACTGCCAATGTCCGGCGCTTTCTTTTCTGCCGTCTCAACCTGCGCAGGAGCGCCGCCCTTCTCCGGCAAGGTGTGTCGTGGATCGCCCTCCAGTGCTCGAATAAAGGCGGTAAAGAGCCCTTGCACGGTTGAAAAGCAACGTGCTTCTTCCTGTAGGCGCGAACCAGAAGTCGATGCACCGTTGCTCGCCACATCGTCCTCCCCAAACGTGGCAGGACTGCCGTTGCTGTCCTCTGCCGCCTCCGAAGCGGCATATTGTATTTTGTGCTTCGACAGAAACCGTAGGCTGTGATGACGGCGCTGCAGCTGCATGTGGAGCTGTATTTCAAGGAAGTGGAAGACTTCGCCAACGTAGCGGGCGTCGTGCGCCGCCTGTGCATCAGCGGTGGAGAGGCCTTGGCGCGTCACGCCCTTTCCATCCGATGCCGTGTGCTCACCCGGGGACACTTCAGCGGCACAGCGCATCTTGTAGAGGAACGCTTCCAGATGCAGAAGGTACCCCACCAAGATGCGCAGGCGCGACATCTCACTGAGCAGCAACCACAGCTGATCTTGCGTGGTGCGAGTCTTGTGCATTGGCGCGCCTTGGTTGGCCATTTTTGTCACCTCTGTGAAGGCTTTGGATGGCATGAAGATGTCCGTGTGGGGTCGCTCCGAGAAAATGCGCATCACGTCGCGGTCGGAGGAGCTAAAGTGAAACCAATGCGACGATCGCAGAGGCTGCACAACGACTTTGCCTTTATTTCCCGCCGCTCCTGCGAAGACGTCCGCAGACGGCACCACCGAGAAGTGAATGTGGGCTGGGAAGGCGAACAGCTGCCGCTTCACCTCCTCCAGAGGAACCTGGAACGCCGTGGAAGCAGCTCGCGAGTCGTCCACTGCAATAAAAGATTTCCTTCCCCCTTCTTGGCGAGTTCCGCGTGCAAGGGAGTCGAGGTCCTGAAGTATGTCACGGTGATAGCACTGCGCAGCCGTCCACAGCCGCTGTCGCAGGTCCTGCTGAATGCACGAGTGCTGGAGGACGGAAATGAGAAAGTGCGCCGCCTCCGCACGGTCCCACTGCTGACTCGTCACGTCCTCCAGCGTCAGTCGCGGACAGCCAGAGAAGGCGAAGGCTGAGTTGCGCTCTGGAACACGACGCTTCGGGTAGAGGTGCGGGCCGCCGCGCCACGCGTGCCGAACCGCGTGCTCTGCGATGCGGGAAAGCACAGAAACGGTGTAGAAGGCGAGCAGCGACGGTGTAGCGGCGTACGCATCGGACGTGGTGAACAGCGAATTCGATGATGCCGTCGCGGTCTTCTTTACCGGGGAGATCTCCCACAGGTACGTCCGAGTCATGGTGTGGCGCTCGATTTCGCGGGTGAGCTGCAGGAGCGAAGGCCAGCGAGGCGGCTTTGCCTGCATCGGCAGGGAAACAGAAGAGGCGGAAGACTGTGCGTCTGGTGCCCTCACCGCAGCAGTCCTGTGCGCCGTCATGGGTGGCTGCTTTGCGTCCTTGCCACGCAGCTCGTGTGTTCCTCCTTCCCTGGCCTCGGTTGCCAGTACAAAGTCGCCATTTGAAAGTCCACGAAGCCTCCACTCGTCCGCGGGTGTCGTTTGCCGGCCCAAGACGCGTGCGTAAGAAAATGGATAAGCGCCAAGACCCTTCACGATGGCGCGTCGAGCCGCTTCATACTCCTCCTGCAGAACGGCAGCTGCCGTCGGTGACATAACGCGAGAGGTGTCCTCGACATCTTCGCTCAGTAGCCTCGTTGCTTGGGTGTCGCCTTTCGATGCAGGAAGGGGAAATGGTGAAGGAGCCGCTCCTGCTCTGTCAAGGTAGTCCGCCACCCACGACTGCACGGGAGCGAAGCAGCGATGCAGTCTGCCCCGTCGCATGCAGTGAGCTGCCGATGAAACAAGCAAAGAAAGAGAGGTGTGGAGAAGTGTGCTTCCGGTTGTTCTTTTACTGTTTCTTGAAGCTTCGAATACGCAGTGAAAACGATCGATGGATCCTTCTCACACACCTCGGGCTTTCTTCACGCAGTAGCTAGCTGGAGTCCTCAACACCACCACTTCAACTGTGAGTGTAGTGCCTCAAAAGGAAAGAAAGATAAGTGAAGAAAACAACGAGACGACACAAGACGCTAGCGTGGTGCAGAGAGAAGGATACGCATGGCGCTTGCTACGTAACCGCTAGCACAGCACTCTCGCTTCCCGTGGACGCTGTATGCAACCACATTGCCTTCCAATACATCAAGCATGACAGTGTATCATCCTCCAACACTTGACGCTAGGCGGACGTCGGACAGCTTCCATCAACGCTCCCGTAGAGATCTCGACCTAGATAGCAGACAAGCTATAAAAAAAAAAAGGGCGAAAGCGAGGGTATTGAATTCCCTGGGAAGGCCTTCCTTTGATGTGTTCCATATACTCGATAGACCGCCTCCTGAAACGGCACTTCATAAAACAAAAAGAAAACGCAGTACTCTATGATACGTCAACACATCGCCGTTTTGTCGCCACACATTTTCGTTCCTCTTCAATGTCACAGACGCAGAGAGGGCAGACCTGCGATTCGCAATAACACGCCGCAAATATATATGAAGAAAATGGCGAACTCTATGTACAGACAATCCAGACTACCGAAAGAATCCTCTCTCAAGTTGAAGACAAACGACGTACAGCGGTGTTTCTTGCACCCGGTTAAGCACACAACAAACAGCAAAATGAAGCTTACCTTCGCCGCCGTGAGGAGGGGGGGGGGAGGGGAGAAGAAAGAGCTGTTTGTTGCCTTCGGAGAATGATGAGCGTTCGGACCATCTCTATCGTCACCGAATCACCTTCAACGGAGCTCTCTCTCTCTATGTGTATACGTTTGTTGTACTCTGTACGCTACAATAAAATCTTACTTACGAAGAAATCGCAGCGTCATGCGGGTGAGCTTCGCGACGGACTTCAACGTCGCCTCTGCGTTGGCGGCCGGTTTGCCGTTCACCTCCGCAATGAACCAGGTCGTCGGGTCCTTCTTGAACTGCGTCACAAAAGGATGTGTCCTGGCCGCGGCGGACTTGGCTGGTGGCAGACTCATCAGCCGCAGCGGCAGCTGTTGGGGTGCCTCCGCTGCGTCCGCAATGCGTCCAATCGGCAGCCCCCACGGCATATCGACGGAGGGGCGCTCCAGCACCATCTCCTCGTCCGTCAAGCGCAGCAGCCGTACCGTGTTGTCGAACACACACGCTGCCTCTTCCCCCTTCTTCCCATCTGTCGTCATCAGCGCGTCTTCACTCGGAAGGTTCGCTTTCGCTTTGCGTGGTCTTACAGGGACATCGTCATCGGCGAAGGTGGCAAGAATCTTCTGCACCGCCGTGTCGTTTACATCGATGGAGCCGCGGCGGGGAGCGGCGGCAGTCACCGCTGCAATCTCAGCGCCTGTCCCATCCATCAAGGTGTTCTTGCAGGGCCGCCCCCTCCGCGGCTTGGCCTTAACCTCCTCCCCTTCCGCGTTTGTCGAGCTCGGCAACTCGTTCGGGTCGGCGATGTCTTCAGCAGCAGGAGCAGTGTCTAGGTCGGCAGCCACCACCTTCTTACTGCTCACGTCTTGTTCATCCGCCACCACCACCGTCTTGCACGGACGTCCACGCTTGCGCTTCGTCTCTTCTTTCTCTGCCGCAGCAGCAGCCGCAGCCGCCACCGTAGGCGAGGGACGCGCCATCACCGCATCCACCAACGGCGTCTCCATGGCGACCGCCGCCTCGCCCCCGGTGCTGACGGTGGCAGCGGTGCGACGCTGCAGAAACTTTGCCACCGTCGCCTCCATCTGGGCATCGTCTTCCGCACGGCCGGCGCCGACGTGCCGCGTCCCCTTCGACACCTTCGGCCCTTCCTTGTCCTTCACCTTTCCGCCTTCGCCCTCAAACACTTCCACTGCTGCCTCTCCTTCCGTTGCGGGTGTCAGCGCGGCTGCTGGCCCACGCGACGCGGCCCGTCGATCCCTCTCAAACGTCGGCATCACCAGCAGCTCCAGCACCACCGTCTCGGCCGAACGCAGGAGCAGCTCCACCTGCGTCGTGTGCAGCGCCTCTACCCCGTTCACAGCGAGCAGGCGGAGATGTCTGCCGTAGTCCTTCACGAAATTCTTGGCGGCGTCGGAGAGGGTGCGAGTGGGCGGTGGGTGCCAGTAGAGCCGCTCGTCTACCGTGAAGCCCCAGTCCGCCGCCGTGCTCTGCCGTCGCAGCACAAGGGTGACGCGCTGCCCGGACGTACCCTCGCCGCCCTGCGGAGGCGCGACAAAGGCCACCTCCATCGGCAACGTCCGCGCCGCAGCTTTAAAGGCGGTGGACTGCAGGGAGAGCTGCACGTTTTTGCGCGCCGCCGTGGCAGCCTGCAGCGTCTCCACGACCTTCTGCGCGTAGGCCGCGTGGTTGCCCTGTCGCACCGGTGGAATCGGCTGCTCGTTAATTTTGGTGATGAGCGCACCTTGCGGGGCGGCCTGCAGGAGGTGGTGCAGCTGCTTTGCCTTTTCAAACACACGCAGGCTGACATCGATGTCGACGAGGCAGCCCTGCTCGTTCAACAGCAGCCCCCACGCGGTCTGCGGCGTAGGGCGGTGGAGGTCCACGACGACGGTGCCCCGCTGCTCATCCACGGAGAGCCGCTTCACCTGGGTGTAGGACATCACCGGTCCTTTCATGGTGGACTCCAGCACAAGCACCCAATCGCACAGTTGATAGAAGTACTGCAGAAACACAGGCACCAGACGCTCCGCCGCGGCGGTCGCAGCAGCCCCGTCGCCCTCGCTGCCGCCGGCTGCCGTCGCCTTCGTTATCGGCAGCGTCAGCACGATGTTGTTGTAGATCGCCATGAAGTCTTCTAAAAGAGTCTCCGTCACGACGAGGGCCGCCACGCTGCCTTCGGAGGCCTGCGTGTCTTTCTTCGTCAACTCTTCGCGGATGCGTCGGTGCAGCTGGAGAGCCACTAACTCCACCCGCAGCTTCACGCTGACGTAGGAGACAGCGTAGAGGCCTTCTGCGGCGGCCCCCAGCGGCACCTGCCGGGTCGACGCGTACGTATTGAACAGCCGCACGACACCAGCTTTATCCGTCGGCGGCACATCTTGCTGCATCGACGGAGGCAGCGATGCGTACAGGGCCTGGCGTACGACATCCATCAGCTCGCACAGGACCATGCGAGGCGTTAAGACGACTTGCGAGGCAGGGCTAGCGAGGTCGTTAAGGCGCGCCACCATCGTCCCGATGCGGCGGGCTACGATAACGGAGAACTCATCGCGACTGGCAGCAGCAGCGGCAGTGTTGGGAAGCGATGAGGTGTTCGACAGTGTCTGCGCAGCGTCCTTTCCGTAGATTATGTCAGCCGCCTCATGGCAGCTGTTGAGCCGGCTGAGTGCTGCCGCGAGCGAGTCTCCACTCATTGCTGTCTGTGGAAAAAAAAAGAGGAAGCTGGTGAAGAGATGTGCTTGTGTGTGCGCGTGTTTGGAGTGGAACCGAAGATGGATTTCCGACAGGATTCGTGAAGGTCCCGCTTCAGCTTCTATGTCGCAGAGTCAGACGTCACCTTGAAGCTGAGGCACGAAGGCGAATTTAGACGAGTAGAGAATAGAAGAGATACGTCTTCTAACGTTGAGAAGAAACGCATACATGAGGCATCAGGTACAACTAAAAAAAGAGAGCATCCCGATGCGCCTTCTTGCGCACTGCTCTGATTCGGTCCTTGGGATCGTATAGCAAAAAGAAACCCATAATAATAATAATCTCGGACACTAGCCTTCCATTATGTTCAACGCTATGGTTTGCGGCAGCAAACGCTGCTCCGCAGAGCACATCGATTTATGAGGAAACTTAAATGGGAGCAAAAATTGTATTGGATGTGCTTTCCACTCGACGACGGAGGATGCCGCACGTAGACGTCCGTGTACTGAAAGAAAGAAGCGGAAAAGTGAAAGAATACAGAAGAGAAAACACTATCGATTTCCTCTGTGAGGAAGACCGCAGAGATCGTAGCGCCGGTGAGGTGGCGTAGATTGAACAGGAGAGACGGGGGGAAATGATCGATTACGTGCACTTCTATAGCACAGCAACAAAGCACAAGGCTCCTTTGACAAAAGCAGCGACCGCACAAACTGTATACACGCGTTGGATTAGAAATCCATCTCTTCCGCGTCGACATCCTCCTCCTCGACCGCTTCTCCGGCGTTCGGCATCTCTGCTGCCTTCACATCCGCCTCCTCCGGCTCTCCGACGTCAGTCGACGTCGTTGCCTTTCGCGACCGGCGAGGTTTCGTCGCCTTCTTGGCGGCCTTTGGCGTCCTTCCCTGTCTCTTCTTCTTCATCGGTGCAGCTGTCTGCGTACTGTCGGCTTCCGCCTCGGCAACTGCTTTCTTGCCGCTCCGACGGCCGCGTCGCCGTGGCGCAGTCGGGGGCTCCTGCGCCGCTTCGCTGTCCGCCCTCTGCTCACGTCGAAACCAAATCTCATCGACGTCCTCTCGCCTGTCGCCAACCTCTACGCCCTCAGGCTTCACTGCAGCCGTCTCCTTTACGGCTGCCATTTGAAGGCGTGCGGCGGCCATCTCCGCCTTGGTGCGGCGGTGTCGCTTCGGCTTCGAGGGCGGCGGGGGTGCTCCACTCTGCATGGACTGCAGTGCCTCCATCACCTCCTCCGTCACGTGAGCAGCCTTGGCAGAGGCGAGATCGCCCACCGCACCCGCCGCCGCCTCTTCCTCAAACTCTGTTCCCTCCACTGCGTCTACCACCGCCTCCATCTCTTCATCCTCGTTGTGTGGCATGGTAGCACGACTGCCCTTGTTTTGAGCGTGCTTCAACACTCGGCGAATCCCAGCCCGTATGGGAGGACGATGCGTACGCCGCCGCCGCTTCTGCGTACGTACGATTTCCGCCTCACTTTTCGCCTTCTTCTCCTCCCCCTTGCCACCAGCCTGGTCCGCGTCAGCCGCCGCATCTGCCCCGCCCTCCACAGGTGCTGCCACCGCACACTGGAACACCACATCCCGCCCTCTTTCCATCAGCTCCTTCAGCCGCTCCTCCGTTGGGCTCACTTCACCGTTGACGCTCAGCACGCGGAGGGCCTCCTCGCTCACCGCCTTGCCTCCGCGACGCAGCACCCCCGACAGCACGGATGAGCCAGCGACAAGCGCAGGCGTAATGGACCGCACAAAGCACACATCGTTGAAGTCACCCAACACACCAAAGGCGCAGGCAATGCCATACGACTCTGCGGCGTTGGATCGGTGCAGGTGGAAGACGAGCGTCGCGCGGTATGCCAACGCACCCTTGTTTGCTGCGTTGAGGGGCAGCGACTCCATCAACGCCGCAGAGAGCACCTTTACTACATAGCGCGCCCGGCAGCAGGAAAACATTGGTGACGGCTTTACTGAAAAGTTCTTTATCTATCTATATATATATATATATATATGTTTGTTTGTTAATGCGCTGTTTGGGCATCGACTTAATGGTGCTGAAACCAATTCACATGCGCAAACGCATCGAATATAATGCTTCGGTATTACGGTATGGATCTAGGTGGACCGTGCGTAGCGTTGGAGTGTATTACTGTCTATGAGCTGTAGGGCCTCGAAAGCGGCGTGTTGATTCCGCTGCGGTGCCCACCCGAGCAACTTCCCTCGATAGCAAAAGAGATTTGACATTGAAGACGAGGACTCAGGAGAGGGGAAGAGAAGTGGGTTGGGGAGGAGGACGCTCTTCTGGTTCATCCAGCCCTCCGAGACATTGGGGGGAGGGGGAAGAGGGAGGGGAACCCGTCGACACGTACTCGGAGTGGAAACCGACATACAGCAAATAACGATGTGAGAGCGCATCACGACCCTTCATCCGCGATTTCGCGACTAGAAATGCTGCTGCTCCTCGTATTGTTTTTCACATTAGCCAACGAAGCATGCCTCGGTGGATAAGTGGAGCTAGCTTGTTTGGTCGCTGTTTGCTTAGTAATGGTAGTCGTAGTAGTAACTCGCATGCAAACCCCCATGTCGATAAATCGCACCCGCCCATCAATAAAAGCCGCCACAGAGAAGAAGAGAGCCACAAGCCGGCGGGAAGGGCAAAAGCACCCCTCATCGGGACACAGCAGCGCCGGCACCAACGGTTCGATGAAAGCGAAAAACACCAACAACTTGTGCGATGGTTTCCTTTACGTCTAACACAGCAATGGAGTAAGGGGCGAAGAAAACAGAGCTCATCAATTCTCCCTCATCGCCATTCTCCTTCAAAATAACAACAACGAAAAAACCCTGTTCCATTCAAGTGAAACGGTACCTCTATACGTGTAGCCTTCGCTCCAGCACTTCAAGCGCCGCGAGCTACTTCCGCAGCGCCTTCAAGACAAAGGTAAGTTTCGTAGAACCCTTGATGGCATCCAGCGCCTTGGTCTTGAGGGTCTTGCTCATCATCGAGAGGTCCTGGCCATTCAGTCCCTCCACGACCCACTTCACCTCGCCCTGTGCGCCGGCGCCGAGAGAGCGCAAAAACGGATGCTGCCGCTGCGCCGCAGGGATGGGCGGCAGTTTCGTCATGATAATGTCGTCGCCTGCAAACGCCACCTTGATGTTCCACGGGCTCGCCACGCTGGTCCGCTCCAACTCCAAGGTGGAACCGTCAAACTTGTCCAGCTTCACGTTGTTCTCGAAGGTAAGAGGGGCGGCGTGGACTAATTCGTTGAGGGACACACGCGTAGACGACGGCGAGACGTCGTCCTCTGGAATAGCAGTAGCGTCTGCCTTGCTGTCCAGTGAAGACGCAGGTATTTCTTGGGCAGTTTCTGCGCTTTCTTCGTTCTCGGCCTCCTCTTCTCCCTCCTTCGCTTTCGACTTACCACCTCGCTTATTCCTCTCCGCGTTCTTCTTGCCCACCTCCATCGCGACCTCCGCCGCCGTGGGAGGCAAATCGACGAGGGGGACATCCCCAGCCGTCTGTGCCACCGCCGCCGCTGCTGCCGTGTCATCGGCTCCGTCCTCGCCAGGGGCAGCGTCTTCTGAGTCCGTCACCTCCGCCGCGTCTGTCGCATCTTCTGCCTCCACAGAGGCGTCTTCCGCCGCTGCATCCTTCGGCTTTTCCGCGGTAGAGGTTTTCTTCTTGCGGCCCCGCGTCTTCTTTTCCTTTCCGCCTTGCTTCTTCTTCTCAGGCTCCGCCTTCTCCCCCTTCGCCTTCCTGCCCTTGCGTGGTTTCTTCGCCGGGGCATCTTCCTCGAGTGCCTTCAACGCCGCCTCCTCCTCGACCACCTTCGTTTCATCATCTGTCACACCGTCTTCTGCCAGCGCAGCATCGGCACTCTCCCCCATCACCGCATCGTCGCCCGTCTCGGCGTGGCCCTCGTCGCCGGACTCGCCCTCCTGCAGTAGATGATGCTCTTTCAACAGTGCGCGCTCCGCGGCGTGCTCGTCAGCCCCCGCCGCACCGGGCTCCTCCCCTTCCTCTTCCGTGTCGCCGAGCTCCCTCGTTGCGTCCGCCTCGTCGCCGCCGCCGTCGTCGAGGTCCTCCTCGCCTGAGGCACCAAACGTCGTCGTCGGCTTTGCCCAATCGAGTTCCTCGAAAGCCTCCCCGCCGTTGACGGCGCCCTTCTTTTCTTTCTTTGATAACTTCGCCGCCGGCTCCGTCGCGTTGGGGCTCGCTGCGTCGTCGGCGACGTCGTGCTGGAGGAGAAACTCGTCCGCGATCGCGGCGGCAACGTCATCGAGCTCCGCCTGCGCCGCCGATGGCACTGTGGTGGCGGCCGCCGCCTCCAGCGCCTCCTCCTCCGCCATGGGCTCAACTTCGGTGCTCTTTTCATCGGCCTTCACCTGTATTTCGTCGTCCGCAGCCGTGGCGGCTGCCTGCACCCCTACATCTTCGGCCTCGTCCAACTCCGCTATCGTCTCAGGCGGCCTCTCCTCCGCTCCGTCCTCCGCCGCCGCTGTCGCGTCCGCCGCTCCTTCCGGGACTTCGCCATCCGCGTCCGTCACCTGCAAGTTCAAGGTGAGAACCAACGCCCCGGACACCAGCGTCTTCATCTCCGCTGCCGTCAGCTTCGACAGATCCTTGCTGTTCATTCGCAGCACACGGACACGGCCGCGGGTGTCGAACAAAAAGTTCTTCGCCGCTGCCGAGAAGCGAATATTTGGGGAGAAGTCGGACAAGACGGCCGGGGTGCCTTTGGCGTACTTCAACTTCAAGCCCCACGGAATGGAGGCAGACGCGCGCTCGAGCATGAGCAGGCAGCGCTGTCCGACGCTGTTCTCGCCGCCCTGGTAGGACACCTCATAGAGCACCTCGTGGGGCGAGGTCAGGTCTGCCTGCTTCCGCTTCTCAATCGACAGGTGGAGGAGTTTCGTTGGCTGCGAGAGGCTCTTCCGCAGTTTCTGCAGCATGTCCGCCTGGCTCGCTGTCAGCTCATCATCGGTCAGGTGCACTGGCCGAATGCGGCGACGGTTCACTTCGTAGATGGCGAGCCCACCCGCCTCCTTCGACTGCTGCTGCACCGCGTCGTACAGACGCTCGCCCGCCTCGCTCGAGTTACGCAGTTCATTTTCGAGCCCCACGAGTAGACCCTTCGCGTTGAGCAGCAGTCCCCACCGCTGCCCTTCCGCAGCCCGCTCGAGGGTGGCCTGGCCGGTGAAGGGGTCGTAGTCCACCACCTTTGCAAAGCCCTGCGTGCTGGCAGCAGCCACGGCGGCCGGTGCAGAGATCGCGGCGTCACTGGCCGACACCGCCGATGCCACTGCTGCTGCAACGGCAGAGACCTCCTTCCACCGTTGCCGCTGCTGCTGTGTCTGCCCACCAGCGCCCCCGCCGTGTCCACTGGCCATCGATGCGGCGGCCTTCAACGCACGACGATCGGTGTCCACGGCCATCACCCACCGCAGCACCTTGTAGAAGGCCTCGTCAAGCATCCGCGCCGGGACCGCGTTCGCAGCGGGGCTGCGGGCGACATCGACCTGGGTGGGGTCGCTCTGCGGCTGGCGTCGCTGCATCTGCGACGGCGTGTCGATGCTGTGGTAGGTCGTCGCCACGTCCCGCAGGAGCTGGGCGATGTCGTGGATGTTGTTCTTGGTGGCCCGCAGCGCCTTGTGCTCGTCCTCGGTGCGCTTGCGGTCGATGGCCGGGTCGAGACTCCCCTCCACGCGCTGCTGCACCATTGAGATAAAGGATGTGAGGACCTCGTGGGAGGTGCCTTCGGTGAGGCAGTAGGCGAGGGCCACGGTGGTTTTCGCCGGCGCGCTGTGGTGCGCCAGGAAGGACTCCAGCTGCGGCATCACCGCATCGGCTTCGGCGTCGCTCGTCAAATACTTCAGTCCGTCCGCGTTCGAGGTGACAGCGGCCGAGGCGCAGATGTAGAAGAGGGCCGCCTCGAGTTCGTAGAGGAGCTCTTTCGGGGTGTAGGACGCATTCGCCTGCATCGGGGCACGCAGCTTTGTGAGGGTGATGCTCTGCAGACGACGCACCTCCCTCAGCAACGTGCGGTTGTACGCCGGGTTCGGCACGATGCGGCGGGCCTGCGCGTCGTAAATCATAAAGGGGGCGGTGAGGGCCTCCTTCATGGTAACGGCGTCGTGTTGGGGAGCTGCATCGGGAGCAGTGACAGAAACAGCTGTGGGTGCGGCGTCATTCTGCATGGAAGAACTGTCGGCCGCCGCCTGTTGGGAGCGACCTTTGCCACGTGCCATTCTATGAACACGTAAAGGAAACCGGAAAGTGCCTCAAAATTTTATTGAATACCTTTGGTGTGAAAAGATCTCTTTTGTGAAAATAAAAAGGAAGAAGTTTTATGTGGTTCGCTGAAAGGCGGAAAGCGGTGTCTTTTCTCGTTTCAATTTACACCAGAGAAAATCAGTGGGGAGCTCTATGGTTGGTACGTTCTATGTACGGTGAAGAAATCTTCTAGCTCTCTTGCTCTGCTTACAGAGTAAAAGGCGCAAATGAACGGAAACGAGATAAATACAAATGACTGTGAAGTGGCGATGCAAAGGCGCCAGCATCAATGAAGCCCTTCCATCAAGGGCCGACAACTCAGCCGCGTGCATACTTATGATTTCAGGCAAAGAACGACGGTATTCCCGTAATGAGCACGAGCGGTTTAAAAAAAAAAATAACACTGCTGATCATGCTCGACAGACAGGGGTAGAAGGTGCAGCGGCGGCGTTGCCTCCGCGGGTGCTCTTGATGGCCGAAACTCACATCACCGCACGCTCTATCCTTTCCTCTTCGCTTTACTCACCTCCGAAAGAAAAAACAACACAGGCAAATTATGAAAACGGAGCACCTCGCACGCGCAACACACAAGGGACGCTGCGGTCCACCACAGCACCTTCGAATACAGCTGCGTGTGCATGATACTCAACCACAACCCGAAGAATACCAATAATTACCTGTTTAATCGATCCGACTTAGAAGCGCGGTCTTCCACTGTCGCATTCATGCCACGTTAACATTTAAGCTGTTACTTACAACCTTGGGAAAAAAAGGAGAACAAAAAACACAAATCAACGGCATCAAATCACACACACATACACACACCTGCGTCGCTTCCTTTCTTCCTCTACTCCGCATCGGCAACGTGCGGCTCTGGCTCCTCGCCAATAATGTTGTCCTGCGCGAACCTCTTGTACACACGCCGTTCCGCCTCCTGCTTCTGGCGGGCGGCCCTGAAGTAATCCTCCTTGGGCCGGAACACCGTGTCCTTCAGTCGAAGATCCAGCAGAGGCAGCTCAGTGTACCCGAACTCCTCCGCCACCTTCTCCAGCGCCACCTTGGTCTCGTCGTACACGTCACGGGGGCCGATGGTGCTGTAGACGCGCATCGTCGCCTTATAGGCGCCGTAGGCGGCGTTCTGAATCGCGAAAAGCTTCTTATTGAGCGACTTGAGCTTCTCGCCAATGAAGAGGTAGCGGCCACCGGTTTTGTTCGGCAGCTCGTGGTAGTCCAGTCGATAGCGGACGGCTGCGTCGTTGCGGAGGCGTCCAAGAGCCCCACGCACCTCATTCGGGCGGAGGAGAAGAAGGATGTGCGTGTAGTTCACCGGAGTGGCGGCGGTGGTGGAGGACGTCTTCTCCGCGGCCGCCGCGCCTTTTTGCGTGGGGGTGTCTGCGGCGGTGCTTCCTGTAAAGTCGGCCACCGGCGGCGGTGAGACACTGCGCTTGCGCTGCCGCGTTGTCTTTTCTCGATGTACGTCCAGCGTACCGGCTTTTCCCCCAGCAGCAGCAGCGGTCGAGGAAGCGGATAGCGCCGCCGCGGGTGTCAGCACCTCGGCCACGAACTGTGGGTAGTTCACCAGATCGGGAATGATATCGTACTGCAGAAACACGCATCCCTTACGCGGGACAAGACCGTGGCAGGAGATGAGCACCGCCGCCGTCTTGCCTCCTTGGCCACCCGCCTGCACCACCGTGTCGAAGACGGCACACATCCGCTGACGGTCGGCGCTGGTGTGCATGCTTGTGAACGAACTCGCCCCCTCGTAGTCACTGAAGATCTGCACATACGATGGCAGCTCATCCAGGAAAGAGTAGAGGGTGTCGTAGAGGAAGGTCGCACACTCACGCGTGGCGACGTGCACGACAAGACCGCGGTGCGGCACCAAAGCCTTTAACAGGCTGAAGAGGAACTGGAAGCGCTGCGTGCCCTCGGCGACGGTGTAGTGCACCGTGACAGGACGGCGAGAGGAGGCCACAACGTTTGCCGCGGCGGAAACAGATTGGTCACCGTCTTCAGCACCAGCAGCAGCATCAGCAGCAGCCGAGACGAGGTCGCCGCCCGTGACACTTAATGTGGTGAGGAGATCCACTGCAGGGGCGGAGAGCCACGCCTGCTCTTGTGCCATCACCGCAATGTTCGACACGTGTCCGAGGCAGGCCCAGCGCTGCGCGTTGAGGGCTTGTGGAGTGGCAGACGAAGTCGGCTCCGATCCCGCCAGGACAGAAAGCAGAGAGCCGGATTGAGTAGCGGGGAGACACAACAGGACGGCGAAGCCACCGATCAGCTTCCAAATGGCGCTGCGACGGTTCACGGCGAGAAACCCAGCAGGAGAGGCAACAACGACCACCACGGATGCAGCAGTGCTGGCCGCAGAAGCCTCCGTCGACATGGCCACCGCTTTCGCCTTCTTCGCCCTCGCCGCAGCAGACTTCGACGTCTTGGAGCCACCGCCTTTGGGAGAAGGAAATGTTGGGTAGCGTGGCGCCTCTGAGTCGTCAAGACGGAGCACTGTCAGACCGTACCGGCCCTCCAGCTGCTGAGCGACTTCCGCGACCTTCGCGGCGTCCTCCGTCAGCACGAAGAGTGACGACATCTCAAAGGGGGGAGTAGGAAGAGACGCGTTAACGCTGAGGGAGGCGCTTTGTGCGCTGGCTGTACGTGCCGCCAGTTCCAGTGCAGACAGGGCAACTGTGTCCACCATCTCTGACAAAATCGACGCTCTCCCGCGAGTGACCGAGAGAGGCGCTGTTGTGCTGGCTTGGGAGCCGCTTTTCACTCCCTTTGGAGCCGCGAGGGCCTCCACCAGGAGCATCTGCGTGCGGGAGAGCTTGTACGTGGCGCCAGCGGAGAGACGGCTCTCTAAATACTCCATGACCGAAGGAGAGAGGGGAGGCGATGCGGTGGTATTTGCGAGGCCCTTGTCAGACCTCGAAGCCGTAGCTGAGGACGCCGACCGACGAGCCGCCAGCACGGGCACGACGTCCACCGCCCGCTTCGCCCTCGCCTTCTTGGCGCTGTCATCGCCGAGGTACGCCTTCAGGTGACGCAGACCGCGGGTGTCCATGTTTGTGTGTATTATCTTCCTCCAAGACGTAAGCTGGGACAGCACTCCTTCCAAATAAGAGCCCTCCGTGCGTCCAGATGTGAAGAGAAGCGGCGTGTTGCTACTGCGATTTGCTCCCTTGAGAATTGTGTTCCAGCGAAGAGCAACGGAAGAAGAATACACGTCGCCACCGATTATGCGCGGCATTCGATGAAGAAAGATTGCAGGAAACGAAAGCGGAAAGACGGAGAAGCGATATGGAAAGAAAAGAAAAACCGAAGCATAATACGTCCTTGCCTGAGTACAGCGTGGAGGCCGCGAATGCGGTGCAGTCACATAGCTCGGTGCGGCTAAGATGACCCGCTATAAGAGCAACAGATGGCAGAAGCTGCTGACACGCAACCGTCGCTCGTCAAACACTCACGACAAAGCGAGAAACAAAAAAAAAACAGGACGTGCACGCAGCAAGAGATGCCAACGTGCCAGAGGATAAGGGTCTCAAAAGACAACTCCCAGAAATGCAAAGCAACGCTGTAGGAAAGAGGAGGGCCTGACGTTGCGCCTACGAGTTCTTTTTGTTATTGTCTTTTCTCCTCCATTAAGTATCCCGAAAAGAACGAAACATAAAGCCGGCACGTGCAGCCCACAGTCGAAAAGTAATTAAGTGAGCACACCGTAAGAGTGGACTGGGTAGATTAAAAAATAAGATTTCCTAAGTTTTTATCTTTTCTCCCTATTGTATATAAGAAAAAGAGAAAACGAAAAGAAAAGGGTTGACTACTTAAGTAGCTGTAATGATGGAGAGCGGCTGTGGCTCGTCCCTTTAGAGCACAACAGACAGTGCGTGTCGATGACGAAGAAATCTGATCTTTTTAGGCCAAATAGACCTCCGCTTCCACTTCCCTTTATTGCTCCTTTTAGGGAGTACAGCGGCAAACAAACAAACAACCACATCAACGAAACTAATTCGAAAAACAAGACCTTCGATGCTCTGCTCGCTAGTAATTAGCATGGACGCACACACTAAGAAAAGCAGCAGCAGCAGCAGCAGCAAGACGAGCAGGCAAAGCAAAAGAGCGCGAAAGAGCGCAAAAGAGCCAGAGAACAGCAGACCAGAAATACAAAGACCCTTTCCATTCTGCGAGTACGGCCACATCGCCACTTGCGTTACCATCACGATCGTACATACTCTGTGTTGAGATGAGTAAAGAGAGAAAGAGAGCGGTATAATAATAAACAATAAACAATAAATTCGCTTTGTCGGCGTCACACAACTGCTCTTCGGGTGCACGATGGAAGAAAAAACAACAGAGGAGCTGCGCGTTGATTTGGTATCGCAATTTATTCCTCTTTCACCGCGTACACACATCAGCACGTCGCTGCTTAACTCAACCAAAAAAAAAGGAAAGGAAAGGAAAGAAATAAAACATCAGCAGCAGCGGCAGCGCACAAAAACACCCGGAAAGAGAAAGGAAGGAAATACTCGCGTTTTGATGGATCAGAGAAAAAAAAATTGCACACGGTTGTGAGAAACACGTAGGTGTAAAAAGGCAAAGAAAAGACCAAGAGAAGAAGAGAGAGACAAACAAACAACAGGCGAACGAAAGCTCGCTCACACGTAGGTGCGGCGGACATGCGTGCCATCCATTCACACTCACAACTCAGATAAACAGAGAAAGAAAACAAACCTTCGGTCAAACTCATGGGAAACGGTTGAAAACAAAGATGTTAACAAAACAAAAGGGAAAAGAAAAGCATTGCAAATAAACAAGCGGGAATAAAACGTTGGCAGCACAGCATTCTTTCCGCTTCCTTTGTACACGACGAGCCGTTACATGGCATCTATCACGCGCAACACGGAGAAGGAACCGTAAAGAACCAGACCAAAAAACAACAACAAAAAAGAACAATATGCGAACCGCCTTTACGGCATGTTTTGACAATGAACAGCAGAGCAGCAAGACTGTTTCTACTTTAAAAAAAGAAATGGCATAGTTCGCCTTTTTGTCCTTTCAACTTCTATGGCTGTGCGCGGCTGACGCCAACGTCGCTGCACAAAAAAAAAACCAAAAGGATAAAGTATCACCACAGATAACTACCGTTTATTAGTTTCCTCCGAGAAAGGAGAACGAGAAAAGAAACAGAAAAGAAAAGAAAAGAAAGAAGAAGACAGACTGCAGGGGAGGAAACCGTCGTAAGTGAGGAAATCGCGGAGACCGCCTTCGTTCAGTACAAACAGAAAACAGAGAAGAAAACAAAAACGCAAATACTCGTTAGAACCGCAGAGGTTTTCCGTCCTCGGTTTTAGGGCATTCGAAGGCGGCCCGCTGTTCCCTTTCGGGGTTGCTCTCGTGTAGCGCTACAGCACCAAGAACAAGGTGATACAAGTTAAACGCAGAACGAGAAGGCGAGCAAGAGAAAGAAGAAACATAAAAACGGGACTTACGAAACAACAACGCGGAACAACGGGAAAACAGCGAACGATCGAAGAAGAAAAGAAATATGTGAGACTCGCTTCCTGTACATTTCTAAAAGAAAAAACACTCAGCACTGGCGCAGAAGATGAAGAAATGTAAGTTTTACTAGGACTTAAAATAAACACACGAACAAAGCAACAAAATAGTTTACGGAAACGAGAGAGAAGTAATAATAATAACTTACAAAGCGGAGAAATAGAAAATACCCGAACAAAACTGGAGAGGGCACACCGGCCCCCAACGCACTGTCTCTCAGCAGCGTAACGTACATGGGCTGAGGTGCGTGACTTAAAAACAAAAACGAAGAATTATACCTAGAAAATAAATGAAGAAAAACGATCGAAGGAGGAAAAGAAGGACCAGCCAAAGCACCCCGCATTCACCGTCTGGTAGGAGTCGAGGTTAACGCTGTCCTCCTCTTCGAAGTCGTCGACGCTCATCACGATGAACCCATTTTTTTCGTGCTCGGCGAATCCGTCCGGACTCGCAAATATGGGGCTGACTTGGACGACGCGCAGCTGTGACGCTTCCACCTCCTCTGCAAAGAGACGCGGGAGAGAGGATGCGACGTGCGGCGGCTCCACCTCCGCACACCGGAGAACACAAACGTCATCAACCGCCTCGACGCACGACTCCGCCTCTGCCGTGAAGGAGTTCGACGCCGACTCGGCCCTGCTAGTAAACGTGCTCTCTGTCTTTTCTGGCTCCGCAATGCTGCTGCTGTCGCCCTGCACTGCAAGAGTGGCAGCTGCGTCGGATGTGGCCGCTGTCTTTGGGGGTTCAACTGGTGTGTTCGCCGCAGCCCGCGACTGAACTTCGCGCATGGCCTTGTCCAGCACCTCCAGCTTCAACGCCCGACGGTAGCCCAGTACCTCCTCCCGCCTCGCCGTCTCACAGGCGCGGCTCCACACCATCGGCAGGTACTCCCGCTCCAGCGGGTGCGGCGGCACGGGTGCCGAAGCGGGGGTGGGAAGGAGGCTGAGCACCAGCGCACTTCGCGCCCCCGGCATTGTCGCTGCCCGCACCTGCGGCGTGAAGTAGTAGTAGTACCACGCCAGCCAGTCCTCTGCGTCGCGGATGGCCATCTGGGTGTGCCGCTGCCGCTCATAGAGCTCCATGGAGTGCAGGATGGTGGCCGCCACGCACACGGTGCCTTTGCCCGACGCCGCGTTGTCGGCCGCGTCGCTGAAGGAGTACGTCGAGAGGGTTGCCACGCTCACATCCTCGCGCGCCTGCATCCCCAGGAAGGCTTTGATCTCGTGGAAGAGCTCCCGCCACGGGTTCTCAAACCGGTACTGCGCCACCTGGTAATCGACCGGTTGCGCCTGGGTGAGGTTCGTAGGGACAAAGGTGCCGTGCATGTAGTCGTACATGCTCGATACCTGCACCATCTTGCAGAAGTCAGCGTGAAAGACACGCAGGGAGCCGCTACCGCATTGCAAAAGCGAATCCACGAGCCCCTCCACCTCCGCCGGGGCCTGGTACTGCGCGAGGATGGGGAGGATGTAGTAGTAGTACACCTGTGAGAGACGGAGGTGGGCGGCGCGGGCCTGGCGATGCGCCTCCGTCAAGAGGGTAAAGAGCGCGCACTCCTGCTGACGGCGCTGTGCGAAGATCACGTGCTCCACATAGCCACGCGAGCCGAGGGCGTACTTGCCCTGTGGAACGCGCTGTAGGCTGTCCGCGTCCGTCTGCGAGTCCATCGAAGAGGTGTCCTTTTGCAATGCCCGGTTGCTGTTGTGACAGATCCGCGCCGCAGCAGCAGCTGCAGACGAGCCCTTTTCCTCAGCTTCGCTGCATCGCAGCATCGTCCCGCATATCGCCGGCAGCGGCGTTTCCATGTGACGGCCCTCGTCATCGAGAACCAAGACGCTGGTACTGTTGTTGTCGCTACTACTGATGCTATGGCGGTCGCCGTCGGAGCTGGTTTGCTCCCCGGCCTCTGCGGTTTCGCCGCGGCAATTCTTCTCCTTCATCTTCTCTGCTTTGGACGTGGAGTCGTTGAAGCGGCCGATGCGGACGAGGAGGTCAGCGGGCAGTTCGTACGACGGGGCCTCGACGTGCTCGCGATGGGACTCGAGAGCTTCGACGGTGAGGGGCACCGCCACCACTGCCACATCCTCTGCCTTCTCTGCTCCCGCGTTGGACACTGAAGTATCCGTGCCGTCAGTCTTCCTGGAAAGCGTGGCGTCTCCCTGAGCAGCAGCCGCTGCAGCCGAACAACCGGAATCGCGGCCTTTCTGCGAAGCCACCAGGTCTGCCCAGGCCGCCTTGTACTCCCGCAGCCGCAGCCCCGCCTCCTTCATTTGCTGCCGACGCTGGCTGCGCCGGATGGCGAGTTCCTCTCGCGAGATCAGCCGCTCCGCCGTTCGGGACGAGCGGCTTGTTGTCGTTTCGACGCCGCCGCTGCTGCTGTCAGGCAGGCAGGACGTGGCGAAGCTCGTGTTCGCCGTGGAGGTCGAATCGGCAAGCATGACCGCACGGGAAAAAGGGCAGCGGGACTTGCGGGTGTCGGTAACACGGAAGGCGCGGCGCGGCTTCGTGGCCGGCACGTCGTCCGTCGTGAATGCCGACAGCGCCGGTGGTGCGTCGTCGAGGGGCTCCTCCTCGCCGACCTCCTCCACCGCGATCGGGAAGTCGTCCACGGGGTTCACCGGCGAGCTCGGGTCCTGCGAGAGGGAGTCCGATGAAGACGACGACGACGACGCTTCGGAATCGTTCCCGCAGGTCGCATCGTCCACCACAGCGGGTGCTGCGGCAGCCTTCAACCCCACCGGCTCGATCTGCAGCTCCGACGCGGCGAGGGTCGGCAGCACAACGAGAACATCGTCGTCATCGCCCTCCTGTCCTCCTTCACCGTTGGCACATGCGTGAGAAGAAATCGCACGACTCCGCTGCTCGGCCAGCGGCGACGAGAAGACGGCGGTCGGGGCGTGCACCTCCCGCAGGTACGCCATCGGCGACGCCTCCACGTGCGGGTCGAACACCTCCGGCTGGCACATCAGCCGGCTCCAGAGAGAGAGGCGGTCACGGCGCGGTGCCTGGGAGCGGCTGCGACGGCGCGGGCGGTGACCACCGCTGCTGTTACCGCTGCCGCAGCGGTCGAGGTGCACTACGGGCACCTGGCCGATTGGCGTGTCGGCGGTCACGAGGGAGCCGGTGTCGCCGGCCGACTCGTCTGCGAACTGGGTCGAGGGGGCTGCGGTGTCGCCCTTCGCGCCGTCAAGCCGATTTTGCCGGTCACGCCGGCGCCGGTCGGTCAGCCGCGGTTCATTGCCGAGGAGAAGACCGAAAAGGTACATGAAAAGAGAGAGTTCCCTCGAGCTGTCGTTCTCTGGTTGAGGGGAGAGGGACGAGATGCGAGACGAAGCGCAACTGAAAGAAACGAAAACAGATTCCTTAGCAAGGCAGAAGTCAAACGAGAATTAAAACAATATATATATATATATATATATTAAAAACCCACCTCGAAGGGCACCCAGCGAGCAATGAAACAGATATAAGAAATAAATATATATATGGAAAAATAGCGTTTTGAGAGACAAAAAAGGCTCCTCTATTTTGGCGTCACACACAACGCAAAAGAAAGAAAAAAAACCCTTACGTCCGTCTCACCTGTGCCGAAAGACGACGAGCAAAGAGGGGCCTTAAAAGAACAAAAAGAACCTGTGGGGTGACGCAGGACGAAAAGGGGGAGAACCTTTTGAAAGCAACACAATTGCTAAAGAATTACGTGGAAACACAAGAAATAATATTACGAGAAGAAAAAAAAAAGAAGAGTTCCTCAGAAGAAGCAAGCAAGCCAAGAAAGGAAAACAAAAATACCAAGTTAAGCTGGAAACTACAGCGTAAGTTCAACGTCCCGCACACAGGTGTATAGCAGCGTGCGCAGCGTAAGCAAACAAACAAAGCCAGTGTATATGAATGAAGGCGAACCTTACAAGAGTGAATTTTGCTGGTTGAAGGAGGTTAAGTGCTGTCGTGTTCCGTTGATTAGTTTAGATGCACAGGAGCCGAGCAACTTTTTGATAGCTACTGTTGCGACGCATGCAGGTAGGGACACACGATTGAGAAAGGAGGAGGAGGTGAAAAAAGCGCTGACACTTCGCTGTATCGTCGCGTCAGCGCCAGTGGAGCCCCGGAGAAATAAACCCGCAAAAAGGAGCACGACACTCGAGTTGATAAGAGTCACTAACGATTAATAGCAATTAATCTGCAAGTGTGTGTGTGTGTGTGAGAGAGTCGTTGATGATGAGAGAAAAGAGTGGCGTGAGAGGAGAAACCAAAGAAAAAGAAAGAAAGGTTGATACTTGTGCTTCTTGTAGCCTTCCGGAAATGTGGTGCAGGGGGTGGCGTTGCGCACGGTTGACGCTGAAGGTGCACCGGGCTTTGACACCGTTCGCTAGAGGGTACAACTGTGCTTGAGCAGATGCATCGACCATTTGCGCAACAGCCAATCAAACATGTAGCGTTAACAGAAGACGTGACTTCCTTGGAGAAAACCGGCGGTACCGCGAGTGGGTGCTTCTTGGAGACTCCATCTTCGCTTTAAGATATTTTGTAGTAGTTGTTGTTGTTACTATTAGCATTGAATTCTTCACTTTGGCGTACCTTCATGTGAACAGCACAGACAGCCTGTAAACGGATCGTTGGTTTTTTTTAAAGCGCATCGACGAGTTCTCCATGCAACGTATTCGCGAGGCATTTTGAACTCCACACATACATACACACGTACACATACACGTACAGACGGCACGCATCCCAACCACGAAAATCACTTGTTCACTCCGTGCCCCACCGCACCGCAGCAGCCACTCTTCCATTCCCTTTGCAATTCGAGTGTGACCCGTCTCACGTACACCATTCTTGCAACATAAGAAAGCAGAAGGGGTGGGGCAACATGGACTGGGCGCTCACATTGCTGCTCACCTACTGGTGTTTTTTCAGATGACCACTGTTGGACGGAGGACGGTCCGTTGCGTGTGGACCCGCTTTTACTGCCCTCAGAGAAGGGCGAGGCCGATGGCAGAGGAACACCGCCGCCAGCACCACCAGCAGCACGGCCGCTAGGCAGACAGAATACACCACCACAAAGGGCACGTAGGCCTGCACGTGAAAGCGCACATCGGAATCTGCCATCAGTGATAGCCCACGCAACCAGAACCCGACCGAGAGCACCTCCGTGGTGTTGAGGGAGTTCTTCAGCTGACGCCATGTCTCTCGCTGAAACACGCGGTGCAGCGTGGCCATTAGCGATTCGTCCTCACCACTTGGTCCCTCGTTGCTCGTCGACTTCTTTGGTGGTGCTTCCTTTTGGTTAGGTGGGTTGCGCTGAGCGGCTTTCGGGCCCGTCGTGCTCTTCTTCTGTTTCCCAGAGTTGTCCCGCGTGGTGGGGGGTGGGTCGCTGGCATCCAGCCTAATGGAAGCGGCTTCTTGCGCCTCCCGCGCCCGACGGCGCACATCCGCATCGGAGGTGATGTGGTAGTGCACGTACGGAGAGCACAGGCCAACCTCCTCGCAGAAGGTGCCCGCCGCAGGGAGCCGATACGCAGGCGGCGTCGATCCCGGCTTCTTAGAGGATACGTCATGCGCTTTCTCTTGTTCTTTGGTATTGGAAGAGGGAGCGTGTTTTCCTTCCCCGGGAAGTAAGTGCTTAAAGGCGGTGTCAGTCAGGGCCTCGTTCATCTCCTCCAGTGCCATGGGGCAGGCAATGATCACGCCGTCATGCAGATCCTTCGAGGAGACGAGCGGGTTCAGCAGCTGTTGGGCCGCCGCATCGTTTGCGGCCACCGTTGCTGCCGCCGCCACGCTCTGGCGCTGGATACTCTTTTCGAGTGCGTCACACAACGCGTCAATGGCGTCGTGCACCTCCACGATCATCTGCTCACGCTGCCGATGGCTCGCCTTCGGTGCCGCACGCGGCGGTGCAGAAGAAGGGGGAGACGACGACGAGGAACCACCTGAAGTTGCGACGGTGCTGAGTCGGTAGCGATCGGCGAGAGGGGGGAGCACCTCGTCAAAAAAGACCTCACCGAGACCGACACACGCGCGGCACAGGAAGTCCTCCTTGACACTTTCATACTCGCGGCTCCCCTTCACCTCTACGCGTGACGCCGCAGGAGACGGAACGACAAGAAGGAAGCTGCAAACGAGAAGAGCGACAAGTAGCGCGGCCCCAGCTAAACGAGGTGGTGAAGTCGGTGGAGGCATCGCAAAGGACTTCAACCTGTAGTGAATGCGGAACCAATGATACTTGTGCGCAAAAGGAAAAAAAGAACGTTGCGGCGGAAACAAGAAGGACATACATGAAAAGGTGATGTGTGTGTGTGAACGAAATGGAGTGAGAAAAGGAGAAGCGATAAGAAGATCCAACGGTGCAGTTTTCGTTGCTTCCTGCGGCACTTTTTGGTGGATCCGCTTCCCATAGCACTCAACGCTGCAGGAAGCCTACAGCGAGGAGGAGACCGCCCAAAAGAATATATCTGCTCGTCTGGTCGACCTCCCGACACACCATGTGGGCAGAAATCATCCTTTTGGAAAAGGAAGCGATCCGTTCTGTGGTGCCGAAGACACGTCCATCACGCACCGAAGCACACTCTTGGGTCGATCGTTGAGCGTCCCTGCCTCCCTGCGCTGGTCGTCCCTCCCGCATGAATAGGTTTGCGTCGCCTGCGGTAGCATAAATGGAGCCGAATGCAGTGAAGGGCCATCCAGTGTCTCCCACACACTCTGCTCTACGCATTTTCTTTCTCTTTTCGTTTCATTTCCTCACAGTTTATTAACTCCACCTCAATAATAATAATAGCCAAAGGGCATACGGGAATGCCCACAAAACCAAACAAAAACGGCCACCGAAAAAATAATACTGAGAATAAATAGACGTTAAACCATACAGCGATGAACGTTTCTCACACACACACACACACACTCACACACACGCGCGCATCGCTACGCAGCGCCAACTTCCTTCATTTCATTTTCTTTTACGTGGTTGTTGCTCGCCACGTCACGCAGCCATCAACTCGCGGCTGCTAAGACACGTTCTTCCCCTCCACCTTCGAAACGGTAGCGATACAACAACGAAAGAAAGCACAGCGTAGCGCACGCACTGTGTATAATGAGTTGAATAATACTAATAATAATAAAGAAGAGAGTCAAACAGAAAACAAAGAGAGGCAACTTGAACCAGTAACTTAGACGGCGAACCGCCAAATGATTATTTTTTTTTAGAAACTTCTGCTTGCTATCACTTAGCAACAAAAACCTCTTGTTTTTCCCAATAATTAGGCGACGGAAAGATCACTCCTGTAGAGATATCCTGTACTGTTTCGTGAGAAGAAATAGGAATCTTATTATTTCCTGACTTCTTCAAAAACAAAAACTGTCTGTCTCGTACCTTTTTAATGTTGTTTCTGTTATATTTCTTTTTTAAGTTGCCTTGCCTCGCCGCTCGCGAAGGTGTCCTCCGTTTCCTTTGTGTGTTTGACCTCCTCGCTAGTTGTCGGTAGAGTTGTTTTTAGTAGACAGTTGGGAAAGTAAAAGAGAAAGAAGAAAAAAAAGCGACGGAAAAAAGTAGCAACAGAAGTGCTCAGGGACGTAAGTCCACAAAACAAATGGACCACAAGAGAAGCTCAAGCGTTCAGAATAGAAAGGGTTCCGGAAAAAAATGAAAGGGAAAGGGGGTTGCTGTATGCGACTGTCACACACACACACATTCACACACCCACAAATTCACACCGAAGAAGACGCAGTAGTAAACAAATAAAATAGTGGTGCGAACTAACATCCCGGATTTTCAATACCAGTCATGGACAATGTGGCATTGAACAGGGAGGACGCTCCTTCTTCACATACACACACACACACCAACGGCTTCTACACCAGGACAGCACATACGAAGTACGCAAAACAGTCTTGCGGGCATCAACTCCAGAAATAGCGATGAGACACTTTATTGAGGGGGGTGAAACAGCCACCATTCATTATTTGCTAGTAAAAACACAAGAAGAGTATATTATCTAAAACTATTGTGATAATGTGTGTTATAGGCCCACACATACAAAAACGGGAAGACGCTCCTCCAACAACAAAAGCAGCAGGTGAATGAAGGAGAAACGAACTGCTCCGTCTGGAGGGCACGACGAGAGAGACAAAAAAAAACGGTGCCGTCAGCATTCGAAGGCTTTAAAGTGGAAATAAATTTAGTGAGTACACGACGGCTTCACGTGCTCTCTTCCTTTCTATTTCTTCTTCTTTCTCTTTAAAGGGGGGTTCAGCCTCCGTTGTGCACATCCCCGAGGACACGTTAAAGAGAAAGGAAAACAAAAGAGAAAGGAACAACACGGAAGGACCGCTGAATTCTTTTTTTTTTTAAATGAGAGGTGTGGGAGTGCATCACAAACAGGAGAGCATTGTGAAGATATTAGAAAGCCAAAGAGAGCGAGAAAAAAAAGTGGACTACATTTACGCAGAAAAACAAAAAATATGGCTAACAATGTTCTCCTACACGTTCATGCACTCTAAAGCAAAACGGAAATTATAAAAACTGTTAACGTATAATTAACTCCCTTTTCTCTTCCTTTTCCTATTGTATTGAAATGAATAGGTGCGCATTCCTCTCTCTCTTTCTCTCTCCCTCCGCTTCATGATGCCGCAGCAAATACCAACACAAAGAAAAAGGCGATTGAGCGCTTTTTTTCTTCTTCTTGTCTCGGCACCTGAGGCGTTTAAAGCGTAGCGATGAGCAACGGAGACAGACGAGAAAGAGAACTTCGCAGCAGCTGAGCACATCTCATAAAATCATAATAATAAGCATTTTACGCCTCCGACGATTTCGCCGTTGGATGTGCTATCGATCACGCCAAAAAATGACCAACAGACGCGACGACGACGAAAGCAGCGCTGAGTTTTTGTGTTGTTGCACAGGTGATTAAACAGGAGCACATAACATACGTCTTATTCTGTGATTGGGTGCTTGTACGTGTGTGTTGTGATCACCACGTGCACATTCGTTACGCCCAAATATATATTTTTTTGAAAGTGAGAAGGGGGAGAATAAAGAAGGGCGTGATGAGAGAGCCGTACCCGGTGAACTCATCACGACCGCAACAATGGAAGGACCGAAAACAAAACGAAGCGAAACTGAAATGAGAGAGAGAAGTGAAAAAATAAATAACGGTGGAAGACGTAGAAGAAAAACTAAAAAAAAAAAAGATACAGAAAACGAAAAGCACTTAAAAGCAAAAATATACGAAGAGAAAAGTTAGCTTAAATCCCGTCGAGGTATAAGCAGTACAGCGCTGTCCAGAGAAGTACGGTAATGAACTACGAATGCTGTCTGCATTTTAGTGAGTTACAGGAAGGTGAGGTTATTTTTTGGGGAGTTTTTTTTTGATGTCAAGGTGCTGTGCCAGTGTTAGTGGACGCATATATGCAGGTACTAATAATAACCTACAGTTGTGGGGTATATACATTACACTGTTTTAAATGATATCCTTACAGTACACAACCACGCTCACCACACGCTGTGCAGCAGACTTCCCCGACGGCGACGACAACAACGCTGCTTCACGCCTACATCCCATTTGCAAGATGAAAGCAGCATCTGCAACCAATCCGAGTCATTATTGGAATACACACGCACGAAGCTCTCTATGTTCTCGTGGTGCTTCCGGTTTCATACGATACTACGACACCCCGCCTACTACTACACCGCACGCGTGTTGCCCCTTCCCTTCTACATGGGCGATACTATGAAGAAGATGCAACCGCAGCTACGTGCTCCTAAAAAAGAAGAGAATAAAAAGGTCACAAACAACGAAGAACAGAAGAAGTTGAATGCGCCGCATCGGTCGAGGGCCTACCAAAACACAACAAACGAAACAATAAAGAAAAAAGAGAAACATGTCCAGACAGAGAGAACAAACGACAACGATGATACATTCACCGATGAAAAGCAAAGGTGTGTTTCTCTAGAAAGAGAGAGATGATGATGATGATGATGATGATGATGATGGTGGTGGTGGTGGTGGTGGTGATGGTGGTGCGTGGTGGTGCGTGGTGGTGCGTGAAGTTTCACTTTAGTAAACCTTAAGTTTAACAGAAAAGCCCAAATAGAGAAACAAAAAGGCACATCCGTGACACGTCATGTCTTTTATCGATCACCGAGGAGTACCGCAAAAGGAAAGAGAAAAGAGTGGCACTCTGATTTTTCTTATTAATATTTTACAAGTAAGCCGCGTGACCGTTACACTAAATGGAAAGGTCGCAACGGAGCAAAGCAATGACAACAAAATAAAAACGAGATCCAAAGAGAGAGACTAAGCAACATATAAAACCTGCGCACACCTTAGCACGCCTTTGCCTCTTGCCACCTGGCTGCCTTTTGTTTTCCATCTGAGTACTTTGGGTGGGTGTGTGTGTGTGTGTGTGTCTCATCCGAAACGCGTTCCTCTGCGTCCGTTTAGAAAAGGGCGGCGGCTGAAAATAAAGAAAGAAAAAGCCAAGAGATGGTTCAGCTGCTCGCCAGCAACACCGATTTGTCCGGCATAAACCAAGAATAGGCTTTCTTTACTCCACGTAGCACTGCACACACTGCTGCGGCGGCAGGGCGTGCCAGAACAGCTCCTTGTCCGCCGTGAACACCACCTTCTGCCGCACCGACTCCGCCGAAGAAAAGAAGAGACGAGGGAAGAAGGTGATGTCGCGCTTGCTGGTTGCGGTCAGCGGCGGGCCGTAGAGGTGATCACTCAGTCGTGGGTTCGCCTCCGCGGGCTGCAGGCATTCGTCCAGGTCCTCGCAGGACACGTTCAACACATCCCGCGCACGACCCGCGGCGAGGGTGTAGGTGCTGCGTGTGATGGCCGGCTGCACCTCCTCCATGGACAGGCCGATCGCCACCAGCACGTTCAGCACGTAGCGATGGAAGGCCTGGTCACGGCGGAGCAACGCCTGCATCTCGGACGACGATGTGCTGACGGTGTCGCCGTTGACGCTGTTCGGACCCGTCGCGCTCTTCCGTCCGTTCTCGTTCGACACCGCCGCCGCCTTCTCCGCCACGCCTTCCTCCTCGTCGCGGAGACTCTCCAGCACGGCCTCAAGGAAGTCCGCCGGGGCACTGAAGCAGTCGTAGCCCTCCGCGTTGTCGGCCGTCTCGTGGAAGGAGTCCCCCACCGCCAGTCCCTGCCATTGCTGCGCCAGCGGTGGGGCGGACGGGGTCGAGTTCTCGCCTCCGCTGCTGCTGCGGCTGCCACTCTTCTGCTGCGGCCGTTGTGGGGAGGCCGACGCCGCCTTCCACAGGCACACCACCGGGATTTCGTTGCAGCTCATCACCACGGCGTGGATGTACGGCAGGGCGTCGCTGAGGTTGCGCCGCATCATGTAAAGCAGCGCCATCATCAAATTGGCAAGTAGGCGGAGCTGCGTGGCTCGCTGCGGGAGGTCGGCGGTGTGATCGCCTGCCCCGGTCGCCGAGGCACCGCCGGTCACCGCCGCGTGGCAGTCCAGCAGCTCAATCAACGAGCGCAGGGTGCCCATCGCGTCGTAGAAGCCCTGCTGCGAGTTGAGGAAGTCGTGGGCCTGCCCAATAGCACGCAGCGCCAGTTCCTGCCCCCGCTCCAGCACCTCCTCGCCATCCGTAGCGGCGCGGCTCAGCATCATGTTCTGCAAGGCAAGGGACAGCTCGCTGCCGGCCACCTCGGACGGCGTCGAGGCACCACCGTGCGCAGCAGCCGCGTTGTGCCGCGACGGCGGCAGCAGCAAGTCTGTCGCTACGCCGCTCGCGCCGCTGTGGACCGAGACAGGTGCGCCGGCACTCAGCGCATCAGGCGAGAGCACGCGATCGCTCTGCGCAGAGGCAAAGCGAGGTGGTGCCAGCGTCGACGCCTTCCCCGCACCAGTACCAGCACCAGCAGCGGCCATCACCAACCCGTCCAACGCCGCGTAGCCCTGCGGAGGGGTGAAGGTGGACGGCGGCGTCGTACCGGAGGAGGACGCGGGAGCAGGACCGTAGTGACGCACCACCGTCGTCGGCTCGACACCGCCAGCGGAGTCGCTGCTGCTGCCGCTGCCGCCGGCATCCGAGTCGGACTTCTGCAGTGCCGCAGCCCGCGACAGCGAAGACGGCGTCCACTGGGAAGACGCATTCGGCGTGCTGATGGTGGCCGCCACCGAGCTTGCGTTGTGCACACCGGGCAGCATCTCCGCCCCAAGCATCGCCGTCGCGGCGGGCTGGAAGGCACGCGCGTGTGGGCTGAGTCGCATCGGCGGCCGCGCTGCCGCTGGAACGACGGTCGGGGAGAGACCGATGGGCGTGGGGGTGTCGCTCAGGTCGGACATCTGGTTCGCCTCCTTCTCCTTCAGGTTGTAGTAGCTCTCCAGGGCGTCGCCGAGGGAGCGCTTGGCGAAGTTGCCGAGGCCGAAGATGCACGGGTTGCCCGTCGCGGGGTCGGCGTCGTGGAAGACGCGATCGACGATCGGCTGCTTCGCGCAGTTGCACTTCAGACGCAGCGGCGGGCGGCCGGGGCCGTTCTTCAGCTCCATCCCGCTGCGCCGCATCAACGCCTCCGCCCCCGCCGTCGTCGCGAACTCGACGAAGCCGTAGATCCAGTTTTGGTTATTCGTCGCGTTGCCGCAGATGCGCACGCGGAGGTACTCCCCACACTCGCTGCAGATCTCCGCCAACTCGCTCTGCCGCATCGTCAGCGGGAGGAAGCGGAGGTGCACCGTGCGGGCCAGCAAGTCCGACGTGGCCGCCTCGCGCTCCACCAGCCGCTGGCGCTCCTCCTTCGGGAGGGCCTTGAAGTCCTGATGGAGACGGTTCTGCTTGCGGCTGCCGTAGTCCGCGTTGGGGCCGCGGTAGGTGTAGGGGTTGCTGCCGGTGCTACTCGGTGTGGTGCTGCTGATGGCGTGGTAGGGATGTGGCTTGAGGCGGCCGTCCATGCCGCTGCTGTGGGTCGGCGGTAGTGGCGGTGGCGGTGGCGGCGGTGTGCGGTGGTACATCGGTGCCCGCTCGTAGCTGTCGTAGCTCGGGGCGTCGGAGACCGGGGAGTGGCCGTAGACGTGGAAGCGGTCGAGCGCCGCCGCGCTGGTTGGGTCCAGCGTCGGGGTCAGCCACTCCTCGCTCTGATGGAACGAAACACGCTGTAAGGCGGCCGCGGCGGCGGCGGTGGAGGAGGCGGAGGAGAAGCGCTTGGAGGTGTACGGGACGCGCGGGTAGTTGCCGTCGCCGGTGCTGCTCATGTCCGTGTTCGGCATGTAGTCGCCGGCGACCACCTCGAAGCCGTTGAAGGCGTCGGTGTTGTTTGGCGTGTTGTCGACGCTCGTCGGCACCTCTGCCTTGGAGTTGGGAGACGTCGTGAAAATCGATGCCATGGCGCAGGTGAGGATGCTCTTCAAAGGTGTCTGCTATTTTAAACAGATGCGCCTTCAACTAAAGGAGTAAAAACAGGAAAGGTGAATCAACGGGGAGTACCGACGTTGCAGAGCGGCACTTGGGAACGGCAGAAATACGGCGGGATGAAAACGAAGCAAGAAAAGAGTTGAGCAGCGAAGATCAAAAGTATATGTCGTGAACAAAAGAAAACGCTGTAAAACAGTTCTTATCAACTCGCTGAGCCAGTCTGTGCAAACGTGAAAAAGAAAAGCAAGAGTTTTCGCTTTCAGGCAGAAGAAAAAGCCAACGGCACAAGAGGCGTACAAGGATGGCGTGAGCGGGTATTGACCTACACGATGCAACCTGGCCGCACAAGTAAGAAAAATATCTGAATTGAGAAAGACAAACAAAGAAACAGCTTCGTGACGCGTGTATAAGAGGATCTGCCGGCACAGAAGAAAATGAATCAAAGAGAGAAGAGAAGAGTTTCGAATGCCGCGGGGCAATGAAACGGAAGAAAGAGCAGGAACGAAACACGGCTTTAGTCGAAGGTCTTTCGCGTGTATAACGAGCGCCGACTGATTGCACTCAAAATAGAAAAAGCGAAACAGAATGAACGGTTACGAAGGCGAACGAACGGGAAGCAAAACACTTTGAGGGAGAATCAAAGAACAGAAAGAGTTTAACCCAACCGCGACAACAATAAAAGACAGATGTCGAATGTAAATGGAAAAAACCTGGCAATCGGGAAGCAAAGAAAGAAAAATGGGGGAATACCTACACCTTGCCCTATCACATAAAGAAAACGCACGGACTTACGTCTACGGAAGAGTCTTTTTTTTTAAGTTGTTAACCTTTTTTTTTGATATCCGAACAACAGGATCTAGTAAAATAGGTGCGAACGGAAAAAAACCTACTACAATAATCATAACAATACTACTTAGGTCAATGCTAACTACAGAAGTTCACACTTTGGCAACGTTGACAGGCGCAAAAAGGAAAAGAGAAAGAGAGCAAGAGAAAGAGAGAGGAAGCAACACTGAATGCGAATCGAAAACCAAGAGAGAGAAAAACAAAACAATCAAAAACGGAGGCAATATGTAATAGTAGAAATGGGAAATGGGAGAAATAGGAATCTCTTCTCGCTCTCTGTGAGATAAAAAAGGAGACACTTGCGGAATTCTCTTCGGTTGTTTGTTTGTTTGTGTTTGGGTTGGCAAATATAAATGGCCGGAGCTTCTCAAAATATTGCTGTGGAGAAGAACAAAGAGAAAAGTTACACGAGGTGGCAAATTGTGAACAGAAGAAAAATGTGAAGAAGACAACAAACACCAAAGGTTAGGAAGAACAAAACCGACACACAACGGAGTAACGCCTGCTGCTTCTCTGATCAGGCTTTTTTATAGTACTTTTTCCTTTCTTATACTATTTATTGAGGAAGCAAAGAGGTTTTTTTCTTTGGTGTGTGTGTGTGTGTGATTCCTTCCGCTTGTAAAAGATATGTGAGAAAAACTGGTTGTTGTGGAAATCGTCGGGGGAAGGAAAATATATAGGGAGAGTCCTTGATATGAAATAGAAACCAGAAACCAATAATAATAATAATAATAATAGAGGAAATCACACAAAGAAGAAAGAAAGAGAGGAGAATTAACTGATAAAAAAGGAGGGTGTGGAACAACGGAAACAAAAACAAAGTGCGCTCTTGTCTGCTAACCAGCTTCGCGTTTCTCGTCTGTGCAGCCGTGGGCTTGACTAATAGCAAAAATATTTGCTTTCTATGTAGCACGGAAAGAGCGTTGTATGTTTAGATAGTAAAAAGAAAAAACGGCGAGAAGCGAAGAATGAGAGGCGCAGGACAAAAAAAAACACAGAAAAAAAAACAGAAGAAGAAGAGAAACAGTTGATCGACGGGAAAAGAAAAAAGAAGAAGATAAATCTCCAGCTCGATGAACTTTACACACACGCGTGTGCGCCAAGGTGCGACGATTCCTTTGTGATTTAAGAACGTGAAATTAAAACACACACAAACAGTTGGAAAGGAGAATAATAATAATAATAAAAGAAGAAGTTAGAAGTAGTACTGACTCGACAAGAGAACGCGAAAACAAAAAAAATTCGCCTCTTCTGTTCGTTTCAGAGTTGGGGCTCCTCGAGTTTCACTTGATGGACGTCGCTAGTTGGTACGCGGTGCAAATTAGGGAAGCACGAATGCACGGTGTAGAATTTCCTGTCAGTTTGATTCCCTACCGATTCTTGCAACTGGCGGCCTAGATGGAAACGCGAGGAGCTAACGTAGTACAAATCGATGAACTCGAAGGATAAAGATATAAAAGATATCCGGAAAAGTAATTGTAATAATAATAATAGAACAAGTTAAACGGAAAAAAAACTTGTAAAGTAACGCACAGATCTGGAAAAAGGAAACAAGAGAGAAGTCAATGAATAATACAACAGCACTCGGATTTCGTTTGCAGGTGTGTGTGTGTGTGTGTGTGTCTCACGGCTTGCTGACGGGACAGTCTAGTCTTACTTCTTCTTTCTTTCCACTTGTGATGACTCCAAACAAGTGTCTTCTACGATGGGCTTGCCTCTCTTTTGCTTTCTTTTAGTGATTCTTTGTTGTGCTTGCTTGGCTGGCAATTTACCTGCAAACGTGCGCAGAGGAAATGCGAAGACCGAGACTGGACAACAACAAAGAAACACAAAAAAAAAACTCTAGCGGTTTTCTTCGCCAATGGCGCCTTCGTGACGTTCACCACAAACAACAGCCACCCGAATACAGGGGAATATACTAGAGGGGGGGAGGGAAGATAATAGCTAGGTCAATAGGATGGATTGCGTATATACCGTACACGGAATGCGTTAGCAAGTGTTAGATGTGTATAGATATAAGCGTGTATGCTGTTGTGTGTGAAGCAAGCGAACCGGCAGCGTGAAGTCGAAAAAGTCAGAACTGAAAAACGAAGAAAGAGCGCGAGAGAAAAAAGCCGTTTCCGATCGTTTGTATCGAAAAGAACGTGTGAAATAAAGAAAAGGGGAGAAACGTCCTGTATTCTCTCTTGTCTATCTCCCATACGCACCCGTCCAGGGCTGTACTAAGAATCCGACGGTAGCAAACGTGTGGACCGATCAGACGACGTTGAAGTAACACGAATGCTGCTCTGAGGTCGACGAGAAGCCCTCACGAAGTCAGCAGAAGCACACCGTGAGAAAAAAAAAGAGGAGCAGAGGAGGGGGAGTAAATGGAAAGGAGAGGCGCTGCACCCAGTAAACGAATTGTGATGTACGGAAAATACGCAATTGACGAGTACAAGAATGAGCGGACGTGCGTGACACAGCGGGTGTGTTGTGTGTGGACTGACGTTCCTTCAAGAACAACGCGGGCTTTAATGGAGACTGTTTTTGTAAAGAGAAAACACAAAAGTGGTTAGAATCTATGTGGCACAGTATTAAACAGACACACGGGTGGGAGATAACGTCGAGTACAGGACGGTGAGGATTGATTGTGGAGGCAGAACAATGTGTAACCATTAAATGAAAAGGGGAAACACAATAGTTGAAAACCCCAGAAACAAACGAAGAAGAGGGAATGCAACAAAGAGTAATGCTGAGGAGACAGAAAAACAGAACACAACAGAACGTCAATAATCATCTTTAACTCCAGCACCATGAAAGATGCCGCATAACAGAGTAGCCAGCTTGCTTTTCAGTTACAAACTGCCGCACTCAAACCATTAAAACCACCTGACAATGTAGTCAAGGAAGCAATGGTCCACAGCCCCACAAAAAAAAAGGTCACTACGCATCATCACGCAGCGATCCACTGGCTCGCTTTTTACGCAGAGCAGCAGCTTGCTCTTGCACATGACTGCCGCTCTCTCCGCGTCACACCCGGTCGACATCTCAGCTTTTTCAATTATTTTCTTTCCGTAACAGCTATTTCGAGATTAAATCTTATTGAAAAAAGAAAACAGAACGCGACAACTTGAATATGAACTGGAGTAGTAATAGTAGTAGTAAAAATGATAATGAGTGAGATCATTAGAGAAGTGAAAGTGCTCCTGTCCTTTCCGAATTTACTGGATCACACGAAAAGTGCAGGAAGCTGAATAAAGAGTGAGAGGAGGAGGAGCGCCTCTTTTTGTTCGTTGAGCGCCGCTCCTCCGTCGCCAGGCAAATCAGCGAGGGCGGAAACTATCTCGGAAAAGAGAGACAATCTGAATGGAGGGGAAACACAGAAAACGGGTAGTGTCATCGAATTAATACTTGTAGTAGTATTAGGCGAGAAAAGGGAGAAATACACTTTTCAAAAGTTAAACAACGGCGCGACGTGATTCGGGGGCAGCTGTCGCCAGAAGCACTCCGTGCCTCTCGTCTCGCGCACTCGCTGTCGGGTCGCGTTCACGCTCTCAAAGAAGCGGTGCGGGAAGAAGGTAATGTCGCGCAGCTTGCCCGTCGCGGCGGCGTCATGAAACAACATCTCGCACAGGCGCGGTGCGGTCGGGGAGGCGGCGAGGCAGGCGGCCACCATCGCACTCGGCTCGCCGAGGACCTCCACCGCACGCGCGTTGGCCAGCGTGTAGGCACTGCGCGCGATCATCGGCTGCACGCTCTCCATCGCAATACCAACCGACACGACCGCGTTCAGCACGTACCGCGTGAAGGTCTCATCGCGGCGGCACAGGTCTGCCATGTCGGCCGAGTTCAGAAAGGCAGTGCTTTCATCGCTGCAGGACGAGAGGGAGCGGCTGCCGTTCAGCAAGAACTGCTCCTCTTCGTCGGTCGACGCCGCCTTGCCGTCGGAGGAGTGCGCCGCCGCCGCGTCCACGTTGCCGCTGCCCGCAGCGGTGCATTGCTTCTCCACGCCATCCTGCTCGTCATCCTCGTCGATGAGGTTCAACACCTCCTCTGCGAAGCCTTCATCCACAGACTCGTTCGGCGGAAGGGACGGCACGTTATGCAACGGCCTTCCACCCGCGCCGTTGTGCCTCGGCGCCGCCACGTTCAAAACAGGACCGGCTGCTGCGTCTGCGGCTGCGGCGGGTGCGCCCCTCGCCGCCCCGACGCCTTTTTCGTGCTGCCGTGCCCGCAGCAGCAGCGACGAGGGCGGGATCTGCGCAAAGGTCACCAGCACCGCCTCAACGTACGGCACCGCATCCGCCACACTGCGGCGCAGCAGGCAGAGCAGCGCCCCGACCAGGTTCGCCAGCAGCCGCAGCTGCGTCACGCGTTGCGGCAGCGTTGCCGTGCAGTCGCCCGAAGCCGTCTGCGCCGCCCCGCCCGTCACGGCGGCGTTCGCGTCGAGAAACGCCAGCAGCTGCGTGAGGTCGTAGCGGATGTCCTGCAGGCGCGTGTCGGAGGAGAGGTGACTCGCGCGGGACAGCGCGTCCAGCGCCATCGTCTCCGCCTTGCGCACGATGCCGGGACCGTCCAGCGGCCCTTCCGCAGAGGTCGCGGTGGCCCGCAGTCCCTGGAAGGCTGCCGCCAGCTGCTGCAGTACGTCCAGCTCCGCCGCGTTGACTGTAGACGGGAGTTTGGACAGCTCCGCGAAGATGTCAGACGTGGGAGCGGGAGCTGCGGTGTGGCTCTGGGTGTCGCCGTCGCCCCCGGCCACGTTGGACGTCGCCGTGGTGAGTCCGGCGTCATCGGATTTGTCTCTTGTGGTCGCCGTCGCCTGCGTGTGGGCGATGCCGCCGCTGCCGCCGCCGTCACAGTCGCAGCACCCCCCGCCCGCGCCACCACTGTCCTTCACCGGCGTCCCACCGCTGTCCGCCTTCTGCGTCTTCTCGCCCTTCCAGCACTGACAGCAACCGCAACAATTCACGCCAGCACACCCGCACCCGCAGCCCGTCGCCGCCACCTTCCGTATCGACGACACCGTCAGCGCCGTCAACGCGCGGTTGGCGGCTGATGTGCGGCCCCGACCGTCACCCGCCGGCGCGCCGTTGTTCACGCTGCCACTCAGACTTGCACCTCCTCCCCCTGCAGCAGCGCCGCCACTGCCCACCACGAGCAGCGCGTCGTTAAGCGAGCACTCCGCGAGATACCCGCGGCCAAACCCGCACGGCGTCCCGGTGATCACGTCCGCGTCGTACGCCATGCAGTCCAAAATCGGCTGCTTCGACGGGCTGCACTTCAGCCGCAGCGGCGGTTTGCCCGCCCCGTTGGCCAGCTCCATCCCGCTGTGCGTCAGCATCGCCGCCGCCGCCTCCTTCGTTGTGAACTCCACAAAGCCGTACACCCACTTCTGATGTGTGGCGGAGTTGCCGCAGATGCGCACCCGCAAATACTCTCCGCACTCATCAAACACGTCGGCGAGATCCTTCTGCTTCATGAAGGGCGGCAGGCAGCGCAGGTGCACCGTGCGGGCCACCACCTCGGCGCGCGACTGCTGCTTCACCGACGCGTGCGAGGAGGCCCCAGACATGGTGCTTACGGTGTGGAAGGGTGAGTAGCTCGTCGTGAAGGGCGACGCGAAGAGCGGGGCGGTGAACCCCGACGAGGGAGCGAAGGGTCCGTTGGGCCCGTTCGGACTTGCGGTGTCGTCGGACGAGGCTTTGGTTCCACTTCCGGGCGGAGATGGCAGCCGTGTCGGCTTGTCGGTGGAGGCCATTGGAAACGGCGGGTGGTGTACGAGTTGCCGAGACACACAACGACTGTCAACCGTTTTTTAGTTTCTGGAACTGCAAAAAAAAAAAAGAGCAACGAAGTAAAAGGCCCGCGTTGCGGGGTAGTACAGGCAGCACAAAACAAAAATAGATAGGTAGAAATACCGAGCTCAGCAGCACGCCACCAACAAACACGTAAAAAAAAACACAAAATGATGAAGTTGAAAGAAGTTCAAAAACGCTGTCACCAGAAAAAAAAAGACTTAGGTTGACGCAGTAGAGTCCCTTCGTGTGCAGTCGCTTGATGCGGCTCGACGGGAGGGAGTCCAAAGGCAACAGTAAAATGCGTGACCCCAAGCAACGAAGCAGTGAATAACAACAACAATAATAATAATAATAGTAGTAGTAATAATTAGAGTGAAAAAGTGGTTGATGGATGTCGGTGGTAAAGCACAAGTAGCTCACAACAACAGGAAGATCAGAAAGTAGTCTGCGCAACAGAGAGCACAACTGCCTCAACAAACCGGTTTGGGAGTGAGAGTGATTGTGAAAGACAGCCGCCAATGAAGAGAAGAAGAAAAAATGAAGAAGATGTTAAAGAAGAAAGCGACGGCAAACAATACTGTGCAGTGGACGTAGTTCACTTCCACCTGAAGGATGAGGAGACGATGCGCAGATCCGAATGGAAAGGCCAAGACAAATCCAAGGGCACCAGAGTCCAACGAGCTAGTCCGAAAACACACTAAAAGAAAATAAAAGAATGTAGTCGAACACGCGTAATGTGATAGGTTGAGCAAAGCGTACTGAACGTGAGAGAAGATCAACAGGAGCCGCGTAACGCTCGTCAACGTTAAATCAATTGCAGGTGCGAAATCAATAAAGATGCAGAAATTGTCTTCTCTATATATCTTCTTTCAACCCAAAAGTAATAGAAGGTAAAGAAGGTAAGAAGCAATGGGTTTGCGAGTTAACGAGTAGAGACACACTGCGTGTTACAGCGGCGATGCTATGCACCGGAAAGGGAAAGGAAAAACAAAAACAGTGAGTGGATGTGATGGTGAAACGGGGTACCTTCGTTAGCGTTGGGGAGAAGTGACGCTTTTGAGGCTCTTTGTTGGAGAAGCAGGTGGGAATCACAGGGGAGGAAGAGTGGAGGAAACGGTGTTGTGAAAAGAGAGACGTCCCACAGCCGTTGCTGTGATGTTGTCAGCATCACGGATCAATAAAACTCATCTACCGCTTTGATTGCGCGTCGCTTGCCCAGGAGGAATAGAAAGCATGTGCGCGCCGTCGCTTCCTCCCAGTACTCAGCACTTTGGCTGTACAGAAGATATACCTTTTTCCCTTACCTGATGGAGCAGCCAGCTGCTGCTCTTCTGCGACGCACATAACGCCCTGTCCTGTCAATATGAGAGATGTATTGTGTCCCCTTTACCTGCTTGTCAACTTAAGAGAGGAGCAAGCTAACACACCGCCTGCACATGCAAAGGTCGGAGCCGTGCCACACACAGAGAAACCCAGCAAAAAGCAAAAGAATACGTAATAAACGAACTGCAGACAAAGCAAGAAAGCGATGGAATACAGAAGCACCAGCTGCGGCGTTTGGCGCCACGATCTTCTTTTGAGGAGTATCGTCTTTTTCCAAAGCACAACAACAGACTGCCCGGTAGAACCTGCCGACGCGTAAAAGGAAAAGGATGGGGGTGGGCAGCTCCTTTGCGGTCCGTACTGTTCTCCTCGAGCCGTATTTCCCTCAAGCGCGGATTTCCACTGCATTGCGTGGGCGACGCATTCAGCAACGCCTATGTCTCGTACAGCCAGAAACTCCCCCTTGCCTACACATGTGCGCCACTGTGAGCAGAGACTCTATTGTCAGTGGCGGCCGCACCGCTCCCATCACCAATCCAGGTAAATACCAAAAGACACACACGCAGTGCGTTTCCGGTGAAGCACGTGTCGTTACAGCAAAACAAAGTCGTCCGGGCTGCGCTATACCAAGGGTGCTCACGCAACTGTCACTGGCACAGTGCCACCAACAGCGCTGTCCGTGGAGCGTTTAGTCCTCAAGGCTCGGTGGAGTCCGACACAGAACAGGGAGAAAGCAGGAGGAGAAATAAGATGCGCGAAAGCACGACAGTTACTACCGGTGCATCGTCGATGGGTCGCTACAGCCCATTTTCATGTCGTTTGAACGTGTTACATTTTTTTGTGAAGAAGCGCAAAGGTCTCATGGTCGCTGGGATACGCAAACGAAAGAAAAAGCGAAGCGCTGCAACGAAAGGAGCGCAGAAAGAAGAAGGAGATGCGGTGATAATAAGAGGTAAAGACGGATCCCATACGGAGTGAGAGGAAGGGAGGGAGGCGGGGGAGGCAACGACACCAAAACTCTTTCCGCAGAGCGCACAGGTGCAACGTGGCATTGTTGTGCTGTCAACAACAAAACCAGGCAAGACAACCATCTTCTTCTGTATTACCTGAGAGCCTTTGCAACCACCTCGCTGCCACGGTGTTCGCCCTACGCATCTGCGCCAAGGTGGTCCATCAAAAAGAAAAAACCCACTGCATTTCATTACCAGCAATGCACTGGCAAGCGAGCCTACCGAAATGCCATTTACGAGTATTTTTTACTTATCCTTTTTTAGACATTTTCCATCACCACACCGCGCTATTTACTAAGAAGAATAAAACTTCAAACAGAACAAAAATTCAGAACACACGACTCCCGGGACACGCCAGCACAGAAACAACAAACCTTTATGAAATCACCACCTTACAGTTGGGAAAGGACAAAAAAACAAAAAGGAACGAGAGACAGCGTCGTGCCGCGCTCCCTCACCGTCACCCGCACTGTCAGTAAATGCGCCATACCATCAGATTTGTTTCATTGAGCGCAAAACAAATATACCGGCAGATGTCAACGGGGGAGAGAAGAGCACTGGAGGCCTTTTCCAGTTTCACAACTCAAAAACAACGATACAAACAAAAACCAAACAAGCTTTTTCCCCCTTCTACTGCCACACCGCTTCGATAAACGCACTTTCATGCGTTCCTCCCACCGCAGCTGCGATCGCACACGTTAAAAGAGAAGAAGAAGAAATCAAAAATACAGTTTTGAAGGAAAAGGATACTTACAAAAGAAAATAACAGAAAAAGACAAAATCACTACAGGATTGGGTTCGCTTGTCTCCATCACCCTCTGAGTTGCCGGCACCGTACCGCGGCTCCTGTTTTTGGCAGCTGCTTACTCGATTCAGAGCTCCGCCTCGGCTTGTTTCTTCGCGCCTTCCGGCGTCGCATCCGCAGGGGAGTCCACCACGTCAACATCCTCTTCAGCGGTGTTGGAAGGCTCGGGAGGGAGGTCGGTGCCAAGGCGGCGTGCATCGCTCTCGCGTTCCTTCTCCTCCTCCTCTTTATTCACTTCTGCCGCAGCCGCTGCCGGGGCCGCCTCCGCCTCAGGATGGACGTCACGCGGGACGGGCTCCTCCGTATCTCCCTCCGGCGCGGGCGTGTCCGCCACCACCACCACGACGGGCTCCGCCTCCGCCGGGGCCTCGGGGGCCTTCTTGGGAGCCTTCTTCACTTTCTTCTTCGCTGCCTTCTTCGCTGCATCGCCCTCCGCGGCAACCGGGGCCTCCTTCGGCTTCGTGGCGAGGTGCCTCCTCTTCGGGGTCGGCTTCGCCTTCACGGCTTCCGGCGACGCAGCAGCGCCAGCATCCGCGGCTTCCGCCTCCGTCGCCTTCTTGCTGGCCTTCTTCTTGAGGATCTTCTTCTTCTTCTCGGCCGGGGCAGCACCCTCCGCCTCTTCATGATGGCCCTTGACGACCTTCTTCACCTTCTTCTTGGGGGCCGCCTCCGCCGCGCCTTCCTCCTTGGGCTGCGGGTCCTCGTGCTTGACTTTCTTCACCGTCACCTTCTTCTTCCGTTCCTTTGCCGGCGCCTCAGCAGCGGCAGCAGCACCATTGGTGTTCTCCCCAGAGTCCTTTGGCTCCGCCGCCGCCGTCGCGGCCTCCTTGCTGTGTGCAGGGGCACTCCTCTTCGCCTTCTTCTTGCTGGTGCGCTTCATGCGTACGACGTCGTCGCCCTCGTAGGGGACCGCGTGCGATTTGGCGGTGGGGGCGGCGCCGTTGTGGTGATGGTCGCCCTTCGGCGGTGTCTGCGTGTTCGGCGAAGGACGACTCGCCACCTGCGTGTGTCGCGCCAGCACCGGCGCACGGAGGACCACCTCCGGCTTCGCGGGCGTCTCCCCGTCGCCTTCGCTGTCGTCGTCCTCACGCGGGATGTCCACACCGCCCTCCGCGTCCGGTGGGTTTTGCGACCCGTCTTCCGGGTGGTCCACCGGCTCGTCTGCGCCGTCACGGTGCGGCGCAGCGGCCACCTCGACTTCGGCGGCGCCGTTGGCGGCCGGATGGGCCTCACGGGAGGCCTCTGCGTCGGGTCCATTCGACGCCGGCACTGCGAGGCGCTCCTCCTCGGCCACCGCCAGGCGGTCTTCGTGGGTCGACTCCACAGCCGTCATGTTGAAGAAGAAAATTTAGCGTTGAAGCGTGTGAAGGAAACGCGAAAAGACCGAAGAAGGGGTGCTCCACGAAAGAAATACAACGCCGAAATAAAAGAGAAGTAAGGTAAGGAGAATAACAGAGACCAACGGCAATTCGACGACTTGCGTACGTACAAGGAAGAGATAACCGGAGAAACGACGAAAGAAAAAGAAAAGAAAAAAGATGCGGTACAGAAACGATACAGAACAGTATATATATATATAGATGTTAGATCCTTTAAAAATAAAAATAAATTGCTTCTGCGGTGAGCGATATGAAGGGGATGCACCACCCTAAATAAATGTATCGGGAGTTTGCTGGGAAATGAATTGCGAAGGTGTGACGGAGATGGCGTATTTTAAAAATTCTTTTTGATAGAACGAATCAAAGGAGCTCTTGATACTTTTATCGATGCTTAATGGCCACTATTGAAGTAGAAGAGAATATCGGTAGTACGAAAAAAAGACTGAAGTGTGGGGAAAAAACTGAAGGAGTTTGAGCTGCACGAGAGAGAGAGAGAAAGAGAGGATAGAGCAGCGAAGGAAAAGGGTTGAGCGCATCACCATAAAAGAAAGTGCACCGTTGCAGCTGAAAAAAACTCTAGCAGGATTACGTTGGACGGCAGGAGTTTGTCGCCGATTTCGCTTTCAATTCTGTGTCCAATATTTGCTGTGGTGGATGTCCATCAGATGCCTGTCCATGTGTCGGAAGAAATCAAAGCAGCGAGCGCCGCTTAACACAACCACCGACTCTTTGTTGCAGCAATTCCAAATCATGTTCGAGATGCTTCCCTTTATGAGGGGGACTGTGACTATGCGGTAACCGGCACGAAACTTAAAATGGAAAAAATCATTGTTGCCTGCCGGATACGGGCGTGTCTTCTCTACCAGCTCTGTTTGTGTCTCACGTGCTCAAACCAGACCAAAACAAAAATAATAACGCCACAAGTTCTCCGTTATCTGCTGATCAACGAAGCCCACCACTTTTGGGTCAGCGGCGCCGCTGTCGCCCTCAAAGCACGTCGCGTTGGCTGGAGCCTCCCATCCATTCCATTCGCCATCAGCAGCGCCGCTGTGTCGTCTTCTCGGCGGCTGAGCGGCAGAAATCCGTAGCGGTACAACGTGTACGCCACACTGTAGCACTTTGTATAGGCCACCGTGAGCTCCTCATCCTCGTCAATGTTCTCCGCAGCTCGTACAACTACTTGAAAAGTTCGACAAGGATGGCTGTCGTCATCCACTGCCGCTGTGCTTGAGGTCGCCTTGTCGAATGCCCCATCGTTGCGAGTACCGCCTTCTTTAACGGGCTGCCGCTGCACTTCTTCTACGCTGTACCGCACGTTCCCCACGCCACTCGGGGGGTGACTCAGCATGTCCAGCAGCGGCACCACCGTCGGAATGGACGACGGATCCACCTCATTTACGTGTAGTCGATCGGCATCCACCGCACGCAGCACGTGCTGATAGAGCGCGTACTTGCACTTCATGAGTGCTCTGCCAAAGCCGTCCAGCTCGTCGCCCTCTGCACTCTCCTGCTGAACACGCTCAAAGGCTTGTCGGTCGACCCGTAAGTGAGGCAGCATTTTTTGCCGGGACAGCACCACGCGAAAGGCCCACTCCACGTCCTCCAACGAAGGCGGCGGCAACAACGAAGGCAACGACGTGTTTGGTATCACGTCCACCGCCGTACGGTGCTCTGGGATGTCGGTGGGTCGGGTCGACACGTCAGCCGCCGTGACAGCCGCCGTCCGTTCAGCACCGACGATGACGACCTTGCTCGAGGTGAGGGGCAGCGTTGCGTTGTAGCCCAAAGACGACGCTGCGCTTGTAGGACTCGTTGCGGCACCCTCGGACACCTGCTGCGTCTGTCCCTGCAGCGCCGTCACGGCGTTCTCGTACGACTTCCACCACGCCTTATGCAGCTCACGCAGATAGTGCTGAAAGCGACTGCGGTGCTCCGTGTACTCCATGTGCGTCGGTGGATCCAGCACACCCAGGTGCAGCTCCTTGATTCGCTCATCATCAAAAAGCTCCTCAGCCGGCAGGAGCTGGATGTAGGGGTGCAGCGGACTCGACGGCCCATCCGCCTTCTCGCAGGCCAGCAGTAGCGCCGCGTGTACCTGATCGATAAACATGGGGTGTGGAATCGGGTCGAAGGAGGAGCGACGCACCGAGAGCACCTGCTTGATCGCCTCATAATCCGGCAGGCCAGGTCGTCTGCGTGCGCCGGTGGAATGGGCAGCAAGCACTTCGCTGTTCAGCGTCAACCACGGGGTGTTCCACGAGGTTTGCCCAAGAGCAGTGGCAGCGGCGGCAGAAGTAGGGGCACTGGATGCCGTGCTCACCGGAATAGTCAGCACCACCTCGCCCTTGGAAAACGTCCTCCTCGCGTACACCCCACGCGCCGTCGCCCTCCGCAGGTCCAGCAGAACGCTCGTGTTCAGCTGCTCCCGCAGCGCAGCACCCGCCGGCAGCACGGTGTCCGTCAGCCACGCCACGAATTTTGCGGTGGTCACCGCGTCGATCGTGCCGCGGGCGTCCTGCGAGGTCCATGTCTCCGGCACCAACCGCACCTTCCCCAGCGACGGCGCCGTCAGGCTGGAGGCCCACATGGGCAGCCTCGCCTTGGGCGTGTTGTTGGGCACCTCGTGGCCGTAGAAGTCACGGCTCGCCCGCTCGCTCGGGTCGGACACGAATGAGAACTTACCCACCCGCTTCTCGGTCAGTCGCCCTTGCGGCAGCGGTGGGAGCTCCGCACCGGGGTGCACCATCGGGAGATTTGTGGTGGCGGTGCTGCTGCGGTTGTCTGCCGCTGAGGCCCCTGCGCCGGTGTCGTCGGCGAAGGTGGTAGCACGCCGCTTGGATGATTGCGTCTGTCGTACACGCTGGCGTGGACTTCTGTGCGGTCCGCCATCTGTGGTGGTGGAGGCAGCCGCCGTGCGCCGCCACTTTGACTGATAGGCGGTGTTGAGGTGCGGGGAGCGTCCTGCCGCCACGCGGTTCGCAATGTCGTCGTTTTCGGCGTGGACGGGGTGCAGCGGCGCCTTTTGGAAGGTGGCGGCATCGGTAGTTTTAGAACTAGACGGTGAAGGGTGGGGGGCAGTGGAAGAGGACGCTGTTGTGCCACTGCGGCTGCTGCTCTTCTCGCTGCTGCTGCAATGGCGCATCTGCGCAGCGACCCATCCCGGTCGTGTCTTCGACGTCAGCTTCCGCATGGCTCTTGTGAACGAAAAAAAAAAATGGAGAGTAGAAGATGGGAGCGGATACAAAGAGCGTACACGCATGGGTGAATAGAGAAAGAATTCCAAAGAGTACACGAAAAGCCCTTTAAAGTCACGCACCGGCAGGAGATTTCTCACCGCCTTATCTTTCAAAGCCCTCGTAAGGAGACTAACAGGAGCACCAGCTTTAAAAAAGAAGGGAGCTTGGCTGCAACAACAAAAAAAACTATCGCACAACACCTGTCGAGGTCGCCGTCGACGAGCAACAAATCGATTCTTTTGCTTTTTCATTGCCATTGCTGCATCTTGAAATACGTGGCATTTCGTTGTTTGTTGTTTTGCGCCACGACGGGCAACGCAGCCCAGAACGAAAAAGAGATGCCGCCCAGAAAGAGGGGGGATGCCGGTCTTCATGAACGCCGTCTCTCCGCTGGCGCTTCACGGAGGCTCTCGATCAACATGGACCTCTTTTGTGTTGTGCGTACCCTGAAAAGGAAGAGCTAAGAACCTCTATGAAAGCCAGCAAACGCAAGCCTCCAGCTGCATTTTACGTAGAGGAACCCCCACACAAGCACCTCAGCTGCATTGGAACGCTCGACACGTTTTGGGGGGACTGCTGTACTGTTTCTAATTAAAATATAATTACTGGAATTTTCTTCTTAGGTGTGAGTGGTATTTTTGTTCTGAGTGTGTATGTGAATACATAAAGCCTGTTAGTGACAAGAGGTAAAATTTGAAGAAAAAGAAGCAAAAACAAGACGTGATGTTACTTGCTCCGCTGCTCGTCGGCGAAGGAGTCGATAGGAAGAGTGGGAGAGGAACGAAAAGCAGCGTAGAACATAAAACGGCGGATACTGAAAAAAAAAACAGAAGGAAAAGACCAGAAAATAAAACAAAAAACGAAGAAGGAAATACAGCGCCCAATAAAGTTTACGTACCTGGTTCCTTCGGCAGTAAAAGGAAGAAATGAAAAAGAAGGAAAAGATCGTTTCCACCGATGAGAGAAAATCCTTGTGTTAGGTTCCATTGAACTTAGAACAGGTACTCCGCAGCGAGGTCCTCGGTGCTTCCGTCAGCGTGGCGCACCGTCAGGTGTCCCCAGCTGTTCAGCGACACCGCCGTCAGCTCCTCCGGATCGCGGCCATCCGGGAGGCGCTTGTGCAGCTTCAGCGATTTGTCGATCACCTTATCAAAGTCGGCCACGATGGACGCACGCGTTACGCCGTCTGCGTTGCAGATATCGAAGAAGTGCACCCAAATGGCGTTGGCCAGGTCCTTCGGGTCCACGTGCTTCACGCCGAACTCATCCGCGATTTCGTTGATGGTTGTCGCCTCACGCCCCGCATCTGTCACCTTCGGCCCGACCGCCACGTTCATGCCCATACCAATCAAGAGATAGCCATCCTCGTTTTCAATCAGGGTGCCGCCGATCTTTTTGTGGCGGAAGATGAGGTCGTTCGGCCACTTGGTGGACACGGCCTTCGCCGCCTCCGCCGCGACGCTCGCGCTGGCCGACGCGGCGTCCAGGTGCAGCACCTCCAGCACCGCACGGCGGCAGGCGAGTCCGCAGACGAGCGGCATCACCGGCACTAACTCCTCCTTAAAGCACGCCGCCTTCTCGTTGTGGGGAACGCAGAGGGTGAAGTACATGTTGCCTTTTGGGGAGGTCCAGGTGCGGCCGCCAGTCCCACGCCCCGCCGTCTGCATCCCAGCCACTACACCGAAGGGTTTGCCGGCGGCGGCAGCGATCATCTCACGCCCTACCTCCATGGTGGAGCCGACCTCCTCGAGGAAGCGGATGTTTACCGGAAAGAGAGAGGGCATTGTTCTTCTTTTTGTCGTTATTGTTGTTGTTTTATGGAAAAGGAGAAGTTGAGGGGAAATACAAGCAGTTTGTATGACTTCGAGAATCTGATTTTGAAGGGAAAAAGAAAGGCGTGTATAGCGGCAAGGTTCTGCAGCAGAGAGAAGGCGAACGCACGTCCGTGAGGACAATCCATGCAAGGCAGCAAAAGGGGCGAGAAAAAAGGGGAAGCCGTTTACGGGATTGCATGTCGGGAAGCAGAAATATGGAAAGGCCTCATCGAATCGCTTCGTTGGTGGGAGCCGATCGTCTTGTGTGCCAGACTAAAAGAATCAAAAACAAGTGCAGGCAAAGCCACCAGCGCCGAGCAGGACACCTGCATTAGGACGACAGCCGCATGCACACCTGCTGTTTCGTCGGCCTTACACTTTCGAACGTCACGAAGCGCATGCGAAAGAGTGCAAAACAGCCAAGATACGTAAACGCAGCACTTCGTTGCATCACGGCTGTTTGTCATTCACTCGTAGTTATCCTATATATATATATTCCTTTCTATACAGTAATTCCACCCGTCAAAGAACGGAAACACCACCAACAAGCTCAAGTGAATGCTCTCATCGCCAACAGCGTGAAGAACTTCATAAACAGAAGCAATGGAACACCACTTACGGGCTCCCTTTCCCTTTCCTCCGAAACATCCATCATTCGACACACACACACAAAGGCTTATGAACCAACAGTCAACTCTACTATGGTTTGCCGCCGCGATGCTCGCTTCTCTCCTTCGACGGAGCGCTTTCCCAAGCAACCTGACCGGCGTACATGTATATACCTCACACTTCGGCATCAACAAAGTCAAAACAGAGCACTATCCCTTACTTTGCGCCGAGGCCGTCTCAACGCTTCAACAGCAATCAAATAACAATAACAAAAAGAAAAAAGAGATCCGCACACAGGAATATACTCAAACCTTAGTAGCGACGTGTCTGCTTGCGTCGAGTAGAGCCGAGCACGTTCGTATGCACCGGCGCACCACCAGCACCTCCTCCGGCCATCACATTACCTCCCATAGCACCCGCAGCACCGTTGCCGAAGCCGGCAGAGGAGCCGGTGGGCTGCGCAAACGCCGGTGGGGCAGCACCGAAGCCACCACCACCACCGCCAGCAGCGGAACCCCCGGAGGTGCCGCCAACGCTGCTGTTGCCACCAAACATCGGCGCTGGACCATTCATCGGTGTCGCACCAAAGGCCGTACCCGCAGCGCCTCCAAAGCCGTTACTATTATTATTACTGCTGCCATTCACACCGAAAGCGCCACCACCGTTGTTGCTGCCTCCGCTCCCTGCTGCGGTACTCGTCGTGCCCCCAAACGGAGAAGCCGCGCTCGTACTCACTCCTGCTGCTGCTCCACCACCTGTCGCAGATGGAAAAGGAAAGCTCGTACCACCGCTGCCCACCATCGAACTCAGCGGTGCGCCAAACGTAGTCGAAGGGGCACTCGCGGGGACTTGTGCGGCGCCAAACTGGCTAGGGGCAGCTGCATTACCGCCAAAGACAGGAGCCGTGCCGGTGGCGTTGCCGGTGGCACTTCCACCACCGTTGCTCGCGACCCCGCTAGGGCTGTTGGTGGCAGCACCGAAAGAAAAAGGGCTCGACGCGGAGGGGCCGGTAGGGGCAGCACTGGAGAAGGCACCGCCACCAATCGGCGCAGGGGCCGACGCGCCAGCGCTGCCGAAAGCGTTGCTGCCACTACCAAACGGCGATGCATTGCTACTGTTGTTAGTATTAGTAGTAGTGGTAGCAGCATTTGGGTTTATCTGTGCCGCAGCGCTGAATGAAAAGCCACCCGATGCAGGGGCAGGTGCAGCGTTGGTCGTGTTGGTATTGTTAAGGGTGCTGCCGCTGCTGACCGTCGTGGTGCCAAACGGGGAGGCGTTCGAAGCACCGAAGGGGGGTGCGGCGGAGGGTGCGGTGGGGGCTGATCCAATCGCTGGGGTCGGGCCGGTGTTTGTTGCGGTGGAAGGAGCTCCGCCGAAGGAGAAAGAAGGCGTGGCAGAGGTTGCGGCAATAGCTGTGGTGGTCGTGTTCGTGGAAGGTGGCGTAGGGGAAGCGCCGCCAAAGGAGAAGGGCGAAGGGCCCGCCGAAGGTGCAGCACCGGTTAATCCATTGGACGCGGTGGGCGGCTGGGCAGCGGCTCCGTTGGCTGCTGCACCAAACGCAGATGGCTTCGACGGCGCACTACCACCACCGTCCGCTGCGGAGGCGCTGGTGGAGAAGCCTCCCGCAGAGCCGAAGGCGCTACTCGACGCCGCCCCCGCTGTGGTGTTGCTGCCGTTGCTGCCACCAAAGGAGAAAGGGTTGCCGCCAGCCGTTTTGGCGCCTTCCGGAGACGCGTTCGCACCAGTGGAGCCGAAGGCGGTGGCACCAAACGCAGGCGCTGGTGCTGAGGCATTCGCCGATGGCTGTGACGCGCTTTCTGTGGAAGAATCTTTCGTCTCGGTTGGTTTCGCGCCAAACGGGTTTGTGTTGCCGACGCTGCCGCCGCCGGTGCTGAAGGAGAAACCAGAGAACCCTTTAGTTGCAGGTGGTGGTGGTGGTGGTGGTGGTGAAGCCGCTGTTGTGGGGGGAGCACCGAAGGGGTTGGACGGTGGCTTCGGCGTGGTCGATGTCGCCGCTTCGCCTTCATTCTCGCTGCTGTTGATCCTCGTGCTGCTACCTCCCATGCCAATACCGCCAAATCCACTGCCACCTCCTCCTCCTCCAGCAGTTGCCTGAAAGGGTGCGGGGGAAGGCACAGCAGTAGAAGGCACTCCCGCTCTCGGGGCGGCCTGCCGCGCGCACAAGTCGGTGATTCGACCATCCAAATTGGCCACATCACGCCGGCACGCCTCGACGCTGTCGCGGCACGACTTCAAGTCACTCTTGTCGCTCCTCACGCTTTCGTTCAACACCCGCAGCTCCGTCTCCAGCCGGCTCACCTCCACGCCTTTCCTTTCCAGTGTATCGTGCATCTTCGCAAACGTGGAGTCAAACTTCGCGCCGTACTGCGTGTTCACGTCGTCCAGCTTCTTCGTCAGCTCCTCAATGCGAGCCTCAAAGCGGCTCTCCATGTGCTCCAGCCGCTCCGTGAAAATCTTGATGAGCTGCTGCTGATGCCGCTCCACCTCCTGCGACTCGGCGAAGCTTCGGCTGACATCGTGCCGATTCGACTCCAGTCGACGCCGAGGACCGTGCACGGCGGGGTCGCGGCTCGCCTCGCCAGACAGCAGCACGTCACTGCCCTGGTGGTCCGACGTGTAGCCGTCGTCGCGGCTGCGACGGCTTTCAGAGTGGTGCAGTGCGAGGTGGCGCTCCAGCACGGCTCTGCGCTGCGTCTCGCGAGAGAGGGAGGCGGTGGAGCCGTCCGTCCTGTCACGTGGGCGGACGCGGTGGCGCACGCCAATTGGGATCGGCACCGCGTCGTCCACGTCGGAGACATTCAGCGCGTCGTGGCGCTCAGTCGCTGCAGCCGCCGCACGAAAAGGGGCGAGCGGTGTGATGCCCGTCAAGACGGTGTGCGGTGGATTCGGGTCCGAGTGACCGAGGAAGTCCTCCAGGTCGATCGAAAGCTGACTCCTCGACATTTGCTCTTCGTGATTTGTATATATATATCCGCGTTTGATGGAGCTGTGCTGACGAGGGGGTGAGCGATGCCGCCGATGTTCCTTTCGATGAGTCGGAAGAGAGTTGACGAACACTCAACGCAGAGAAAGAACAGAAAGTGCGTTGTGCTATCTGCGCGGTTCACGGCTGCCACGGAGGCACACCAGCGAAAGAAAATATGTCTGTAAAGCCAAAGTGAATAGAAAGCCCGATGTCGTATTTCTGCTTTGAAAGCTCTTCCGGGCCTCCGCACAGTTCGTTGGCCTCAGGATGCACAAATGAGCGCCGTAAGTGCAGGGAAGTACAGCACGAGATGGATGAAGAGGAATATCGGCTGTCAAAGAGAACAGAGAAGAGAAAGGCGAAGATGAGAAAAGAGAAAGAGGTCGGAGGAAGTAACTCAGCCTGGCAGGAATGAAGAATTAAAGGTCAGTTTGTGAGGTAAGAAAACGACAGCAGCATCAGAGCTCGAAGCACACAACTTTTAGCCGTGTGTGCCACCGCTTCCGTTGCTTTCCGAAACAGAGTGGTGTCTTTGCCTATCAAAAGGCTGAGAAGAGCGAGTCGTTGATTCGAACTTGAACAAAACGATCTGCCTTTCGTGTATCGACTTAGTGACAACGATGCTACATAAGCGAGCACCCGTGTCGCATCCGTACCTGAAGTTTGATCTGCCCTCGCTCTCTCTCGTCAGCGTCCAAGCGCGTGGTCAGGTCGTCGTCGTCGCTGGGCGACTCTCTTTCATTGTAGAGGCAATGGCTTCCTTTTTTCTTTCTCGTATTCGCCTTTGGCTAAGATCATTCATTATCTTTCCTTTTCTTAAAGCAAGGTCTTTCCTTTTGGATATCCGGTCACCACATCACGTTTTCGCGGTGTGTATATGAAGCAGAAAAGGCGCAAGACGGAGAGAACAAAAATAATGAAAAAAGCAAAGAGAGAGGGCGCCGCTGTCACCTCGATAAACGTGCACACAGAAGTGATGGGTGATGCAAAGAAGATGAAGATGAATGAGTTGACGCTCGACAATAGAGCGTAAGAAAGGCAGAATTAATCAAAAAAAAAAACAAAGGAGAGGGGGATACATCTTAACCAACAACACGCGCATACGTGCAAAGCAACCGCTGCAAAGAATTCGCCTAAAGAATGGCTCCTGTTTCTTCCCTACGCACGAAGAATCATTACGAGACAGAAGACGGTTGGCGCCTTCCACTTACAACGCGACGACAGGCAGCTCTTTTTGTGTGCTGTCGCATGCCCATCACCACACCAATTATATATTTTTTTAGAAATAGAGAAACAAAACTATAAGAGACGCTTTCGCCTACATTTAAAATAATAATACTAATACTAATAAACGAGAGAAGTAAAGCAAAACCCTGATCGAGGGACATGTTTTGTAAACGGACACGAATGGAGGAAACAATGACAGTTGGATCGGAACGTCCTTCACAAAACAGAGAAATTTATTTAAAAAAGAATAAAGCACAGTAGCGATCACTTGCATGTGACACTTCACATAACGCTTCGCGAACAAAAGTCTCTACCATTTGTTAGATCAACAAAAAGCGAGAGAACAATAAGAACCATTAAATAGAGCGCCGGACCGCGAATGAAAACAAAAGAAGACGTTTTCACAAGTCTTACGGCAGGGTAAATAAACGGCTCTGCAGGAGCCGCAGCCAAGAGACGCCAGCCGTGATGTTTGGCTTCAAGCACGCGGGATCAGCTTCGTCGCCTTTCGTAAGGCGCGATAAAGCTTTAAAGGCAGCATCAAAGATACTTGATTTTTAAAAAAGTGAGATAGAAACGCCGATCAAGGAAGAAGCAAAAAAGAAGGAGATGGAACTAATCACCACACCCAACACACACACACACACACACGTGCACGTAACACATTAGTTTCAAAGTTCTGAATAAATAAAAAGAAGCGTCGAGGAAAGCGGAAAGAAGGCCGATATATTAGAGAGAGCCAGACAACGCGCTACCGCTGACAGTACACCTGCACACGAAACCAAACACCCGAAGAGACGCGATAATAATACAACGTCCGACGAAAACAAGGCGCCGCCCTTCACCTCACAAGCATGGAAAGGTGGCCCCATGAAGAAAGTCCAGATGGCAGAGAAAAGAAGCTGCGGAAGATTATCGATACTCGGGATTAACAAAAGCAAGTAAGAAATCCCGAGGCATATGAGCCGACAATTTAACAACATAAGAAAAAAAAATGTGATGGTGAGTCAGACGAGCAGCACGTCGCTTGAAAGGCAGGAAAACATTTTTTGCAAAGATGAAACAGGAAAGCGGAAAAGGAATGTACGAAGCAGACACTTGCAGCACGAGCGAACAACAGAAGATAAGAACTGTAAAACATCAGGTTGAAAGTGAAAAAAAGAAACCTTGTTTGTTGGCATTAGGAGCAAGAGAACTACCTGCGACGCATTCCACATGTGCACATAACTGAGAACCAAAAAAGAAAGGGGACGATATATGTTGAAAGGAAGGTTGAGGTACGCACCACCACAGCCAGAGAGAAAGAGGTACGAGAGCATATAGGAAAAAAAAGAGGGGAAAAAATAAAAGGTAAAAATACGAACAGTCGCGCTAACCGCTCCTGGCGAGAGGCGCATAGGAAACAAAGTCAAGTGAATATAACAGTTTTTCTCTTTGTTTTTGAAAGAGAATCTAGCTAGCCGATCCAAAGCTACAATCCATACTCTGTTGAGCCACGGCAGCGTCCTCTAGCCGCAACGCGCTGCCGCTGAGAGCCTTATAAGCGTAGAAACGATGTTTTTTATATCTTCCCATTGAACATACGACGGAAGCCGTTGGGACGACGATAGCGAAGATGCACTATGGGCATCGCCTCACTAATTTCCGGGGCCCGAGGACGGAAGATCACCCTCGCGCCGTTGCGCTCGCGACGGCTCGTCGTTGATTCGCCGTGCTGCTGTGGTGGCTGCAGCGCGACATCAGCCCGCTGGCGAGTTTGGTTCGGTGCCGCTCCTTTGCAACTCCCCCGCGGCATCGAGGACGACGACGACCCGCTAGACGACTTCGACGAGGAGGAAGAAGAATCGGAGAGGCAATCTGTCGAGTTCGCCGTGCCGTGACTTGAGTTGACAGTGAGGCCCATTTCAGGACTGCGGTGCATTTTCAAGGCGTACATCGCCACCTCTGAACGGGCCGTCGGTTTCTCCCCGGGCAGGGGTGTGCTACGCTCGGTGTGCATCGCCACCGCAAAAGAAGGAGAACTTGCAAACACCACTCCTACCTCCTCATCGTCCTCGTCTTCGCTACTCGAATCGGACGAAGAGCGATCATCATCACCATCTGGCGCAGCAGAGCTGCCATTGTGAGCGTTCTCGCCGCTGCCATCGTGATGACGAGGGTTATCCAGTGCTGCCCAGACGGGCGACCTCACCAGAGGGAAGTCCCGCTGCGGGCACACACCCCACAGTTCCCGCTCCTCTGCGGGTATGGGCTCGGCATCGCTGTCAGACGACGTGGAGCTCGACTCGCTGGAGGCGTTGCTGCTTGTCACCTCCGCCGCGGCCGCCACCGCCAACGCCGGTTTGTGGAAGTTGTCCATCTCCCACGCGTAGTCGACCATTTGACCGGCAAACGGTGGAGCGCCATTGCGCGAGCGAAGGTGGGGCGCGCGGAGTGTAGCGGTCGCAGGCGCGTCTGACGGAGGGTCGGTGCGGTGGGCTTGCTGAGAATCAGGCTTGGCGGTGGAGAGGGAGGCGTATCGTGACCGGTCCGGACGCTGCTGCGGTGACTGCGGTGCGCGTGGCGGGGTGGGCAGCATCACCCTCTTCTTCTCCTTCGGCAGCGGCCGTGCAAACACGGCGGCCAGGGCGGCCGAGAACGCACTTTTCTTGTTGGACAGCACCACCTGTGGCCGGACACGAGCGCGACGCGGTGGCTTCTGCCCGCTTTCTCGCTGCTCCATTAGCCGCACGCGTCGATTGCGGTGCTGCAGGGCCAATCGAAAGAACTGCTGTGTTTTGTTTTCATCCGGCAGCAGCTCATCGTCGTTGTCGCCGCTGAAGTCAACTTCGATGGGGGGCGGGGTCGGGGGGTGAACGGTGCGGATCGGCTTCACTGCGCAGAGCCGCTTCGGAGACTGCGGAACCACCGCAACAGCTTGCACATCAGGCATTGCAGGCATAGCAGGCATGACAGGCAGTGGGACGCTGCTCGTAGCCGTGTACGTCTTTGCCGTTATCGGGGCTCGGCCGGAGTTCTCGAAGTGGTACGCGCCGGACCCCCACCGCCCGCCCCAGGTGGAACCGCCGTTGTACGTCGCGTACGACTGACGACAGCTTGTCAGCCCTCGCGCTGAGGACGCAGAAGAAAGCGTGTCGGCGCTGTCCTCCGACGAGGATGTGGATGTGGAGACATTGACGGCGGAGACGATGGAGAGATGATTCGCGTTGCCCTCCTCTATCACCGAGTCGTGGCGGTAGAAACTGGTGGCAGCGTCGTCGCTGTGGCGGCGGAAGGCGCCATACGGGATGGCAAAGGTGCCGTACGAGTTGTAGTTCAGCAGCCGGCGTTCTTCCGCGGTAGGGGCGACAACCTTGGACCGTCTTTTAGGGGATTGGGACTTGAAATCCATCAAGGAGGTCGCACAGAAGGAGGAGAAATCCTCGTTGGTGGTCATGATGTTTCCGCTGCAGCGGGGCAATGAAAAAGAGGACAGAAACGGACGGCGGAGGTACTGTGGGCCGTACCGGGCAGAGAGCGAGATCAATAAAGTGTTTCTTAAACTTCAACAGGTAATTTAAAAAATACAAATTAAGAAATCACGCAAATTCTCTTTTCTGAGGTGTGCAGACGTTTTATTTTGTCTTTTTTTAGGTAGTGTCACGTGTCACCCTGTACGTCGAAAAGCGAGCTACGAACGCCAAAAGGCGCAGCGTTGCTAGTCAAGGAGAGAGATTAGCAAAGGAGGAGGGGAAGGAAACAATCGGAGTCGATTCCAGACGAAAGGCGGCAACGCGCGCTAGCACAGGAATAAGAGGGAGAAAAACAAAGATGGGTAGGCACGTCTGCAGTGGAATACGACGTGCACTTACCCCATCAACACATAAGAGGAAAAAAGGCGAAGATGACGCAACGACTACCTGAAAGAAAGAAAGCGACAGCAAGTGCAAAGCAAGATACATCAGAGAGAGAGAGATTGTGAATTAGACCGCGTCAAACACCGGAAGAGATGCAGATAGAGCACCTACGTACGCACACAGCAAAACAGAAAAGAAAAGAAAAGAATGGAACAGCTTTGATGCAGCGTGCTCGATTGCAAACAACTTATTTGAGAGTTTCTCTTTTCCGTCCTCCGAAGCACAGCTTTGCTTCTTGTATGAACAGACAAGAGGGAGAGGTTATTTATGGGGAGCTGGATACGGAACAATACGAAGTACGGAGGAGAGAAAAACAGAAATACCAGATGGGCGTTGAGGAAAGCGTAAAGGGCAGCCGACTGCGATGGCAGGATTTTGACGATATATAAAACTACTCTGCGGTCGCAGCTTCGGATTATATAACGTCAATTCTTTTTTATTTTTAATATAAGAAAAGGCTCTAAAAATAGTCGAAAATACAAAGAAGAGAAAGCGAAAGAGCTCGAGGCGGTGCAAGAGGAGCAGGAGCAGCTGATGGGCCAACTCGCACGATCTGCTTACGTTAGCACAAAGCCTCGACAAAAATAGAGGCAGCACTCTGCCCGGCCACCGTGCTTAGTGACAAGCCGCTACTGGAGTAATGACGAGACACGAGGCTGTACTCCAGGAGAGAAAAAAGAAATCTGTACAGTTCCTTGCACAAGAGAAGGCAAATCAGCTGCAATCGCTTCTGAAAGTGGAGGTGATGTATAACGCCAGGGCTCCGGTGACGTGTGCTTAGAAAAGACAAACAATAGAAGTCTATATAGGATGGGGTTAAAGTAAAGCACAAGAAGTTAGAGCAACCAAAACGTTCTGGGTGCAGCCGCTGCTGAAAAAATACCACAGAAAGTAAGAGAATTTTTATATAAAAAGAAAAAGCCAAAGGCCAATTTCAGGTCGTGGGTCCTCGCATGTGCAGAAGTTCAAGGAAATGAAGCCTTTTTATTTACTACGTGCAGAAGAAGAAGAGGGGAGCCAACAACGACAAAATGACGTTATAATTGCATCACCCAGTACGGTCGGGAACGCACGTATTGCTGCGGCACAGTGTAAATGGTAAGAGAGAGAGAGAGAAAGAGAAAGAGGGAAAGAAAAAGATGGGCGAGCATGACATCAGAACAGAAGAAGAAAACGTTTCTACCCGTAGACAACGAAGTCCTTGACATACGTGTGCAGCATGAAATAACTCTCCATTTTTGTTGAACGGTTAAGCAATACCAGGACACCTTCGTTGAGGCTAGTGTAGCGCTCAGAGTATCGGCTTGCGTTCTTGATGTGGTTTTTCTTTTTAATGTTGAAGGGGAGGGGTTGTTTTGAAGGCCTCGTCGCGCCATAAGAAAGATGTTTCTTAAAGACAGAAGGAAATCAACCGAACAAGAAAAAAGGAAAGCAGCGCGCACAGCGAGCAACGCGAAGTCAGCGAATAAAGCGCGCGCACCGTGACCGTGTTTTGTGAAATTCGAAGCCAGAATAATAGCCGTAGTCGTACAAAGTCAAAAAAGAAAAACATGTTCGTCTTGCTTCTTGTAGCTTCATTTAAAGAAAGAAGAGGAATTACGTAAAAAAGCGTTTTTGCTGATGACGATAAGATTGAAGGGCGTGAGTGGGAGTTTTTGTGTCCGAGGAAATGGAAAACAAATAAAACTAAGGAAACACCTTCCCATCACTAAACTTCTTTCTCAGCAGATGTAACGGACAAAACAATGACGTCTACACATGGTTTTTCTGAAACGGATAATAGCGAAACAGAACAACGTACAAGACGAGAACGAAGTAATCGTGAATACTAAAGGCGAAGAAGGACACGAAAAGCATACAGGAGACGAGAATTAAAAACTGTTTCTAGAAAAATAATTCTTCACAGCGCAACCACGCAAGGTGTCGACGCAGCCTTGGGAGTTGGCCATTGCAATGAACTCACCTCCGTCCACCTTCGCTGCCCTCACTTCTGGCGCGGAGTCGGCGCACGGGAGTTCATCCGCGACGTCCGCCGCGACACCGCTCGCGAGCCGCTACGGGACAGTGGTGCGCTCAAATTCGCGATCAGCGGCGTCTCCGCCGGGTTCGTTGGAACGGCGTAGAACGCCTCCCGCTGCGTCAGACGTCCACGCGGCAGGGCGGTGAAGCGCATCGGCCCTACCGGCGGCACCGATCCCGCCATCATTGCCCCCGCCACCTGAATCCCTTCAAACTCGTAGTAGGCCTGATCAATGTGGCTCGCGAGCAGTTCCACCCGCACCACGTAGCCCACCTCCAACCCGGACGTCTTCATGGTCGGCATGAAGTCCTCGCGGCTCTCCAGCATCTTCGTGCTCCCGGCTATTGTCCCGCCCCTTCCGGGCTTTACCGCCTTCAGCACGGATGCCTCGGCGACTGTTTTGCGAATGGTGACGAGCGCGTCTGTCGTCTCAAACTTGAGGATCTGCACGAGCTGGACCTTGAGGCCGCGGATCGCCTTCTTCGACGTGTTCGACGCGATGGCGCAGCTGACGGAGATGGCGTCGCGCTCGATCTGGAAAGACTCCGCCGGAATGGTGAAGGCAACGTGCAGCTTGGCGTCCGTGGCCATGCAGGAGCACATGCCCATAACCGGGAAGACGCACTTCACCGTTTTGCCAGGCACGGCCACCGCCCGCAGCTTCGCACGATTCCCGTCCGCCGCGGACAAGGAGAGATTCGCTGCGTTGCCGCTGGTACCATTACCACCGCTGTTATTACTGATGTTGATCATGCTGTTGTTGCCTGTTGTGTGGCTGCCGCCGTACTCCGGCTGCATCGCACCCATTATAAAGTCCGCGCGCGCGGAGGCGATCTGCACCCGGCTCGGCGACCACACGTACACCTTCACGTAGTAGTGCAGCACCGCCTGGCTGTTGCTGAACTGACTATCCTTCACGCAGATGCCCGTGTCGTAGTTCGGCGGGAGGGAGGCGGACAGGAGGAAGCGAAAGGGGTAGACGTAATGCCCGGCTGGGAAGCGCACCGACACCCCCTCCTCCGCGGCGAGTTGGGAGACGGCGAAGGACCGGTTCTGCTGCGCCACGCCAGGCGGCGCCCAAATACTTTCGTTGTAGCGGAACGAGTTGATGCCGTCCCCGTCCTCCGTTGCCGCCGTCTGATCTTCCCCGGCAGTTGGCTCAGCGTCCGCATCGTCGTCAACATCATCACTGTCGTCGTCCTCATTCCCTTCTCCCTCCTCCCCTGCCACGACCTGACCCCTTCGAGAGCTGTACGGCGGTCTCTTCTTGCCCTTGTTGGTGTCTTTCATCGTCATGAGCGCCCCGGCAATGGTCACGATTTCGCGGTAGTACACGTAGTCCTGTGAACTGATCCCAAACTGCACGTTCTTGATCTTCGACTCCTTCACCTGATCCACCATCGTGTACACCTCCTCCTTGCCCACGATTTTAATGTGCACGTTGAAGACGTCGAAGGCGGCGGCGGCGTCGATGACGACGGCACCCTCCACCGCATCGCCCGGGTAGAAGTGCTTGTGCGTGAGGTGGACCTCGCACTTCACCAACGACGACGACGACATTGACATGGTGCAATGCTGAAGGGAGGGGGCGAGTAGAAATGCGTGAGAAGATGTGTCGTTTGTATGGAGGTGCAAGGAACAGAATCGAACTAAAGCGCCAGGAGACCCGGCAGTGTTACCGTAGTTGGAAAGACAAAAAAGAAAAAGGAAAAGGCTACGAGAGATACTTCCACGCCCCTCGCCAAATGCCGCTAGTAAAATATATATCTGTTCTCAGAAGATGTGGGACTTCAACAGTGGAATGGTTGCCGGTGGGTGTTCACACACGAAAGCTAAAGAAAGAGGGAGTTGAGAGAGAGAGAGAGATGGATTCATGAAGAAAGGAAATGGTGAGGACTGCTTTACGGGCCAGCATTGAGATGCTCTTTTCTGCTGAGTCGAGAACTCAACTGCTTTAAAACAAGTGGAAGACATTGCTTTAGGGATGCGTTTAAACACGCTTCGGCTCATAGTTTCGCATCTGCTGGCGAAGCTGCTGCGCTGAGGATGCCTCCTCTTATTCTTTAGAAAAGAGAAAAGAAAAAAGTCGACATCGTCCGCTTCACCTTGTTCCTGAACATGTTACGCTGATATTAATTGGACCTCGACTCTGTCTCTCTGCATCCGCTCCTTACTCAGCTCATAAAGTACGTCCCCGTTTTTCGCCAGAAATGCGTCAGGAAAGAAGCGCCGGTTCAGAGGTATGCGCCAGCCTCGGCCGCTTCTCCGTCGTTTCAGCAGTGATGGTACCACACACACACGGTCTGCTCCATCGCGCTCACCACCACATAGCAGTAGTTCAGATTACTCGGTGCAACGCCATCGCTCGCCGGAAACAGCCGCAGACCAGGAGCAGAGCTGACTTCGTACACGAGGGCGTCGATCACCGCCTCATACCGCGTGGTGGACGGCGGTTCGTTGGGCGACTCGAGCGCTGCCACATCATCATCGACGCTCTCGCTGTTCCTCCCCAGCACCGCCACTTCCCGAACGTGAAATGAAGTGACGAGCGACCGATAAAGCTGCCGTGCGACGTCGAAATACGCCGCGGCGTCGTCCTCGAACTGGTTCAGCGGGCCACTGCCGGCGATGAGCCGCCACAGCAGGTGGTACAGCAGCTCCCCTCGAGCGCTCTTGTCGAACACTCTCCGTAGCTGGCGTAGAGGGAGCTTCGCACCGGCCATCACACCCCACCCATCATCGTCCTCGTCCGCGTACGAGCCACTCTCCGCCTCTTCGCTTTGCGTGTCGAACGCCGCAGAAGAATGCCCGACGCCGCTGCAGCTCCGTTGATGTGCCTGGAGAAACAACGCACGGAGCTCGTCGCTGATCATCTCGCCGTGCGGCAGCAGCTCCTCCGCGCACTTCACCGTTGGCAATCGAAAACAATCCTCATCACCACCACCACCGTGCGGATTCCTTTCCGATGCGTCTGCGTTATCCATGACGGGGCGAACCTGGCGCACGACCTTGGCATCCACGAGCGCTTGCCGGAGAGGCTGCAGCGTCGTCCAGCTGCACGTTAAAGGTCGGAAGCGGAGAGTGGCGCGTTCGTCCCCCACGGCCCCCTTCAAATGAGACCGAACGAGAGACGACGAAAAAAGGCTGCGGAGAAAGTCCTTCGCCATGCCGTGGTGGAAGCGCAGCGCCGCCGCCGTCACCGGGCTCGGGGAATTGGCAGCGGCTTTGGCCGGAAGGCGAGCGCCGTCGGCAGACGCGGCGGGGACACCACAGCCCGGCATCGTCCCGCCCGCGGCGACTTCATTGGCGAGTGGTGCTCGTTCGGCAAAGGAGTACTGATACCGCTGCAGCGACCACTCCCCTGGTTGCAGGAAGCCCCACTTCGCCAGAAGATCCCGGTACTCCTCTTTGTGGATGAACGCGGGGAACTGCGAGGCGTCGTCTTCCGTGGAAGAGCGAGAAGCGAGATGAAAATCAAACATCCGAGGTGTAATAGAAAGCAAGAGAAATAGGGCTGATGGGGTGTGTACTCGATGTACCTCTCTCTATATGATTCCTTGTGTGGGCGTACGTGTTAGAGGAAATGGTAGCCGTAGGCAAATGGAGAACAAAAAAAATGAAGATGACAAAAAGGATCGTCGAGCAAGCAGAGGACAAACACCAAAAAGCTGAGTCGACACGCGAAGAAGGCCAAGAGCGCTCTTTGTTGGTCGGCTTGTGGTCTGCCGTCGACCACGCCGCACTTGGCAGCAGGGCAACCGCCAAGAGGAATGGGAAGCAGATCGCAAGAGACGGATACGCAGATGCCCTCGACTCTCCCTCCCTTCCCTCTTCTCGAACAACTCGCAGGCGAGCATCACATATTTTTTACAACCTCAACAGGCAAGAAAACCATCACATGCCACACCCGAAGCAAAAAGAAAAGAGCCGCAACCAACACGGGAAAGACTTTTCAAAAACCAAGAGACTGCAGCCCACGCTCACGCCCATCACCATTACATTCATACGAGAAAGCCCAATGAAGAGAACAAAGGGGGGATGGAGGAGGGAAAAGGAATGCTCAAACGCCCTTTTCCCTTCGATTCAGCTGAAGTGCAGAAGATCCAAAACAAACACCACCACAAGCTCACTCAAAGGGAAAGAAGGTGGGTTTAGCAGGCGGCACTCAAACCGCACTTCGACTCCAGCGAAAGCAGTGGAGCCGGTTATAGGAGACCCTTCTGCTCCTTTGGCCCCCCCCCTCTTCGCCTTAGACGTAGGTCCGTTTCTCCAGGAAGCGCTTCAGTAGAAACAGCTGAAACCCTGTCATGGCAATGAAGCACAGTACCTGAAAGATGGACCAGAGGAGCACCCGCTCGTTTGCGTCCTCCACCGTCGCGCGGTGGTTCGTCTGCTGCGTGCGAATGTTCACCTGCAGCGACTTCAGCCGCTGCATCGCACTCGAAAGCACTCGGATCTTCTGCTCGATCGGGTCCAGCTCCATCGCGCTGACCGCGTAGTCGGAGTTCACCGCCGTGCGGAGGTCAAAGTTCACGTTCTTCGACGTAAAATACGTGTCGGAGTTGTCGAAGGAAATCGTAAACACGCGTGTCTTGTCGGTGGCCGGGATGGAGAAGACCCCACGCGCGTTGTCATGCCACCGCTTGAGTTCCTCGTTCGTGCCGCGGTCTACGATGGAGATGGGCAGCACGTAGTCGGCGTGCAGCGCGAACTGAAAGTGCAGCTCCGTGCCCGGAGGCAGCGTCTCCGTGATGACGAACTTCTCTCCCGCGTCTACCGCCGTGGTGAGGGCGGTGGACAGGGTTGCGGCCACGCTGAGGTAGACGAGCAGCACCGTGAGAACGGCCACCGTCAGCAACGGCCCGGTGCGGCGGCGGTTGGGAGTGCAAAATGAAATTCTCGTTCGCATTACTCGCTGTGGCTCCTAAGCACACGCAAGCGTCAGCGCGGGGGGGGAGAGAAAGAAGTGAGTGGAAGAGATCCACCACAAACAGGATAATACAAAAGGCTGAAGCAGTCGAAGCTGAAGGGGAAAAAACAGGAGCGAGTAAAATTATCCGTTCACACGCAGCGGAAGATGTGAACCAGAAAAAAAAAGCTCTGTAACAGCCAACGATTCTTGGCACTTCTGCTTTCTTTTTTGTGTCTAAGGAGATGTACCACAAAAACACATGAAAGTTAGCGCATGAGGTCAGCTGTGGCGTTCTCATCATATTTTGGAGTGAAATGACGTGTAACTCGACTGCTGAGTACGGATTGTCATTGTTGTTGATTCCAAGGATGATGTATGTTGATTTCTGTTGTTGTAGCTTCTGAAAGCACAGACGTACTCGTCCGCTCTCTCTCTCGCTTCTCATGGAAGATCAATGAAAAAAAAGGCACTACCGTATGTATCACCCACATCAAACAGTCCGCTTCCGCTCCAGAAACAGCTTCAGCAAGTACAGCTGCGCACCTGACATCACCATAAACCCAACTACTTGAAGAACGGACCACAGCAGCAAGCGCTCATTCGCGTCCTCGACGGTGGCCCGATGATCTTTTTGTTGGTACCGCAGCGTCTGCAGAAGCATCTTCACCTTCTGGATCTTCTCAAAGAGACCCTGCACCTTGTTCTCGATCGGGTCGAGGTCCTCCGGGCCAACGTTGTAGTTCGGGTCGTCCACTACGCGAATATCGTAATTGACGTAAATAGAGGTCAACATGGAGTCGGCGTTGCTGAAGCTAAACTGCAGCACACGCTTCTTGTCTAAGGGAGGGATGTTGAGAACCCCTGAATAGTCGTCCTTCCACTCTCGCAGCACTGCCCCAGAGTCGCGATCCGTGGCGGAGACCGCGAGAAGGTATTCAGGGTTGAGCTGGAAGGCGAACATGACGATGAGCCCAGACGGCACCGCCTCCGTCACGGTGAACACCTCGCCTGGGCTGACGCTGGTGAGGATGGCGGAAACCGGCGCGATGCGCAGGCATAGCGCCATCAATACACACAGGACAGGAAGTATGATCTGCCGCATCGGCCCGCAAAGTGCGCGATAATGGTCTAGTGCGTTTTTGTGACAATCTAAGAAAACAAGAAAGGACGGCGACAATGCTCTGTAAGTTTGTCTTGTGTTGCTTTTTAAAGAGCACCGTTTCTATTGCCGAACTGCAAGAAGAACAGGTAAAAGAATATAAGAAACCTTCCACCTGCGCTGTGCTCCACCGTACGGATACAGCTGCTCGACGTATTACCATCGTTGAAGAGAACGAACCGAAGACCAGAGTGAACGAAAGCTTCATGAGAGAAACGTGGCCGCTTTTTGGGGGGTAAAGCAGCACGAGGGCTGCAACGAGCACTGACCCGACGCTTTCAATAAGCCAGCGATGATCACGAAACGTGTTAGACAGAGGCTGCTCGGAACACCAAAGTCACAAACGGGCAGCGATCACAGTGCGCAATTCGTGTTTTTTTCTTTTCCTTCCAGCTATGCGCTCACACCAGTTTTAACTCTTACACCCTTCACTTATTTCTCTTCTGCAATGAGAGTTGATTTGAAACCTTGACGTCGTGCTTGCGCCGTTCGGCGTTCTCACCACCGTTGGCCGGGTTATCATGTCCATAATTGACGACACAAAAATTACATGAAGAACAACAAACCTGTCCAAAGTGCTGAACCACTTGTCTTGCTCCCACACGAGTGTGTGGAGTGCTGTGTACAAGCCTTGATGAATGGGCAAAGCGCACTGCTCCTCCGTATCAATGAGCCTGGTGAGAGACGGACAGAACAACAACACCAAAACAGAGCACACGCAAACGGACCTCCTAAATGGTGCGCTTCCTTTCCAGAAACAGCTTCAGCATGTACATCTGCCCCCCACAGGCGGCGAGGAAGCCGACAACCTGCAGAATCGACCACAGCAGCACCCGCTCATTCGCGTCCTCGACGGTCGCCCGGTGACTACTTTGCTGGTACCGCATTGTCTGCTGCAGGCTCTTCATCTTGTGAACCTTCGCCATCAGGGTCCCGATTTTGACCTCGATGGGGTCCACCAGCTCCTTGTCCACATCGTGCTCCGGGTCCTGCACCGCACGAAGCTCGAAGTTCACGTATTTCGACGTAAGCACTGAGTTGGAGTTGTCGAAGACGGCGTGGTAGACCTGCTTCGTGGTGGAGGACGGAATGCTCACCGCTCCGGACACCTCGTCGCGCCACCAATGCAGAACAATTCCCGTGTTGCGGTCCTTCACGGAGACGGTGAAAAGGTAGTCAGGGTCCAGCTGGAAGCTAAACATGAGAATGTAACCGGGTTGTACGACCTCCTCCGCCACAAAGACCTGACCGGGCTCCACGGTGGTGCTCACGGCGTACGCTGAGACGGTGCACAAAAGCAGTGCTGTCAGCACACAGAGAGACAGGTAGCGAAGGCCGGCCATTGCGTGCCCTTTGATGTCCTGATACCGCACAAGTGTGGCACTCCGCGAGAGAAACAACAAAAAAAAGGAAGCTGTTACTTCGGATCTGCCTTAGTAAGGATACTTACAAAAGTCAAAAATGTGTAATACGTGTGCCTGCTGCCGCTAACAGATACGCCCGAAGTGAGTTGCCTGCTGCGCTGCCCTGATGAGGCCGTAAAAGCAGTGGATGTGGGTAAAGGTGGAACCTTCCCAGCAACAACTCCAGAAAGAGAAATGCACGCACGGGCAAATTGGTCGGAACAGAAGGGAAAGAGGCTGCCGGGGGGAGAGGGAGAGGGTGAAGAGAAATAAATAAGAAATAAAGAGAACAGAACAAGTACAGAAGTGCGATGCAGTCGCCGACTGTTGCAGGCCCCTCAACGGGGTGTAGCAAAAGAAGCCGTCAAAATATGCAGTAAAGAGAGAAACGAAGCGGTCCCCCTCCTTGAACTTTGGCGATCTGTTTGGACACCGAGAGCAGGCAGGGCAGTCGAAGTTCCTGCGCCGTGCTTTTTTGGGGGAGCGCTGGACGACAAAACCCACGGTGGTCACAAACCGCGGAAGCACGCAAGAGGTAGTCTCCTTACACGGAGCCCAATCAATAGGAATACTTGAAAACCAAAAATAATTACGGTGTATAGTTTAAAAAAAAAACGTTAACAGAAAACGACACGCGTGCGAGCTTCATTCATCCCTACCAGCCACAGAGAGCATCGCTGATGCATCGTACCGCGGTGGTAAGAAACCCAAAACTGAAGAGACAAGAAAAACAGTAGAAGTCGAAATTAAATAAGCAAAAACGATGTCAAAGTCTGGCAAAACGAATCCACCCCCCATTATCGCACCCATACACGGTGAAGTGTAGCATTCATCACTACCGTGAAGGCGTCCGCCGACGAGCCATCGAGCAGAAGAGGTTTGCTTGATTAGGCGAGGAGCACGTAAACCGCTCCGATTGCGTCGATCGAAACGATAGTGGAGACCGATTGACTAGGCTCTCAAAGTGAAAGCACTGAATGTTTGTGTGAAAGGCGCTCGTTTGAGCGAAAAGAGTGGCGTATTACGAATTAGATGACAAATGACAAATGACAAAGGCGGTTGCAGTATTACAGCGGCTGAAACAACGAAAAGAAAAAACACCTACAGAAACAACCCACGTGGAGCAACAATCGCCTGTCGCTCAGTTTAAGACATCAACAACTCGTGGATGAGCCCCACGTGCACCTTCACGCCGACTTTCATCGCCTGCTCGTCCACCTTGAATTTTGCATTGTGGTTCGCCGCCGTGCACCCCTCCGACTCGTTGTAACAGCCGATTCCGACGTAATTCGCGGGTGCAACCTTCGCAAACGCACTGAAGTCTTCCGAGGCAGCCATGCACTCTGGCAGAACCACTATCATATCCTTGGAGGGCAAAATCTGCTTCAACACACGCATGCCCACATTGTACGCCTCCTCATTGTTCACCGTGACGTCGTAGCCCGGCAGCCACTTGAAATCGCAGCTTGCACCAAAGGACGCCGTCACACCCCTCATCGCCTCCTCGATAGCCACCTTCGCATCCGTGCGAACGTTGCTGTCCACACACCGCAGCGTGCCCTTCAGCGTCACCTTGTCGGGGATCACGTTGTAGCTGTCGGAGCTCGACTGGAACGAGGTTATCGTAAAAATCGGCGACTTCGACGGCGGCATGCGGCGCGACACCACCTGCTGCACAGCCGTCACTACCAGCGCGGCAATCGCAATCGGGTCCACCGCACGCTCCGGTAGCGCCGCGTGGCCGCCGCGGCCGATCACCTCCACGTGCAGCGTGTCCGAGCTGCGCAGTATAGGGCCCCTGCGCACCAGTACACACCCCGTCGGCCCATCCCGCTGCGGCAGAATGTGCTGCCCGAACACCATCGACACGCCCTCCATGCAGCCCTTCGCCACCATCACCTCCGCACCGCCCGGCGGCACCTCCTCCGCAGGCTGGAACAGCAGCCGCACCGTGCCCTTGATCCGCGCAGCGTCCTCCAGCAGCAGCTGCGCCGCACCAAGCAGCATCGCAGCGTGCGTGTCGTGGCCACAGGCGTGCATCACGCCCTTCTTCTTCGACGCAAACGGCACATCCGTCAGCTCCACCACAGGCAGCGCGTCGATGTCCGCACGCAGCGCAATCGTCGGGCCCGCGCCGGCGCCGCCCTTGATGTCCGCCACAACGCAGTTGGGCATCGGCTGTGTGATGTGCAGGTACTTGCCCTCCGAGTCCATCTTCCGCAGCTCACCCAGAATGTAGGCGGCCGTCGGCTCCTCCTCGTACGACAGATCGGGGTTCTCGTGGATGTGGCGACGCCAGGCGACAACCTGCGCGTAGATCTTCTCCACGCGCGCGTCGAGCTCGGCGCGGTCAATGGCAGGCATTTGTAAGGTGGGGAAAGGAAAACAGAAAAGCGTGGTAGCGATGGTGATTGAGTAGTGCTTCTGCTCGTCAGAAGAAATATCCGCATGGAGAAAAGGGGGGGGGGAAGAGGAGAGTGGAAGCCGCGGTGGCCGTGGCACAGAGTGCGCAGTGCAGCGCCACGCCACACACATTCGACAGTCGCCAGCACAAGCAGCACGGCACACGACAAAACCGCAGGAGGAGCGCCTGCCAACGCAGAGCGCATGGGGCGGCACACACAAACGCCACTCAGCAGGCATGACGGGCACGGTCAGCAACAGGACCGAGCTCACCGCAGCAGTGCGAGACATTCCACAGCTCGCGGCAACGCAAGCCCTCATGGGGCAATCGAGCAGCCGCAGTATTCATTAACGCAGGTATGCGTTGGAGGACACCGCGCGACGCCTGTGTTGGCCACGGAAGACGCAGACGTGTCACACATCTTCACTCAGCACACTCTATATAGGCGTGGGTATCACAAAGAAGAAAAGAAAGGGTATTAGATCACTTGCACATGGAGACGAATGTCGCGTTAGTGGCGTGAACCGAACGCACATTCAGAGAGCGCCGTTGCATGGCCGCTCAGCGAGTGGGCGAGCAAATAAACGGTAGAATGGAGAAGCACGATGACTAGCCACAGCACAGGTGTGCCGCTCGAACGCACGCATCTCACCTTTACCGATAGGCGCAGAGCGGACACTACACTAGGCTAGACAGTCATCCTTTCGATTAACAACGAGTAACTCCGCTAGAACTTCAATGCGAAAAGAAAGAGAAGGTTAGATAATCAGTGAAGATAATAGAGGTGCCGCCGGGGTCAAAACAAGAGTTGCGCGTTACCGCACAACACACAGCACAGAGAAGTCAGAAGCAAACCAGGAAAGAGAACCGCTTGCCCTGACAGCGGGTCGATCCGCCTCGCTCACCAGCATAAAGCAACACTTCCATTACGGAAGAAACAGATTTTAGAAAACATTAAAAGAACGCACACAAGCACCCCCTCACTGCATCAGCAGCTCGTGAATCGTGCCGTAGTGCACCTTCACGCCGACCTTCAAGGACGGCTCGTCGACCTTGAACTTCGCGCTGTGGTTCGCCACAGTGCAGTCCTCCGACTCGTTGTAGCAGCCAATCCCAACAAAGTTGCCGGGGCACACGTTGGCGAACTCACTGAAGTCTTCGGAGCCCATCAGGCACTCCATGTTCACGACGTCAGCGGCGGAGGGCAGAACCTGCGCCAGAACACGCTCCGTCACGTCACAGGCGGCATCCGCGTTGATCGTCAACCCGCACCCATTAACCCACTCACACTTGCAGCTCGCGCCGTAGCTCTTCGTGATCCCCTCCACCACCTCCACCACGTAGCGCTGCCCATTCGTCCGCACATCGCGGTCCTGCGTGCGCAGCGTGCCCTTCAGCGTCACCTTGTCGGGGATCACGTTGAAGCTGTCGGAGCTCGACTGAATCGACGCCACCGTCAGCACGGGGCACCGCGTCGGCGGCATGCGGCGCGAGATGATCTGCTGCATCCCCGTCACCACCAGCGCCGCAACCGCCACGGGGTCCACCGCACGCTCCGGCATCGACGCGTGGCCGCCGCGGCCGAGGATCTCGATGTGAAAGTTGTCGCTGCTGCTCGTGATCGCACCGCGCTTGAACCCAACCGTGCCCGTGGGCAGCATCGGCAGCGGGAAAATGTGCTCGCCGAACACCATCGACACGCCCTCCATGCAGCCCTTCGCCACCATCATCTTCGCGCCGCCTGGGGATGCCTCTTCCGCAGGCTGGAACAGCAGCCGCACCGTGCCCTTGATCCGCGCAGCGTCCTCCAGCAGCAGCTGCGCCGCACCAAGCAGCATCGCAGCGTGCGTGTCGTGGCCACAGGCGTGCATCACGCCCTTCTTCTTCGACGCAAACGGCACATCCGTCAGCTCCACCACAGGCAGCGCGTCGATGTCCGCACGCAGCGCAATCGTCGGGCCCGCGCCGGCGCCGCCCTTGATGTCCGCCACAACGCAGTTGGGCATCGGCTGTGTGATGTGCAGGTACTTGCCCTCCGAGTCCATCTTCCGCAGCTCACCCAGAATGTAGGCGGCCGTCGGCTCCTCCTCGTACGACAGATCGGGGTTCTCGTGGATGTGGCGACGCCAGGCGACAACCTGCGCGTAGATCTTCTCCACGCGCGCGTCGAGCTCGGCGCGGTCAATGGCAGGCATTTGTCAGGGAGTGGGGTGGAAGAAAACAAAAAAGATACTTTTCTACACAATAGTAAATAAACAGCCGGCGTAGATCAGTTGATGAACGGAGATCTAGCGATAGACAACGAGAAATTTGGAAGCAGTCACGTGGAAGGGTCAAATGAAGTATGGGCTATCAGACGGGAAAGAACAAAGATTCAAAAACAAAATGCTAAATAATGCCCCATACCAAGCTGTGAACGCAGGTGCATGGAGAGTGCCTTTGCCGGTACTCATGGGCGCTTTGCACATAGGGATTACGCGAGAACAGTCAAAGGACGCCGATAACACCCTCGCAAGGGCGTTCGGCCTGGCTTTCATGCGTGAGCGGTTGAATAGATCGCTGCACAGCAGGCGTGAAGGAACAACGGGGAAGCATCTGTCACTGGACGTGTCTGTACAGTTTTGTATTCGTGTGCGTTGTCACGCGGTATCCTTCACGATATGTTGAAAACACGAAGAAGCACGCAGCGATTCTGATCGGGAAGTGGCGTGTATGAATCGGTAGACATCAAAACATCAAATAAAAATTACGGAAGATAAAAATGAAGAACAAAAACAGGCTCCTAGTGTTGGGACGTACGTAGAGCGTCTTCAAATCGATACTGTGCAGCTGCTGTTGCAGTGACCCCTTTCCGTGTATACTTCTCTTTCGTTTGATCGTTAAAGAACACGATCCCTGGATAACGGTTAAAAGACGTGAAGTAGTCTTTCGAGCAACGCAGAACACATGCGTGTGTTTTCGAATTCTTAAGCTGTGTGTAATTAAGACGCTAAGCCACTCAGACGGGGTTAAATGAGTGGTGATGTTCGGTACGAAAACCGTAATTATCAATGTGTGGGGGAGGGGGCATTTTATGTTCGCTTTTACTGCAGCGAACTGCTGCGAGCGCTGCATCGCCTCCGATGCAGAAAAGATAGATATCACCACCAAATCCAAAAGAAGAAGGCTTCTTTTGCAAAACAAGGATGCGCACACGATCATCGACCGCACAACTGCCGCAATAGATTTCGGAAGAAAAGGGCGTCTCTTGCGCCTAGTATCTCCTTTGAGGTGCCTTGAAAGCCAAAAGTGGCCAAAACGGGAACACACGCTACGTTGCACGTTCGTTTATGAACTTCACCACATCATTCATCACATCGTTGCGGCACACCTCTGTGAGTACTTCATGCGCAGCTCCGGCGTACGACACAAGGTGCTTGTCCTTCGAAGGGGCGTGCTCGTGAAACCACTTTGACTTGCTCAGCGAGCACAGCTGGTCGTCCTCGCCATGCACGATCAAGAACGGAAAGGTGGACTTGTCGATGTCGCTCGCCGCCCTCTCCTGCTCCCGCAGCATCTCCGCCGTAAAGCGGGCAGTCAGCTTCACTCTGGCGTAGAAGGGATCCTGCATGGCAAACTGAAACACAGGAAGATTGTGCGAGATGAGAGAGACATCCACACTGAAGATTGGCAATTTCGGTACCCACTGTGCGAAAAAAGACCCCAGTGGTAGCACAAAGGACGGCGGCGGGTTCGTCAGGCTCAGCGCGGGGCCACTCAGGACAACGCCGCGAAACGGCGAGGGATCACGCTGCGCCACCCGCACGCTGATCAGCCCACCCATCGAGTGGCCCAGCAGGAACGTCGGCAGCCCCTTCAGCGCGGGGTAGCGCTGCTGGACGAACCGCACAAAGGCGCACACGTCGTCCACGAAGTACTCAAACCGCTCCACGTACAGCCGCTCCCCCTCGCTGCCACCCGCGCCTTGGTTGTCCATGGAGAAGGCCACGTAGCCCTCGCGGTTCAGCCGCAGAGCCACGGAGTCGTAGCGGCCGGTGTGCTCGCCCAGCCCAGGCACAACGAACACCACGCCCTTCAGCGCCGCGGGATGCGTCGCGGGGCGCCCGTCCCCGTGCGGCCACCACTCCGTGAAGCGCAGCCACAGGTTCTGTGCGTTTTGCATGTAGTTCGGGAACAGCTCCGGGTCCGGCGGCCGCCGCCCCGCCACCGCGTAGGGCAGCCCGTGCGCTGCCGAGAAGAGAGAGAGCATGGCGCCGGTTGGTGGAACCGGTATATGTATGTATATCAATTAGCAACAACGAGACTGACAGCAGTGTGAGATGTGGATGCACGCTTTCAACGGCCACGGTAAAGCACGCTTCTTTGCTGTGGCGGACGTGAGAGGTGTTAAGATGGGGCAAATGCTGTTGTCTGGTCAACGACTACGACGAGCTCGAACAAGATGAGTAGAAGAGAGACGTGGAAAGAGAAGGCAAGTTGAAGAATAAAGTAGTGACCAGCTCACTTCCGTGCAACGCTTGCGGCGTCGTTGGCGAAGCACTCAGACTGCCAACACAACAGCTGCCAGAAGGCGAGGCCGACAGTCATGAACACTTCCATAGACACACACAAGCAGTGGAAAATGCCGTGTGTTTACTACGCCAGAAATCTAGCGCGGCCGTAGAAAGGCCAGCAAGGCAGAGAACTGTCCTTCACCATTTCTGGCACCAAAGTGCACCGACTCTGACATAGCATGCTTGGTCCTTTCGCGCCTGAGCAGTGGTCCTCTCTCGTACACAAACCAATTATGTTTCTTTTCTTTTCACTCACTGCCGATCTGAGACGCCGCGGAAGACTGTTTCACACGCACCTTTTCCTCCAGCAGTGCGGTAAGCTGCGCCACCTGCGCTCGCGTCTGCTGCCACGCCAGAATGCGCGTTTGCAGGTACCGCTGCCGCTTCCGCAACCCGTCCTCGCCGTGCTCTGTAGCAATACCAAGCTGTCTCGCCAGCTCGATTCGAGAAGAAATGGTCGCCAGTTCCGCCTTCTCTGCAGGAAGCAGCCGCGTCCGTTTATTGTAATCGTCGAGAACGTCGCGTACGGTGGCACGCAGAGCCGCAGCGTCGATCGATTGCGGTAGCAGAGACTCCGGTAACGCAGCTGCAGCGGTGCTGCAAAGCGCATCCGACGACGAGGAAGACGTGGAAGATGAGGTCCCGCTCTCGTGTGGCGCATCGACGGCTGTCGTGTGGCCTCGCAACGGCTGTTTGGCTGCGTTGCTCGCTTCTGGCGCCGTGGCGAAGGGGGCTGGTGTGCGACCTTCCACGATGGGCAGTGGCGCTGGCGACGGCAGAGGCACAACACAGCTGTGAGGACGATGTTGCACGCTCGCCACGACTGGCTTCCTCGCCGATTCCACTAGCCACGCAGTCCGCCTCGCCCTCTTTCTTTTTCGTTTCCATGCACCTTCTGCACCGTACCTCGTCAAGCTGTTGTCCTGAACTTCTGGCGGAGAGGGGGGCAAAGGAGCAAAAGGATCCGCGTGGCGATGGAGGTGAACGCCGTCGTGCGTCCGCGGAGGCGGGGTGAGCGGTGCGCCACCGTTCATTGGCATCGGTGCCAATGGAGGAGCACAGCCCGCGAGATGGGCATCTGCGCGGAGGGGAGGGTAGACCGCATTCCGCGGCCACGCAGGTGGCCTGTGCGGTCCTTCTGTTGGCCGGGCAGTCGTAAAGAGCGGCGTGGCGGGGGCATTCGCTGCTACTGCAGCAGCAGCAGTAGCGGCGCACGTCAGTAAAGGCGCGCCGACTCCCTGAGGGTCCCCTCCATTGACGCTGCTGGCCTGCGAGGCGACTACGCCGCACGGCAGGGCTGGAATGACGGGCCACAACGAAGCGAGTGGTGGATGCAGCGGAGGCCACCAACACGGAGGCGCCGCGGACGAGAGGGAATGCGGAGGGTACGAAGGTGGCACGGAAGGCGCAGCGGGCAGCTCCATCTCCGTCATCGAGAGCGGCTGAGCCAGCGGCGGCGGCGGCGGTGGGGAGGCAGCGGAAGCCCCACCGTCCGCGTTGACGTGCTTATTCCATTTACTCTCGTGAAGCGTGCCACACATAGCTGGGCCGAAAGTTGTGCCTGCCGTCGCCTCGGTGCCCACGCCGACGTCCAGACGTGCAGTTCGCGGCGTTTGGGTTGGTGAGGCGTTTGCATCGGATGTCGTTGCAGGAGTCCGTCGCATCGCCTCTTCGTACGAAGGCGGCGGCAGCGGCGGCGGGGGAGATTTAAATGGAGATGACGCCGCAGGCACCGTTGGCGTCCGTGGAGGCTGTGCAGCAGGAAAGGTGGAAGGTGCCGCTGCCAACGCAATGGTGCGTTGTGCCGGTGATGCATCTGTAGCTGCTCTGCTCTCCTTAGATGCTTCGCCCGTTGGTGTGCCCGCCTCGCGTGGCTTCGCACGTAACGGACAGAGTGGTATGGGAGGCTTCATGGATGCGAGCGCGAGCGAAGGGGCTGCGGGAGAAAGCGATGAGCGTTGTGAAGGACGTTGCTGGAGTTCATTATAATGTACTAGCTTCGTTTGCTGTCCCTCTGAGTCGGGCAGCTCCTTCGAAAGGCAGCCTATTCCATTGCCACTATCGCCTGGCCACAACGCAACATCGGCAGCCACGTCGTCTGGGTCCACGGCCGAACTCAGCACTCCATCGGTGACCCGACGCATGAAGAGGTGCCGCAAGAGCGCTGGCCGTGCGTACGACTCCGCCACTCGCCGCATGCGACGCGTTCGTTCCTGATAGGACCACCGTCGGTGCCACAACTGAAAAAGCCGTTGCGCCGCATGCGGGTTCATCACGGAGCTTGTGAAGGTGTCAGCGAGCTGCATCCTATGGCGCTGCGTGGCGCGGGCATGGCAACGGTCACGCCACTGCTGGAAACAGCGGTGTAGTACACGGGGGTGCAGCACGTCACGGACCCACGCGTTTCCCTTCAGACAGCGCGTCCCCATCGGGCACCACCTTTGGAAGGAACGCACCGCCAGCGTCTTCGCCATCTGCCGGCTCTGTAAACTCGCAAAGGTAGCTTGCAGCCATTTCGTGTAACAGCACCGCAGGTGTGTCTTCGTTGTATGTGCTGATAACACGCGCGTGCAGTCTTCACGGTACTGCAGTCGGGCCGCACGGCGCTGCATGGTGACCCGCAGCCATTGGATCCAGCTATACCGCCACAGCAGCTCCCGCGTAGACACCTCTGTTGACGCTGCCCAGGCTGCTGGTGAGTGCGACGATATCACCTGCACAAGAAGGCGTCTTCGTTTGCGTTCAGACACAACCATGCGCCACCGCTCCACGTAACGTCCTCTTGTCTGCTGAAGAGTCGCCCTCTCCAGCGCCCTTGCCTGTGACCGCCTTACACACCACCGCCTCCATTTTTCAACGTAATCTTCTCGCAGCACCGCCCGGCCTTCGAGCTGCAGCGCCTGCACAAGACGCCGATAGAACTGCTGCCGCTGCCTCCACTCACGCCATGTGTGGAATGCACGCTGGCACAGAGTTCGTCGACGGAGCTCGGCGGCTCGCTGCGTCGCCTCCGCACGTCGTCTGACACTCGCGTATCGCCATTGCCACGCTCGAAACATCAGATAGCGCAGGTTGTGTTGGTAATAGCCCTCTGCGAAGAGCTCACGATGCTGACGCTGGTGTCGATGCCGCTCTTGCTGGGACTGCCATTTTTCGATGCAGCGCCGCAGCAAAGAGGCTCGGTAGAGCGCTTGCGCAATCACATAGGTTGCTGCGTTGGACAACACGTCGCTTTTCGTTTTGATGCTTCCACCCGGAGAAGAAGAAGAACAAGAGCCGACGTGCACTTGACGTGTCCACACATCTCGCGTGTTGAGCAGCGCAGCTTCCACAGCAGCGTTTGCCTCCTCTAAATCCGCAACCTCGTCGACGTGAATCTCCGATGCCGTGGGTGAAGGCGTAGACATCGCTTCATCCTCCATCCTTGGAAAGGAGTCGTCTGCACTGGGCGAAGGCGAGAGTTCGATGGAGGTGGTGGGTCCGTCCCCAAAAGCCGGTGCGTGAACGGTGTTCAATGTCAGGTCTGCAGCATCGCTTGTATGCAGCAGCAGCGTTTCGCCATTGGAAGACGACGGAGCCGTGGTGGACAGAGCAGGGTGCCGCGCGTAGGCGGTCGCCTGCCCTCGCGGCATCGAAGCCGTTCCTTCCCCCGCACTTTTCGTGTGCTGTGGGACATCCGTTGAAGATCCCTCTGCAACGCCTTTCGGCGACGACCATAAGGGAGGCGAAGCATCCATGGAGGTGCCAAGTAGAAATCAACAGCAGCAAAAAAGAGGAAAAGAGAGAGTTAGGCCTTTTTAGCTGTTTGCTTCGAAATATGTCTTCGGCAGCATCGTCTACGGGCTGAGCAGGAAGATCTTTGATTGGGTTACGGCGGGAGAAACTGTGTCTATCCATAAAGGCTCGTTTCTATGTTGGTGTCGTCTGGCCTCGTAAAATACAGTATCTATATGTATATATGGGTGTGTGCTTTTAATAAATATAAGCTTGCGTCTAGCCTGCGCGGTCACCACGGAGTCAGCGTTGCTTGGAGGTCCACGTGCGAGCAGGTGCTAAAACCGACCTAACGCATGCACAAGGATAGAAGTGTAGGCAAATAGTAAAAGCAACGGACGAGAAGAACACAAAGGCAAATGAATGTCGGACGGCACGACACCTTCAAGAAACGTACGCAACGGCACAAACTACGCACGGATGTGCGCGGAAGGGAACAACAGAGAACGGCAAGGGAGTGTGTCGTTTTCTTCTTCGCAAGTCTCACCAACATAAGAGCGGGGCAGCCGCGAAGGTCATGCGTTCCTTCGCGTAACCCATACGACCACTACTTCTCTTCTTTCTTCTTCTATTCAAATCCATGCAGCAGAAACATACGTCACACAGAAACAGAACAAAAAAAGGGTGATACGAAATATATAAATAGAGAAGGGAAAGATAAGCGTTTACTCAACACGAAGGCGCATAAGAGAGGAAACGAAAAGAAAGGAAAAGAAACTGTCTTTATCCTGTAAAACAATCGCACTAATCAGACGCGTGTGTACATTTCTGTTTTCTCTCGGCATCGCACCCACCAACGGTCTTCGTCGTCGTAAGGTGCCGAATGCTGCTGCATTTTCTTCGCATCGCCAATTTAAATCTTAAAAAAAAAAACCGAACGGCTCAAATAAAATAAATAAGTTAAAGCGATGGAATCAGAAGGGGGCAAAAGAGAACTGCGAGTGCACACACGAGTAACATTCATCGAACGAAACCAATAAAAAAAAGAAGGGAAAAGGACGAAGTTTGCGCACAATCGAAGAGAAGTTCGCTGATCATGTGGCTAGGCTTCCACAGCTGCAAGGGAAAAGAGGTATTCTATACCGAACGACACGTGCACGTGGAAGTGCGTCGCGTTTGCTGCGAAGCTGGTGAAGCGGTACCACCACAAGGTTTCCGCGCTACCAAGATCTACTAAAAGCACAACAATTCAAGCTTGAAAGAGAGAGAGACAAGAGAAAGATACACTGTTCATTGAATTAAAAACTATTTCTCTTTAAAAGGAGGAGAAAAAAGAATTACGCCGGTGCAGCGCGGCGCCTTCACGATAAGAGAGAGGGAGAGGTGCGGTTCGGTTCACCGTAATATCTTCAAGAAAAATACCGCTCACTTCCAACGGTCGTTTCTTTCGGTTTTCTGATTTTTCCGAGAATTCAAACTTGAAAAACAAAAAAGATGACGCAGCGGATTATCTCGTGTGCTGCTACTCGGAATCACCACACAGAAGGAGTGCTGCCAGCCACGCTCGTGCGCACGTCATTCAGCGACTGCGACAGCAACGTCGCTGCCTGTTTGCGTGAGATGCAATGCTGCCATAAACCAAAATTGGACCGCTGCATCACCGCCGTGTCAATTTGCGTCTCATCCGCCGCGATGGACCGCAGCGGCGGACTTAGCACCTGCAATTCGCCACGACGGCGCTGCGCTGCTGCGCTCTCGCTACTCACGTGGTCTTTGGGGTCATCGATGCAGACGATACAGTTGTGGTGCAGCACGCTCAGGTCCACCTCACGCAGCGAGCTCACCTTTGCGAGCGGTGCTACGGAGCTCAGCTGCGAGCAGTTTTTCAAGTTCACGTACTCCAGCGAAAAGCTGTCAGAAAGCCCTTTCAGTTCGCTAATGCCGCTGAAGGAAGCGTCAACGGACGTCAGGGACGGAAGGCCACCCAGTGGGCTGAGGCTGTGGAGGTGCTTACACTCCCGCACGGTCAGGTGCTGCAGCCCCGGTGCACGCAGTGTCACGCCGGCAAGGCTGGCCAGACTGCTCTCCCCAACATCCAGCTCCACCAGCTGCCCTAGCATGGGCGTCGATGGCAGCACCGGCGCCGATCTGCTAGCCTCGAAGGCAGAGGAGGACGAGTTGTGCAAGAGGGAGGCGGCCTCTCCACGCATGGACAGGGAAGGGGACGCGAGTGTTGGCGTCGTGGCAGCGGAGGTACTAGTGGTGGTGTCGAACGCCTCCGCAGCGGCTTGGGTGGCAGTCGCACCCTCGGCTGCCGTAAGGTTGACAGAGAACAGCTCGTGAACTGTCTGGCAGCCACGCAGGCTCAGCTGTCGCAGCTCCGCACAGCCCGCCAGGCCGCCCACCTCGCGCAGCCCGCAGTAGCTGCAGTCCAGCTCGCGCAGATGGGGCAGGGTGGCCAGCGCCCCCACGTGCAGCACCTCCCCGCACCACCGCATCGAGAAGGACGTCAGATGCCGACACGCCGCGTAGTCGCCTTCGAGGTCCAGCACACGACAGTTGGCGAGCCGCACCTCCGTCAAGTCCGGCAGCGCCGCCAGCGCAGCGACGGAGCGCAGCTCGCTGCAGCGGCACAGACTCAACTTACGCAGACGTGAGAAGGGGAGCAGCGGAGTGATGCTCGTGAGCGACGTCAAATTGCGCAGCTTCAGGACGTACGCGGACGGGACCGCCGGCAGAGGAAGCGCGAGGGCGTGCGAGAAGCACTCGAGCTTCTCGAGGTGCGTCAGCTGGCCGATGAGGTCCCGCACCGCGGCAGTGACCTCCAATCGATTCGGTGTCAGGATCAGCGAGCGTAGACACGATACGCCGGCGTCTACCTGTTGATACGGCGGCGCCGTCAGGATACGCAATACGGACTCCAATCCGCTCGTGGTTGATTCCGCAGCCGCGGCAGAGAAGCTCGGGGTCTGCTTCTTCACGTTCACCTCCAGGATCATCGGGTCCCCGCTGTCGTGGAAGGGCCGAGTCAGCCACCACGCCATCATCTTCAAATCGGCAGCCATCTCTCCCTCGACGCCGGTGAAGTTGTGGTACTCGCGACTCGTCGTCCGGTCCCAGCACACGTAGAGATTACCGCGGTGGTGCACGATGTGGTCGGCACGGGTGCCGGCGACGGTCTCGCGGGCGTAGCGCAGATGCGGATGCGCGGCCGCGCAGCAGATGGACGGGATGTGAGGCGTGTACTGCAGAATGTCGGTGAGCTGCGCACGTGGGATTCGTCGCCGCGGGCAATTCTTGTTTGACTTCATGGGAGAGAGGCGGGTGATGAAAACGAAGAAGATAGGGGGGAAAGGACAGAGGAGTCCCAGCCGTGGGATTTGGCTCGCAGAGCGCGCTCACAGGGAGAAGAAAAAGGCTTCGTACGCACAGACGGTACGAGGTAGAAGGGGTGCGAGTGCCAAATACTGGCTTGCGAGTGTCACATTCGGTGTGCGTTACGAATGGCTGTTGAGACGCAGGAATGCGCGAGTTAAGGCAGAGACGGCAGATGAGGGGGGAAGGGGAAGAAGTGACGAGTCGGTATGCCGGCGAAAACGGAGAGTCCAAGAGAGAAGAAGAAAGAAGAAAAGGAAAAACACGCATCCACGCATCAGCTTCTCGTGCACAGCTGAGGAGTGAAGAGCAGCACGGCGTAGTCCTCCCTCCCGTTTTGCGGCGCATCACCCCCGGAATGAAGTAACTACGAACTACGGTGTAGCAGGTGAAGTTGCAACGCACCCCTCACTCCACAACAAAGGCGCAGCGGCAACGACACGCGGTGGTGCTCCCTCGCCGCCCTTCTCAGTTTCCTTTAAAGTATTGTTTCTTTTAATGACTTTTTGCTTCCTTTCTCGTTTAGCACCTCAGCTTTTACGCAGAATCGTTGAAAAACATCCGACGGCACGAAAAGTCATGTCAGCCAATACTCATAGTAATAATAATAGAAGTAGTGCAGCGTAGCAGATCTGGACACGGAAATCAGAAATGGAGAAGCGGCAGGTCAGCTGACACGTGCAACGGAAAAAAACAAAAAACACACACCATAATGATAATAATAAAGCAATGAAGTTACAAAGTGGAAGGTTGAAGCACGCCGTGGAAACAAGAAATAAAACATGTTGGTGACTTTAATAGAGAGGGAAAAGAAAGCGCAGCGATCGTGTGTCAGAGCAGAGACGCTTTCCAAGACCGAAGCCAAAAAAAAAAGGCAAGGAAGAAAACAGAAGAGCCATGTGTTCAGATATACGTTGAGAGCGGCGTGCAAATATTCGATTCTTCATCACATTCATTGGACTGTGAAGGCAGTGTTACTGTAAAATGATTCTTTTTTCCTGGTCTGCTCTACCCTTCATACTGGCAGCTTCGTTTTCTGTTTGTTGTTGATGCTTCTGCAGCGAAATTGTTCATATTTTCAGACGCTGTACTTTATCTGATATTTATATTCTTTGCGGAAATAATGGGTAACGGAACACTGCGAAAACTAAAGTTGATTCATTGAAGAGTTGTGAAAGCTATGAGTAAATGGGGTGGGTGAGTGTGGCGCTTTAATGTCTGTTGTCGGTTGTTTTTGTCCGTGTGCCTCGAAGAGAAATGAAAGGAAAGCACGCGTGGGTTTTTCCCTTTTGAAGGAAACCCTTTCACCTTTCAATACCTTTCCTTTCCTTTTCGTGGTCACAGAATTCAAAACAGCAAAAAAAAAGTATTAATAACCTTGAGCGGTTTTTAATTGGCGACACAGGACAGCAGCCATAGTCGTCGCCCCCGCAATGCCGTACACAAGCGCGTCCCACAGCGCACTGGACGGGGCGTGGACGACTTCTGACTCCGTCCAGGCTGCAAACGGAGCGCGCCACCGCGCCGACATGAGCCCACCGTCGCCGTCCGCGACGTCACTTCCTCCCCTTGCGGCGCCGGCACCGTCCGCGGCCACCACGCCCTCCATCCACTGCTCGAGCAGCTGGACTGCCTCGTTGGAGTGCCCCGCCTCCACAAAGGCGCGAGTAATGTCCTGGTTCACGTAAGGCAGGATGAGCTTCGACCCGCCCGGGTGCACGCGCAGGATGAACTCCACAGGGACGAGGTAGTGGCTGTTCTTGTACGTGATGCGCACGCGGGTCTTGTCGGAGAGAGCCATGTGATAGGTGATGGAAGAGACAACAGCAATGGTATAATAACAAAAGAAAGAGTTTGTCACAGCAGTTCTGATGAAGGGAAAGAAAAGAGAGAAGGGATCGCAATTTGGTTGTTAGCGAATAAAATGCGGTGGAGTGCTTCCACGCGAGGCGCTTGTAAAGGCGATGGCGGCACGGTGAAGGTGCAGCTGCGTGGCACAATGACAGAGGTTGGGGGAAGGGGGGGAAGGCGATAAGAAAGAGAAGGAGAAAAAAGATAGAGAGGGAGAGCGCAGAACGGGTTAAAGAAGCTGCAGAGAGAAAAAAGAGGGCATCGGCAGGACTGGAAGAAACCAACACGCAGCAGGAAGGAAGAAGGAGTAACGAAAAACGTTCTTCTGTTGTGTTCTGGAAGAAAAGACGGCTCCACACCAATCCCTCGGCGATTCCTTTCGTCCTACGCAGCGAACGGTGAACCCGCGCTCCGGTGTCCTCCGAACACCTCGCAATACGAAGGAGCAGAGAAGCACACTTCACGGCACAGCGTGACTCCAGCAAACGCACCTTACCTTACTTTGTTTTAATCAAACGCTGGCAAGCGTCGAGCAGCCGCTACTTTTGATGGGCCGCATACGAGTGATGATAATAGAGTAAAGAGAAACCACGTACGAGACGGCCGACGCCTCCAGTCCGCCTGTCTACGTGAGGCGGGTCAGGCTGAGAGGGAGCGGCACACCTTTAAAAGCAGAACAAAGAAAGGAGGACAAACAGATGCCAGATCCACCGTCGGTCTTCGTTGCACGCCATCATTCATCGTGCAGACTTCACGCAAAACAGAAAAGAAAGGAGGCGGGCAAGCGCCACTCACTCGCGCTTCTGCCCGGGTATCGGTGCGGGTGTCGGTGTCAGCCCGGCGTGCTGCTCCGCCACCACCGCCACGGCGGACCAATCCCATTCGCCCATGCCGTTTGCTATTGCATCTAGCAGGTGATCGCGGGCCACGGAGGCGTAGGGCAGCGGCACCCGGGCCTGCTCCCCCGTCCTCAACGCGAGCATCGTGTCCTTCAACCCCACGCCGGTCAACGAGGCACCCGCCGGCAGAAACGCACGGTTGGAAATAATGCTGCCGTAGCCGCGATAGGCCGTGCAGTCAAACAACGTCTCCGACAGGAGGGAGGTAAACTCATGCGACGTCATGCCGTAGCGCTGCACCAGCGCGGACCCTTCCGAAATCGATTCGATCGCCACCATCAACATCATGTTGAAGGAGATCTTCATCACGTTTGCCCGATGCGGCTCGGCGCCGTAGTCGCGGAAAGTCTGCCCCACAGCCGGCACCACAACCGGCTCCAGGCGGGTGCGTACGTCCGGGCTGCCGGCGAAGAGGAGGTGCAGCTTGCCGGCTGCAGCGGCGTCGGGGCGGCCAATCACGGGCATCGCCGCGTAGTCCACCCCGCTGTCCGTGTGCTTCTGCACGATCTCCTGCACGAAGTCCACCGGCAGCGTCGCGCAGCTCACGTGCAGGGGCCGCACCGATCGATTCGGCGCCGCCGCTGCCGCTTTGCTCATCGCCTCCAGCAGACCCCCATCGAATAGTATCTCCTGCAGCGCGTGCGCGTCGTTCGTCATGGTGAATACGATGTCCACATCACCGAGTTCGGCCGGCGTGCGGACTGCCGTGGCACCAAGGGACTCGAGGGACTGCGCCTTGCTGAAGGTGCGGTTGTAAACCTTCAAGGGGTAGCCGGCCTTGGCGAGGTTGGTGGCCATGGCGTGGCCCATCTTGCCAAGTCCGGCGAAGCCAAGAGTAGGCTTTGCAGAGTTCATCGTTCGTCAGCGTAGTGTTGTGTGCGGGTTTTAAAAAATATTTTCGATAGTTGTATGAATGAGAAGACTATTAGCCTTGCAGGCTCGAGGGTCTTTTTGTACGGAGATGGCGCGAAATGAAAAGAGAAGAAGCGCTTTGCTGTGTTCTTTGATCGACCTTCGAAGATCTGCTTTTGTAGTGGATGGGAATTTTTTTATTTCCTTTCGGGGGTCGTAGAGGGAAGAACGGAAACGACGGCACATGAAAAGCTGATATCATCTCTAAAGATGCGGCGAATGCGGGAGAGACGTCACCGCACACGCCGGAGAGGTTCCCGCACGTCAGCGCTCCCCAATCCACCCACGACGACATCACGCCGGCCACGTTCGAATAATTGGTCGTCCCACGCATGATAACAAGACAAGAACAAAAATGATGTCATGTCTATCTTTCCAAGTATCATACAAGACGTAGAGTGCCGTTGCTTCGCTGAAGCAGCGCAAAGGTGAAAGCCTCTTTATGTTTTCTTTCGCATAGCGAGTTCAATTGAAAACGGATTCTCACAAACATAGGTGAATACCAATAATAATTGAGAAAGGCGAGAGGCTTCACGGTTTTTCGCCTCAAACGCTCTGAACTAACAGGTGGAGCAGTAATAGAAGGAAAGGAAAAGAGCCAGATGGGTCCATGATGCGTAACGTGTAGTTGCCGCTCACCAGTAGTTGACTAGTGTGAAACTAAATAATAAAAGTTGATGACAGCTTTACTTTCGCAGAAATATATAATAAAAACAAGCGTCTTTCCTTTCTCTACCCCCCTTCGCCTTTTCTGTCACGGAGTTGGCATCCTTCTCTCAAGTAGCTTTAGTTCGGATAATCATATTAATAACACGAACGAATAAACGCTCTTATAAAGAATGACAATATATCAGAAACGTGCTTTCCTCCGTCTCAACGGCGCTAACAACGTCGTTACCGCGCGATCCTGCTTGCTGCTGTTCGTAGAGGTCACCTGAGCAAAAGAAAGAAGAAGCTGGATGCGTGAAAGAAAAAAAAAACTTTTAAAAATTTGAACTGTTTTGTTGTTGCATCTCTGCCTACGCGCACAGACACAAAAGTTGATTGAATTGTATTGCTTTCCTTATTACGTGCTCTTGCGCATCACCACGGCGGCGACAACGGCGGCCACGCTGAAGGCGATTGCCGTGCTGCGCCAGCGCCACTCCTCCTCCTCGGCCCGGCGAATCTCCGCTCGCTTCTGCAGCTGCGCCTGCTCCGTCGAGGAGACGTCGACGCACCACTCTTCCAACATCTCCCGTGCGTCCTGCGAGTGGTCGGACTCCTCGAACGCCTCGGTGATGTCGCTGTCCGCCAGTGGCAGCAGCACTGCCTTGCCGCCGGGGTGCTCCTTCGTGATAAAGCTGGTCGGGACCATGTAGTTCTTCCCGTGGAAGATGAAGTGGAGGCTCTCCGCAGTGGACATGATGCTGAGGAGAGGTAGAAGGGGTGAAAGCTTGAAAGATGGAAGGTGAGTGTAGTAGTAGTAGTGGTGGTGCGGTTGCGGGCGGCGAGGATGAGAGCCCTTATAAAAACGCGATAATAGTTGCTTAGCAGTCTTCTGTAGTGGCGGAGGAGAGAAAAGGGAAAATACCTTGTTTACGACACTGAAAAGCGGCGGAGAGGTGCGACAAGAAGGGGGGAGAGAGAAGAAAGATCGATGACAGCGCATATGTTGCCCTTTTTTTTTTGGTAGTACGTGTCTCCCTCAGCAAGGCAAATGATACCAGCGATACCCTCCGGGAACGAGAGCACACGCGCCTCCATTCGCCACTGTCCTGCAAATGAAAAAGGAAGGAAGGAGAACAGTGGCAATGAACCGACCTGGCAATTAACTGCACTACTCGCCTCTCACTCTTCTTGAAGCCATACCGTCACGACGAACGCGATGGGAAGACACACACACGTCGTGAGAAGACGGCAATCCGACGGCATCCAAAGTGTACATTTCATAAAACCCGAAGCGCCCTCCGATCAAATTAAAACCTAAAAGATCTCTGCGTTTATCTTACGTTCTCTTCCTAAGCGCCGCGAAGTGAGAAATAGAGAACGAGGAGGAAGGCAAAGACCAAGACGAATACCACCCGGGCCGCGTTGAGGAAGTTGAGAGCTGCAGCGGCCACCGCTCGAAAAGCTGGAAAGAAGCAAAAGGGGGAAAAAAGAAGGTTGTCACCGAGTGCGGTACCGTACTCTGTAGCACGTTAACAGCGGACGAGATCGGTTTTGAGGCAACCCCTTCGATCCACGCTACAATAGAAAAGAAAAGAAAGAGATAACAGTTGCGCCATTCGCACGACGCACTCAAGATGACACGCCGTCGAAGACGCGTTTAGGGTTTGAAAGCCCAACAGCAAACCCTGCGAGAAGGCATCCGCTTACACGGGCATCCAGCACGCGGCATTCGCTGCGACTCCTGGCACGTCCGTATCAACGCCGCCGCCTCACCTTCGACAGCCCAACGGCCACAGACGCCACTACCACCGCAACAGCGACTGCGGTGGAGACGACAACCGGGACAGCAAATGTCTTCCCGTCTGCCTTTACCGCAGGAGAAACAGCAACAGGGGCGGCAGCGGCTATCGGCTCAACTAGTGGAGGATTCTCCTTTCCAGAAGGGGGCGCTACCACCGCAGCCGCAGCCGCGGCCGCCGATGATGCCGCCTCCGCACCTGCGGGTTGCTCCACCGCATCGCTGCTCCCTTCTTCCGTCACTGCTGCCACTGCGTCTTCAGTTGGGTCGTAGTCCTCGTCGAGGTACTCCTCCAACATCTCCAGCGCGTCCAGCGAGTGGTCAGCGTCGTCGAAGGCGTCCGTCATATCCTGGTTCACCCACGGCCATATTTCATCGCCGCCGCCGGGGTGTTCATCATCGATGTAGTCCCTCGGGATAAGGTAGGCCTTGCCTTTGTAGAAGAAACGAAACCGCTCACTGCCGCTCATGGTGGCCCCTCCTCCTTACCTTCCCCGCTAGTCAAGCCGATTTAATAAAGAAGAAGACGACGCGTACATTAACGCAGGGACTAAAGTACTTTCCTTTTATGTGTTTTTTTATATATTATTATTAGCGTGAGTTTGTAGCGTTGTGGATGCAGTTTAGAAAGCGCAGTAGAGCGGCAACAGAGGAAGTTCAGCGAACAGGAGAAGCGGTATCAGAAAGTTAAATTCCGGAGAGAAGGAACGTGAGGAGTTCAACTTAAACAAACACACACGTAAGGTAAACTTCCTTCAAGTGAAAAAGAAATCGCCTTCACCCCCTCTCTCTTCCATGAGCCGCCGCATCGCTTACCTCCCTATCGGGAAAACGCGTGTATTGCCCTGCCCCTCAACGGCTGCTCCCGTTTGAAAAGGAACTTCGCTGAGCCGTCAGAGGCACACAAGGAGTATGCTCGGCTCCTTCCACTGCAACGCGGCTCCCTCACGGCCATGTTTGGTGTGCATTGTTGCCGATGAATAACAGTTTAACGGAAAAGAAAAGGGGGGAATTTGGTCGGAAAAAAAAAACAAGACTCTTTCGCACACAGAGAACAGAAGAAAAAGGTGAATCGGCAGCACATATCGTAAAGGCAGCTCTATACGAAGCACTCTAATCGGCAGGGTTGTGACGCTGTCTCGCGAGGAAGCTCAAGGGGAGGAGAGAGGGAAAGAGTCCACTTACAAGAGGAAAAGCAAAGCATAGAGAATCAAATAGATAAATAGAAAAGGGGCGCTGAATGATGAAAAATGGCAAATAGAAGAAGAAAAAGAAAGTGTTATGGTTGTTCACTGAAACAATCGGTGTTAATAGTTGGAAAGGCAAGATGAAAAACAATTGAAGAGAAGAATAGTAAACGTCTCCATAGCGGATGCCACCGGAAGAAGCGGACGAGTTGAAAGCGTGTGCATATGTTTCCGACAGCAGTCATCGCATGTGCCGTCTGTTGCAGTGTGCGAGTACGCACATGGTTCGTTGCAATGCGTTCGCTTCATTCTGGTAGCTGAGCCCTGACAGCCTTACGCAATGGCACTCACCGGTGACAGCTTTCCACAGCGCACGTACACGGCGCCGAGGGTCGTCGCCACACTCAGCACACTGCCCAGACGCACGCACCAATTCCACGTTCGCTGATCCTGTGCATCGCAGGCCGCTTCACAGAGCCGCAAAACCTCCTCGATGGGTACTGAGGCATCGGCCACCGTCAGCAGCTTCTGCAGAAGTTTCTGAGAAGGGGTGGACTCGTCCATGTTCGTTGGAAACGCTTGAGGGGAGTACGGCGTCGTTACGCGCTCTTCCGCCAGGCGGCGGTACATGAAAGATGTCGGCGCACCGGATGCGCGACTCGCATTTGTTTGCCAGGCATACGTTGTGTTCTTCCTCTGCCCGGTCTTGGTCATCGCGGTGGCCGTGTAGGCAGGGCTGTACGTCTCCGCAATGGAAAGAACAGTGGTATGCGAGGCCTCGCCGGGGAGTAGGGGGAAGAGGGGGAGTTAGTTTTTGAGCTGCTCAACGACTGTGGAGGGAATTGAAGAACTTAAGCGAAGAAGAATGGCGTTGAAGCAGGAGAATGTGTATGTGACCAGAAGTATGTGTGCTGCAGCGTTGGAAAGGGACCGTCAAATGGAGAGGAGAGAAGGGGGCAGAGGAGTTCAGAAGGAAGGAGCACCATTATCTGTTTCGTGCCGTCGCACTACCACACCAATTCATGATGTGCGTCATAGTTGAAGGCAAATAAGCAGACATTTGACTTCTTTGCTGTGTTCCTCGACGTTGTACTGCACCACGAAAAGAAAGCTCCGTCGGATAACGTAGTCTTTCTTTTCACAGCATCTACTTTCTTTCTTCCTTTCCCCCATCATACAGCAACGTGTACCACCAACGCAAGCGAAACGAGAGCCGTTGGGCATTTGATTATTATCATTTTTAACGCCTGCGAACGCATAGGAGAGAGGACGGTGATTGTAAGGTGCATCAATTCACCTGCCCGAACTACTCAACAAAGCGCTAGACTGTACAGCACCCACTCACGGCTTTCCATTTGTCCGGTGGAAGCGTCACAAAGGCGCAGGGAGACCAAAGTACAAAAAGGGCTCGCATCAAAGCAAAAGAAAAAAAACGTGTTGATTAAAACGTGGTTAAAACAGTTGACTAGAAAAGAATACATATATTAAAAAAGAGGATATGTGCTAAGTTGACAACGACGGTTATTGCCCAAGTTGAGCTGAGACTTTTTTCTTCAGCAGTGCTTCACGAATTCTGTTGCCGGCAGCGCACGTACACCGCACCCAGCACCGCTGCCACGCTCAACAAACTGCCCACACGCACACACATATTCCACGCCGCCTGCTCATGCATCGCGCGCTGCGTCGCGTAGATCTTTTCGATTTCTTCCGCGGATCGCGTGGCGTCTGCGTACTTCCGTAGCGTACGCGTAGCCCCCTTCGAGTGGCCGGCGTTGTCGTAGGCCTCCGTCATGTCCTGGTTGGCGTAGGGCAGGATCAGCTCCTTGCCTTTGGGGTGACGGCGTACGAAGGACATCGGTACGCGGTACGTCTGCCCCCCGTAGATGAGCCAGAGGTGCTCCTCTATTTTTTCGTCAACAGGCGATGATGGCATCGCTGCGGGGGAAATCGGACGAGAAGCCTCCATCGCCGCGGTGAAAGATAAAATCAAAGCAGATATAAAACAAAAGAAAAACCTGTGAAGCGGCTTGACGTGAAAAGCACCGATCCCTGTTTCAAAGGTACTTCTCTAAAATTCAATCGGCCCGTTGTTCGTTGGCTACACGTCGCAGCCTTAAGTGGCAGTCGGAGACGCCACCGCAAGAAGAAAGAAAGAGAGAGACACGGGGAGGGGGGGAGAAGAAATGTGGCCTTTCAGTACCGGGGTTTTTTCCTTCCTTCAGTAGGGGCGTAACAGCACCAACTAAAAGCAGTTGCGTCGCCCTACGCAACGAGCGCATCCCAACCGACGAAGTCCTTGAGAAGCACCCGAAGTTTAAATGGAGGGAACGTGGATAGTCGCCCCCAAGGTCATGTATCGGTACGAGGCCGTGTTATGTGCCGCGTGTACCGTCGTCAAACTGAGCTCCTTGATCTTCATGTGAATTGCTTGTTCATGAATACTATTTGTAATGGTAGCGTCGATGACATCTATGCTACCAAATAAATGAAAAAAACAAAACAAACAAACAGAGCATGGTAGTGTTGCACGTACGCAGACACACGCGCTGCAATGAACTTGCGGCGCCTTCGTTTTCACGTTCGATTATGAAAAGAGAAAAACAGAAACACTGCTGCTTTGATAGAACGGCAATAAAAAGAAAGCAAAATAGTAGTTCAAAAAATGGGAGGGAAGGAGACATCGGCGAAAACCCACCGCGACGACGTTTGCAACAGCTGTGTTAGAGGGGAAGAAAAGAAATTCATACACATTGCAAAACATAGTAGGAGAGAAAGGAAGAGAAAGTAGAAACAATTAAACCATGGCAAAGCAGGCAAGTGAGAACGCCAGATAATCAGTTAAAGTGCGAATGAAGGGAAATAAATAAAGGCAACACAGAGATAAGCTTCACTAAAAGGGTTTAAGGGTCAACGCAACTGCGAAGGAGTTTCAAAATAACTCAGAAAATACTGCATGATTTACGTTTGAGATTGGATCACGAACGCTGGAGATGCCGGCGGAAAGCGAAAGCGGCTACACCCATCGCCGCGAGCGTAGTTGCCACCGTCACCAAGAGGCTCCGTTGGCGCCACCGACTCACCTCCGCAAGGCAGCGGTGCTCCTCATTGACGATCGGCGAGTCCTTCAACCACTGCTTGCTTTTCTCCGCGTGGTAGATCTCCTTCCCCTGGTCCTCGGCCTTCTCTTCGAAGGTCTTCAGCAAGGCGCGCGCGCCGGTGGAGTGGTTCATCTCGTCAAAGATACGCGTGATGTTTTGATTCGCGTACTGCAGGATGTACTCCGCGCCGCCGGGGTGTTTGTTCAGCACGAAGGACATGGGCACGAGGATGCTCATGCCTTGATAGAAGAGCCGCACGTAGACTTCGGCGTCAGACATGATGAAGGTAATATATATATCAGCTATGCTAAGTGTATAATTATATTTTGATGGAAGGTGGTGGATGGAAAGTGGTCTTCTCTCTTCTAGTGGTGCCAGAAAGGTTAGCCAGCGTGCACTAGCTTGACTGAAAAAATAAGATTATCACGGAAGCGAATGCGTAGAATCGCGAAGGTTCATAAGGCTTTGTGTTTGTAAAAGCGCTGAATGCAGGTGAGGAGGAAACGAAGTCATGCCGAAAACAAAAAGGGAGTGGCGAATGCGGAGGAGATGAACAGCGAAGAGATGGGCAGCTGTACCTTTAATTCGGTGCGGAATGCGCACCATTACCGCACTGAAGAGCGCATCGACGCAACGAAGAGACTTCGTGGGCTGCGTCGCGTATGCTGCGTCCCATCAGCGATCTTGACACTTCCTGATGCAACGCCATCCAAGACGGCGAGGCAGCCGTGCTTGTCTTTCGCCCTCTTTTATATCCGGAGTGGCGGTCCATCTCCTCCACCGCGCAGCGCACGTGCGAGTTTGTTCGATGTACAACGGGCGAGCTGATGCTCACACACACACACACACACACACACACATGTATTTCCGCAACTCTCGGTGCTTCATCCACAACGAATAATAAGAATGAGAATAAAACACCAATAAAAATAACACTCCCGTTGGCGACATTCAAATCAAAACAAAAACGAAGAAGAGCACTTCATGAAGATCACCGCAAAGAAGAGAACAACTTCCATAACGTGGAAGAAGACAAAAAAGGAGGCTACGAATAAGAGGACGAATAATGAACATCAAGAATCTACAAAGAAGGGCCGTTTGAGACGCTAAACACAGGAGGTGGAACACCATGCAGCGGGCACCACAGTCGGGCAGCCGGTTCAAAAGCGCACACTGGCCAGGTTCGGTCGCGCCTTCTCACACACCTGGCAGTAGAACACCGAGTTGGGGTTGAACTTGCTGCACCCGCCGTGCTCCACCGAGCACACCCAGTACCCCTCCGGGCATTCAAACCCGGTCCCAAACGCGTCCGCACCGCCACCACCGCCGCCGCCGCCACCCGCAACCCTCAGCGGATGCGGATTCGGTGCCATGCAAATTTCACACATCGACTGTGCACGGCTTTCGTTGATGTACGTGCACACCTCACACTGCCACGGTGCATCCACGTCGTCCTCCTCCGCCTCCTCCTCGTTCTCCGCCGCGCCTGCCGCCTCCTCCTCTGGAGCGTGGGCAGCGGCCTCGGCAGCGGCGGCGGCGGCAGCGGCATCCTGCGCGTACTCCTCATCTCGCACCCGTTTCGGTTTGGGCGACATGCACATCTGACACGTGTTGCTCGACGAGGGGTTGTGGAACGTGCAGGTGTCGCAGGTCCACTGACTGGCGTAGGCGGTGCTGCTGGCGCTGCTGGTGGCTCCCTTTGTGTTAGAGGCCTTCGCAGCGGCGGCAGCGGCGGCCGAGGTAGAACGGGATGTCCGCACGGCCTCCGTGCGTGCATGTAGCGTCTCCGCATTCAGGCAGGGGAGAAGCGTGAAGAGCTCCTCGACTGTCACAGATTGGTCCTCGTTCGACACCACAGCGGATGCGTTCGTTGCCTCTTCATTGTCACTGCCGCCTCTGCGGTGTTGGTGGACCAGAAAGAGCAGCGCCCGCTCCGCCTCCTGCACACCGATTCTCTTGAACACCGCGGGGAACGTCTCGGTCAGCATCTCCGCCACCCGCCCCACCGTGAAGACGGGCGTGTGGGTGGAGGAGAGCGCCTGCGAGAGGGCCACCGTAAAGTTGTCGAAGGCCTGCTGCACTGGCTCCGCCTCGCGGCGCACGCGGATGGACACCTTCGGCCGCGCCGCCCGGACCACCACCTCTGCCAGGTCCTCCAAGCCTTGCTGCATGCGCTTGCCGAGGGCGAGCTGCCGCAGGTAGGGCTTGTCGGCCTCCGACACAAACAGGACGGCGATCGGCGCGTCCTCCCACTGGTTGCGGCTGCGGCGGCGCACGCGCAGGCACTCCGTGAAGAACTGCAGACGGTTGGACGGCGTCATCGCCCCGAGCACCTCCTCCAGCACCGTCAGCTGCCTGCCGGAGTAGAACATGTCGCTGTTCAGGAAGCGGTACAGCAGCACCGCCTTATCAGCGGCAGGATCGCACGCACTTGGGTCGTAGTCGCCCGAGGCGGCGCTGGCCGGTCGCACGTGCAGGTGGCGCAGCGCCTGCACGCCTTGACGGTGCACCACGGCGGCGAAAGGAGCCGTGGCGTCCATGTAGGCCCCATTCGAGGCAAACCGCAGCGCCACGCGGAAGTTCTGCTGGACGTAGCGCGAGTGGTGCACCAGCCAGCGGAGGGACTCGCCCTCTGCCAAGGTGACCAGTCCGGAGCACATCTCCTTCTCTCCGACAGAGCTCGCGTTGTTATTAGTCGTGGCGGTGGTGTTGGTGGTAGATCGGTTCGGCACCCACTCGAGGAAGAGGAACACATTCTTCAGCCGTCGCTCACCGACGCCGTGCCAATCCAGCCGGAAGTAGTTGTCGCTCACCATGAACTGCGGGTCCACCTGCAGCTGTGGCTGACTCGCGCGGATCTGAAACGTGTTCATCTGGTAGAAGCAGCAGCCGTGGCTAGGTCGCACCGTGGCGGAGGCCACCGTACCACACGTGTGTAGGGTGTCGACGGCCCAGGCGATCTGGCTCTCGTCGTCACGCGAGAAGGCAGACACGCGCTGCTCCTCCTGCTCCGCCTCCTGCTCCTGCTCCTCCTCAGCCTCCTGCTCGTGAACAATTTCTGCGTTGAGGTCCATCGTCTGGTGCACGCCATCCTCCGCACCGTCCTGTCCACGTGTGTCCGTGTCCTTCTTTGCCGCCGTGTTCGTCGCCGCAGCAGTTGCAGCGGTGGTGGCAGCGGTGGTGGCAGCGTGTGAGGCTTGGATACTGCGCCGCATGCGGTCCATCAGCTGCTCCACCAACTGCAGCGACCCCGTATCGCCCGCAATGAGCTGCGAGGGGCGGGCGGCTAAGATGTCGCTCAGGTGTTCGCTGAACGTTGGAGCCGGCGCGATCTTCGCCGCCACCGGGTACTGGATCACCTCGCGGAACTCCTCGATCGACGCACGCAGCAGCTCCACCGCGGGCAGCGGCGCGTCACCGTGCAGCACCTCTCCTTTCACCGCCCCCTCCTCCTCTTCGTTGGCGTGATGCTGTCCGGCAGAGAAAGACTTGGGACGCTCCAGCTGGAAGCGGCGGCAGCGCTGCCACCCGGTAAAGAGCTCCGCGTGCGCGTTGGCGTAGCTGGAATCGCGCAGCAGGTGCGCAATCGCCTTCTTGCGCCACACGTTCGCCAGCTCCTGTAAGGACAGCTTAAAAAACTGCAGCCCTTCGATCTTCATGGAGTTGAGCAGCAGCCAGGCCGGGACGTCCTTCAGCATGTCGCCGGTGCGGAAGCCGGCCCCCAGTGCCTCGTGAATGCGCGAAACCACTTCGGGAATCAAGTACAGACACAGCCGCTGGCCCTTGCCGATGCCACGCATACGATACGCCCCCTGTGCGTAGTCGCGGAAGACGAGGTCCTTGCCAAACGTAATCACCGCCACCGCCGTCGCAGACTGCTTCACATCGGTGCCGGTGGTGTGCACCTGGTCAAAGAAGGTGAAGCGGCGGGCCAGTGGAACACCGCACTGGGAGACGGGCACGACGAGGCCGTTGTCGCGCTGCAGGATCATCTGACGGTCGCGGCGGTCGAGGAAGACGACGCCGTCGAAGAGCGCGGCAGGGAGGCGGGACAGTAAATACTTCGCCACCTCTTCGTTGTCCATGTTGGTGATGAGCGCGCCCGCGTCGATGAGGGCGGAGTAGGGCGGCTGCGCAGCGGCGATGCGGTCCAGCAGGCGCAGCGGGGTCCAGCTGTCGGGCAGGACTTCCGTGTGGGCGACTTCTGGGTTGGTCAGCACCGACAGCACGCGGCCGTCGCTGCCCGGCTCGTAAAAGCACTCGCCCAGGTCCAACGGCAGCAGGTTGCTCGGTGTCCCGCTGAAGCCGATCCGCTTCGTGAAGAGCATCGACGAGCCCAGCTCGTGACCGCAGGCGCTGATCTTCAGTTGCTGGAAGTTCATCGTCCGAGGGAAGATGGTGGAGCACAGGTAATAGTGAATCACCTCTGGCACGCGGTGCAGAAGGTGGTAGAGGGACTGCATCTGCGCCTTGTCGGTGACCTGCAGCTGCGACAGCGGCACGCCCGCCCGCTCAAAGGACCGCAACACGTCCTCCTCGGATTCGGCGTCCCGCCCCATCCGCGCCGCACTCGCCGACATCGCCTCTGCTGCCTTCTTGGAGGCTATCACCCGATCCGATGTGCTCAGCCGCAGCCAGTGCTTGTACAGCTTCGCCGCTGGACGGTGCTCCTTTGGCCCGGCCTGTCGTGCAAAGTCCTGCTTCAGCTGCGTCACCAACTCCTTCACATCCTGCACCCGCAGGCCTTCGTAGCGGAAGGCCAGAATGGTCAGCCCCAGCACCACGTCGGGGTGGGCGAACTCCGAGCTGCGGCTCGGAACATCCTTCGCGACAAAAGGCACCGCCATCATCTTGCGGCTGTACGGCATGCGCGCCGCATCGCCGCTGAGCGCCAGGTCGTTTGGCTGCAGGACACCAAAGCTGACGCGGTCGATCTTCGCCAGCACGTGCGGCAGCAGACGGTGTAGCCAGTCGTGGGCGAGGTTCAGCAGCTGGAGGCCGTAATGGGGCATGTGCGCGTTCAGCTCTCGTGACACCTCGCTATCCGCGTCGCCCTGCTTCGTGGGGGAGAGCAGAAAAGGCTTCGTCGCGACTATAAAAGCATCCAGCGAGGCGTAGGCCCAGTGCTGACGCTCCTGCTCGGGCAGATGGTCCGCCATGTGGGCGTGCAGCCACAGCTGCAGCCACGGCACCAGCGCCGGCAGCAGCTGCTCCACATAGTAGTGGCCGGGGTCGAGTAGGACGAGGTGCGGCTCACGCTGGAGCGCGCGAAGGCGGAAGCCGTTCATGATGGCGCTTCGAATCACACTCAGCGAACGACGACGTTGCTCCTCAGCCACATCGTAGTACACTTCTGTTGAGTCACCCTTGGCAGCGCTGGCACTACCTGCCCCTCCGCCGCCGCCGCTCGTCATCGTCACCGTTGCGGCTGCGCTGGAGGCACCAAACTTCAGCTGCTGCTGTGCGTCCTCGCAGGCGCGTCCTTGCTGATAGGCGAAAATGCCATCCAGTAGGTGGATCGGCAGCAGCCATCGTGGGCCGCTCATGTCGATCGGGTGCTTCAGCCCAATCGGGAAGTTCAACTCGGAGCGCAGGGGGTGCAGCAGCACGTCCACCTCGTCCATAATCAGTACCCCACGCTTCCACAGCTCCAAGATCGGCGTGATCGCGTCCGCCAGAGCAGAGCGCTCTACCATCTTGCGTCGCAACGCCTTCACGTGCGTCGCGTAGCGGTCATCGGCGGTCTCGTCCAGCTCCATGTCCGCCGTCGGCACGCTCTCAATCATGTGCAGCTGCTCAATGCTCTTCAGAAAGAGCGACTTCACGCACTCCGGCGCGGCGATCACGACGGAGCGGTCCTCCTCGGCGGACTTCAGCTTCTGGTAGAGCAGCTCGACGCCGTCGCTGGTGCCGTCCTCGTTGCTGCGGTCAAACTGGACGGTGTAGATGTGCTTCGTCACGACGACGCCGAAGCAGCGGCGTAGGATGCCACGCGTCTGCTCCAGCAGCGCCGTCGGCATCACCTGTGTCACGAGCTGCTGCCCGTCGGCGAGGATGAGGGCGAGCAGCGGGCCGACGACGGTCGTCTTGCCCTGCCCCATGATCATCTGCTGCACACGGGACTGCCCCTCGCAGATGTTCCGCACGAACCACTCCACCATCTCCACCTGGCGAGCGCGCAGGAGGATGTTGAAGAGGAACTCGAAGACGAGGAAGCGGGGGTCGAGGGTGGCAGTGAACGCTTCTGCTTCTGCGGCGGCAGCGACGGTTGTGGTGTTGTTGCTGCGATTCAGTTGACCATCCGTTGAGGAGGAAGAGTCAGCGGTCTTGTGGATGTGGACGTAGGTGCGACGTGCCATCAGTGTATCGAGCGCAGTGTTGGCGAGCTGCTGGAGACGCCCCGTTACAATGTGGCGTGCCTCCTCGGAGAGCGTGCACAGTACTGTGGGTGCGGCAGCCTCCTCGTTGCAGTTGTGCGAGTCGTTGCCATGGTGGTGATGCTGGTTCTGTGCCGCGATGAGCTGCGTGAGCGTTGTCGGATCAATCTCCAGCGAGAAGTGCTGCACGAGCTCGCGGACACGCGCCTTGCGTGCCACCTGCGTCGCAGCTTTGGTCGAAGTCGCATCCTTCACCGTGTGCACAGGAGGGCTTACCCCACGCAGCTGCCCACACAGCTCCAGGAACAGAAGAAGCTGCTGCACCGCCTGTGCTGCCTGTTCCGCAAAGTACATGCGGTTACTCAGCAGCATCAGCAGCATCAGCTCCGCCTGGATCTGCGCGACGGAGCCGTGGAAATTATTTTGCGCCTTCAGGTCCGACTCCAGCGTGGTGCTGAGCAGACCCGCACACAGCCACTCCAGTGGTACGGCGACACGAGACTGCTCCGCGCGCTGCAGGAAGTGCACCAGACGCCCATGATCCCATCTTTGTGGGTGTCCAGCGGCACCGTGATGACTTCCCTTACCGGGATGCACGGAGTTGGCCAGGCTGAGCAGCGAGGCTCGCAGCCGCATCACGCGGATCGCGTCCTGCTCGCCCAGCGCATGCAGGCGCTGCACGCACTCACCGAGCGTCCGCACCGCTTCCGACAGCGTGGCATTCAGGACGGCCGCCTCGGTAGTGGTCAGCATCTCCCGCACCGCCGCTGTGGACAGGCACTGGAAAAAATAGGGGCGCTGGGCCTGCTGCTGGTCACGGAAGCGCAACGAGTCTTCCTCCAGACGGTCCAGCATGTTCTGCGCCAACGGGGTACGCGAGAGGGGGTGGGTGCGAAGGTCAAACGGCAGCACCGAACCGGTCGCAGACGCCTCTGGCAGCGATGGCGTGTCCCCCTCCTCGATAACGCTGCCCAGCAGATGCAGGGAGCTCAGCGGCTCCGTGCACAACGCCTGCAGAGCCGCACGGCGTGCGACAAGGACGTCCCTCTCCGCAGCGTGGTGCGCCTCGCGGAAGTACTCGCCAGAAATGTCGCCCTCACGCAGTTGCAGCTCTTCTCTTCCGGTGTTCGCTGGTACCACGCGACCGCGCAGGTGGTCGTACATCCCCACCGTGATCATCTGACTCTCCGGCGTGCGCTGCCGACTCTCCTGCCGGGCGGTGCGCACTGCGGCGGTGATGGAGCTTCGCTGGAAGAGCTCCTGCGCCAGGTTGTGGATCCGGTTGAAGATCTCCGGTATAGAGCCACGCCGTCGCCGCGCCGCCGCCGACTCGTCGCCGATCAGCGTCACGTGAAAAGCTTCCGCTGGCTCGTGCTCTTCCGTCAGCGACACACCGCGCGCGAGGATGTAGCGCTCGGAGGTGTCCGCCGGCGCCGGCCAGTCCGCCTCGGGGAACATCTCCATCAGCTGCAGCACCGTCCCACACCACGACGGGGCTGCCTCCGTCTCGCCGCCGTGCTGCGACTCCCGCCCCCACCGCGCGTGGCGGAGCTGAAACCAGCGGCTGAGGAGCTGGGAGAGGGTGACGCCCACCGGCAGCGTGCCTAGCATCGGGGTCACCGCCCCGCGCTTGATGCTGTACAAGAAGTAGAAGCCTTTCTTCGCGTTGGCGCCGCCCTCCTCGTCAGACAGCAGCTCATCGTTCCACAAAAACTCGACCAGCTTCTCGTCCTTCACCAGCTCCGGGCTTTGCAGGCTGTAGGTGACGCGCTTCAATTTCTGCGGAGCAATGCGCTCCCACGGGTACAGCAGCAGTCGCTCCCACGGAAAGCGGCAGCGCTCCATCGCCGGCGTCCGCAACTCCACCGGTACCCGCGACGACAACGGCGGCGTGTCCTCGTGGCGGTGCAGGTTGTGCTTGGGGTCCGCCGCATGCTTGTGCTCCTCCTTCACATATCCGGCGTACAGCTCCAGTTGACTGCGCACCAACGGCACCGCCTGCGCGCACCGCTTGAGCAGATCCAGCACCTCGCCCCGCGAGAGGCGGCAATCTTCCGCCACGTGGTGCTTCGTCGTGAGGTACATGGCCAGCTCCGTCGCCAGCGGCCACTGGTAGGTGTTGGAGCTGTACTGCACGGCGTGGGCCAGCTTCAGCCGCACCGCACAGGCGTCGGGGTAGCGGTCGCCCATAGTCCGCTCCATCAGCGCAAACATAAACGCCTCCTCCGCGGAGAAGCCGCTGTCGGTGTAACAGGACTCGAGGGTGCGCATGGCACCGGCGTAGTGCTGCGTCGCACACTGCATGACGGCGTAGTAGAGCGACGCCGACAGCGACGGGGGCATCACAAAGCTGCTGCTGCTATGCACCACGTAGAGGTAAAACGGCGAGGGGACCGCCTCACGCCAAGTGTAGGAGGAGCGATCAAAGAGCAGCATCAGGTTGAAGGGGTCCTCGTCGATCCGCATGGGGGCGAAGTCGTGGTTCGGGCAGAGGAAGGCGACCTCCTGGGTGCTGTTGCAGAGCAGCAGACACTGTTGGAAGGGCGCCTGCAACGTGCGCAGCTGACGCCAACGGGCCTCGTGGAAGTCATCGCCTTCGGCAAGGCGCCAGCCGGGTTGATCCGCGAGGTAGAGTCGGAGACGGCTGCTAGTGCCGTCGGTGCTCGTGTAGAAGCGGACACGCAGCCGCGGCATCTCAATCAACTCAATATGTACCCAGCCGTCGGCGCTGCTCGGGTCCTGGACACGCAGCGGGTCGGGCACGCGCGATGCACCTTCTTCATCTCGTTCCACTTGCCCTGCGACGCCTTTCGCATCCGGTGCGCACCGCTTACCCCACACCAGAATGTGCGAGCAGTCCTCCACACGGGTCAGCATCTGCAGCAGGTAGGAGAGATGGCGGCACTGCAGCAGGTTCACTAAGACGTAATCGCACGAGCGCACCGCAGCCTCCGTCTTGACGGCACGCGGATCGACGTCCGCCGTCTTGCCGTTCGCCTCACCCGCCTCCGCATCCCGCTGCACCATGGCGAGGAGGGCGTCCGTGTTGGCCGGCGACGAAGCCCAGGTAAGCGCCGCGGCGATGTCGCCGTGGGCCTGCCGCAGCAGCTGCACACATACGGCCTGGGGCAGGTGCGACAGCGCCTCGTGCAGGAGGGCCACATCCGCCGCGGCAACGTGCACGGTGGCTCCCTCAACGCCTTCTTCCTCTCCTTCGCCATTCTCCTCCTCCGCCGCCGCCTCTCCCTCGTTGGTGTGCAGCCCCGCCGTGCTCGTGGCCCGCTGCAGCATGAGCCGGTGTGCTCCCCGTCGTGTGTCGGCCACCGTCTTACTGCGGCCCGCGCTATCCTCGTTGTCCTTCAAGTCGACCATCATCGAGTGCAGCTTGTCGTTGCGGCGCACCACCACGCACGCAGCAGAGGAGACCGACGTCGTGGCTTCGCCGGTGGGCGACCTCGACGTGCGGCCCACGTGGAGGTGAATCTCAATGCTGTAGTTGAACCAGTGATCCATCACCTCCCCGCCGGTCCCTTTGCGTTTTGCGCTCGCGCCTGATAGCGCAGCGTCCTGCAGCACCGAGGCAGACTCGCTCTCCTCCGACAGCGGGTACCCGCGGAGCACATCGTCCTCGCCCTGCCACATGAAGAAGGACTCCAGCAGTACACTCGGGATCAGACCTTGCAACAGCCGCGCAGGGACGTAAACTTCACGGCCGCGGATTGCGGCGTTGTAGCGGTGAATCTCCAGCGTGCTCTCGTTGAAGATACGCCGCTTCAGCTCACCCGCCTGGAAGGCCGTCACGGCCAGCGACTCCCGCGTGCGGATGCCCGTCATGAGGGCCATGCTGTGCAGGCAGTAGTGCTGATTTGTGCTGAAGACGAGCGAGCGGAACAGCTTGCGGGCGTGCGGGACCAGGTTAAACAACTCAATTCGTGGCTGTGGGTAGCGGTAGGCAACGGCCTCCTTCCAGGTCGCACGCTCGATTTCATCCTCGTACTGCGGTGCGTCGCTCATGAGGAAGCGCATCTCATAGCGGTGCAGCGCGGGCACTACCGACGACGCACTGCCGCTGCCTTCTCCCTCCACCGAGTCAACTCCCCCTGCGTGGATCAGCGCGGGGGCGAGGGGGAAGAACTTCATGCCGTTGGGGTAGGCAGCTCGCAGCACATCCCGCAGCATGTTCACGGCCCAGCGCTCCTCCTTGTAGGACCACGGGTTGTCGTCCTCCACGGACACCACGCGGTCGTACGTGACGCCGTCGAAGAGTGCACTCTCCGCCGCTTCTGCGGGCCAGTTGCCGGCCACCACAAAGGGGTGGTGCACCCCCTGGTCCGCCACGCTCGGCGGCGCCGTCCACTCAATCACGTCGTACGGGGTCCCGACCAGGTGCACCCAGTGGCGGTGCTCATGGCGGCTCACGAGACCGCACTGCAGCGCATCCTTGCCGAGTATGTTCTCGAAGTCGGTGAAGTGCGACATGCTGTCGGGGACCGGCTTCAGCTCGTCGTTGCGCCAGAACAGCTCGCACGTCTGCGCGTGGAAGAGAAGACCGCTCGTGATGGGCCCTTTGTACACCCCAGGCGACAAGACGGACCACGCAGGGGATGTGGCGGCCGCTGCTGCGCCCTCCGCGGAGGCGGCTGCAAGCTGTCCTGCGCCACTGCTGCTGTTCGTGTCCTCTTCTCCCATCATGGAATCCAGGTTGGCAGCGCTTGCCCGCGCTGACAAGTTCGTCGAGCGGCTGCGTTGGCGAAGACGCTTGCGCTCTTGCGGCGCTCCCGCTGCTCCGGCGCCGGCGGCGGACAGCTTCTCTCCCCCCTCCCCGTGGTCGCGGAGAACTGACTGGACAACGGAGAGAAGGACGCTGCCGCGCTGCTGTGGAGTGAGACTGTCGAGATACGTCGTGATGAGCTGGTGGTCTTCCACCAGGTCGCTGAAGAGCACATTTTCCGGCACGTCAGCGGGTGGCAGCTTCAGCAACTTCGACTCGGTCGTGCTGCTCGGGTCACTGTGAAGAAGGTTCGGCACGCGAACGGTGTCGTTGTAGTTGCGGCTGCGAATCTGCACAAAGACGGCGCGGCGACGACCGCCACTCATCGTGAGCTGCTTGCCCTGCTCCAGCATCTCCTTCGACACCCGCGACGTGTCGAGCCCTTGGGCCTGCAGGAAGCGCAGCATCTTCTCCTCCGGGCTCAGCAGGTTGTCGCCCTCCTGCGCGGCAAGCTGGCTGCGCTGCATGCCCATGCCAAAGCCGTGTCGTGCCCGCACAAACGCGTAGGATTGCAGCATGTGGATCAGGTGCACGTGGGGGTCCTGCGCGGACTCCTCCTCCGCCGAGGCGCCCGTTCGAAAGCTTAGATGGTGGTGCTCTCCTGCGCTTGCACCAGCGGCGCTTGTCGTCGAGAGAGAGGAGCGGTAGCCTTTCCAGAGCGCACGGTCGACTCGGCTCATGTGGGAGTGAATGACACACTGCGTGGGGGTGTCCGTGTTCTCCTCGCTCTCCTCTAGCCAGGCCCACAGCAGCGGCTGCACAGTGGAGACAAAAAACTGCAAGAAGTAGCGGTGGTACTCACCCATCAGCTGCAAGGCGGCGTCACGCTGTCCCGTGGCGGGCGTGGCGCTGTGGTGCGACGCAATGAAGCGACAAAACGACAGCACGTCGCACATAAGGCCCACAACATAGAGGACATAGGACGCGTTGCTGCTGTACACGGAGCTGGGCCCTAACTCCGTAATGCTCTCCAGAAGACCCCGCAAGGGGCGCAGCACCCCAGTCGGCGCGTGGGTCAGCTCGTTCATCAATACGCCGTAGGTGGTGCCAAGGCAGTCCTCAAAGTTCTGTTGGCTGAAGTCGCCACGAAGACGGCGTAGCTCGATCATCTCCCGCTGATCCTTGCTTAGCCGCATCGGCACGGCGCGGGGATCGGCCTGCGCTAGCATCACCGGAGACGCGTACGCCGCCGGCTCAAACAGCACGGAGCGCAGCAGCTCCTGCACCTCCGCCACGAAGAGATACGTATGGCGGTCCTGCGATGCAAAAAAGTCGAGCACGAGTGGGATGCGCAGGTACGGGGCCGTCAGGCACGACAGCAGCACCTCCGACTCCTCCACGCTCATGGTGCCGCCAAACGTCGGCAGGACCTTCGCGTGCAGCACGTCGTCCTCCGTGGGGTGGTCTACCTCGATCATGCGAGAAACGTCGATCGGGGAGTGCAGGGCCAAGCCCTCGCCGTACATCACCTCTCGATCACCAAAGCCCTTCACCGCGATGTCGGCCACATCCATGTCGCGGCCACGCACCATCAGACACTCCCAACGCGGCGCCGACGGGCGCGTGCGCCACCCTGCACTCATCTGTCGCCCTGGCGCGTCCTCCTCAAACGAGATGCGCCATGAGGCGAGCGGGTCGAGCTCCTTACGGCGGTGCAGCAGCTGCGCATCCCGCATCTCCATCGTCCCCATGAACTTCGCCAGCAATGTCATGTCCCGCATCATGCCAAACGCGGGGTGCTCCTTCGCCAGTGGGGAGCGGGAACTGCAGAGCCACTCCATGAGCTTCTCCATCTCCGACGAGGCACCGCCAAAGAGCCCGCCAGACTGCTCCAACGAGTAGCCGGCGTTCGCCAGCACCGACTTGAGGAAATCGACGGTATGGCTATTCTTGAAGAGCTCCAACTTGTCCGGCATGCGCAGATCGAACAGCTCACGGCCCGAGAAGGCTTTCTGCTGCGCTTCAATGTAGCGCAGCACGGCGGAGCGAATCGGAAGGAGCTGCGGACGGGTGAGCTGCAGCGTGGCCGCCATCTTCGCAAAGTCAAGGTTCTGCTTGCCCTGCGTGGTCGAGAGGTAGTAGCCGCTGCCCTCCCCGCTACTCAGCAGCAGCGACAGCAGTCGACACTTGTTGCTGCCCTTCAGTTGCCGCAGAATCGCATCGAAGACGAGGAGCATGTCCACCGAAATGAGGCAGCGCTCCGCGTCGAAGCTGCGCGTCGGCGTCTCGACGGCCTGCCATGCGTTCGCCAGGGATAGCATGAGGTAGTACACGCTCTCCAGCATCGTCAGCTGCGGGTCCGCGGCGTGCGGGTCCGGCTCCTCCCCTTCTGACGGTGGCGGTGGAGGGGGCAGGCTGTCCTCCGTGTAAAAGCTAGAGACGCACCAGCGCTCCTCTTCGGGGACGGCGTCCATCGCGTAGCTCGCCGGCAGCGGGACGGGCACCAGCGTCGAGAACAGCCACGCGATGAACTCGATAATGTGCAGCTGGACCGCCACACGGGAAGCGGTGCCGCTGTTGCCGGCGCGCTTCCACAGCGTCTCCACAACGACCTGCGCGCGTGAGAGCAGCGTCGACAGCTCCGCGTAGCTGGTGGCCCTGGTCAGGTCGTGGATGCCCGGCAGTGCTGGAATGGAACTCTCGAAGGCCTTGCCGTAGTAGGACGCCACCGACGCCTTGGGGAGCAACTCCGAGTTCTGGAAGACGCCGTCGCGCGTTGGGTCGATGACCTCCTGCATCATCGCGTCCACCGTGCGCTCCTGCGTCGCATCGTCCGCCGTGGCACTCGTGAAGGCACCGGACACGGTCGCGACAGCGCTGGAGCGCACCTGCGTGGTAGAATGAATGAGCTCCTGCACATCGTCGTGCGGCAGCGCCGTCACCACCGCCTCGACAGCGTGAATGAGCTCCACCACACGCTGCACCACCGCGTCCTGCCCGGAGACCGGGGGCTGATGGCGGTCGAGGCGCTTCTTTGTGTGGTGGGCGAGTTGGCTGGCGCCCACGCGCAGCAGCTGCACGTCGGTCGCGGAGAGCGGCACCGCGCCCCTCCACGGACCGTTGGGGAACTGCGCCGCCTCCGGGTCGGTGCGCAGCGCTGCCATGCCCTGCCGATGCAGCAGCTCACCGTCCTTCTGGAAAACCAACAGCTCCGGCATGCTCGTCAGCTCCATCGTATTCACCACGGCAAAGCACGGGTAGGTGGCGCGGGGGAAGTCGAACATCGCGCTGTGCTCGTCGAAGTCCTCCTGCGTCTCGTCGCAGCTGAGAAAGACAACCTCGAGAGCGTCGGGTCCGCACTTCCGCTTCATCGTTGCCACCGCCTCCGCCAACAGCGCGGAGGTCTCCTTGCCGCTTGGCGTCTTGAGGCAGGCAACGTACAACAGCAGCAGCTTCCCCTTCAGTGCCGCCTCGTCTAGGATTTTGTTCTGCTTGTCCTTGATGTAGACGCGGTTGTCCTGGAGGGTAAGCCAGACCGAGTCGAGGGAGAGGTTGGCCGCAGTGTCGTTGACGCCGGCCGCCTTCAGACGCTCCAGTGCACCACGAAGTCTCTTTTCACTCTCGTGTGGCAGCGGTGCATTCGTCGACGTGGCGGCGGCGGCGGCGGACGCGGCCGCAGCGGGAGTGGCCGTCGCAGATGGCATCTCGGAAAGGAAGCGGCGCGAGTAGCGAGATAAGTCCTCGGCAGCGCGCATGAAAAACTCGTACTTGAGCACGTACTTGATGCGCTTCTTGTCATTCGTCGTCAACGCCGGGTAGTAACGCTCCAGCAGGTAGCAGAAGGCGGTGATGAGAGACTTGATCGCGCTAGAGGAGCTGCAGGTCGGGCTCGTGGCGTGGTGCATGATGAACGGCGCAAATGGAGATGACACGACGGAGGAGCTGGCGGCAGCGGTCGACTTGGACGGCCGCTGCGCATCCGCCGAGGAGCTGCCCGTCATGCGCAAAATGAGCTCCGTGGTGAAGCGGGTGGACGTCAAGAAAGAGGTGGGCGACGTGCCGGCGCCATTCGTAGCATCCTCTCCCAACCGCCGACGCTCGTCTGGCATCTTCTCGACCAGCCACGGCAGCAACACGTCGTAAAAGACCTCCGCTCGAATGAACTCGGATCGATTTTCCGGGTCGTTGTGCCGCATCCACAACGACAGCAAAAGCAGCCAAAATGTTCTGTCCTGCAGCTGTGTCGGGGAGACGTCGTCGAACTTCAGAATGGGGCAGCTGACAATCTTCTCCGCGGTCTGCCAGCGGGGGTGGTAGTCCTGCCCTTCATTGCCGCGGTTCACCACGACTAGGTCGTAGACCTCCGCCGCCCTGCGGTGTACCAGAAGGTACATGATGTTGTGCGCCCGCGTGCCGATCCAGCCGGAGGGGATCATCGTCCACTCCCCGGTCGGCAGCCGCGCAATGCGCTGCACGCACCTCTCCACGATCTCGAGCACCGTGGGCGGCTGCACCGCCTTGCTCGCCTCCACGGTGAAGTCGTAGCAGGAGCGCACGGTCCCGTGTGCGCGCTGGAGCGCCGTGCGGAGGTCAGCCGGGATGTCGTGCAAAAACGGGTGCGACACGGTGGCGGCACCCTCCTGGCCCAGCACCTGGAGAAGCTTCGTGCTCGTCGCGGACGCCTTTGGCTTGCTGCCCGCCCCCAGCGTGTTAAGGCGGCACAGGATGACATCGAAGCACAGCAGCGACAGTAAGGTCGTGCCGCCCTCGAGAGGATCGCCGCGGCCGGCGACGTACGGGTCGGCCATGAAGCCACCGTAGGCGGGCAGGCGCCAGAAGCTGTAGGGCAAGTTGCGCAGCCGGCGCTCGCGCTCCTCCTCCTTGTGCTTCTCCTCCCCCGACGGCGCGTTGGCCTTCACCACCTCCGCCGCGGCAGATCCAATCAGCATCAGCTTTGTCTTGTCCTTGATGCCCAGAGCAGGCAATGGTGTGTCGTCCGCCTTTGATTGAAGGTTCGGCTTCCCCAGCAGCTTTTGCAAGGGCGGGAGAACGTTGGTGGCGTCATAGATAGCCGCCTTGAGAGCGCCAAGCGTCGCATCCCCAGCCACCTCGATGTCGTGCTTGGCAGAGCCGTACTTGACTTCAACGTGGATCATTGCGGCGGCTGATGGTAGTTGTCCGACACAGAAAAAGTTAAGAAGTTGATAGTTAGCTCGCTCAAGAAGAGTCGTCGGGCTTCTCAGGACGGGTGCAGCACCGTCAGCAATCGTTGTGTGATCGATAGGGACGATGGCTGCGATGCGAACAAAAAAAAAGAGGCGGCGCGAAGGTGTGCTGAAAATGAAAAAAAAAGGAAACTGTTTTCCTGCTACAAATCAGTGGAGAGAAAGCAACGGCCTTTCCACGCCTTAACCACCACAAAACAGAAGAAGAAGAAAAAGATAAGATCACAGACACAGAGCCACGAAGAGAAATCGAATCCGTTTGGCAGCTGTAGAAGCGAGGTGCGCAGTTTATAGAAGAAGCTTCACCCACCTTGCGTTACTTCACCAACGGTGATGCGCAGCCGCAGGAGAGCAAAAAGAAAAAAAAGAAACGAAATATCAACGGCTTCGCGAAGAAAAAGGCCCCAGTATGGAAGGCGTAGAATATGATGGTACACACAGCTCCTACGGTAGAACAAATACTGTTAGATATATATTTATGCTTGGCAACTTCTTTTGAGCACCAATTGGAAGAAGAAGAAGTGGACAGGAACGCACGAAATGAAGGGACATAAGAGGGGTGGAGGGGGTGTCTCCCGGTGGTACGCACAACCACTAAATTTTTCGAGGGAAAAGCGACCACCATGTCAACCAACGTGATGATACCCAGCACAACCACACGTAGTAGCGCGTCTGCGTCGACTCCTAAACTGTTACGCTGTCTCACCGTCGCACCTCGTAAGTGAAATGACGACCACAAATCCGCTTCGCACAAACAACTCATCTCCGACAGAATAGCAACGCTTGAACATAGACTTCCCGTGGCTTCTTCGGAGAGAAACTACGTTAAGCGCGTGCAGTTTAGTTTGGTAGCAATAGTCGTTTTTTTTTTTCCAGTTTGAGTTTGACATCTCCATATTTAACCAGCGTCTCCGAATCACGGCAGATATCAATAAAATCAGGGGAAAAAAGTTGCCGTTTTGAGAAATGCATCTGCAAGAACAAACAAAAGCACGTTGTGTCCTTCAAGCATCAGCTCCACCGCACCAGGAACGCATTTTCGCCTTTTATGACACCTTTCCAAGACACACTAAATCTCTCAACGTTTCGAATAGTAATGGCGCCGCGATCATGTGTCTTGTCGGTTAACACAAAGCACCCCGGTTTTTAACGTTTTTGATTTTTCTAAATTTCATGATGCGGTCCAAGTAAAAGATACGTTCGTCGTTGAAAAACTGGTGCTTTGCCGAAAGAGAGTATCGGCTACTGGGAGGACGTGCAAGTGTTGGTTATTATTAGTTTCTCGTCCCACGTTACTGTCTTCTCCAACTCTTAGGTGTTAGTGGCTGAGTCCGTGTCTCTCCGTGTGTCTCCCTAGTGATTCGTGCTCACTGCCGCCATACTCCGCTGAGTACGATGCTGCGGTGCATTCGCTAACGAAGAGGACACGAAATGCCGTGCTATCAGGAAAACAGTGTTCCTTTGGTTTTCTTGCCATTTTTGATATATGTGCCTTTTTAGCATATTAAATTACGAAAAAGCGCTGGTACCAACGTACCAACGCATGGATTGCCCTCCACCCCAACGCACTTCGTGTGTGAGAACCCTCCATCATGCTAAACAGGACAATAGAAAAAATAAGGAAGAAAAGTAGCTTTTAAAAAAGGGATTTGTAGAGCGAGGAAAAACCAAAACAACAACAAGACATATAAAATAAGAAGGAAGGAATAATTAAAAAAAGAAAAAGAAGAAGCGTGCGCCTAAGATCAGGAACACGGGAGCTGTTCACCCGTCGGAGGCTTCTTTTCCTGACTACGTAACTTGAGCGTAAGAGCGAGACGCCAAGCCTGATTTTTCGTGTGTGCACGAAGCGTACAACTCTTTGTTTCACAAACCACTCCGCTCTCCACATCTCTGCGCATTCGTGATGCCTCTTCGGTGCAACGCATGAGTGTGCGGCACGTGCGTGCAGCAGTGCCCACGCTTTTCCTCTTCGCCCTGATGAAGAAATGATGTAGAGCGAAGGAAAAAGGGGGAAAACAAAAGGACCTTGAAAGAGCGTTCGTCGCTGCGAAACCACCGGGAGGCAGAAACAAAGAGAACGCTAGCACACAGACGCACGCGCTTGAGCAAACCTGCATGATTAGGAAGAGGCACGCCCACACACACACACACGCGTTCTCACCAGCACGCTTCACTACCAGCATTAGCGTTTCACTACTCGATAAGGTTGAGCACGATACCGCCCATGCGGGACTCAAAAACCGGCGCAAACACGACGGAAATGATGGCCATGAGCTTCACCAGAATGTTCAGGGCTGGGCCAGAGGTATCCTTGAGCGGATCGCCGACAGTGTCACCGATGACAGCGGCGCCGTGCTGCGGGGAGCCCTTGCCCTTGTTCTTGTCACGGAGACCGCCCTGCTCAATGTACTTCTTCGCATTATCCCAGGCACCGCCAGTGTTCGAGGCGGAGATTGCCATTTGCACACCCGACACAATAGCTCCGGGCAGCAGACCGGACAGGGTGTACTTGCCGAACAGGATACCGATCACGATCGGCGTCAGCATCACGAGCGCCGCCGGCGGGATCATCTGCTGCAGCGCGGCCTGCGTCGCGATGGCCACGCAGCTCTCGTAGTCCGGCTCCTTGCGGCCCTCGGCGACCTCGGGGTCCTGGAACTGGCGGCGGATCTCGTTCACCATATCCATGGCGGCAATGCCGACAGACTTCATCGTCATGGCGGAGAACCAGTAAGGCAGCATGGCGCCAAAGAGCAGCCCCGGCATCACGTGCGCGTCGAGGATGTTCACCACCGGGATCGCCACGCGCGAGATGTAGGCGCCGTACAGGGCCAGCGCCACAAAAGCGGCAGAGGCGATGGCGAAGCCCTTGCCAATGGCCGCCGTCGTGTTGCCGGCCGCATCGAGGGCATCCGTAATCTCGCGGATCTCGTGTCCCATGTGCGACATCTCTGCGATGCCGCCGGCGTTGTCGGAAATCGGGCCGTAAGCATCGATCGTCAGTGCGACAGACATGGTGGACAGAATGCCGAGCGCGGCAAGAGCGAAGCCGTACACGTTACACATGCGGTAGGACACGTAGATCGTGACGCACATCGCCATGATCGGCGGCACCACCGACAGGTAGCCGAGCGCCAGTCCGTAGATAATGTTGGTGGCCGCACCCGTCTCGCACGACTCGGCAATCTCCTGCACGGGGCGGTACGCGTTGGACGTGTAGTACTCCGTCGTGTAGCCGATGATGAGGCCGGACCAGAGACCGCAGAGCACGCAGACAAGGGCACCCCAACGCGACGACTCTGTCTCGCCAATGCGGAAGGTCGGCGGCAGCGCCACCTCCGTGAGGAAGAGCAGCACGATAGTCGCGCCGATCGTCGACAGCAGCAGCTGGCGCTTCAGGGCAGGCTCGATGTCCTGCGAGCGGCGCACACCGCTGTTGGTTGCGCCGATGGTGGCCACGATAGTGCAGACAAGCACGCCGACCGCGGTGATCAGCAGCGGGTACATCATCGAGGTGAAGGACGCCGTCAGCTCCGCGGAGCCGGCAGCCACCACGAGAGCAGCGCAGGAAGCCTCGCCGAAGCTGCCGAAAAGGTCCGAACCCATGCCGGCAATATCGCCGACGTTGTCGCCGATGCAGTCCGCGATCACGCCGGGGTTTCGTGGGTCATCCTCAGGAATGTTGTTCTCGACCTTGCCGACAAGATCCGCGCCGACATCGGCCGCCTTGGTGTAGATACCACCACCCACCCGTCCGAAGCAGGCGATGGCCGAACCACCCAGACCGAAGGCCGCAACACACTCGTACAGCTCCGGCATCGTCTCGACCCCGTTGCCAAAGTACGCCGCAATGACCTTCACGGTGACAAAGAGAGCGAAGAGTCCCATCGAGGTGAGACCAAAGCCCATCGTGATGCCGCCGCGGAACGCCGTCTGGAAGCCGAGAGCGTAGCCGTTCGACTGGTCACCCTCGTCGCTGCCGCTGGTCGCCATGATGGCCGTGCGGGCGTTGGTGTAGACGGCGATGCGCATGCCGATCCAGCCAGCAGCCACGGAGGTGATCGCGCCGGCGAAGAACGCGAAGAGTGAGAGCCCGGCATTTGCCCACGGGGATTGCACGGCCTTCTGGCCCACCTGCGGAGCGGACAGAGCGATCCCGAGGAGGAAGAAGATAAGGGAGCCGAAGCCGATCATGAAGACGCCCATGTACTTGTACTCCGACAGGAGAAAAGCGGTGGCGCCCTCAGAGATGCGGGTGTAGATGACGTACACGTTGCGCATCACCTCGTCGGTGAGGTACGCGTTGCGCAGGCCCTGATCCTTGCCGGGGGTGACCTTGATGGCGGAGAGAACATACCACCAGTACATCGCGAAGGCAAAACCAGCCGCAGCCGACACGACGATGACCATGGACGTCGTCTCGGGTGACATCAGAGTGCGCACCGTCGGAGCAATCACGAAGTCACCAGCATTGCGGTTCGGGGCAGTGGTGTTTTGTGTTGCATTGTGTGAAGCCTTTACTGCCTCCTTCTTCGCCGTCACCACAACAGCGAGAAGAAGAACGGTCAGAAGGACCACCAGGCTCTTATGAACCATGTTTAAAAAAACGAAGAAGGGGTGAGAAGAAAATACTATTATTTCCTAAATGTTTGCACTTAAAACAGAAGAAGAAAAAGAAGAGAGCGATATTGAAGAAGCGAAACGGACTGTTTTGTGAGGAATAGCAGAAAACAAACACAGCAGAGGAGGAGAAGAGAAACGAGAAATGAGAGAAAATGTAGCCTACGGTACACAGAGAGAGAAGAGAAACACGTAGGACCTTTTGCTAGGAAAGGAATGCTGTCTGCAGTTAACGGTATGCAGATCGACTATTAATGTGCCTTCTTCAAAGCGTTGTACGCGGGGAGCAAGCATGCAACCTCAGTTGCTCGTGTTTCCGTGGAGTCGGTCTAGAAGTCGCACAGCAGAACTTCATTCCAAAGCAGCATCGATTACTCGAATTATCTGCGTGTTTTGTGTTCTAGACAAAACTGGAAAGGAGAAAGTAAAAGATATATATATATGGCCACTCAGGCTCCAACGCTCTTCATTCGCTTCAACTGAAAGCTCCTGTTCAAATAGGTGCAAAACACTAGTTAACATCCAGAAAGAAGGTGATCTAGAAATCCAAAAAAAAAGATCTTGATTGCTGGGTAGCTCCCTTTACAGCACTGGAATTCAGAAAAGGCGCTGTGCAGTTTTGTTTAAAACGTTCTGCTGCAACTCCTTTACTGCGCCGTAAGGAAGCAGTGTTGCTCTTAGTAACAGAGATTCCAAGCGAGGGAGTTGTTTGCTCAGTTTCTGTAAAGTGACGAGTGCTAAAGAAGAGATCGGATTAAAAGAGAGGTCCAGGTAAACAAGGTTTTCTCCCGCCGGGCCTTCTAGCATCCGGGATATTTGCTCAACCTCCTCGTTCTCAAAGTTGTTATTACACAAAGAGAGCGAGATGAGGTGACTACCGTTGAAATTCAGAAGCGCCAATACCGGCTTCAGACCCTTGACGCCTACGTAGTTGCTAGAGAGATCCAGTGTTGTAATGTAGTTCTCCTTCGCTTGCTTTAACTGACGCACGAGTGCAGAGTTTTCCGTGACACCATAAAAGCGGCACGCATGCTGGTAAACCTCCTCTACTCGTGTCCCTGCAGATGGCACGGGCATCTCGCTACGTGAGACACTGCGCTGCGCCTCTGAGAAAGCCTCCGTGACCGAGGAGCTGCGCTTGGCTCGCTCAGAGAAACTTTGATGTCGCGGTGTTGAAGTGGAAGAGCTGCTGCGGCTCCGCGCCAATTGTCTCTGCGAGCTTTGAGACCACGTCCTCACAACGGGAACGAGCACCACCGCTTGGGGAGGTGCCTCCTTACTCGTCGATCTCCGACTCCGCCTGCGATGAGACTCCGACGCTCCATCAGCGACCACCTGGGAAGGTGGTTTAGCAAACATGTCGTCGCTAGCAGCCAATTTGGAGAAAAAGTGGATGCGCTTCACGATCAACGTTTCGACATTTGCAAGCAGTGCTTGATCAGCAACTTTTCTCTCTGAGCTGGCAGGAAGATGAGAAGCCTGTTGATATATTTGCTTTAATGACTGAAACTGCTTGTCTGCGCGCAGTACCGCATACAAGGAGCCAAGTAGGACTCCATTCGTCCGTATCGGCAGGAAAGGAAGTGCGTTCTGTAGTTCTTTCGACTTGTCTAGCAGCTCTTTCGCGTAACCCTCAAATGCCTCTTTAAAGAGCCGCATGTTCTTAGACGACATTTCGGTGGAAGCGCCGCGAGGGATAAGCTGACGCAGGCTCTCGACAAAAGACATCGTGGCGCGGTCGTTGTTGCGAATATCTAAGTCCACAAGAAAGACTCCAGAATACGGTGACTCATTTTCAAACTTGCATCGCTCACTGATTCGTTGGATTGCCACGTCATCCAAGCCAAGCTTGCGCTGAAGACGCGTCCAAAATACCACCGTCTCCTTGTGGTTGCTTTTGAGCTTTAACGGCGACGCGGATGGCCTCAATATCGACGAACCTGCAGCGGCAGCTGTTACTGCAACCTGTGCCGAAGGCTCTTGCACCTCTACTGAAGACCTCGCCGACAAAACACTGGCCTTAGGAGATCGTTTTGACGAAAGAGAAATACGGACTGCTTCGTGCAGCGTCTTCGCCTCCTTCTGGGTCTGAGTCGCAAGTAAATGTTCCATCATAAGCAACGTATCATCCTCTGGTGGCGCAATTGCGGCCACACGAGACGCCAGACTATCGTTCTCAGGCAGCGCCACCAACGAATACGCCTGGTCAAGTGATACTGACGCGGTGCTAACGCTTAGCATACCGACATCCTGCGTGTTCTTCACGCTGCTTGTCTTTACTTCCAATTGCGTGTCGTCGGCGGACTCACCTTTGCAGGGCAACTCCTTTTCATTTGTCGTTACCGCCTCTAGCTTAGCAACATAAAAGCAACACGACCCACGCACGTCGTCAATGCTGGCAGCCACAAGAGTCCTCGAAAGACGCGTTCTCTGGACTTCGCCGGGATACCTGCGTCCAAATGGTGAGGATCCAGCTATGTACGCGGCAACGCTGTCAAGTCGCTTCGCAACAAGATTTGCGACTGCGTCTGAAACCTCCTCCGGACTTTGGGACGCTGGCTTCGTGAAGAGATGAGTTTTCAAGCAAGCACACGCGCCATCGAGCTGTGTTGCCATGGTGCGCGTCACGATAGCAAAAAGTTGAGCGTCCAGCAGGCGGCAGAGATCACAGACGGCGATGCAGTACATCTGCCGCATCTCCTCCCAGGGGATGTTGTGGTGTGCTTCCGTGAGTTGTTTGTCGGTTAGGCAAAAGGATTTTAGAAACGCAGTTTGAAGTGTGACAAAGAAAGCACGCAACGACAGCAACACGCCGTCAAGAGCTGCCATCCACTCCTTCAGGGTCAACGACAACTGGGGTAGCTTTGGCTGAAGAAGTGCTACGAGCTGGTCGAGAAGCAGGAAAAACGGTATTTTGTTCGCTTCTTTCGATGTGAACACTTGCTGCATATCGCTGTGCTCTTCCAAATACTGTAGGTCGTTCTTCTCGTTGCTGCCTACTACCGCCTCTTTGAGGTAAAAGCTGTCGCATGGTGCTCCGCTCCACTGTGAAGGTAGGAGGAAGCAGAGGACGTCGCGCAGAGCTGCGTCTAGAGTGATGCAGTGCTCCAGCTGCTTCACCCAGAGCGTCACAAAAAAATCACACAACTCATTTTCGCAGTAGCTCGTTTTTGCAGGCTTGAAAGGTTCCTCTTGTGAGTCAGGTGAAGCTGAATTGGACCGCTGCGTCTTAAATCTGATGAGGATAAGGCGGAGAAGGGTTTCCGCATCCATGGCTTTTGGCGTGCACGCTCAGGTGCTCTTAGAGGAGCGAAGAGAGAGTAAGGATAACGAGAGAACGAGAGAAAAAGAAGAAAGTTGAAGGGAGGGAAAAGACTAGCCGAGAACGTTCTCTCCTTTTACAGAAAAGCGCCACATGTTACATGTTTCACTATGGGAACTCCTGCGCATTGCAACACACGCCAAAAAATATCGTCAAATAAATACGCCTTGCTTTTCTCTGTTTTAAGCATTCTTGAAGGATCGAATCTCCTCTAGTTGAACATGGCTCGCTTCGTTGCGCTCGTTTCTAAAAGAATTCTTGTGCTTTTCGCCGCATAAACGGGCACTCTCAAAGGCATCCTTGTCCTTGATTTAAAAATGTTGCGATCGGTTGGTCTACAGCAGTACTTCACTTATCCTTTCTTTTGAGTGGAGGGGGGATTTAAACGCGGCTGATGAGCACCAACGTCTTTGGGCGTTTACAAGATCTTCTTTTTGTGAGAGTCAGCTATTGCTTGTCTTTTCGGTTTTCAGTCGCGGCTTCATTTCTCTGTTGTCATCCAGAACGGGGGAACAACGCTCCTCCGCCTTTCCGCTTTGCCCAACAGGCGCAGTTGGTCTAGTGGTAGAATTCTCGCCTGCCACGCGGGAGGCCCGGGTTCGATTCCCGGACTGCGCAGACTTTTTCCTCCCCCGCCGCCGCCCAGCGCGCGGTGGCGAGAAAAAAATTCCGGTGCCGGGGATCGAACCCGGGTCTAGCGGGTGAGAGCCGCTTGTTCTATCCACTATACCACACCGGAGATGTCAACGAAACGAGCTCGCAAGCGGACAAGAAAAGACAGAGTTTGTGGGACGGGGAGGGGCAGCGCGGCGCCGAGGGATAACGAGGAGCGCAGCTAAAGTATCCTCCGATGCAACGCGCAGCGGTCGTTCCGTATTCGTCGACGGAAGAAGATGAGCACTCGCAGGGTCGCCGCACGTGCAGTTCTGTGAGCAACTCTTCTTCTCTCACCCACTCGCTGCTGCACCGAGGAGCACAGCAATGGGCGTGGACATCGACGGCGTGCTGCGCTGTTACAGCTGCCTCTTAGAGGGAAGCGCGCACCACCAACAGCCCAATGCCCAGCGCATCTGCGGAAGAGAGTTGGTTGTAATTTCGGTGTGCACCCTACTCCACTCGTCAATCTCATCGTGGATACGAGCGGGCTACCACCGAGGCACTTCGATACCTTCCCACTCGTCATCGTTGGAAAGGTGCAGCTGCTTTTAACTCGCTGAATTTTGATGTTCTTTTTGGGGGGTCTTTTTAAGTAGAAGCTAACTAGTGAAAAAGGACACGGAGAGGAGCATGAGATGTGTCGCAGCCGAGGGAAGGAGCTCACACAGCTTGGCTCTGCGAAGTGGAACTTGTGCAGCTGCTAGACAGCCGACGTGACGACACGCTGAGCAGTCAAGATGAAGCTCACGACAGCAAAGACGGCACGACAGTAACACCGGCGTCGAAGCTATCTTTCATTGGACCCGTGTTGACACGACGCTACATTTCAGAGCTTCCCTAATCATGTTGAACGTATAGCTTTCATCCTTGTGTTTTTTTTTTTTTTAGGGGGGGGGGGGGCGTTCACAAAAGAGAACGGACACGCAAGCGCTCACGTACCGCTTCCCATAAGCAAAAAAAAAGGACGAAAGCAGACACCGCTCTCGTCAACACCAAACCAACGCGAAGCCTCAGCAACGACAGAAGAAGAGCTCACCAAACCTGCGCCTTCAAAACAGACAAGCAGGTGAGAAAATAAGATGGAGAAATGAAAAACACGGTTGAGCACGCACACAGAGATACACAAGAAAAAGTACGTACAAGAGAAAAACTGTTGTTATCGCTCACATTGAAAACAAGAGCGACAAGAAGAGAGGGGATAATTCCTTCACGCATGCGTCGACAACGCATGTGTGACATTCTACTGCTTTGTTTGTGTGAGTAGAAGATTAGAAAACAAAAAGATATTGTCGACGAGAGAATATATGTATATACATAATATGCTTCTCAGAATATCTCCATAGCACGAAAAGGCACACGGTTTGCTACGGCTATTCTACTCGGCGTTGTCCACGCGCACCTGACCGTCATTGTCGTCGAAGTAAAAAATCACTTCAAAGAGGGGTCAGATCAGCAGAGGACTGGAGGTCGGTAAGTACATTACCAATCTAAAAACTCGCAATGCATGTGTGGAAAAATATATTTCCATCTTCTCTCTTCCTTTGTCGGAGAGATCGCTAAACTTGGAAGGGGACGAGAAACGAGGGAAAGACGAGGCACACCCAAAGAAGAGAGAAAAAAGGATCAACGACTTCAAAAAAGACACGAGCAAACGAAGAACAGACAGAAGGAAATAATATTAACAATAATAACATGCACACAAAGACGATACATTGATGTGCATTAGAAAGCTACAAAAAAACGGAATACATCACACTTCATGTCATCTCTCTACCGTTTGCGACACCTGATGCAGCGCTGCACAGATGTGTTGCAGCGCTGCGCAGTCTACAACGAAAGTAATCGGAAAGATCCCTGACAAAAAAAAAACCCCAGTACGCTCCTTTTCCAGGAAAGAAAGCAAAGAAGCGCACGCCTTCATTCGAATTATTGTTTGTACATGTATATATAAACCTCCCAGCGGTATGGAGGAGACGAAAGATAGCGTATTGTAAAAGCGGTGACAAGTGTCGGAGGGGCAGCAAAGAGAGGGAAAGCAAAACGTGCTCTGCGTGAAACACGCGATGCATCAGCACGCCCTTGAAACGGCCCCCACATCGTACCTGCTCCTTCTTCGTTCTTTGACGCCAAATGTGGAGAAAACTCGGGTTAGCGCATCGTGTTAAGAAAATGTGCTACTATATAAAATCTAATCAGCAGCAAAAAGGTCAATGCAAACGAGAACGATTCAACGGAGAGCGTCGATTGTTTTCTCCGTGATACTAAAACACAACACAATCAACGCGGTCGTCGCTTTCATGGAGTATGCTTTGTGCGTAAATCACCTCTAGCAGGAGCCTACGGTGCTGAGTGAGCTTCGTGCACTCGTCAACACATCCGTGGTAGTTGGATAACGGGCTGGGTGCATCCCTCGCTTTTTCATCTCGTTCTTCCCTCACACGTACTCATCACCGCGGTGCGGGTCGTCCCCCTCCTCCACCTCCTCCCAGTACCACTCATCGCCGTTCTCGTCCGTGAACACCTCCCCGCACAGATCCTCTTCGTCGTCATCGTCGTCGCTGTCCATGCGGTCGATCCCGGCCTCACTCTCCCACGCCTCGAGGCTGACACCCGCCGCCATCGCCGCCGCCCGCGCACGACGCTGCACGTTCGTGTAGCCGAAGGTGTTGGCGAGGGGGCGGTGCATCTTCTGCGGGTCCGGCGCAAAGCGAGACGTCGTGCCGAGGAAAATGCTGACAGGTACCACCGTGACAGACTTCCTCGACACGGAGCGGGAGGTAGACAGCTTCCTCAGCTGCGCTGCGGCACTGGCGGGCAGCGACGGGCTGCTGCTGTCAGGCTGCACCCCATACGGATCCATCAGGAGGGAGAAGCTCTTACTCGCGCGAGTGTCTACGCGGTTGCCGGCGGAGTTCGTTGTGGGTGGGGCGGGGAGAGTCGAGAGTAGACCGACGCTGCCGAGCGGCACGTACGGCTCCATCGTCACGCGTGGTCGTGCCACGGCCTCTGCGGTCGATGATGCGAACTGCTGTGTCGCCGTGGCGCTGCCCATGTCCTTCGTAGAGACTCCGTCCAGCGTCCCGGACGCGCTTGCCTTCAGCATCGAATAGTCTGACTGCGGTTGCTGCTGCGACGACGGCAGATTTGCCTCTGCTGACGGCAAGATGATCACCTTTGCACCGCCGCACCCGTCAGTCCCCGGCTTGACCACGATGTCCACGCTGCTGAGGCTGTCCTCCTTGTCGAGGTAGAAGAGGATGCTGCTGCCACGGCGTCGATTGCGAGCAGCGTCGAAGATGGCAGGGCGGAAGCCCTCCAACAAGCCCTCTTCATCTTCCTCATCGTCGTCCTCGTCCGACGACGTCAGCTCTGACATCGCCGAGGACGCCGCGACGGCAACGCCGGCGGGCAGCGGCTGCGACACCAGTCGTTTCGCTGGAGCAGCCGTGTGGTTCTCCGTGGGCGTCGCCGACAAGATCCGTGCGGTCGCAGCGGCGGCGGTAACCGCAGCAGCATCCTTCATCGAGCTCCCGCCGCCGAGCTGGTAATCATACCCGGACGTTCCTTTCGTCTTGTCCGTGGAGTCGCTGCCGCTTTCCACGACGTCCCTCGCCATCTGGTAAATATCATCATCCTCCTCAACGTAGGTGTTGACTTGGCGCTGCCGCACAGCTGGTCGCACACGGCGCTTGTGCTCGGACGACGAAGGAGACACCTTGCTCGGTAGCGCTGCCGACTGCTGCTCTGCGGTGGACTTCGGTGACGTGTCAGTTGCTGCCGTCTTCACCGGCCCCGGCGTGGTCGGCGTGTACGCCAGGACATCGCTGAAGCTAGTCATTTCGCTGTTGAGCGAGTTGCTCACGAATGCCGACTTCTTGGCGTCGATGCTCGGTGTGGGCGGGTGGGGAACGGCGTCGACACCGGCCCTTGCGGGAGACTTTGTTGCTGTTTTTTCCGCCGCTGCTGCTGCCGCTGCCGTCGGTGGAGTCGGGGACGTGTGATCGAACTGCGGCGCTGTCATCATGAAAGAGCCGTAGTAGTCGTAGAGCTCCGCGTCACTGGAGGAGGCGGAGGCGTAATTCCCGGTGCGATTTGTTTGATCGCTGCCCGCACGCGCGACCGCCTGTGCAGCGCCGACGAGTCGCGGTGCGTCCGTCTTCTTTGCTGACGGAGGATCTGACGAGATCGACAGCGGCGAGACCAGCTTTTGTAAAAGGTCCTGCCGCTGCCGCTGCTGGGAGGACCGCACCGATGGCGGCCGGGCCATGAGCACCGAAGACGGGGCAGAGGAGGTGGAGGCAGGGCCTGGTGCGGCACCACCCTCTCCTGCCATTGTGGAGGACAGTGCACCAGCTTTCATGTCCGGCGCATTCGTTAAGGACGCGCGCGGCACACGCGAGGCGGGTCGCACCAGCACTGACATGAACGACGACGATGTGGAAGCCACGTTAGCAGCAGCAGAGTCCCTCTCTGGCTTCGGTGAAGGTGAGGATGTCGTGGCAGAGGAGTCTGTGACGTTCCTCTTCGCAGACACGGCAATTCGGTGCCCTTCGCTGCTGGACGGCGGCAACAAACCGCTGAGCAGCACGCTGGAATCGCCCGGGGAAGAGGTGTCCGTCTTGGTGTGACTGGAGCCGGGCGGCGGCGTGTCGGCGGGCAGCTCTTGCGAGAGCGACGAACGGCGCACCCGTCGTAGCTGGACTGACTCGCGGAGCTCTGACGGGGGTGGGGTGTGCACGCGGCTCAGGAAGGACGGCGTCTTCTTGAGGGCCTCTCGTTGCCCGTTCGACAGCGTCGACGCGTGCCGCGTGAGCGGGCGGGGGGTGTCATTGCTAGCGCTGAGACTCATGTTCTGCACCGAACTGGTAGAGTGTGGGGTCTGCATGCGCAGGCTCGACCGCCGAGAGCGGCGTGTGGATGGGGTGTTGCTGACGCTGTCCTGCTCACCTGCGACGCCGCTGCGGTGACGGTTGTGCTTGTGCGGTGAGTCGCAGTGGCGCGGCGCGAGCTCGTCTGCGGACATTGGGGGCGGAAGGGGCACGCTCAATGATCCAGAAGCGGCACCAGATGAGGGAGGCCGCGAGGACTGGTCGGGTATGTTGGCAAACCCGGCCACCGGGGCGCGGCGCCTGTCGTGACTGCTGCCGCCACGGCCGCTTGCCTGGCACTCCTTGCGAGCTGCATCAAAGGCGGATGGCTTCGACGGAGACCCTGACTTCGCCGCTGCTGTGCCGCTTGTCGTTGTGGCGCTGCTGCCGCTGCTGCTGTTGCTCTTTGCGGCGGAGTCTGCAAGTCCGCTCGTGCTGTCAGCAGCGCCCTTGCGCCGCCTCTGCAACCGAGACGAAGAGGAGGCGCCGGCACGCCGCGGCACCGACTCCATCGCGGAGAAGACCGGTGAGGGGGCGCACGTTGAGCCTGCATTCGTGGCCGATGGGGAAGAAGTGAACTCCGCCGCCGGTGTTGCCTTCTGCGCGTCTGGCGAGGCGATGTCCGAGGTGACTGGAAGAGGGAGGGCGAGGGTCACGTGTGCAGTGAGCGTTCGCACCTCCGCTGGGAGGTGTTGTGCGCCGGGTGCGGCGCCGTCACGCCCTGTTTCGGCAGAGCTGCGACGGAAGTCAGCGGAAGACCTGTGCAGCGGCTGCAGCGACGGGGGAGTCGGCTCGGTCGCGGGGTAGCGCCGCATGGGTGAAAGACCGGCGCAGTCTTTGCTGTCGTGGTTCACGTCGCTAGAGGATCGTTTAATAGCTGCGGATGGTGCACTGCTGGCGGTGAAGGTGGGAGAGGATTCCGATGGCGCCGTGGCGGAGTGCAGCGACTGCGTCGAGGTGAGACGTGGCAGCACCACCTTCGACGAAAACCGTCGCCTCGTCGAATCTGCCGTGGCGGTGATGCCACGTCCTACTTGGGTCTCTCCTTCTAGGCCCTTGACAACAGTGAAAGAGGCGATGGCATCGCTGTTGCTGGCGCTGCTGTTGCCTTTGATGAGCGGCATCGGAGTGAGGCTGTTAAGTGGCTGCTCATGAAAGATCTTGTCAGAAGGCGACTGCGGCTGGTCCGTGGAGCCGTCGGTTCCTGACGACTCGCTGAGGGAGTTGCGCTGCCGCGTGCGCCGCGGTGTGATTTGATGCCGGTCATTGCTTCTCGCTTCGCCCTGCTTACATCTGTCGTCTGAGCAGGGGCTTCCGCGCTCAAACGAGGTCGCAGTAGCTTGCACGTTCATCGTTGCCTCCGGGTTGCTCCCGGAACTATGCTTTCGACGAACTGATTCGTTTGAGATCTTTTTCTTGGAGAAGAAGGACGGCATTGCCGCGTCGGCAGAGGTGCAAGTCCCAAGTCGAGAGAGCAGAAACCAACAACGAAGGTCTATCTGTGTGTGTGTATATAGAAGAAATGGAAGAGGAAAAACGATGTGAAGAAGAAAAATTGTGTTGTCAATGGTGGGAACAGAAACAAAAATAACGTATATGTACAGCTCACCAGAAGTTTCAATTAGACAAAGAAAAAAGGTTTGAGTGCAGAAAGAGGCAAGGCTCACATGTGCGTCTCCATTAGTGTAACAGAAGAGCGTAGAAAGAGAAGAGACTTCGCTTTCGCTCTCAAGTAAAGAAGCACAGCGCAACAATGGCTTCTAAAGAAAAAGAGAATTTGCTACATCAATCAAGGGAAACAATATATATGTAGCAGAACGATGAAGCACGTGAAAAGAAGACGAGGGGTGAGCAAGGTGTTTGGAAAACGAGGAGAGAGAATAAAAACTCCGATAAGGGAATCGACAACGCCCTTAGCATGACACAGGTGTTTCATGCATGAGATCGCCGCTGCCCACGGTTGAAGATACGAATGACGTCTTCGCGCGAGTAATATACATACGTGCAAGCAGCGCATCGAGGGCCACTTCGAGTCCTTGGCACTTTTATGATATTGCTCACGAGTTGGCGCGCCACCTGAACAAACGATCACCATTTTCTTTCCTTTTAAACACTGCAATTGCTCTTCCTGCGATGCAATACGATTGCTACCTGTGTACCAACATTTCTAACCGAAGCACATTTATGTATATGAACAACACCCGTGAGAGGTCGGACGCCACAAAGGAGAACAGCAAAATGAGAGAAACCCTTCGTATATAAAAAGAGAAAAAGTAGAATGAAGACGCGAAAAAGAAAAGCAGCAATCGAAAATGGCCCACCAAGGCGGCAGCGGCCACTGCTCTCTCCTTCCCTCAAAGTTGAGAAGAGCAACAGCACCAAAGAAAAAAGGGGAGACTATCGTGTGCACATGTAACTGTGGAGTCCATTAGAAATACTCAAAAAGGGAAAAAAACGAGCAGCTTTTAAAAGCTTGAAGGGATTTGAAACATCGGGAAACAAAAAGGCAGTAGTTCGACAGCATCACCGCTGCATCAATCGCTTCATCGTGAGGGCCTCCGCTTCTGCCCTGCCGCGCTCCAGCAAGGCCGGTATCGCCTCCAGCTCCTGGTTCGACTTCTGAATCACCTCGGTAATGTTGTCCTGCATGCGCGTCAGCATCTGCATCCGCGCCACGCGCGCATCGCGTCGCCGCTTGTGCTCCGCCTTCTGCTTCTCGCGAAGTGTCTGCAGATCCATCGAAAGCCGGAGCTCACCAGATTGGTGTCGCTCCACCTCCTCCCGCAGCCGGTGGACCTCGTGCCGCAGCTCAATTGTACTGAGCTGCTCCACTGGTCGAGACTGCAGAGCAGACGAGGCCCCACGACTGTAGGGCCACCGGGGAGGACAGAGTCGGACGACACCCGAAGGCCGGCGTTGAAGATGGGCAGGACTTCCGCGCTCGTGCTGCGCTGCGGAGCGTCGAAGGAGAGGCGAGAGCCGTTTCCGTTAGCGGTGCCGGTCGCGACGGTCACCACGTCGTCGTTCTGCTGCGACTTCGTCTCGGGGTCACCAGATGAAGGTACGACGAAGCCGTGGAACGCCTCCGACTGGCCTGAGTTGGAGGTGGACGGCACCTGTGGTCGTGGCAGTCCTGGTGGCGCGCCAGGAGCCCCTTGCGGCAAGGAAGAGTGAGAGCCGCCTGTAGTAGACCCAGAGGACGCGGCAACGGTTTGCGGTTGTGCCGGCGCTTGTGGCTGCTGCTGCTGCTGCTGTTGTTGTTGTGGCTGTGAGGAGATGCTCTGCTGTGCCTGCGACATGAGGAAGTGCTGCTCCGTCAGCAAACTCTGCTCCTCCGCACGGGCCTCCGCTGCTTCCAGCTTTTCCCACACCTCCTCCAGCTCACGCTTCTGCGCATCCACCTTGGCTTCCGCTTCGGTGCGGCGATGCAAGGCGCTGTTCAGCTGCTCCTCCAACTGCCTCGTTCCTTGCCGCTGCGTCTCGAGCTCGGCGGAGACGGACTGGAGGCGGGCTTCGAGGGCATCATACAACTCCTTTGCCACAGTGCGGGCGGGTGGTGGGGCCGCGACGGCCTTCAAGGACGCCTCAGATGCCTCTCTCCCGGCAAGAAGCGGCGTCAGCGGTGGTGGAGCGGACTCTGCGGTGTTGGACACCTCCACCGACCCGGAGGGCCGCGCCCGTGACTGACTCGCTTCAATTTGCAACTCCGAGATGCGCTGATGGGCGGCCGTGAGTTGCTCCTCCAGCTCCTCCACAATGCTGCGGTCCACCATCTCCCGTGGCGAGGATTTTTGACGCGAGTAGCGACCAGAGCCTGGCTGCCGCAGCGGTGAAGCCTCCCTGACGCTCCCGCTATCCTCGTTTACGTCCGCGGCGCCTCCGACAGCTTTGCGTCGCGCCGCAGATCCGTAGCTCCCCCACATACTCCTCTCGCGGCGCTCGAGGAGAAGTCGGTCGCGCTCCTCGGTGACCCGTTGCAGGTCCGCCCGCTTCGCGGCCACCTCATCGCGCAGGAGCTGCACCTCGGCCTCTTTCGGATTCTGTTGCAGGGCGGCGGCGAGTCGCCCCTCTAACCTCCGCACTTTTTCCTCCAGCTCCGCCTCCCGGCTGACCGGGCCGGCTTGCTCTCCGTTGAAACTGTTGGATAGGTGTGACGCTGCTGGTGCTGCTGCGTCGTGCACCGCCGGACTCGGTCCTCGTGGCGCGGAAGGCCGAGGCGAGACAACGATGCCGCTGGAGTGGCGTGAGGAGGCGGTGGTGCGTGGCACCCCATTGTGTCCCGAGTTCCGGTCCGCATCCCTCGGCACCTCTCTGGATGCCTCCGAGCCGCTCGGCCTTTGGGCGCCGGGACCGCTGCTCCGTCGGCCACCTGTTGAAGCGGCAGTAGTGGTGGTGGTGGCAGGAGCTGCTGGTGTGGTGGCCGCCCTCACCACCGCCACGAGTTGGTGACTCGCCGGCAGGGAGAAGGCGACGGCGGTGCCTCGCGGCTTGGCGGCGCAGGCCTCCATGTCCGGCGCATCGGACGGGGCAAAGACGCACACAAACCACGACAGCGGCACCGTCAGCGCCGGCACAATTGTCTGACTGCTCTGCAAATCGTCGTGAAAGCTGGTCGTCTTCTCGAGCGCTGCGGGAAGGGAAGCGGATTGCTGCAGGGCGAGCGCGTTGCCCTCCGCGATGAGCGCGTCCAGCGCAGCAATCTCCTCCTCCGCCATTTGCATGTACTCGAGCTGATCCGTGCGCTCCTTACGCAGGGCACTCTCTGCCTCAGGCGTCAGTGCGTCTGCGTTCCGCGCAGTCGGGTCGGGAGACGTGGAAGGAGAAGGTGCGGTAGCCACGCCCTCCGAAGCCGGAGACGCTGTCAGCTGATTCTGCGCCGCCTGCACGTCACGGAGCGCCTGCGAGGTCTTCAACGTGGCGGTCAGCCAGCGGTACAACGCCGCCGCCGTCTTGTGCTCCTTCTCCACCGCCTCCACCGTCGGCCACGCCTGCAGAAACTTCCTCGCCTCCGTGCGATCGTCGTCTGTCACGTCTTTCGGCTTGACGGTAGCCAGGCACTTCCCCAGTGCTGGGCCCAGTTGCACCGCCTCATCGAACTGCGTACCCTGCGGGTCGTGCAGCAGCATGACGCAGGTCTCGATCAGACCCACCAGCGACGCCGCGGAGGTGCGACGGGTGCGGCGTTGCAGGTCAGACCACGCGACGGGCTTGACGGTGCGCAGACCCGCTCGAGAAAGCAGCAGTTCTCGCTCCGTCGCCTCCGCAGCTTTGACGGCGTCTTCGGCTGACTTGGGAGCGGTGGGGGTGGGGCTTGGCGGGGTCGTCACGGGCTGCGACGGCGACACCTGTGGTGGTGGCGGTGGTGCTGGATGGCTGTTGTTTGTTTCCCATTGACGAAGAATCTCGTCGATCTCCTTAACGCGGGCTGCGCTGGTGTCGCGGTCGGCCTGGAGACCGCGCCGCTGCTCCCGCATCTCCTGCAGCTCCTCGGCTGTCATGATGTTGTGCGCCTCCTCATCGCTCGCCGCCCCCACCTCCACCTTGCTTGGGTTGCGAGAAGGGATAGGCGTGGTGATGAGCTGTGCCGCTGCTGGATCGGTGCGGTCGACGAGCTGGCCAGTGAGTTTGACCGTCTTGGCCTTCTTGTTCTGTGGATGGGGAGAGGGCTGGGAGGGCACCAAAATGAGCGGCCGCGGCTGCACGAGCACCGCCGCCGTCCCATCGTGCAGTTGGACGTTCGGAGTGGAGGCGACGACACCGATGAGGCACGTGTTCGCGCCGAGGGAGGTGCGAACGGCAATCACATCACGAGGCTGAACGGTGATGCCGCTGGTTGCCACACCGGCGGCGTGAGAAGAGGGCATTTCTCAGCTGGTATGCGGGTTGTGAAAAAGAAAGGATCAGAGTTACAAAGGATTCTTCGTTTGCTTAGGGTTGTTGTGAAGGCGTGGCACGTTCCGCCAAAGCACACGTTTCCTCACCTGCTTAAAATGACGCCGCAAAGAGGAGATACTCAAATGTGTGAAAGGAGGAGAAGACAACAAAGAAATACAATGGTGACGTGGCGGTTGTGTTTCGTGCGTGGAAGGGAAGCTCCGATTAATAAAATATGAAAGGAAGTTATGAAATGAAGAGAATCTACGTACAGGATTCACTCCGCCTGTGAGCGACGGAAGCTTGAAAATGTTCCCGTTTGTGTGTGTGTGTGTGTGTGTGTGTGTGTGTGTGTGCGGGTGCGTTCAAACGAGAAAGAAAACAATAAATAACCGTTTTAGAATGAACAGACTTTCTGCTAGCTGGACTGCTCTCCGTATTGTCCTCTTCTGGTTTTGGAAGAGGGAGGCGTTTGGGTTGGAGCGAAATAATAATAAAAAGAAAACAGCAAAAAGATTTATTTGTGCTCTTCCCTCAGAGAGCTCGCTTCGGCGTTCCGGATAGTGCGCCCGCTATTTCGAGAGACAGATGCTTCAACGGCACTCCACAGCAGCAACAACATAATTATGAAAAATAAATATATGAAAAAAGAAGCGCAACAAGCGAAGTACAGAGGAGAAGAGAGCAGAAGTGTTTCGGCTTAGCCAGCACGTGGTGCTCCACGGATTCTGCAACATGGTATCAGTGAGTTAACGATGCAGCCAAGATCTGTCAGTCGCACTCACCGTAGGCAGAACGCCAACCTTCGATTCGGCTCAGCGTTGGCGAATCATCAAAAAAAGCTATGAAAAGGCCATTCATGTGCACACCGATCACACAATATCGCACCTTGACGTTGATGAAAGGAAATACGTACGTGACCTCATGGACCTGTGTCTCGTCACTCCCCGCCCCGTCTGCCGCCAAAGTCTGCAAATAACAATTGCTTCACTATTCTATCCGGAGGATCATGAAGTCAAAAGCACCGCACGTGGCCTTCGCAAGTCCAACACGAAAACGGCTCACAGCAACAATAACAGAAAATAACGATGGAAGAAGAGTAAGAAGAAAACTCATATATATAGGTGAAGCTCAATAACGAAGGAAGTTCTAAAAAAAAGAAGAAGCCAAATTGGATTTCCACGCTACGAAGCAAACAAACGAAAGAAGTGAGCCACGTCGTTGCGTCCGTATCGGGAAAGAGCCCACACAACGCAACAGAAACCGCAGCATCAACTCTTCAGGCTTTTTGTCTACCGAAGACACAATGATAGGATGAATGAAAAGGGGAAAACAAAAACAGACAACAATAATGAAGTCCTCTCAGACGACTACGAGTCTTCTTCTAGAAACTTCTTCAGATCAGGCCGCGAGTTAATCGTGCCGTTCACACCCTCCAACACATCGTTGGCAGCAGCCGACTCGCTGCGCAGAATACGAATCTCTTCCTCTAACCGAGCGATCATGTTCGCCAGCTCTCGGTCATCTGCAGCGTGGAACAAATGCGGCACGCTGCCATCCTGCACACCGTCCTGCGCGACGGGCTCCTTCTCCAGTCCAATTTCGGCCGGAGTGCTCTTCACGCTGTTCTTCTTTGCCTTCTCATCCGCCAACGCGGCCTTCAAGTCCTCCACTTCCTTGTCCTTGTCCGCCAGCTCCTTCGCGAGCTCCTCGGACGGCGCAAGAGCAGCCGCCTTCGCTGCCGCTGCCTCCTCCTTGGCGTCGTCGATGTCTCTATCTTTTGCTGCCAGCTGCGCATTGTGCGCCGCCTGCTTCGCCTTCGCATCGGCCAAGGCCCGCAGCGCCTCAGCGAGGTCGCCACGTGTGTCCTGCAGGTCGTCCTCCAAGTTCTTGATCTTGTTGTCCGCCTTCTGCATCTCTGCAAGCGGGGTGGCGCGGGCGGCGAGAGCCTCCTTCAGTTGCTGCAGCTGCGTCGGCGTCAGCGTGACGAGCGTCGCCTCCGGCTTGTCGTAGTTGACGAGAATGCTGCTGAGGAGCACGACCTTGCTGACATCGGTGAAGGTCCAGTCGTTCGCCCCGCCGTGGACATCCTCGTGTAGCGGCGTTGCCCCTGCGCGGCCCTTCACGTCCGGCCCGTCCCTCTTTGCACCAGGCGATGCCGCCGCACCGTTTTGCTTGTCGTAGTCCAGGTGCATCGGCAGGTCACCGAGCGTTGCCCGCAGCTTCGACTCCTCATCCTTGTACGCCTCCACCTCCTTGCGGCGCTCGCGGAGCTGCTCCTCCATCTTGGCGATCTTCTTCCGGTCGCGGGCCCGAGTCTTTTCGAAGTCGGCCATGTCCGCTGTCACCTCATTCGTCGCGAGCTGCGCACTCACCCAGCCCTGGAGAGCGCCGAGGGCATGGCTGCCTTCCATGGCGTCCTCGTGGGTGAAGCGTCGGTTCGACAGGTACTCCTTCCGCAGGAGGCGCCGCGTCGATGGGGAGATGCTGAGGGAGTCGAAGTCCGCCAGCCGCTTCATGAAATCACGCTGCCGGATCACCTTCAGGATGTAGGTCCAATCAGACGGCCGCTCCCCCAGGGTGATGAGGGTGGCATCCATGATGAGCTTCACGATGTCAGGCGGCTTCACGTAGCTGCGAATTTCGCGCCAGTCGGACTCCTTCAGCTGCTTCACCACCTTCTGGGCCTCGTTGGCGTCGGAGATGGCGCGCTCCGCATCGGCCTTGTAGGCGGCACGGCCCTTATCGTAGTGGGCCTGCTCCATGGTGATGGTCTTGTTCAGGTCCTCCATCTCCTCCTCTGCGGTCTGGCGTTTTGCCTGGAGCTCCGCCAGCCGTCGCACCGCCGCCGCACGTTCGGCCTCCGACACCGGCGACGCACCAGGCGGCAACGCCCCACCGCTGCCCGCCCACAGCATGAGCTGCACCAGGCGGGGGGCGGGGATGGAGGCCACCGTGCCAAGGCCCCAGCACCAGCCGTTCGTCTTCTCGTCCACATACTCGTAGGCGACGAGGTCGTTGACGACGACGCGGACGTGCGCCATGCTGCTCACCTTCGAGAGGACATCGTAGTTTGTGTCGTCGGCGTTGGGGACGACGGGAGACGACTCGCTGCGCTTTGGGGCCGACTGCTTGGGCGGGGCAGGCGGTGGCGCCGACGAGGGCGCTTTGCGGGCCGACTGCTTGGGCGGGGCAGGCGGTGGCGCCGACGAGGGCGCTTTGCGGGCCGACATGTGCGTGGCTCAACGGAGAATGGGTTCGATCTCGCACACGCAGCGATACGATAAACTGCTGGCACGCAACAAGGAAAAAGTATCTACGCTTCAAACGGTGAGATGATTGCGACAGAAATCTACGCGGTATTGGTACAAGAAGAAGAAGGTACGAACGGACAACAATAATAGCAACAACTTGGAATGAAGGTGGATACGGCGAACGATGAGAGACAAAAACACGAGGCGGATATTGAGCGTACGGTGCCTGCACCGGCGGTGTCGTAGCACACCGGCAAACACGAAAACTAATAGTTAAACAAGGAAAGAGAAATGATTTCTTCTTCGTTTTCTACAGAGCTAGATCAGGAGACCGAGTCTGCTGACAGCAACGCGGTACCATGCAAGACAACGAAGAAAAACGCTCGACCCAGTGAGCCAAAACCCGACAGTCCACGGTGTAACAGAGAAACACACCTTTGCGGTACGCACCGTCGTTAAAAAAACAACATAGCAAAGAGAATGGAGACGAAAACATCAGAAAGGGGGCAAAAAGAAGCGTTGTTGGTTCAGAAAACGCATGCTGCATGCATCAGAGAAGGAATAGTTTGATGCAGCGGGGGAAGTCGAACAACGCACCTCTCGGGGCGCCGTGTGCGCTACACACCACCCAAAACACGCTGTCGAATCCAATCCGGTTACTCCGGTCGTTGACACACCGTGGCGCATAGAAGCCACAAACCGAATCGGCTCGATTCAGGTAACGCAAAGGTGAAGCTACGTACCTCTCGGCATGAAAAAAAATGCAGATCCGCTAATATGCTCCGTTGTCGCAAAAACGGTAGCCAAAGTCCTTGATTTTCAATCACAACCGCATAATGCTTGGGTAGATACAAAGCAAGTAATAGAATTCACCATCGATTATCCTCCAACAGCGTTCCTTCCCTACCATGGTGCTCCGCCTCCTGAGCCATCGCCTTCATAAACCGAGCTTCCCCATCTTCGCCGAGCGACTTCACCAACGAGGCGAAAAGGGACCCTTCAGTGTTCACCAGCGCACGCGGCGAGCCGAACTCCACAGCGCGGCCGCCGTCCATCACGAGGATCACGTCGTACGCAGCAACCGTGTGCAGCCGGTGCGCGATCGTCACAACCGTGTAGTCGCGGAACGTCTGCTGCACCGTCAGCTGGATCTGCCGGTCCAGCGCGGGGTCCACGTTCGCCGTCGCCTCGTCCATCAGCAGGAACGCGCTGCCACGCTTCAGCAGCGCGCGCGCAAGGCACAGCAGCTGGCGCTGCCCAACGCTGAAGTTCGACCCGCCCTCCTGCACGCGCGCGTCAAGCCCGCCGCCGCCGCTCCGCACCCGCTCCTCCATCCCAACCTGCCGCAGCGCAGCCCACACAGCCGCGTCGCCGCACGCGCCGAACGGGTCCACGTTGCTGCGCACCGTCCCGTCGAACAGCAGCGGGTCCTGCGGGATCATCGAGAACAGCTGGCGCAGCTCACGCACGCCGTAGTCGCGCGCGTCGCGCCCGCACACGCGCATGCACCCGCCGCACACCTCCACAAGCCGCAGCAGCGCAAGCAGCAGCGTCGACTTCCCGCTGCCCGTGCGGCCCACAACGCCCACCTTCTGCCCGGGCAGCACCGCGAAGCTCACGTCGCGCAGCACGAGCGGCAGCCCCGGCCGGTACCGCATGTCCACGTGCTCCAGCACGAGCGACCCCGCCGCACCGGGCACCACACGCCCCACCGTCGGCGACACACCGCCGGCCGACGCGGGCGACAGCGGGCTGAGGGCCGCCGCACCGCCGCCGTCCTCCACGGTCACCTCCACGGCGCGGTCCATGAGGCGGCGGATCTGCGCGGCGTGTGCGTCCACGGCGGCCGCAATGTCCCTCTGCGTGCTCTCGAGGTCGATGTTGTCGATGTAGTGGAGAACGCGTTCGACGCTGCTCATGTCAGCCTCCGCCTGGGCAGCCAGATTGATTGTGTCGTTCAGCAGGAGGCTTACCTTCATCGCCATCGTCATGCTGAGCGATAAAAGTCCAATGCGCGTCTGCGGGACAGTGCCACCACTCTGATTCACCGTCACGACAGCGATGAAGGCCACGGCGGTAATAACGACGTTGCTGAGCAGTTCTACACGGACGGCGAGCCAGTGCTGGCCGGTGTTGCGCATGTAAATGCACGAGAAGAGGTGGTCCAAGCGCTGTAAACCCGATTGCAGGAGCGGGTGGCCGACACCGTAGGCGTGAATCGTCCATCGTCCGCTCAAGATGCTGCCGAGGGTCGATAGGACGGGCGAGTTGGCGATGTTTTCATGCCGACGAATGCTTCGGTTGGCCGCGGTGTAGAACACCATGAGCCTGTAATACAGATAGCTGCACATGACAAGAGGGAGAAGCACCTGCCACTGCGTGTACACCATCACGAGAAGCGAGGACAGCACGGTGCAGCTGCGATTTAAGAAGTAGATCACGTTGACCTCCAGGTCGTCATCGATTCGACTTAGGTCCTGCGAGAAGCGATTTAAAAGGCGACCGTGCGGGGTCGTATCGAAGAAGGCCATCGTCCCAGAGCTGACGGAGCGCAGAACGCTAGAGTGCAGCGTGGCACAGCCCACACGCAGCACTCGATAGGTGCAGTAACGGCGGAGCGGGTGTCCGATAATGGCAACCGCCGTACAGGCCAGGTAGACCTTCAGATTCGTCGTCTCTGACCACCCAACGGCTCCACTGGCCCAGAGGGAGAGCCACAGGGAGGGCAAGACCATGCCCACTTCGGTAGCGGCGTGCAGGCCGAAGATGCCCATCCACGACGCGACCCCACCGCAGGCGATGGCGTAGCGCCGGTAGATGGAAAGCGGTACGGAGCCTTCCGCCATCTCTTCTGCCGTAATCAGTGCGCCGGTTGACGACACATCCGCCTCCGCCGCCGTTCCCGTGTGTCGATCGGCACGTTCCGCTTCTCTTTGAACGCTTACAAAATCCTCGCTGATTCTGTCATCGCTCGCACCATCAGCTATTGCTGTGTGCATCTCGACAGCAGCTGCCTTTGCATCTTCCTTCGATTTGAGTGCGTTCTCCATTGCTGGCAAGTCTATCTGTAGGTCGCAGTACACGCTGTACGCCGCGGCATCCCCCTGGAAGGCGACGGGGCCGCCCGCCGACAGCACCACCACGTAGTCCGCGTACGCAGCGGCGCTCACCTGGTGCGTCGCAAGCACGCGCGTCTTGTGCGCCAGCGCGCCGCACACGCACTCGCGCATCACACGCTCGCCAACGTGCGCGTCCAGCGCGGACAGCGGGTCGTCCAGCACGTACACGTCGCGGTCCGCGTACACAGCACGCGCCAGGCTCACGCGCGCCTTCTGCCCGCCGCTCAGGTTGATGCCCTTCTCGCCGATCTCCGTCGCAGCGCCAGCAGCGAGCAGCGCAAGGTCCGCCGCAAGCTGGCTGCTCGCCACCGCGCGCTCGAACGCAGCGTCGTCCGCAGCGCCGAAGAACACAACGTTGTCGCGCAGCGTCGCGCTCATGATCCACGGCTGCTGCGGCACGTAGGCGACGCAGCGGCTGCACGCAACGCGGCCACGCGTCACCGCGAGCGCGCCGATCAGCGAGTCCAGCAGCGTCGACTTGCCGCACCCCGTCGGCCCCAGCACAACAGTCAGCTTGCCGCGCGGGATGCGCAGGTCCACGTCCTCCAGCAGCGTCTTGACGCGCAGCTCGTATAACGCTTCGCCAGTCGGCGACTCTGCCGAGTCATCCCGTTCCGCCTTTGTTTTGAGATCATCTTCGGCGGAGTTGGTCGACATCTCAGCCGTTGCAGGGCCATTTTGGACATCAGCGGCGCTGGGCAGGCGAACCGGCACAAACGCGGAGAGAGTGGCGAGCTGAAACCGCGCTGCGTAGAGCTTGCGGTACGCGTTGCGTGCCTCGTCGTCCGCGGCCCATTCCACCTGGCATTCTTGCTCCTCCTCCTCCATGAGCTGTACCATGTCCATCACCGCGCTGGTGCTGTCGTCGCACTCCAGAAAGCGGGTGATGCGACGCATGGACACGATGAAGCGGGAGAGGCTTGCCACCATGTACGGAACCTGCACAAATGGGGACTCCAGTACACCAAGGAGCGCAATGACGGGGAAGACGGTGGCCACCGTCAGGGCGTGGCCACCGAGGGTGTACATCACAAACACGGTGGCAATGACAAGGTTCGGTGCGGCCGCATTCAGAAACGAAATGAGAATGGCCAGCATCTGTGTCCGCCGTATCTTCGCAATCTCCTGTGCCCGCAGAGCCTCAATCTTCACAATGAAGGAGGGCTCCCACGACATGAACTTCACCACCCGAATGCCGGAGAGGAACTCGTTCGTCGCCTTCAGCCGTGCGTCCGTCACCGCCGCCTTTTCCTTGAAGGCGGCGTACATTTGCTGCGTCAGGCGGTTCTGCAGCGGTAGCGACAGCAGGAGTCCCAGCACCCCCACAAAGGCGGACCACCCGACCAAGCTGTACAGCAATGCAACACCACCGATGAGCTGCAGCGGAGCCCCGACAAGGGCCCAAATCCAGTACACGAAGTCATTCGCACTCTGCGCGTCGTTGCTGACCATGTTCACCAGCCTCCCGGGGTTCATCGTCGGCAGCGCCGTGGCCTTGCTCGAGATGGTCATGGCCTTCTCAAAGATGACGGCGGCCAACGTGCACTTGCCGGAGGCACCGGTGCGACCGCACATCTGGTAGTACTTGTTGTTCACCAAGCTCTCGCCCAGGGCGAAAGCAAACATGAGCAGCACAAGACCCATGCCGGCCCCCCACGAGGGCAGCGGAGTATCACCGACGGGCTTCCCTGAGGCCTTCGCAGCGTTGTCTCCCTCGCCGGAGCTGAACTTCTCAATGTACTGAATAAAAAGCCGGAGGACGAGCGGGGAGAGCAGCGTGGCGAAGTCGCGACCGATCCGCAAAGGCAGCAGCAGCAGAAAAGGTTTCCAGAAAGCAGTGAAGAAGGCGCGCGAGGCGGACATCCCGCGAGGCTGCATGCGCGCCAGCTGCGGCAACGCGCTGTTCCGTTCTCCCCCGCTCCGTGCACACGGCGAAGCAATGATCTCGACGTCCTCCACGCACTCGCACGTCGCCGTAGCGCGACCGTCACTGGTGCGAAAGAGGTGCTCCCCGCCGACCGTGCCGGCAGTCCATGCGCTGCGGGTTTTATGGCTACTGTTTCTGCCTCTGTGCGGGAGAGATGACTGCGCCGCCGCAACGACGCTGTCGTACCACTCTACACCGGCGTAACGCTGGCCGTTGGTGCCCAGCTGCTGTGCCGGGCCGCACCACCGCAGCACACCCACCGCACCAGGACGCAGACCCGAGGGCAGCAGCTCGATAGCGCCTCCGCTCAAGCCCCAGCCCAGGAGACGGACCACCATTCGCCACGCCCGCCGCACCACGCCGTTCTGCGCCGCTCTGCCCTTTCCGGTGTACCGCACCAGTGCGGTGTCGACCAACGTGTCCCAGGCGTGCTCGACCGTCCGCTGCTGCTGCAGGGCGCGGGAAAGAGCTGTCCCGGAGTTGTAGGACCGAAGGAGGTGGGTGGGTCGTGGCAGCCCGTCCAGTGTGAGTGCTTCATGGGCGGCTCGGTGCATGAAGTCGCCAAGCCACGTGTAGAAGAGCGTGCCGCCGACCCAGTTGGCGCGGTCCTCTGCCTGCGCCGCATACGGTACTTCCTCTCCCCACAAGCGGCACAGACGATCCGCACGCTCTCGCTCTGACTGTTGACGCCTCTCCTCACACGCGCAAAGACGACGACGGTACGTGTGTTCCGCCATCTTCGCAGTTCATTAGCAAAGGAGGGGAGAGGATAAGAAAAAGGAATCGAAGACGACTGGGGGGATGGAGTATTTGATGGGGGCGAGAACAACGGAGGGTCAAGCGAACTCGTTTCTCATTCGATAGTACGGAGCGTATACATTTAAAATCAAAACGAAGAAAGGGAATGATGCAGGATCACGTACAACTTGTGATTTCTACGGATACCAGCGGGAAAGAAATGTATTACTTTTTTTTAATGGTCCAGAGAATTAAAAAAAATGCAGTTGAAAGTTGAACGCGTGCCGGTCCTGCCAAAAGCTTCAGGCACCGCAAAGCGGAGTCAAGGGCAGCTGTCGCAGTGCGACACCGTTGCTAGGCCGCCCCAGAGAACAGTAGAACAAAGTACCTTTTTGAAAACACCGAGAAGCTTCCAGGGGTCTTTGGGAAAACAAATTACGCATAACGAAGTTGATTTGAGGTGTATGTTAGGGAAGAAGGAAAACAATAGCAAAACCAGAGAGGACTACGAAAACCAGTGCTCTTTAGCCGTCCTTTTGGCGGCGCGTAACGCCTAGTGTATATATATTGTTTAAAAACGGTGTTTGTAAACAACAACAAAGGATATCGACTTCCTTCCGACGTCACACCAGCCATAGAGGAGCAATCCCAAGCAGTATTAATAATGAATGTTAAAAGCTCTTGAATCAGCAGTAGTTGACAGAAAAAGAGAAGACTTCGGCGACGGCGCAGCGTGAAAAGAAGAAAACCCCCAAAAAAAAACACCACACAGTTCGTACGAGAACGCGGAATAATCAGAAGAAAAAAGGTTGCGGAGAAGTTCGTTGTGCACCACCGCAGATTTTTTTTTATTTTCTTTCCTTTTGTCACCGTCCTCCAGCGCAGGAAATGGATGCCGAACTTGACGCTGAGGACGTGGAAGAAGACGCAATGCGGTAATGTGCGGACCAGCGCGGTCAAAGAAAACCCCATCAAAACAGACAAGATGCCGTTCAAAGAAGAAACAAAAGACGAAGGGTTTATGCGGAGGAAGAGCGTAATGAGGAGGCTTTCAAGCAGCATCAGAACGAAAGATGACGTTCAACGCCGCCACTGCTGTCCCTACTGCCAACCCATTCGGAAAACATACATTATTGATCAGCGGTGCATCGCAGCACCGTGACAGTTCAAAGAGCCGCCAACAATTTATGCAAGTGCCACTCGTGCACGCATCCTTCACACAACCGGAGACCGCACGACCGCTCTCCCGCTCTTACTCGACCCTTCGAATACAAACGAAGACTTCTTCTTTCACCACTTCAGTGCGTAAAGGCACTCAATCTTTTCTTCAGTTCCTGATCGATACATCGTCGACTTGACTCCACTACCGACATTTTAACGATAACTAAAAGAACACAACTCTTTTTCACCCCGACGAAAAAGTGGGGAAAACTACGCTACCGATGCGAGACTCTGTCTGAAGGAGTTGGCGGCGTCCACGCCTAGTAACTGTACCAGACTGCAGAACACAGACCCCTCCAGTGTTCACCAGCGCACGCGGCGAGCCGAACTCCACCGCGCGGCCGCCGTCCATCACGAGGATCACGTCGTACGCAGCAACCGTGTGCAGCCGGTGCGCGATCGTCACAACCGTGTAGTCGCGGAACGTCTGCTGCACCGTCAGCTGGATCTGCCGGTCCAGCGCGGGGTCCACGTTCGCCGTCGCCTCGTCCATCAGCAGGAACGCGCTGCCACGCTTCAGCAGCGCGCGCGCAAGGCACAGCAGCTGGCGCTGCCCAACGCTGAAGTTCGACCCGCCCTCCTGCACGCGCGCGTCAAGCCCGCCGCCGCCGCTCCGCACCCGCTCCTCCATCCCAACCTGCCGCAGCGCAGCCCACACAGCCGCGTCGCCGCACGCGCCGAACGGGTCCACGTTGCTGCGCACCGTCCCGTCGAACAGCAGCGGGTCCTGCGGGATCATCGAGAACAGCTGGCGCAGCTCACGCACGCCGTAGTCGCGCGCGTCGCGCCCGCACACGCGCATGCACCCGCCGCACACCTCCACAAGCCGCAGCAGCGCAAGCAGCAGCGTCGACTTCCCGCTGCCCGTGCGGCCCACAACGCCCACCTTCTGCCCGGGCAGCACCGCGAAGCTCACGTCGCGCAGCACGAGCGGCAGCCCCGGCCGGTACCGCATGTCCACGTGCTCCAGCACGAGCGACCCCGCCGCACCGGGCACCACACGCCCCACCGTCGGCGACACACCGCCGGCCGACGCGGGCGACAGCGGGCTGAGGGCCGCCGCACCGCCGCCGTCCTCCACGGTCACCTCCACGGCGCGGTCCATGAGGCGGCGGATCTGCGCGGCGTGTGCGTCCACGGCGGCCGCAATGTCCCTCTGCGTGCTCTCGAGGTCGATGCTGTCGATGTAGAAGGCGATGCTCTCCATTCCGTTCATGTTCGCCTCCAACTCGGCTCCCATGAAAACGGCCAGGAAGGGCATGAAGCTGATCTGAGTGGCCAACGTGATGCTCAGCGAGATGAGACCCACCCGCGAAGCTGCCGTCGCACCACTCGTGGTGTTGATGGAGACAACGCCGAAGAAGGCAACGGAGGTGACAATGACGTTCGCGAGCGTGCCCACGCGCACCCCCAGCCACTGCTGCCCCGTCTCTTGAAGAAAAGAGCAGGAGAAGACAAGGTCCATGCGAGCAAAAGCATCTAATCATCTCCTTCGCGCAGCCGTACGCCTCAATCGTCCAGCGCCCAGCCAGCAGCGTCGTCAGGAGGGCCAATACGGGCGCGTTCGACACGTTGGCCCTGCGGCGAATTGCGCGATTGGCCGCCGTGAAAAAGAGGGATAAACGGTAGTACAAGTACGCACAGGGAACCATCGGCACTATCGCCAACAGCTCCGTCACGAGCACCACGCACAGGTACGACACCAAATTGCACGTAAGGTCCAGCACGGCGACAAGGTTCTCCTGCTGGCGGTCGTCGAGGAGGTTGAGGTCCTTGGAGAAGCGGTTCACAATGCGGCCCAGCGGGGTTGTGTCGAAGAAGGCCATCGTGCCCGAGCTGACGGAGCGCAGCAGTTCGTCGTGGATGACGCGACAGCCCCGCCGCAGAACAGGGTACGTGCAGCAGCGCCGAATCGGGTGGGCAACGATACCGGTCATCACCAGCACGAGATACACGTAGAGGTATGTGGCGTCCGACACACCGCTGAAGCGCTTCGCCGTCCAAAAGGACAGCCACACGCGACTGGACACGATCAGCAGCTCTGTGCCGATGTACAGTGCCGCCAGTATCCACCACACACGCATCCGGCAGCACGCCTTCATGTAGCTCACATAAACGTCTCTGGTCACCGCTCCCACGGCCATTTCCTCGTCCTCGATCAACTTCGCAGCGACGTCCACGCCGCCGACGTCACTCCTCGACGCTTTGCGTGAAACTGCCGTGCACACCGACACAGTTGCGGCTCCGTCGCCGTCGCTCTCCTCAACGTCTGCAGCAGCCGCACGGCCACGCGCCTTCGCTGAGCCCTCGTCGATCACGTCATCCGGTTCTTCGACCGCAGCCTGCCGCACTGCGGTGTTCAACGGCAGTTCGGCGTTGATGTCGCAGTACACGCTGTACGCCGCGGCGTCCCCTTGAAAGACGACGCCGCCCGCCGACAGCACCACCACGTAGTCCGCGTCGCGCGCAACGTGCACCTGGTGCGTCGCAAGCACGCGCGTCTTGTGCGCCAGCGCGCCGCACACGCACTCGCGCATCACACGCTCGCCAACGTGCGCGTCCAGCGCGGACAGCGGGTCGTCCAGCACGTACACGTCGCGGTCCGCGTACACAGCACGCGCCAGGCTCACGCGCGCCTTCTGCCCGCCGCTCAGGTTGATGCCCTTCTCGCCGATCTCCGTCGCAGCGCCAGCAGCGAGCAGCGCAAGGTCCGCCGCAAGCTGGCTGCTCGCCACCGCGCGCTCGAACGCAGCGTCGTCCGCAGCGCCGAAGAACACAACGTTGTCGCGCAGCGTCGCGCTCATGATCCACGGCTGCTGCGGCACGTAGGCGACGCAGCGGCTGCACGCAACGCGGCCACGCGTCACCGCGAGCGCGCCGATCAGCGAGTCCAGCAGCGTCGACTTGCCGCACCCCGTCGGCCCCAGCACAACAGTCAGCTTGCCGCGCGGGATGCGCAGGTCCACGTCCTCCAGCAGCGTCTTGACGCGCAGCTCGTACAGCTGGTCTTCGTCTTCGTCTCCGTCTTTTTTCTTTCCGCTCTTGCTAGATTTCTTCTTTTCGTCTTCGCGTTTCCGGTGGGCAGCGCTGTCCATCGCAGGCAGCGGCTCCGCCACAAATGCGGACAGCGTAGCGTTCTTGAGGCGGGCAGCGTACATCCCCACGAAAGCTCGCCGAGCCTCCTCGTACGCCTCCTTGCGGCCTTCCGTCACCATCGCCCGGTGCTCGGCCGCAAAGTCGTCCGCCATGTCCACCACCGCCCTCTCGTTGTCGTCGCATTCGACAAAGCGGCTGACGCGCCTCATCGAAACGAAAAAGTGGGTAAACGCGGAGGCAATCATCGGGACACAGAGGAAGGGCATCTCAATGATGCCCTCCAGCGCAATCGCGGGGAAGACAACGGACGCCTTGAGCGTGTTGCCGGCTAGTGCGTAGCACAGGAGCACAACGGCCAGCACAAGATTCGGGATAGCAGCGCTGAGGAAAGACAGCAAAGTCAGGTAAAGCTGAATGCGTTTGATCTTCTGAATCTCCACTTCGCGGATCTCGTTGATCTTCACAATGAAGGAGGGATCCCACGACATGAACTTCACCACCCGAATGCCCGAGAGGAACTCGTTCGTCGCCTTTAGCCGTGCGTCGGTGATGGCGGACTTCTCAGCGAACATGTCGAACGTTTTGCGAGCCACCATACTCTGCAAAAGAACAGCGGGGAACATCACACCAAATCCCAGGAAAGCCGGCCAGCCCATCATGTGGTACAGGAGCGTGACGCCGGCAATGAGTTGCGCCGCCGACCCAATCGACGCCCAAAACCACATCGTAAACTCCTCCACCGTCGCGACGTCTGTCCCCAGCAGGTTCACGATGTACCCCGTGTTGACGCGAGGGTGGGCGAGGTACTTGCCGGAGATGGTGAGACACTTCTCAAAGATCACCCCGGACAGCGCAGCGCGAAACATGCACGCACACCGAAGCGTGGCGAACCAGTAGTAGCTCTGCGTCACCGCCTGCACCTCAATGAAGACAAAATACACCGCCACGATGGCGATGCCCTTCAGCCAAACACGCGTCTTGTCGTGCACTCCAGCGGAGTCTCCATCTTCTGCTGCGGCCGTTGCTGTCTCGGCCGCCACCTTCTCCAGATATTCGATGTAATACTGCAGCAGCAGCGGCACCAGGATGGTGCAGGCATCGCGCATGACGCGCACGGGGATGACGCGGTTCATGGGTCCCCACAGCGTCGCGAAGATGGCCCTCGTAGCGGACATGCCGCGAGGGCGGGTGTGAACGGCGGGGGGAAGGCCGTCGTCGGCTGCGGACTCCCCATCGCGAGCGGGGCGCCCCGGCACGATAATCGTCACGTCCTCTACGCGCTCGCACGTCGCCGTCGCACGGCCGTCGCTCGTCTCGAAGAGGTGCTCGCCGCAGACCGTTCCGTCGTGCCACGCACACACGCACCCGTCAGGCACCACCGCCGCACCTTCCAGTGCCGCCGCCACCGCATCGGCCTCCCACTCCACGCCGGCGTACCGCTGACCGCCCGCGTCGTACTGCTGGACCTTGCCACACCACCGCAACACGCCGGTCGCACCGACGCGCAGCCCCGAATCGGCCACCGTCACACCGTCTGAGCCGCCCCAGCCCGTCATGCGCGCCAGTGCACGCAACACGCGGCGTGGCAGGCGCTGGCGAGCGGCGCGGCCCACGCCGGTGTAGCGCACCACCGCCGTCCCACACAGCGCGTCCCACCCGTGCTCCACGTTGCGCTGCCGCTGCAGCTCGCGGGAGAGAAGTGTACCGGTGTTGTAGGCACGGCACCCCTGCATGGGTCGTGGCAGCCCCTCCTGCGTCAGCTCCTCTCGCGACGCCTTGTACATGACATCCCCCAGCCAGGTGTACAGCAGGTAGCTCCATGGCCACCGCGCCCTGTCCTCGGCCTGCTCCTCGTACGGCGGTTCCGCGCCCCACAGTTCCGCCAGTTTCTCTTCACGACGGCGGCATGTCTCGTCGTAGCCGCGGAGCTGCTCCGCGATGGCGTTAACGTAGGCGCCTGACTCGCTGTTCGTCGCAGTAAACGCTGACATGTGCGTGGTAGAAACGACGGTAGAGCAGGAGTGTGAGAACAAACGAGAAGAGGGAAAATAGATTTAGTTTGATGTGTATGTGCAGCGGATAAACGTTTTTAAAACACACCGAAGAAGAATAACTGAATTGTCAACACAACACAGAACCTTCAGTGTCAAGCAACCCCTTTGACTATCTCGTGAAGGGTCGAGGTAATCTACAAGTGGTAGCAAAGGGAAGAAAAAGAAGCGTATACTAGTGGCTGTAAAGTTCCAAAGCTGCTTTGCTTCCGAAAGTGTGCGCGCCTGACGTATAGTGTCGCGACGCTCAGAGGAAAGGAAAAAGGCGGAAGCCTTGAAAAGGGAAGAAAAATAAGGAGATACAAAAGAAATGTTTTCAAAACAATTTGGAAACCCTTCCAGAGACAGAAGAGGAGTTAGTTTTTTTCTTAATGTCTACCTGCGAAAGAAACAAACACCTCCGGTCGCTCACAACGACGTATACAACTGCGTGTCCGGCTGACAGTTCGATAGTTACTGTGAGGGAATAAAACAAATGAAAGAAAAAAGTTGTGCTGACGAAGAAACAGCGTTAAACCTTTAAAACAAAGTCAAGAGTGGAACAGATCAATGCAGCTTTTAAACGCCTCAAGGACAACAACAACAGCAAAACAAAAGTGGACACCAAACGACTCCCTAGACTTTCGTTGCTCTTTAGAAAACAAACAAGAGAACGGAAATGGAACGCTTGGGGGAAGAGAAGAGTCGCGCAAAACAGCTCGCTGAAAGCGCTATCGGGCTCCTTCGTATCTTGGGATGCAGGAGATACGCGCGAAAGCTTTCCTCTGCTCAACAGATCCACTCCTGAATTCACAGAACAAAAATCCGTAAGAGCAAGGAGAGTGGCGCCGAAAAAGAAAGGAATGTAACAGAACAGTGGAACGGCGGAGAGAGACGAAAGGCGGCGACGGAGATACAAATGTGGTTCAAACGTGTTGTAGGACAGTCGTCGTTTCGCAGGTGCCAAATAATAATAATGATAATAGTAAAAGACGATAATACTTAATTAGCACGCACACAAAGAGAGTGAATGCGTTAAAGCAAACAAATTACGATGTTTAACGGGAATAAAAATGAGACTCACGTAAGTGTCAGGGGCGAACACAACGATGAAATAAATAAAATAAATGCAAACGCTCACGGGGGCAGAACGATACGGTGAAAAGCGGCTCCTGCAGCTCCTCTTTTTACTATCCCTCTCCCCTCTGCGAACTCCTTTCGACTACTTTGCCGTGGAGAACAGCAACAAACTGAAAAAATAGAGGGAGAGAAAACGAAGGAGCGCGAACGGAATAAATGACAGTCCTCGGAAGAAAGTTGTATGTCAGCAACAGCCTCCGCCTAAAAAAAAAAAAACGAATCGCAACGAACAGAGGAGTTACAGCTGGAAAGGCGAACAGCGGCGGCGATTTATTCCTTCAAATAAAACAAAAAAAGGAGGGGGGCGGTGGGGAGTTCTTCTGCGTGCGGCAAACCGTAGCGGACGGCCTTTCCAGCGTAATATGTCGATTTAAGAAAAGAGACGCACCAATCGACACACACAACAGGGAAGGTTGGACGAAGACTCCAGCAAGGAGTTTTTGATTTCCGCTGTCATGAGAGAGTTGAAACCAAAGTCGGTGAGAGAAGGAAAAAGAAAAGGATAAAGATAGAAATATGAAGAAGCAATAAGAGCAAGGTCACTTTGCTGTGAACATCTAAACTTGAGAGTGGATACTCGCCTTCCGGGAAAAAGACCGCTCATTCGACTGCAAGGGTCCCTTCAACAGAAACGCGCACTTCCGTTCAACGGCGGACTTGGTAATACACTTTGACGCGGATGTTAACGCGAAATAGCGCAGAAGATAACCACAATGTCGACAGCACACGAGCAAGCGTCTACACAGCAAGCCCTTTGCGCCATCTCAAACTCTCTCAGTACGCACGCAAGTTGCAACCAGACGCACGTCTCGTATATCGGCCCCACATCCCTACATCTTATCTACAAGTTTATAGATTCCCACTTCCTATCAAACATATTATATTACGAGACAAGCTACACCTTCACAATATTATATATGTGTACACCTCCGCTGTACGCTGCTGTCGATACGTTCCACCGGGTGTCAGCAAAAAACAAAACAATCGGAGAAAACTTAGAGAACACAATTAACACGATAGTACGAACACCGGCACTTATGCGTCGGCGACTCCTTTGTTTAAACTTGAAATGAAAGACTCACGGGCATCCCGTTCATCGATTGCACCATCGAGGCGAAAAGGGACCCCTCAGTGTTCACCAGCGCACGCGGCGAGCCGAACTCCACCGCGCGGCCGCCGTCCATCACGAGGATCACGTCGTACGCAGCAACCGTGTGCAGCCGGTGCGCGATCGTCACAACCGTGTAGTCGCGGAACGTCTGCTGCACCGTCAGCTGGATCTGCCGGTCCAGCGCGGGGTCCACGTTCGCCGTCGCCTCGTCCATCAGCAGGAACGCGCTGCCACGCTTCAGCAGCGCGCGCGCAAGGCACAGCAGCTGGCGCTGCCCAACGCTGAAGTTCGACCCGCCCTCCTGCACGCGCGCGTCAAGCCCGCCGCCGCCGCTCCGCACCCGCTCCTCCATCCCAACCTGCCGCAGCGCAGCCCACACAGCCGCGTCGCCGCACGCGCCGAACGGGTCCACGTTGCTGCGCACCGTCCCGTCGAACAGCAGCGGGTCCTGCGGGATCATCGAGAACAGCTGGCGCAGCTCACGCACGCCGTAGTCGCGCGCGTCGCGCCCGCACACGCGCATGCACCCGCCGCACACCTCCACAAGCCGCAGCAGCGCAAGCAGCAGCGTCGACTTCCCGCTGCCCGTGCGGCCCACAACGCCCACCTTCTGCCCGGGCAGCACCGCGAAGCTCACGTCGCGCAGCACGAGCGGCAGCCCCGGCCGGTACCGCATGTCCACGTGCTCCAGCACAAGCGACCCGAACTCAGCAGCGCCGCACTCCCGCCGCGCCAGAGGCGAGCTCACACGGGACGCAACAGCCGCCGCGTCGTCCACCGGGGCGGACACCTCCCGCGCACCGCTGCCGGCGTGCATCGCGTCCACCTCCGCCTCCACGGCACCGCGCAGGTCCTCGTGGTCGATGTGGTCCGTCATGTAGAAGATGCGCTCGACGCTGTTCATATCGGCCTCAACGGAGGCTACGACAGAAACAATGCCGTCTAGCAAACTGCTGATCTCCAGCGCAAGCGTGATACTCAGAGATAGCAGGCCGATGTTGGCGGGCAGGAACGACACGTGCACCGCCAGCACCGCACCCAGCGCCACAGCCAGCGTGATGGCCGTGCTCAGCAGCTGGATGCGCACAGACAGCCACAGCTGCGCGCCGAGCTGCAGGTACGAGCACGTGAACACAACGTCCACGCAGCGCATCGCCTTCTGCATCACAGCAGGCGCAACGCCGTAGGCCTGCACCGTCCACCGCCCACCGAAGGCCTCCTCCAGCACCGACAGCACGGGCGAGTTCACCAGGTTCACCAGGCGCTTGATCTCGCGGTTGGCGCGCGCGTAGAATCGCAGCAGGAAGTAGTACACAACCATGCACGGCACCAGCACCACCAGCACGAACACCTGCGTGAACACCATCATCGCCACCGTCGAGCAGAAGGTAGCCACGGTGGTGAGGAGGGAGCTGTAGCTGGTCTGCAGGTCGTTGTCGATGTTGCTGATGTCGTTGGTGAAGCGGTTGATGAGGCGGCCAACGGGCGTCGTGTCGAAGAACTGCAGCGTGGCGCAGGCAACGGAGCGCAGCAGCTCGCCGTGCACCACGTAGCTGGCGCGGCGCATCACCGTCATCGACACCCAGTAGCGCAGCGGGCCGCACAGCGCACCGAGCAGCGACAGCGACACGTAGATGGTGCTGTACTGCGTCGACGTCAGCGGCAGGTAGGCGGTGGACCACAGCGCAAGCCAGATGGACGGCGCCATCACAAGCGCCTCCGTGGCGAGGTAGAGCGCCATCACCGCCACGCACACGCACACACCGCCGCACGCCCGCATGTAGCGCACGTACACAGCAAGCGGCACCGCACCGCGGAAGCGCTCCTCCTCCGTCAGCAGCTTGCCGGCGTCGCCGCCCTTGCCCGCCGCAGCAGCAGCATCCGACACACCCGAGGCACCGGCCCCCGCGTCCTCACCATCGAAGAGGAGGTCGTCTGCCTTCGCCGCGCCGGCGGTGTCCGGGGCAGCGGAAACAGCAGCGGGAGCCGCGGTGTCGTCCGCAGCCACGCTGGCGCTCGTCTCGCGCGACAGGTGGTCATGGTAGTACGCGTCGCGCGTGCCGTGGAAGGCGACGCGGCCGCCCGCCGACAGCACCACCACGTAGTCCGCGTCGCGCGCAACGTGCACCTGGTGCGTCGCAAGCACGCGCGTCTTGTGCGCCAGCGCGCCGCACACGCACTCGCGCATCACACGCTCGCCAACGTGCGCGTCCAGCGCGGACAGCGGGTCGTCCAGCACGTACACGTCGCGGTCCGCGTACACAGCACGCGCCAGGCTCACGCGCGCCTTCTGCCCGCCGCTCAGGTTGATGCCCTTCTCGCCGATCTCCGTCGCAGCGCCAGCAGCGAGCAGCGCAAGGTCCGCCGCAAGCTGGCTGCTCGCCACCGCGCGCTCGAACGCAGCGTCGTCCGCAGCGCCGAAGAACACAACGTTGTCGCGCAGCGTCGCGCTCATGATCCACGGCTGCTGCGGCACGTAGGCGACGCAGCGGCTGCACGCAACGCGGCCACGCGTCACCGCGAGCGCGCCGATCAGCGAGTCCAGCAGCGTCGACTTGCCGCACCCCGTCGGCCCCAGCACAACAGTCAGCTTGCCGCGCGGGATGCGCAGGTCCACGTCCTCCAGCAGCGCCTTCGTCTTGAGGAGGTAGACAGCGTCCTCCTTGAATGATGGCTGCGCGTGCGCCGGCCGGCCCTCCGCCGGAGCAGCAACAGCGGTAGCAGCGGCAGTGTCATCTGTGGGCTGCACCGCGGGCTCCGCACTCGCGGGGGCAGCGTCGTCGGCGGGCTTCGGCAGCTCCTCCGCCACGTAGGTGCTGAGCTCCGCGTGTACGAAGGCGGCGGCGGTGCTCTCCGAGGGCGGGTGCCCGGTGTTCTCAGGGGCGTCACGGCTGCTCTGGTCGTCCTCCCGGAAGTCCTTGATGTCCGCAATGAGGGGGACGAGGTCATCCTCCGTGTCGAAGAACAGGTTCAGCCGACGCAGCGACACGAGGAGTTTGCTCACCATCTGAAACGTGAAGGGCAGCATCGACACAAACGAGGTCAACATGTGGAACAGCGCGAGAGCCGGGAAGACAATAGACGGCGTCAGCGTGTGCCCAAGCATGCCAAAGGTAAAGAACACACTCGCAATGACAAATCCGGGGGCGGCGTTAAACAGGAAAAAGATCATCATGAAGGACTTCTGGATCTTTTTAAGAAAGTGAAGTTCCTCCTTGCGCATGTCCTCGATACGTGCAATGAAGGAAGGCTCCCACGACATGAACTTGATCACACGAATCCCAGAGAACAGCTCCGTCGTGGCCTTCACGCGGTGATCTGTTGCCGACGCACGCTCCCTGAAGTGGGCATACAAGCCTTTCATGGCGAAGCCCTGTAGGGGTGCAAACACAAGCACCATGGCGCCCCCGACAAACACGCTGTTGCCCAACAACAGATACAACTGATAGAAGGCAATCGCAAGTATATACGGAGACGAAAAGAGTGCCCAGAACATTGAGATGAAGCTGCCAATGTTTTCCACATCTGTGCTCAGCATGTTTGCGAGGCGACCGGCGTTGTAAGAGGGGTGATGGGCCGCCTTAGGAGACATGGTGAAGACCTTCTCGAACATCAGCACCGAAATAGCGTTGCGCACCTGCAACGAGCAGCGTCGTCGCACGTGAAACCGTTTGTTTGAGCATACGGTTTCAACGGTCATGGTGACAAACATGCAGAACGCGAGAAGTACACCGCGCTGCCACCCTGCGGCGGCACCGAAGTATCCGTCAAGCAGCGCGCCACTGCTCGACGATGCGTCGCTGCTGCTGTCGCTGCCGCTGCCACTGCCACCGCCACCTCCGCCGTTCAGCACCTCACCGAGGTACGCAACAAACCACTTGAGAAGGAGGGGTTGCAGAAGGCTGCAGGCGTCCCCGAGGAGTCCGAGAAGCACGAGGAGCAAAAGATTCTCACGGAACAGCGTCCATATCGTCCACCACACCTGAATCGACCGGGGCGGCTCGTGGGCGGAGGCAGGCAGCTCGCGGCGTAGGGCACGCTCCGTCGCGGCAGCACCGCGGCCACCCTCCGCAGCGCCAAGGCGGAACACAACGTCCTCCACCAGCTCGCACGTCGCAACCGTGTCGCCGTCCGCGAGGTCGAAGAGGTGCTCACCGCACACCTCGCCGCGGTGGAAGGCGCCGGGGCCGTGTGGAGGGGCGCCACCGCCGCGGCACAGCAGCCACCGGCCCAGCACACCAACGTGGCGCGGCGCAGGCGCCACCAGCCACTCCACTCCGGCGTACAGCTGCCGCGGCGTGCCGTACTGCTGCACGACGCCCACCCAGCGCAGCACGCCGTCGCTCGCAGCGTCGCGCCGCACACCCACGCGCGCGCCGATGTAGCCGTCCCACGCGTGGCGCCGCAGCTGCTGCGACTGCATCTGCACCGACAGCCGCGTGCCGGCGTTGTAGGCGCGGAACGCACGCGTCGGCCGCGGCAGGCCCGCCTCCGTCAGCTCCTCGCGCGCAGCCTGGAAGATGTACCGCCCCATCCAGCTGTAGAAGAGCGAGCCGAGAACGACGCCGCTGCGGTCCTCCGGCTGCGGCTCGTAGGGCGGCTCCGCGCCCCACAGCCCGTGCACGTGCTCCGCCCACGCCGACCGCGCCGTCTGCTGCTCCCCGTCGCGCGCGCGCAGCTCCTCCAGCGCCTCCTCGGCCGACGACGCGGGGAAGACAACCCGCTCCGCATCCACACCGGGCGGGGGAGCGGTGGGCGGGTCGTCCGTGTTGGACTCGCTCATAGGAAACGGAGCGAGAAAATAGGAGGAGTCTGCGAACGATGTATGTCGGTAGTTCGACGCGAGACGGCTCTTTTTTCGTGAAGTTGATCGGAAGAAATAGAGGTATTTGAGTTGTTAGGGAAAGAGAGAGATGTTTTTGATGGTGGATGCGTCAACACCGACAGCAAAAAGAGGCTCGTTAGCGTGGCACCGCTGCTGTGGTCCGTCTGTTTGATCCGGAGCCACCAGAGGAAAGACAGGGAAGAGAGAGCAGCACGAGGCGCACGACGGTGCAATTCGAACGACGAGGAAAGCAATGAGCACGGGAGACGGGAGTAGACGTAAAAGCAGAAAATAGAATAGCTTATCTTTCAATAGGCGGCTTGAGGCTATTGGAGAAACAAGAATACCGCACACCCTCTGCGCAGGCAAATCGGGAGAGCAGGCAACGGGCGACGAGCAATGGAGTTGTTGGGAAAGGTGTGAGAATCAGTGTGCCGGCAGACAGCAGTGCGTATTCACCTGTTCCCAGAAATGAAGAAGAAAAAGGCGGGGAGGAGGAGGAGTAGAAAAAAAGAACATTTTAATTAAAGACAATTACGGTCACAGAAGCGGAGTGCCAGCACCCGAAACCAGCGGATGCTCTTGAACACCGATTGGCGGCCCTTTCCATTGCAGGGCACGACTCGCCTTCAGCATGCGAAGCTCATCAGATCAGGGGAGCCGAGCTACGCGTCCCACCCGTGCCGCACCCTCTTAACGAGAGTGTGCATAGCCGGGCGCTTCACGGAAAGGGACCGCGGCGCAGACGGCTACAAAGTACATAAGTGCGCCCCAGAGCTCCACTACCTGTCTTTTTGTATTTCGCTTTTATTTGAACCCACGACGCGCCACGCTTATCTCGCTCCACACGCGCCATCTCCAGCGCCACCTACACAGCCGCAACAAACCATCCGGCAACACCGCCGCCATCAAGCATAAATGTGCCCCTCATTAAAAACCCTTTTAAAAAAAGCAGCCGCAGCTCGGAAACAATTCAACTAACCCCAAGAGAATAAAATAATAACGCTAAACGATAGTCACTATTAATGAGAAAAAGCAATGGAAGCAAAAACACTATGAGAAAAACTTACATGAGAGAACCCCACATCAAACTGAATGCGTGATCACAAGCCAAACCAGCACGCAGAGCGTACGACATCACTTTCTAGGAAAACCTCCACTTATGTGTCGGCGACTCCTTTGTTTAAACTTGCCATGAAGGACTCACGGGCATCCTCGTTCATCGATTGCACCATCGAGGCGAAAAGGGACCCCTCAGTGTTCACCAGCGCACGCGGCGAGCCGAACTCCACCGCGCGGCCGCCGTCCATCACGAGGATCACGTCGTACGCAGCAACCGTGTGCAGCCGGTGCGCGATCGTCACAACCGTGTAGTCGCGGAACGTCTGCTGCACCGTCAGCTGGATCTGCCGGTCCAGCGCGGGGTCCACGTTCGCCGTCGCCTCGTCCATCAGCAGGAACGCGCTGCCACGCTTCAGCAGCGCGCGCGCAAGGCACAGCAGCTGGCGCTGCCCAACGCTGAAGTTCGACCCGCCCTCCTGCACGCGCGCGTCAAGCCCGCCGCCGCCGCTCCGCACCCGCTCCTCCATCCCAACCTGCCGCAGCGCAGCCCACACAGCCGCGTCGCCGCACGCGCCGAACGGGTCCACGTTGCTGCGCACCGTCCCGTCGAACAGCAGCGGGTCCTGCGGGATCATCGAGAACAGCTGGCGCAGCTCACGCACGCCGTAGTCGCGCGCGTCGCGCCCGCACACGCGCATGCACCCGCCGCACACCTCCACAAGCCGCAGCAGCGCAAGCAGCAGCGTCGACTTCCCGCTGCCCGTGCGGCCCACAACGCCCACCTTCTGCCCGGGCAGCACCGCGAAGCTCACGTCGCGCAGCACGAGCGGCAGCCCCGGCCGGTACCGCATGTCCACGTGCTCCAGCACAAGCGACCCGAACTCCGTGGCAGCGAAGCCGCACGCAGTCGCAGGCACGCACGCCGCACCGCCCGCACCAAGGTCCTCCGCAGGCGCGCTGTCCGTGTAGTACAGCACCCGCTCCACGCAGTTCATCGACGCCTCCACCGACGCACCCACCGTGATGAAGCGCGACAGCACGCTCGTGATGGACGACGCCTTGCTCACGCTCAGCGCCAGGAGGCCGAGGTTGATGTGCATCCAGGAGGCCTGCGTGGACACCACACCCAGCAGCGCCAGGCTGCACACCGCAACGTTCCCCAGCAGCTCCACCCGCACCGTCAGCCAACGCGAGCCCATGGACTGCATGTAACCACTCCCGAAGACACGGTCAAGGCTGCGCAGCACCTCCTGCATCATGGCCTGCTGCCGCTCGTAGGTGCAGATGGTCCAGCGGCCCGTCAGCACCTCGTTGAGCGCGGAGAAGACGGGGGAGTTGGAGATGTTCAGCAGCCGCTGCATCTCCCTGTTGGCGGTGCAGAAGAAACGGAAGATGCGGCCGTAGATCAGCGCACACGGTATGAGGATGACCAAAATGAAGGGCTGCGACACCGTCATGATGATGACATACGAGATGAGGTAACAGAAGAAAAAGAACGACACATCCAGATTCACGGGGAGGTCCCAATCAATCTGCGACATGTCACGCGACATGCGATTCATGAGACGTCCTCGAGGTGTGATATCAAAGAAGGTCAGCCTCGCTTCGGCGAGGGATCGCAATAGGTTCGCGTGCAGACGGTAGGAGGCACGGCGCATATCCGTAAAGCACAGCAGATCGCGGGAGGGGCCAGCAGGAACGGCGAACAGAACCGTTCCCACGTAGACGATCAGTCGACGGTGAGAGCAAATGCTCTCTAGTATACCGCCAGACCACAAGGACAGCCACACGTCACTAGCTCGGAGCAACACCTCTGTGAAGACGAAGAAGATGATCACAAAAGAAAAGGCGGGCCAACCACCACAGGCCTCCATGTATCGGCGGTAGACGAGCCACGGCACAGCACCCACCGCCTTCTCCTCGCCGCTCTCCGTGATCGCAACACGGGCCTCGCCCTCCGTTATGGCATCTCCCGGAGAGTCTTCACGCTCTTCGCCGACACCAAACAGCATCGCAGCACCCTCCTCCACGGTGGTCGGGGAAGCATAGCCTACAGCCTCCCGAGGGGCGGCAGCGCGGCCCGGCGTCGTCAAATCTTCGTGTGGCCCCAGCTCGCTCACCGTGCGCGCCGCGTACAGCGACGTCTTGTCCAGGCCGCTGAGGCTGCGATCGTAGTGCAGGCGAGCGTACTGCCGGTACGCAGCGTACGTGCCCTGGAAGGCGACGCGGCCCTCCTCCAGCAGCACCACGTAGTCCGCGTACGCAGCGGCGCTCACCTGGTGCGTCGCAAGCACGCGCGTCTTGTGCGCCAGCGCGCCGCACACGCACTCGCGCATCACACGCTCGCCAACGTGCGCGTCCAGCGCGGACAGCGGGTCGTCCAGCACGTACACGTCGCGGTCCGCGTACACAGCACGCGCCAGGCTCACGCGCGCCTTCTGCCCGCCGCTCAGGTTGATGCCCTTCTCGCCGATCTCCGTCGCAGCGCCAGCAGCGAGCAGCGCAAGGTCCGCCGCAAGCTGGCTGCTCGCCACCGCGCGCTCGAACGCAGCGTCGTCCGCAGCGCCGAAGAACACAACGTTGTCGCGCAGCGTCGCGCTCATGATCCACGGCTGCTGCGGCACGTAGGCGACGCAGCGGCTGCACGCAACGCGGCCACGCGTCACCGCGAGCGCGCCGATCAGCGAGTCCAGCAGCGTCGACTTGCCGCACCCCGTCGGCCCCAGCACAACAGTCAGCTTGCCGCGCGGGATGCGCAGGTCCACGTCCTCCAGCAGCGCCTTCGTCTTGAGGAGGTAGACAGCGTCCTCCTTGAATGATGGCTGCGCGTGCGCCGGCCGGCCCTCCGCCGGAGCAGCAACAGCGGTAGCAGCGGCAGTGTCATCTGTGGGCTGCACCGCGGGCTCCGCACTCGCGGGGGCAGCGTCGTCGGCGGGCTTCGGCAGCTCCTCCGCCACGTAGGTGCTGAGCTCCGCGTGTACGAAGGCGGCGGCGGTGCTCTCCGAGGGCGGGTGCCCGGTGTTCTCAGGGGCGTCACGGCTGCTCTGGTCGTCCTCCCGGAAGTCCTTGATGTCCGCAATGAGGGGGACGAGGTCATCCTCCGTGTCGAAGAACAGGTTCAGCCGACGCAGCGACACGAGGAGTTTGCTCACCATCTGAAACGTGAAGGGCAGCATCGACACAAACGAGGTCAACATGTGGAACAGCGCGAGAGCCGGGAAGACAATAGACGGCGTCAGCGTGTGCCCAAGCATGCCAAAGGTAAAGAACACACTCGCAATGACAAATCCGGGGGCGGCGTTAAACAGGAAAAAGATCATCATGAAGGACTTCTGGATCTTTTTAAGAAAGTGAAGTTCCTCCTTGCGCATGTCCTCGATACGTGCAATGAAGGAAGGCTCCCACGACATGAACTTGATCACACGAATCCCAGAGAACAGCTCCGTCGTGGCCTTCACGCGGTGATCTGTTGCCGACGCACGCTCCCTGAAGTGGGCATACAAGCCTTTCATGGCGAAGCCCTGTAGGGGTGCAAACACAAGCACCATGGCGCCCCCGACAAACACGCTGTTGCCCAACAACAGATACAACTGATAGAAGGCAATCGCAAGTATATACGGAGACGAAAAGAGTGCCCAGAACATTGAGATGAAGCTGCCAATGTTTTCCACATCTGTGCTCAGCATGTTTGCGAGGCGACCGGCGTTGTAAGAGGGGTGATGGGCCGCCTTAGGAGACATGGTGAAGACCTTCTCGAACATCAGCACCGAAATAGCGTTGCGCACCTGCAACGAGCAGCGTCGTCGCACGTGAAACCGTTTGTTTGAGCATACGGTTTCAACGGTCATGGTGACAAACATGCAGAACGCGAGAAGTACACCGCGCTGCCACCCTGCGGCGGCACCGAAGTATCCGTCAAGCAGCGCGCCACTGCTCGACGATGCGTCGCTGCTGCTGTCGCTGCCGCTGCCACTGCCACCGCCACCTCCGCCGTTCAGCACCTCACCGAGGTACGCAACAAACCACTTGAGAAGGAGGGGTTGCAGAAGGCTGCAGGCGTCCCCGAGGAGTCCGAGAAGCACGAGGAGCAAAAGATTCTCACGGAACAGCGTCCATATCGTCCACCACACCTGAATCGACCGGGGCGGCTCGTGGGCGGAGGCAGGCAGCTCGCGGCGTAGGGCACGCTCCGTCGCGGCAGCACCGCGGCCACCCTCCGCAGCGCCAAGGCGGAACACAACGTCCTCCACCAGCTCGCACGTCGCAACCGTGTCGCCGTCCGCGAGGTCGAAGAGGTGCTCACCGCACACCTCGCCGCGGTGGAAGGCGCCGGGGCCGTGTGGAGGGGCGCCACCGCCGCGGCACAGCAGCCACCGGCCCAGCACACCAACGTGGCGCGGCGCAGGCGCCACCAGCCACTCCACTCCGGCGTACAGCTGCCGCGGCGTGCCGTACTGCTGCACGACGCCCACCCAGCGCAGCACGCCGTCGCTCGCAGCGTCGCGCCGCACACCCACGCGCGCGCCGATGTAGCCGTCCCACGCGTGGCGCCGCAGCTGCTGCGACTGCATCTGCACCGACAGCCGCGTGCCGGCGTTGTAGGCGCGGAACGCACGCGTCGGCCGCGGCAGGCCCGCCTCCGTCAGCTCCTCGCGCGCAGCCTGGAAGATGTACCGCCCCATCCAGCTGTAGAAGAGCGAGCCGAGAACGACGCCGCTGCGGTCCTCCGGCTGCGGCTCGTAGGGCGGCTCCGCGCCCCACAGCCCGTGCACGTGCTCCGCCCACGCCGACCGCGCCGTCTGCTGCTCCCCGTCGCGCGCGCGCAGCTCCTCCAGCGCCTCCTCGGCCGACGACGCGGGGAAGACAACCCGCTCCGCATCCACACCGGGCGGGGGAGCGGTGGGCATCTGATCTGTAGCACTGTAATGCATGTTGAAGAGAGCAACAGGAGAGGGGGCACTTCTGTCTTTGAATATACGGCAAGAGGCAAAGGGCGCAGCAAGAAGAAAAAGCGCGGTGGAAACCTCTTGGAGCGAGAGCCCAGTGCAAGAAAAACGAGTAAATCGATATGTTGATCACTGAAAGAGATAAACTGAACCTCACGATGCTCCTTCGTATCAACACGACAAAGAGTGGCAGCGGCAAAGAGCAAGAGAAATACACGGAAAGAGACTACCACTTATGCACGTTGTTGACTGGCGTCGTTGTGAACCCAAAAACAACACCGAGAGAACTCCAAATCGCTACAGTTGAAAAACAACACTTTAGAAACAAATAGCCGACGGAAGAGAAAGCAAAACAGCAAACAGCAGTAGATAAGGAAAATCTGTGCTTTAGAAATAAAAGGATAGCACAAAGGATGGAGAAAACAAGTAGATGAAGTTGGAATAACGGAAGTGAATGAAAGGTTAGAGGGCCTTCTATGGTGGCCGATGGAAGGAAATCGCGTGCACGCGTAAAAGACAAAGAAGAAGAGGAGAGCGGACAGAAGAAAGCAATGAGAGGATTAACGATGGCAGCAAACAGAATAAAGATGCAACAATATTAAACAGCATCAAAGAGTCGCGGCGCACGAGATATTCTGTGGCAAGACACACTGCGGATCAGTCTCCTTCACCTTTCATGAGAGTGATAAAGGCGAAAAGCATCCGCGTAACTGGAAAGACAACAACACAGCATGCCAACATTCGGAACACAATAAGACGGTAGTCGGTGGTCAGCTTGCGTCTTTCACCAACAGAGCATAAGATGAGGTGTATTGCTCTCCACCTCAAACCGCTTTGATAGGAGGCTGAAACCCCAGAAGGAGATAGTTGGTGAAGCAACGTCCCTCCCGGCGGAGAACACCCTCTCGTCGGGCACCATTCAACTTGCACTGTTTCCCTCACACTTTTCAGTCGCTGCTCACGGCAGCTACACCACGCAACGCGTGGCGTAAACACTACACAATATCAAAAGAGACATACAGCTGCACCGCTACCGACCACACCTCCATAAAGAAACAGACAAGAAGCTGCAGAAGCATCAGTGGACACGGCAGACGCAGCGCATCTTACTTCGCACCCTCATCCAACGCCATGCGGAACGCCTGCTGAGCACCCTTGCCCAGTGAGTACACCAGCCGTGCAAACACAGACCCTTCCCGCGCCAGCCAGCGCACGCGGCGAGCCGAACTCCACCGCGCGGCCGCCGTCCATCACGAGGATCACGTCGTACGCAGCAACCGTGTGCAGCCGGTGCGCGATCGTCACAACCGTGTAGTCGCGGAACGTCTGCTGCACCGTCAGCTGGATCTGCCGGTCCAGCGCGGGGTCCACGTTCGCCGTCGCCTCGTCCATCAGCAGGAACGCGCTGCCACGCTTCAGCAGCGCGCGCGCAAGGCACAGCAGCTGGCGCTGCCCAACGCTGAAGTTCGACCCGCCCTCCTGCACGCGCGCGTCAAGCCCGCCGCCGCCGCTCCGCACCCGCTCCTCCATCCCAACCTGCCGCAGCGCAGCCCACACAGCCGCGTCGCCGCACGCGCCGAACGGGTCCACGTTGCTGCGCACCGTCCCGTCGAACAGCAGCGGGTCCTGCGGGATCATCGAGAACAGCTGGCGCAGCTCACGCACGCCGTAGTCGCGCGCGTCGCGCCCGCACACGCGCATGCACCCGCCGCACACCTCCACAAGCCGCAGCAGCGCAAGCAGCAGCGTCGACTTCCCGCTGCCCGTGCGGCCCACAACGCCCACCTTCTGCCCGGGCAGCACCGCGAAGCTCACGTCGCGCAGCACGAGCGGCAGCCCCGGCCGGTACCGCATGTCCACGTGCTCCAGCACAAGCGACCCGAACTCCGTGGCAGCGAAGCCGCACGCAGTCGCAGGCACGCACGCCGCACCGCCCGCACCAAGGTCCTCCGCAGGCGCGCTGTCCGTGTAGTACAGCACCCGCTCCACGCAGTTCATCGACGCCTCCACCGACGCACCCACCGTGATGAAGCGCGACAGCACGCTCGTGATGGACGACGCCTTGCTCACGCTCAGCGCCAGGAGGCCGAGGTTGATGTGCATCCAGGAGGCCTGCGTGGACACCACACCCAGCAGCGCCAGGCTGCACACCGCAACGTTCCCCAGCAGCTCCACCCGCACCGTCAGCCAACGCGAGCCCATGGACTGCATGTAACCACTCCCGAAGACACGGTCAAGGCTGCGCAGCACCTCCTGCATCATGGCCTGCTGCCGCTCGTAGGTGCAGATGGTCCAGCGGCCCGTCAGCACCTCGTTGAGCGCGGAGAAGACGGGGGAGTTGGAGATGTTCAGCAGCCGCTGCATCTCCCTGTTGGCGGTGCAGAAGAAACGGAAGATGCGGCCGTAGATCAGCGCACACGGTATGAGGATGACCAAAATGAAGGGCTGCGACACCGTCATGATGATGACATACGAGATGAGGTAACAGAAGAAAAAGAACGACACATCCAGATTCACGGGGAGGTCCCAATCAATCTGCGACATGTCACGCGACATGCGATTCATGAGACGTCCTCGAGGTGTGATATCAAAGAAGGTCAGCCTCGCTTCGGCGAGGGATCGCAATAGGTTCGCGTGCAGACGGTAGGAGGCACGGCGCATATCCGTAAAGCACAGCAGATCGCGGGAGGGGCCAGCAGGAACGGCGAACAGAACCGTTCCCACGTAGACGATCAGTCGACGGTGAGAGCAAATGCTCTCTAGTATACCGCCAGACCACAAGGACAGCCACACGTCACTAGCTCGGAGCAACACCTCTGTGAAGACGAAGAAGATGATCACAAAAGAAAAGGCGGGCCAACCACCACAGGCCTCCATGTATCGGCGGTAGACGAGCCACGGCACAGCACCCACCGCCTTCTCCTCGCCGCTCTCCGTGATCGCAACACGGGCCTCGCCCTCCGTTATGGCATCTCCCGGAGAGTCTTCACGCTCTTCGCCGACACCAAACAGCATCGCAGCACCCTCCTCCACGGTGGTCGGGGAAGCATAGCCTACAGCCTCCCGAGGGGCGGCAGCGCGGCCCGGCGTCGTCAAATCTTCGTGTGGCCCCAGCTCGCTCACCGTGCGCGCCGCGTACAGCGACGTCTTGTCCAGGCCGCTGAGGCTGCGATCGTAGTGCAGGCGAGCGTACTGCCGGTACGCAGCGTACGTGCCCTGGAAGGCGACGCGGCCCTCCTCCAGCAGCACCACGTAGTCCGCGTACGCAGCGGCGCTCACCTGGTGCGTCGCAAGCACGCGCGTCTTGTGCGCCAGCGCGCCGCACACGCACTCGCGCATCACACGCTCGCCAACGTGCGCGTCCAGCGCGGACAGCGGGTCGTCCAGCACGTACACGTCGCGGTCCGCGTACACAGCACGCGCCAGGCTCACGCGCGCCTTCTGCCCGCCGCTCAGGTTGATGCCCTTCTCGCCGATCTCCGTCGCAGCGCCAGCAGCGAGCAGCGCAAGGTCCGCCGCAAGCTGGCTGCTCGCCACCGCGCGCTCGAACGCAGCGTCGTCCGCAGCGCCGAAGAACACAACGTTGTCGCGCAGCGTCGCGCTCATGATCCACGGCTGCTGCGGCACGTAGGCGACGCAGCGGCTGCACGCAACGCGGCCACGCGTCACCGCGAGCGCGCCGATCAGCGAGTCCAGCAGCGTCGACTTGCCGCACCCCGTCGGCCCCAGCACAACAGTCAGCTTGCCGCGCGGGATGCGCAGGTCCACGTCCTCCAGCAGCGTCTTGACGCGCAGCTCGAAGTGCGCCTCGCCGTCGCCGCGCCGCCAGCTCGGCGTGGGCAGCGGCACAGGCCGGTAGGCGCTGACCGTCGCGTGCGAGAGCACAGCCGCGGCGTCGCTGGCCTCGTGGCCCGCCACCATCTCCTCCAGCACCGCCCGCGCCGCCGCATCGTCGGCGGCCAGGAAGGACGTGAGGCGGCGCATCGACACGAAGAACTGCGAGTACACGCCGATGAGCAGTGGAAGGAGGTCAAAAGGCGTGTCCATCAATCCCAAGAGCGAGAGCGCCGGGTAGATGATACTGGGCGACATCGGCTGACCGGTATAGTAGAAGGCGACCATGACCGCAGCGGTGGTGCAGTTCGGCACCGACTGCGTCACGAGGAAGTTCGTGATGGACACAAACTGGAACCGTCGGACGGAGCGCAACTCCGCTGCACGTCTCGAGTTGATCTCCTTCTCAAAGGTGCGCTCCAGAGACATAAACTTAACGGAGCGAATGCCGGACAAAAACTCGTTGACGGACCGCAGCCGTGCATCCGTGCGCTTGTTCATCGCCACGGTGCACTGATAGGTAAGCTTGGTGAGAATCAAAAGAGCAGGGAATGCCACCACCAACATCACAAGGCTGATGGCGGACGCCCACCCCATGCTGCGGTAAAGCAGGTAAATGGCCATGAGCAGCTGCAGCGGAACTGTCACCGTCATCCAGAGCACAAAGAATGTGCCCTCAACGCTGCTCACGTCGGTGGCGAGGAAGTTCACGATGCGGCCCACATTCAGCTCGGGCCGCTGCAACTCCTTCGGGGCGATGCGCAGGCACTTTGCCGCCACACACGCAGACAAGGCGGACCGCGCGGCGTAGGTGTAACGAGTGACGAGCTGTGCGTACTTCTGCAAGGCAATGCTGCGGATGAGCGTCAGCAGAAAGAGCACGAGTACGCTGCAGAGTGCTGTGAGGGCATTCGTGTGCATTCTTGCTTTGTGATTCCCACTGGAAGACGAGGAGGAATAGCCACTCCCTGCAGACGCGAAGGCGGCCTCGTCTACGCTGCTACTACTACCACTACTGCTGTTGCTGCTGGGGTCCGCAGATGGGGCTTGTAGGAGAGAGATGTACCACCCCAGCGCCAGCGGCGTGAGCAGCGCACCGCCGTCCACCACAACTCGCAGTGGGCCGAGCAGCAGCAGCTGCCAACGAAACGCACGAAACAAAGCCGCACCGGTGGAGAAGGGTTTGGGTACCGGTGGCCTTGAAGGCCCGCCATTCACTTCCATACTGCGCCGCTGTTCTGAAGTACCGATCGGAGTATCGCCAGCAAATCGAGTACTCTCTCCTCCTTCGTCTCTTTCGTTACTTTGGTGAAAGAGAATATCTTGTACACGTTCACAGGTCGCCACAGAGCCCTCATCGCACTCCAGCGCAAAGAGAAACTCACCCTCCACCTCGCCGCGGTGGAAGGCGCCGGGGCCGTGGGGAGGGGCGCCACCGCCGCGGCACAGCAGCCACCGGCCCAGCACACCAACGTGGCGCGGCGCAGGCGCCACCAACCACTCCACTCCTGCATACAGCTGATCCGGCGTGCCGTACTGCTGCACAACCCCCACCCAGCGCAGCACGCCGTCGCTCGCAGCGTCGCGCCGCACACCCACGCGCGCGCCGATGTAGCCGTCCCACGCGTGGCGCCGCTCCTGCTGTCGCTGCAGCTCCGCCGACAGCCGCATACCGACGCTGTAGGCGCGGTGGGCACGCATGGGCCGTGGCAAATCCCCCAATGTGAGTTCCTCTCTGGACGCTTTGCGCATTAGGTCACTCACCCACGAGTGAAACAGGGAGCCCCACACCCATCCTGCCTCGTCTTCTGCCTGGGCGACGTACTCTGCTTCCTCCCCGAAGACGCATTGTGCTGCAGATGTGGCCGGCGGGGCAGTTAACACTGGTTTGGTGTAAGGCGCTTTTAAAGACGGATCGGTGGGCGGCACTGGCGATGACAACGAAGGCTGGAACGCCTCGTTCTCACCATCAAGCGCACGTTGACTCATGTTGCTTACAACAGAACCTCCTCGTAAGCAGAAAAGGGAACAAGAACAACAAGGTATTGAATACTTATAGATGTGTGTGTGTTCGCAGCCGAAACAGACCAAACAACAGCAGTCAGCTGTAGACACGGGAAAGAACGAGCTCAAAATCCCCAAAAAAAAAGATGGCAACTGATAAGAAACAGGAAAAGGGAAATCGGCGCAAATACGGCGGCGACTGTGAGAAGAAGACAGCGAACTGTTGGTTTCTATCAGAAGCTCGAATCACGAATGAAAATGAGTTCGTCAGATTTCCACGGCGAAGACTCCTTCCTGGAGGCAGAACGCGTGATGTTTGATGGCTGATAATAGCAAGTTACTGTTGTTATTACGTTTCGCCCTTTTTGTAGAAGAGCTGATGTCCCCCGCACACGATCTCGTTGGAGTAAATGAAGTCCGCAGCAGCAATCGTTGATGTGATAGAGACAGAGAACTAGAAAAGGCAAAGTGTATGACTACAACGGCAGTAACCGGCTGGTGTGTTGTTTAAGCAGAAAACAGCGTTAAGAAAAACGTTAAATCCACAAGGTAAAATTATGGTGTTTAATTAATGAAGTTGAAGGCAAGAGGAAGTTGTGAGGAGAAGAGGAAGGTCACCACTGGGGCTACTACAGAGCAAAAACACGAAGTCGGTTCGAGTAACAATCGAGAAGTGGAGCAAAAACGCCGAAATCAATAAACAAAAACTTCAACTTCAGCAATGGCGAGAGACAGACGAAGAAAACAAAAGGAACATATATATATATATATATATATACTGCACTGAGCAGAGCAGTACGGCAAAGGAAAACAGGTTAAATAATAATAAAAAAGCGCTAATAATCACGATAACGCGTGTGGATGGCCTGAGAGGAATAAAAAGAAGGACGACGGGGTATCTGTGCGTAGCACCCTTGCTGATGGCAGCGGCAGATCAAAAAGGCACAAGTAGCGGAGAGGAGGAGAAGGAGAGAAATAGTAGTAATAATAATAGTAATGGGTAGAACCAGCAGTAGCATCCTTTCTGTGTCGCATTCACTGATGGGTACGTATGATTATCGAGGCACTGTGAAGAAATGCCTGTGGCCTTCCGTGGCACGATTCGGTTGGTACCCACCGCCAAGCAGACTTCACCCAAATTCAGCAGGGAAGGACTGAAGAAGGAGGAGAGTTTTCATTGCCTTTTTTTTTTAACCGCTGTAAGTGCAGTAGAATGAAGTCAATTAAGCTCCACTTCCTCGATTCCGCACACACCACACGACGCCGGAACGAAACCAAGGAGAGGCAATCCGGTGTAGTGCCACACAGCATACCTGTCAACTACCTCATTAACCATAAAGTCCCATCTTCATAGCAAGATATCACTGCACCTCCACAGAAGACGTTACGCCTACCATCCACGCTACTAACATCTTCACATAGACAAAAACGATGTGCTGGAGAGACTTATTGCAGATGATTTAGGTAGAGAATGGTGAAGGGGGAAATAGGTTGAAAGCAAAGGTTCGATAGAAGATTGTTCAAACTGTACAACAGAAACACTACTCTATCTTAAAGAACAGGAAGTTGTAAACTCGTAAACACCGGTGAGGTTGCTGAGAAAATACGATAAATGCTAGTTTTGCCTTTTGGGGGATTACTAACGAAGTGGTAGCTTTCTCCTACAAAGCCGCCTCCAAAGCGGGGCGGAATGGGGTTGGGCGGGCGGGAAGACAAAGAAAGAAGAACTATGACAGCTGAAGACGACCGCTGAGAAACAAGAAAAAGGAAAAATGGCTAGAACAGGGGATCACCGATACTATTCCCTTCTCAATACCATTCATACATCCAAGCATTCCTCGTCCAGGCTTTAAGAACAGCAGAGAAAACAGTGTCGAAAACGGCCATAAGTGTAGTCGTGAAGTCTCTCCTCGTCCTACGGCGCAGCTCCCAGATCCGAAGACGCGGCCCGTCACCATCATCCACTGTCCTCTTGATGAATAGTTCTCCCCTCAAGTGCCCTACAGAACGCCTGCTGAGCACCCTTGCCCAGCGAGCGCACCAGCCGTGCAAACACAGACCCTTCCCACGCCAGCCAGCGCACGCGGCGAGCCGAACTCCACCGCGCGGCCGCCGTCCATCACGAGGATCACGTCGTACGCAGCAACCGTGTGCAGCCGGTGCGCGATCGTCACAACCGTGTAGTCGCGGAACGTCTGCTGCACCGTCAGCTGGATCTGCCGGTCCAGCGCGGGGTCCACGTTCGCCGTCGCCTCGTCCATCAGCAGGAACGCGCTGCCACGCTTCAGCAGCGCGCGCGCAAGGCACAGCAGCTGGCGCTGCCCAACGCTGAAGTTCGACCCGCCCTCCTGCACGCGCGCGTCAAGCCCGCCGCCGCCGCTCCGCACCCGCTCCTCCATCCCAACCTGCCGCAGCGCAGCCCACACAGCCGCGTCGCCGCACGCGCCGAACGGGTCCACGTTGCTGCGCACCGTCCCGTCGAACAGCAGCGGGTCCTGCGGGATCATCGAGAACAGCTGGCGCAGCTCACGCACGCCGTAGTCGCGCGCGTCGCGCCCGCACACGCGCATGCACCCGCCGCACACCTCCACAAGCCGCAGCAGCGCAAGCAGCAGCGTCGACTTCCCGCTGCCCGTGCGGCCCACAACGCCCACCTTCTGCCCGGGCAGCACCGCGAAGCTCACGTCGCGCAGCACGAGCGGCAGCCCCGGCCGGTACCGCATGTCCACGTGCTCCAGCACAAGCGACCCGAACTCCGTGGCAGCGAAGCCGCACGCAGTCGCAGGCACGCACGCCGCACCGCCCGCACCAAGGTCCTCCGCAGGCGCGCTGTCCGTGTAGTACAGCACCCGCTCCACGCAGTTCATCGACGCCTCCACCGACGCACCCACCGTGATGAAGCGCGACAGCACGCTCGTGATGGACGACGCCTTGCTCACGCTCAGCGCCAGGAGGCCGAGGTTGATGTGCATCCAGGAGGCCTGCGTGGACACCACACCCAGCAGCGCCAGGCTGCACACCGCAACGTTCCCCAGCAGCTCCACCCGCACCGTCAGCCAACGCGAGCCCATGGACTGCATGTAACCACTCCCGAAGACACGGTCAAGGCTGCGCAGCACCTCCTGCATCATGGCCTGCTGCCGCTCGTAGGTGCAGATGGTCCAGCGGCCCGTCAGCACCTCGTTGAGCGCGGAGAAGACGGGGGAGTTGGAGATGTTCAGCAGCCGCTGCATCTCCCTGTTGGCGGTGCAGAAGAAACGGAAGATGCGGCCGTAGATCAGCGCACACGGTATGAGGATGACCAAAATGAAGGGCTGCGACACCGTCATGATGATGACATACGAGATGAGGTAACAGAAGAAAAAGAACGACACATCCAGATTCACGGGGAGGTCCCAATCAATCTGCGACATGTCACGCGACATGCGATTCATGAGACGTCCTCGAGGTGTGATATCAAAGAAGGTCAGCCTCGCTTCGGCGAGGGATCGCAATAGGTTCGCGTGCAGACGGTAGGAGGCACGGCGCATATCCGTAAAGCACAGCAGATCGCGGGAGGGGCCAGCAGGAACGGCGAACAGAACCGTTCCCACGTAGACGATCAGTCGACGGTGAGAGCAAATGCTCTCTAGTATACCGCCAGACCACAAGGACAGCCACACGTCACTAGCTCGGAGCAACACCTCTGTGAAGACGAAGAAGATGATCACAAAAGAAAAGGCGGGCCAACCACCACAGGCCTCCATGTATCGGCGGTAGACGAGCCACGGCACAGCACCCACCGCCTTCTCCTCGCCGCTCTCCGTGATCGCAACACGGGCCTCGCCCTCCGTTATGGCATCTCCCGGAGAGTCTTCACGCTCTTCGCCGACACCAAACAGCATCGCAGCACCCTCCTCCACGGTGGTCGGGGAAGCATAGCCTACAGCCTCCCGAGGGGCGGCAGCGCGGCCCGGCGTCGTCAAATCTTCGTGTGGCCCCAGCTCGCTCACCGTGCGCGCCGCGTACAGCGACGTCTTGTCCAGGCCGCTGAGGCTGCGATCGTAGTGCAGGCGAGCGTACTGCCGGTACGCAGCGTACGTGCCCTGGAAGGCGACGCGGCCCTCCTCCAGCAGCACCACGTAGTCCGCGTACGCAGCGGCGCTCACCTGGTGCGTCGCAAGCACGCGCGTCTTGTGCGCCAGCGCGCCGCACACGCACTCGCGCATCACACGCTCGCCAACGTGCGCGTCCAGCGCGGACAGCGGGTCGTCCAGCACGTACACGTCGCGGTCCGCGTACACAGCACGCGCCAGGCTCACGCGCGCCTTCTGCCCGCCGCTCAGGTTGATGCCCTTCTCGCCGATCTCCGTCGCAGCGCCAGCAGCGAGCAGCGCAAGGTCCGCCGCAAGCTGGCTGCTCGCCACCGCGCGCTCGAACGCAGCGTCGTCCGCAGCGCCGAAGAACACAACGTTGTCGCGCAGCGTCGCGCTCATGATCCACGGCTGCTGCGGCACGTAGGCGACGCAGCGGCTGCACGCAACGCGGCCACGCGTCACCGCGAGCGCGCCGATCAGCGAGTCCAGCAGCGTCGACTTGCCGCACCCCGTCGGCCCCAGCACAACAGTCAGCTTGCCGCGCGGGATGCGCAGGTCCACGTCCTCCAGCAGCGTCTTGACGCGCAGCTCGAAGTGCGCCTCGCCGTCGCCGCGCCGCCAGCTCGGCGTGGGCAGCGGCACAGGCCGGTAGGCGCTGACCGTCGCGTGCGAGAGCACAGCCGCGGCGTCGCTGGCCTCGTGGCCCGCCACCATCTCCTCCAGCACCGACCGCGCCGCCGCGTCGTCGGCGGCCAGGAAGGACGTGAGGCGGCGCATCGATACTGCGTATTGAGTGAAGATCGTAATGAGATACGTCACGAGTCGAAATGGGGTTTCCATGAGTCCGAGTAACGCTAGCGCGGGGTAGATGACACTGGGCGACATCGGCTGACCGGTATAGTAGAAGGCGACCATCACCGCAGCGGTGGTGCAGTTCGGCACCGATGCTGCGTGTGAGAAGGGCATTGGCGATGAAGACGAACTGGTAGTTACGCAGTGCCCTCAATTCTGCTGCACGACGCTCGTTGATTTCGCGCACAAACGGGTCCTCGAGTCCCATTAGTTTAATGGAGCGAATGCCGGCGAGAAACTCATTCGCACATCTCAGACGCACATCTGTGGTGTGCGCCAGGTGACGGGTGCACGCATACGTCCACTTGGTCAACACCACCTGCAGCGGCAGCGATACCGCCAGCATCCCTACACAAATGTAAGCCGCGCCGCCCATGCTACGGTACAGCAGGTACACCGCCGCGCACAGCTGCAGCGGAACGGTGATGGTCATCCAGAGGGCGTTGAAGAGACTCTCCACGGTGCTGACGTCGTTCGCGACCAAATTGATGATGCGGCCCACGTTCAGGTCCGGCCGCTGCAGCTCCTTCGGGGCGATGCAGAGACACTTTGCCGCAACGCAGGACGACAGCGCAGAGCGGGCCGCGTAGGCGCAGCGGTGCACGAGCTGGCCGTACTTGTGTTGCGCCAGCGTATGGGCAAGGGACAGCGTAAACAGCAGGGCAACACTCCACAGCCCTTCTACAGTGGCAGAGCTGCATAAAATCCCTATCAAACCATCAACGCTGAACCAACCTGTGGCGGTGAGGGAAGAAGAGACAGCGGTGGGCAGCAGGGTGGAGGTGCTGTTGTCGGTGTGGGGGTCCTACTTGAGAAACGAGACGTACCACCGCAACGCCATCGGTGTAAGGACAGCAGTCGTTTCCACAAGAAATCGAAGAGGTCCTAACAGAAGAAGCTGCCGCCAGAAACAACGTAAGAGCGCCCTGTTAGCCGACATCACTTTTGGGGTGCCGGAAGGTAATGGAGAACATGAGGCACCGCTGAGGGGTGGTGAGGAGCCAACTGAGCCGTACTCTCCGATGCCAATAGTAACGCTTTCACTGTCTGACGCCGATCTGTTTGAGAGGAACACGATGTCCTCCACACGTTCACAGGTCGCAACCGTGTCGCCGTCCGCGAGGTCGAAGAGGTGCTCACCCTCCACCTCGCCGCGGTGCAAGGCGCCGGGGCCGTGGGGAGGGGCGCCACCGCCGCGGCACAGCAGCCACCGGCCCAGCACACCAACGTGACGCGGCGCAGGCGCCACCAACCACTCCACTCCGGCATACAGCTGCCGCGGCGTGCCGTACTGCTGCACGACGCCCACCCAGCGCAGCACGCCGTCGCTCGCAGCGTCGCGCCGCACACCCACGCGCGCGCCGATGTAGCCGTCCCACGCGTGGCGCCGCTCCTGTTGCCGCTGCAGCTCCGCCGACAGCCGCACACCGACGTTGTAGGCGTGGTAGGCACGCATGGGCCGTGGTAAATCCCTCAATGTGAGCTCCTCGCGTGCGGCCCGGCGCATAAAGTCACCCATCCACGAGAAGAACAGCATACCGCCTACATAGCTTGCCTGGTCTTCCACCTGCTTTTGATACGAAGGCTCCGCACCAAATATCTGCAGTACCTTCCCGCCCACGTCTCCGGCGGTGCTCAAAAGGTTCTCCTGCGCCGACGCGGGATGCTGCGCAAGGGAGTCGCGCGATGCGGAGGTAGAGAGAAGAGGTTGTCGTGCGCCATCCTGCGTATGAGAGCTCATCGGGTGCTTTGCATAAGCAGGGAGTAAACAGAAAGCGAAGGAGTTGTTCCCTCAATTCTAGATTTAAAAAGGAGAAAAAACGATAAACACACCCCCTAAAAGATAAAAGGCGGTGTTAGTAGTGGGGCGGGTACCAGAGACTCCTCCGCCGGAAGCATCAGTGCATCACGTAAATTGCACGTGAAGGCGAAAGGCCAGGAAAGAAGCGTTGACGAAAAGAGAGAGAAGACGATAGACAAAAAGAAAGAGGGAATGAGGAGGAAGGAAACTTTTCAGACCCGTTTTCGGGGCATCAAAGAAGGGTTTTAAAGTTCTCTCATCGTACGAAACAGAGTCATTGGGGCGTATTTAAAGACGCTTTAATGAGAAGCCCGCAGACGCAGTAGCTTGGGCATTACACAGGAGAAACGTGCGCTACGCACTCTTTCTTTTTTTCACGTTGAATCCTCCGTGTTTCACTTTCATTCAGTTTTCTCTTTCATTTTGCTGGTGCCGTTGCTCCTCCGCTGGTAACTGTGTAGAAGGCTGACTTGCTCATAACTCATTTCTTCGAGTACTCTACTTGTTGGTGTCCCGTAGCGATGCCGTATCCGACAAATCCGCAATGAGGGCGGCTGGCCGAACGAACACAGCTGCAGTCTTATTGATATGAAGATGGAATAGTTGAGGGAGAAGCAGCGGTCCCTTCGCAAAGTACAAAAAATAAACAGAGGAAACAATGATCATTAGAAACAAAACAAAAAAGCAAACCCAATTACTCTTTTTGCGAGAGTATACAACGCTCAGCAGTGCTTTGCGCTCTATCAACTCTTCTTCTTCTGTGAAGAGTAAAACAAAAGCTCTGCGGACTGCTGCGCTTCGGAAAAAGGGGGGAAAGAAAAGTCGCTCAAAAGCGTATCGCATAGATGTGGCAGCGAAGGTCACACACACACACAAGTCACCAGTGCCTCTACAGAAAAAGAAAAAAATACAAACAGCGGAAGGAAAGAAAAAAAGAGGAGGGTCGACTTTCCATTCAACAAAAAACACGTAGACAAAGCGTAGAAGATACTTCCACACCAGTTGATATCACCATTGTAGATGGCTCGACGAAGGCTCTACATCGTCACCACGCTCGAGAATGGAAGTGCGCTCCTCCAGCAATGTCACACGCTCGCGCAAGCGCCGGATCGCCTCCAGCACGGCCCGCTTCGTCGCGTTGCGCTCCAACTCCGCCGTGCGGCCCTCCAGCCCACCAACGCGGCGCTCCAGTGCCGCAAGCGCATCGTTGACGGAGGTGTCAGCCGGCGGACGGGTGCGGGCGGCGTGTTCCACAGGGCCGCGCGCTGGGGAGTACGGCGAGCTCCGTGCATTTTCTTTTCCAGGTGGACTACGCCGCTGTGGTGCAGATGGAGATTGGGACGCCCTCGCGGAGGACACGAGGCCGGAAGGCACACCGTTTTGGTTGCTATTATCATCTATATTCGGCATCGGTGGGTCTGCAGGGGACCACGACTGAATGCCCACGGCAGCGGCAGACTTGAAAGCTGACGGTGCTCTACTTTCTGCTGTGTCTCCAGCTGAAGCGAGACGTGTCGAAGGTGAGATCTTATCGGGACCATCTGGAATGAAGAGGGAGCTGCGGGGCTGCGTTGGTGGGGTTTGGGATTCGTTCCCTGTTGCAGAGGACTGCACCGGGGTGTGCTTTGCGCCTCCAACGATGTGCGGTGTCTGGCCAGAACCTGCGCGGGCAGTCGATGCAGCGCCGAGAAGACGCCTCGCCGGTGTCGCCATGTCTTTTGGCGCAGTCGCCGTTTTCTCTGGATCCAGTTGCAGGGATGCGTCAGGACCCACGGATTCCCTCTTCGCCGTTACCACGGCGTCTTGACTCGGCACCACGACACGTTCCCCTCTCTTCCTTCGCTCACCCGCCCTGCTTAGCGGATTGGGCTCCGTCGCCGCACGCGGCCCTCCATTACGAACGGACGGGCCGCTCGTGCTGCCAAGGGAGGGCTGCGGGAGCGGCGGGGTGACATTGCTCGGCGGTCGATCTCGGGAATGCTCCAGTGGATCTTCATTGCCCTGTCGCCTGCGAAACCGTGCCAGTGGCGAGTCCGTCGAGTGCGGCTTTGTCGTGTTCGTTTGAGGCGGAGTTACCAGACCTGTGACCGCATTTTGGGGTGTTAACGTCGACGCCTGTGCTGTCGAAGCAGCCGGAACGGACCCATGCGATTGACGCGGGGCAGCTGAACGCGTCGCTGCCGGTGCGGTGGTGAGCAGCGACGTCTCCTCCGCAGTAGCCGTCGCCTTCACTGCTGCGGTGGAGTTTTTCGTGCCCGCGGCGATGGCAGAGGAAGGAGGACGAGAGCGGTCATCTCCTCGCAGGGCCGACTTCGAAGACGGCGCCTCCTCGTTCTTGGTGATACCGACCGGCGCGGTCTGTCGCGGTGGAGGCGACGTGTCCTGCCGTGCTTTGGTATCCGGTGCCTCCGGCGTCAACGCACCGATGCCTGCGGTGCCGCCGGCGTGCGGCACGGCCCCGTTCGACGACCTCCCATTGTCTCGTGACGTGTAGCCGCGCTGAGAGGGCGTGAGACCCGTCTCTTCGAGTGCAAGTGACTCCGCGAAGTTGGACGGGTGTAGAGACCGAGAGCGGCGCCACGCTTCCAACGCGTCGCGTGGGGTTGAGGGACGTGGAGAGGACGGTGGCGGCGGCTGTCGCTCTCTGCCTGCAGCGCCATTCTTCGTTGCACTCGTATGGGTTTTACCCCGAGGGTCGGCCCTTGGGGAGCCAAACGACTCTGCAGCCATCGGCCCATCAGAAAGACGTTGCACGGCACGCCCAGGTGCCGCGGCTCCATCCCTGCCGTTGTGCGGGCCTGTGCGTGTTTCTTCTGCCTCGTCTCGCCTCGCCGAGCGTGCAGGCGGCGTCCCGGATCGTGCGGAGTACAGCGAGTTCATCGAGCTCGAAAACTCCGGACTCGACACGTCCGCCTGCGCCAGCGCCTCTTGAATGCGCTGAATTTCGTGTTCTTGCGCCGACATGCGTCGCGCTCGGGCAGCCGCGGCGGCCTGCCGCTCGTCATCAGAGCTCATCCGCTGCAGTCGCTGCTGGAACTCACGCTGGCACACGTCGCGGAAGCCCAGCAGCTGTTGAAGGCGGATGTAGAGCCGCACCGCATCCTCGTGGGACTCGAAGAAGGTGCGCACCACGCGTTGGCGACGCAGCAGATTGGCGCTGTCCCACTCGAGGTCCGCGTAGGGGTTGCGGAGACACGGCGAGGCCGGGGCGTCGACGTCGTTGACCCCGTTGCGATGGGAAGGGGTTGACCGCCGCACTGACACCGGCGTCCCGACACGTGCAGGGGACGCACGCCGACTAGCGCTGCCGCGACCTCGCGACGGCTCGCGCCACACCGGTGGCGCCATCTTTCCATCCAGCGGAATATCCTTCAGGGAAAACTCCAGAGTCGTGGTGGTGGTCTCACAGACGCTGTCTTTCTCTCTTTCGTCGACAGGCAGCGCGCCGGCCCCGGGAGTTCGGCCACGCGCAGGGCTGTTGCCGAGGATGAGGCGCGTGCGGTGCGACGTCGTGCTCGGTACAGATCCGTTCTTCCCGTGGACCACGCCGTTGTCGGGGTCGGCGTGGCGGAGGTCAGGGGAGTCGCGAGCACGTCTCCTCTTTTCGAGGGACTCGATAGTTCCATCCACGATGGGCGAGAAGGTGACGTTGCGGGCTGCGTGTGCCGCTGAGGTTGGTCGGCGGGGTGTGACGGACATGCCGTAAGGTCCCAATCGGAGGCACGCAGAGGAATGCTGATGAAGGAGAGAAGAAAAGCTGTTCGGTTCAACAAACACGAAAGTGCGGATTTCAAAGGATTTAGAAAAAGAAGAAGAAGAAATGTGCAACGAAGACAGAAGAAGGAAAGGATGCCGTTGTGAAACGATTTGGGGAGCTCAACAGCACCGAAATAAGGAAGAAGGAAGCAATTTAGAAAATCAGGACCGATGACGATAAATGGAAAGGAGTAGTTCGCTATAACTGCGGCTTTCTGCTTTATTTGAAGGCAGGGTGACGTGCCAAATGAAACAGTAAGCGAAGATGCAGTAAGAAGCAAAAGACAATGCGAAATAGATAAGACATGCAAGAAGAAATAAGTTGGACGATGAGGGCCACTGTTGAGGCAATCACGCGCACCAATAGTCTGCATTCGCGTCGTGCCACATCGACTCTGCGTGTCGTGTTGCATTTTTTTTTTTATTAGCCATCCAAATAAGAACATGAGATCAGCTAAAAGACGTGATAACTTGCACCCGGTGCTGTCGAACACCTCCACCTGCTTCGATTCGTCGGAAATCATTCGCGAGTCGTTTCTCTTTTGCGTTGTGTTCTACGCGTGTTGGTGCTTCACGGAGGTACACGGGTGTCGCAAACAATACTCGGCTTTGCAGCAACCAACACACGGAGGAGGCTCGATGAGGGGGGTGAAATGAATAACTCAAACACGCTAAAACAAGGAATCACGCAAGCAGGCCAAAACTGGAAATATAAGAAGAAAATAAAGTCCGTCGAGAGATGAGGCGTGAAAGAAAGCGAAGTACATACACGACTTGTCCACACTGCAGATGGTTCACCGGGGACACACAACTCACGCAACTGAAAATCAAAACGAGGCTCTCAGCGTGTTCAACGCCCCTTCCTTTATATAATTTGAGAGGAAACACGAAACATATCGATGAATCAGCACCCCCATTTACATCGAAGCACGCGTGCATGCATCATTAATATATATCCACAACACGCAACTTGCAGTTGTACAACAACAACAAGAAAAGCGATTATACCAGCAACGTTTTATCTTCTCCGCATCTGCGCATCAGCAACAAAACAAAAACACACGAATTAGAAGAGGCAAACAAACCGCAGACACTCGACCATCTAAACAGCGTTGGTCAAACTGCTTCACAGTCGATAGCTCTTGTCAATAACGATAAAGGCCTCCTGCTCCTCCGCCTGTACCACCCTCCGCTCTCGCTGCTCTTCGCAGTCGAGCAGCACCACCCGCACCCGATTATTTTGCTGCTTCACGCGCACGTCACGCGCCGTGCCCCGTCCACCATCCAGCGCGTCACTGTCGTCCGTGAAAACCACCACACGAGATATACGTTGCGGCGCCTCGTCCACGAATTCATAAACACTGTCCTGCGCCGCTTCCTCGTCCGTTTCAGCTGATGGGGCTGGAGAGGACCCTTTGCGCGCCGCCTCACTCCCGCCGCCGGCGACCGTGGCGGTGGAAAAGAACGCTCTTCGCGAACCCCACACCTTACGTGGGACGGCGAGGCCGGCTGGTGGCTCGGGCGGCTGCTCCTTCATGCGGCGGATGCGATCTCCGACAAAGGGCGAGACATCCGCCACGGACGTAGCGCTTTTGCTCAGAAAAGATGAGCTGAACGAGCCGCCCACTGCGGGGAAGGCCCCCGAGTCGCGCCCGCCCATTGGTGAGCTGCCACATCGGATGCGGTCGTTGTCGGGTGATTCAGAAGAGAAAGAACACAGACCGGCCAGCTGGCGCAAATGCTGGTAGTTCTCCTCGGGCGCCGGCACCGCCGTTGGCAAGGGAATACGATAGGGCTTCAGGTCGTCGTAGTCCCCCGTGGGAAGCTGCAACAGCGTCAGATCTAGCAGCGGCACGCGCATCGTCGGTGTCCTCTCGCTCACCTCGGACTCCTCGCCGCACCACAGCACGGACGCATCCCAGTGTGAGTCCTCGTCATCACACTCGCTGCTGTGGACATGACGACGAGAGAAGGAGCCGCTCATCTCCATCAAGAGTGTTGTGGTGGTGGGGTCTGTGCTGCTCGAATGGTGCGCAGGAGGCGCCGCTGAAACGGCATTTTTCTTCGTTGCCGCGGGCGGGACATGCCGCGGCGGCATCTGACGGAGCAGCACGTCTGCTGCCGTCATCCTGCTTGGTGGGTCACCGCTAACCGGCGCTGATGAATGCGCCGCCGCTGCTGTTGCTGCAGAGGCGGTTGATGATGACTTGCCGTATTTTTTTAGTAAAGCGTTGACGCTCTCTTCTAGTTTGTCGAGCTCGTCCACGTTAATCTCCCCCAACGCCGCCAGGGACGTCGAGGCTGGTTTTGCAAGTGGGGAGCTCCTGATGGTGGACGTCTCGGCGGGTGGAGCAGCGGCAATGGGGATGGAAGCCGATGCTGCTGATGTGATTGCTGGTGGACTCGGTGGAGCAGAAGCAATCTTTGACTCGACGGGTGCAGTGACGGGACGTGCGGCAACGCTGCCTGTAGAGTGTGGCTGGGGCTCTGCTGTTGTTGTTGGACTTCCTGCTACAGAGGTAGATGAAGGCTGCTGGACGGCGCGAGTGTCTGTTGATGCTATGGATGCCTTCTCTTTCATTGCTTTCTTCAGCGGCTCTTTGAGGGTTTCCTTTGACGCTACCTCCTCTGACGGCGCAAGGTCGGGCAGACACGAAGCATCCACCGAGACGCGCTGCTCCGTGGTGTGTGCCGCCTGCTCGACACCGGCCGCCGTAGACACCGATTCCATCGCGGCAGCACACACATCGAAGGCGGGGGGCTGAGGGCTCCTGTCCTTGCTACATGAAGACGGCACCACCGGGTCATCGACAGGAGAAGAGGAGTGATCACCCACGCTGAGCGCCGCTGCTGCCTCCTCGCCTTGCTGTGTCTCCTGCTGAGACGTCTGTGTCGGCCGTTCGTTAGCTGCAGCCGCACTTGTCGGTGTGCGCTCCGTGCTGTGGGAAAGTCGACTAGCAAGAGCCCTGCGGCGTGCCAGCAGCTGTGAAATGCGGCTCTCCTTTCGTTCCTCCTCGGCCGCCACGGTGCAGGCGGTGCTCGCCGTTGAAGACGAAGGCGCCATCGAACCAGACGGCTGTGCGCTCTTCTGCGGAATTGTCGTTGCGGCCGATGCGATGGGCGAATCCACACATACGTCGGCGGGCTCTGCGGCTGCCGACAGCATCGGCGAAGGGGGGATCGTGTTTGTACCACTCGCAGCTGTCTTCGCATCCGTCTCTGCAGCCTCAGGCACAGAGGAAGGAGGACGAAAAGGGAGTGCTCCACTGCCGTCCAGATGGACTTTCCATGACGGGGTGTAACGGGCCGAAGCAATTTTTTCGTGGTCACTGTCATTCCCCAGTTTGTAGGAGCTGCGACTGCCTTCGACAGCGTCAGATGCTGAGACAGCACTGGTGCGACTCGAATTGGGCAGCGCCTGATGCTGGTGGTGTTGCTGTGGCTGCTGAGGTGGTGATGGAGGAGACGGCGGTGGTGGTGGCGGTGGGGAGATGATTTGCAGCTGCGGTGTCTCTCGCTCCGATGTCGTGTGACGCGCAGACTCTTGTTGGCGCTGCAGCAGTCGTTGCTCTCGACGTTCCAGCACGCTGCGGCAGAGCTCGCGTATGTCGTCGGTGCTGGTAGTTACTTCTCTCCTCTTCTCCTTTTCCTCCTTCTCCCTTTTCTCAGAGTCGGAGGTGGGAAGGGTGGTGCTGAGTCGAGACAACACGACATCAGAGGATCGAGTGGACGCAGCGGTAGACGTCGGTTTCGGAGGCGTTGGAACTTCCATTGGCGGGTCCGCAGCGGTGTTTACTTGGTCAGGGGTCGCTTTGACAGATCTGCATACTGGGGTTTGACTCCGATCGAGAACTGGGGATGTCGGTGACACAGCAGCGCGAACTTGATCTTCAGGAATTCCCTCGTCCACCAATTTGTGTTGGATGTCGTCCTCGGTGGCGTAACACCCAAAAGAAGCGGGAGAAGCTTTTCGAACATGTCCGGTGGACTGACGCGGGGATGTGCTTCTGCTGTTCATGGACGGGATGGTTGAGAAGGTGGAGGCGGAGGCAGCGGCAAAATGCGGCGAGACGGCGACTGCTGCCGCTGCTGTTGCTGCTCTGTTTTTCGAGTTGCCTTCTGAAACTCCCTCACACTGGCTCGTCTTCTCGAATGGTGCTGCAGCGCGCCTTGAAGCGGCGGAGTGGAAAGTTGAAGGAGCCGCAGCAGCTGAATCCGCTGTTGGGGGAGGTACAGCCACAGTTTGTTCAGCGATAGCGGCTGCGTGAGGAGTAGTGGTGGCGGTATCCGGCACGCTGCCACTGCGAAGTGCCTCGCTGAGCGAGTACGCACTGTGAAGGGCAGGCGGTACGTTATTTGCGTTGTCTGCTGCGTTGGTGGACATCTTTGGGAGATCAACTTCTTGTCTACGGGAGGGTGGTAGCACCATGACACCTGCAGCAGGCTCTTCGTCCTCCTTCGTTCCCTTCCAAGAGGTGTTCGGGGCCCGCGTCGCCATCCGCGGTTCGGCTTCAGCCGCTGCTGCAGTGAGTGGTGGGGGAGCTGCTGATGTGCCCCGGACGCTTTTAGCAGTCGGAGGTTTCCTTCCTGAAGACTTCGCCGCGGTGGAGAAGGCACTGCGAGAAGCTTTCCTCGCAGCTTCTGCCTCCTTCACCCTCTGTTTCGTTTTCTCTTCTTGCCGTTGGCGCCACTGCATCAGGTACGACTGCGGCGCGGCGTCGAAGTCGGTGGCGGCAGACCCACGTGGGCCTCGCCCATTGCTCTCCTTCAGCCTCTCAACTTGTGCGTGAGATCGACGATCTTGATGTAGGCTTGTGTTCGCTTCGGAAGGCAGTTTTGTGACTTGTCTGTCCGTCTGGATCACACCGGTAAAGGTGGCGGAGCGCGTAAAAGGCACACTGGCGGTGGGATGACGGGTCACCCGCTCGTACGCCTGCGATGCATCTATGCTCCGTCGTTGCGTAGAAGTGGCTTTACCTGCCGAAGTCCGTCTCGCTTGTGCGTCCTCAGCTTCTGCGTTATTGGGTGGAGTGCTGGAAGTCGTCCCCGCTACGGTCGGAGGCGGTGGGGAGTCTCTGTCCCCTGATGCACCGAAGCTTAGCCAGTCCCCACTGGCAGACTTGCTGGTGCTTCCGGCGCGTGTGTAGATGAAGCGCACCGCTGGCTGCTGCGGACTGCTCACGCTTTCTGCATGCGGTACAAGACGCCGTGGTCGGTCCTCCAGAGAGGTGAACGCAAGCCGTGCAGGGAGTTGTACAGATGATCGGGTGCCGTCCGCAGATCCGTTCGTGCCTGCATGCTTCGTCCCGGTGACATCGGCGACGTCGGATGAACGCCGCGGCTCACGCACGGAAGGCCGCCAGTCTGCACGTGCCAACGGCGCTGCCGAAGTGCTCGTGCGCCGCCGCTGCAGCAGCGGATCGCTGGCCCCACTCGGCCTTCGCTCTGCCTTGGCGCAAACAGGATCACGCGGCCCATCCGCGCTGCGTGTGTAGTCCGCGACGAGATGCGACGTGGCAGTAGAATCCGCCTTGTCCGACGATGACCGCCGCGCATTTGTCTTGGCCGATTGGGAAGACGTGGCGGCGGTTCCCGCTGCTGACGGACGTTGCCGCACCGTTTCCTCGTCGTTCGCTTCGTCGTAACGGTGGTGTCTCAGCGGGGCGGCGGGAGAGGAGGAAGACGATCGCTCTTGTAAGTGTTCAGACGACCTGACCTTATCCGAATCGTAGGATGATGCCACGCTGGCGCCGCTCATGCGCACCAGCGCGGACCGTGCAAATTGTGTCACGGTCTGCGCAAGCCTGTTCGCGCTGCGGAGAGCAGTCTCCGCAGGATCAGCGGGCGGGGAGGCACTCTTGGCGGGGGCAGCACCCTCTTTGAATGTAGTCGGCGGAGCCTTCTCATTTGTCGCTGAGTTGCCTTCGGTGCGGTAGTTGGGCGAGCGCTTCGGTGGTATTGACACCGGCATTGCCCCTACTAAAGGCGCTGCATGACTTCCATCATTCCTACTACTGTCCCTCCGCTTCGTCTGCCCACCTTGGTCAGTCGGAGGTCGCCGACTCGACAGCCACGGCGCAGACGGCTGGCCAGCCACGGTACGGGCTCCTTCATAGGGGTAGCCGGACCCCCTTTGCGGAGGAGCGGAAGCGCACGAACCGCCTTCCGAAAACTTCTCAGCTGGCTTCTGCCCATCAAACGCCGTCGCGCCTGCAGTTGTTGCTGCAGGCTCTCGAAACGGGGCTGGATTGCTAAATGCCAGGTGACGCCGCGGTAACTTGCCTGCATGCATCAGCGTACATTCCGAACCGCTCGACAAGGGTTTTATTTGTGTCAGCCGTGACCTGGAGGTATTGGGGTCGACCAGGGGAACTTCTTGCGATTGATTCCCCCCACGCGCCGCAGGACCATTTTCGACTACGGCGGCGGTGGCTGCAGCGAGCGCAGTTTCTTCAGCAACGTCATCGATGCTGCTGCCACCGTTCATCGGCGTACTGACGCTGATGGTGTTGGCTAAGCTGAAAAAGGAGGAGGCCGACGGAACGAGGGCGTGGCGCAATGCAGGGCACTTACCGCCGTTGCTGCTGCTGTTGCTTTTTGTGTGATCGCGATCTCCCACCGCAGCAGGGAGCGCTTTTCTATTGTCGCTCGACCTCTTTGTCGTGTCGCTGCCTTCGTACATCCTCGGCTACACCGCAGAAGTGACGGTCGCTCTAGATTAAAAGGAACGCAGATGACTGCTTCTCCAACAACGCCGCTCCTTTATACCAAGCGTTGTGCACGCTTCCGGCTATAACAGTCAACTACTCGAATGTACACCCCTCGCTCCCGAGGATCGAAAAAGCTTAAAAGGAAATGAGATGGTCACAGAAAAAAGGAGGGTGGTGAAGCTTCAACAAATCACGTAGCGTTGCGAGCAGCAGAAGAAAAAACAAAAAAGGAAATGAAAACGATGATAATTCTCGCAGAGCACGACGGCAACGCGAGCGGGCCACTCTTTTGCTGAAATCTCGACTCTGCAGGCGCACACTCGTGACACTTCCCAACACAAGCAGTTGGGAATCAAACGTCAGATGGAGATCTAAAAGGGGAAAAAAAAGGTGACCAAAGGTAGAAGGTGAATACGTTGTAAACAAGAGTTAGGGAAACAGAGCGCTTGAAGAAGTATACAAAATAAGAGCGTACATGCAGTGAAATAGACAACAGGAATGATACAGAATAACAACACTAAGAAGCCTAAAGAGATGGTGTGTGTGTTAGCGAAAACGAAAGGGAAGCGAAGCAGCGATTCGCATACTCCGGGGAAAACGGCGTGTTTCTCTAGAAAACAAAAAGAGAAAGAGAAAAGATTCAGCGAACGTCAGCCGACGAGCAGGAAAACAAAAGTAATATATATACTTGTTTTTGAAAAATGATAAATCGTAGTTGTGCGTGATAAAGCGAGTTTAAACGTAAGGCAGTAAAAGAAAGTGAGTTACGGCGAGGGAAGAAAAAGAAACACACACGCAGGCTCCCCCAGAAAAGGTAACGGCTGATTCTCCCTGCAATCAGCTGCACACTGAGCTGCCAAACAAGATGTGGTAGAACACACACACACAACACCAAAGCGGCGGAGCGCTTTTATTGGATGTGTGGTCGCAGCTGCGCGGGTGACGACGCAACTATGGGCCGCTCCGCTACCACAACAAGAGAATTAAAAAATGAGCAGAAGCAAAAAAAAAACAGAAATAACCTCCCAAACTAGGCCCCGAGGGGTTCGGTGTGCCGGTGTAGTTTTGTGTGAGCGGAGGTGTGCGCGTGTACAGATGGCGACAACCCGTGATTCTTTTGCTGGTTTGGTAAAGAAGTGCCGTCACAAAACGCCTGCACGCTGCTAAGGGTGTGATCTTGTACCTTCTCTCTAGTACTGAATCGCAAATACACGGAAAGTGAGTGTGTGTGTGTAAGGGAAAGTGGAGAAGCAGAGAGGGATGAGTGCGTAGCAACATGAGATTGAACTTCAGTTATTGTTTCGCGCCCGCTGCCCGGCGGGCATCCAACGAGCAGCCTGAAAAATGCAGCGCAGTGGAAGACTCCAACTCCTCATCGAGGTATGGTTTCTTTTTGCAGAAGCAGTGGCTGTGCCGCAACAGCTACAGCGCACCTCAAAACAAAGGTGAGAAAATGCTTGCTGCGGCGGAAACAAGAAACGAATGAAAACACCTTTCGGTGCCTCTTTAACCCTCCTCGACTTTCTTGCATTTTTCCCCACGTGAAGCAACCACCGCTCCGTTAAGCAACGGAGACAAAATAGAAAAGAGGAGCCAAAGACACTGAAGAAAGGCACGCTGCATTAGAGAGAAAAAATGAATAAATGAGAAAGACCTGCAGTGCACCACAGCAGACGGCATTGCTTTTACATAAATTTATAGTACAGCAAATCAAAAGGCACACGAGAAATCATTCTACGTGCTTGCGTATATATAGAGAGGAGCAAGAAGCACTTGGTAAAAGGGGGAAGAGAGGAGGAGGAGTCACAACAAACACAGAAGACGGGCGTACAGGTCGAGAAATAGAAAACAAATAGAGCGCTCAACAAAGGCAAAGCGGTCAGCTACATCAAACGGCCAACTCCGTTAGCAAACCTAACAATGTGTGTGTGTGAGGAACAGAGAAACACCGTAGATGATCCGCACAGCGAAGGCAGAACAACAAAATAATAAAAGGAACGTAAGAACATAAGAGAACGAGAAAGCAGAACTCTTGTACCAGAAAAAGATCGATGCGTGGAAGACGCATTCAAGGCCAAGAGCAACAGGAAACACTTAAAGAGACAAGAAAGGAGAAGGCACCAGCGTGTCAACAGAGCAGCTGCGAAACGGAAGAATGGGAGGACTCAAATTAGCGCTCGTTCATCTGTCTCGTTGAAACGCAAGAGAGAGAGAGAGAGAGAGAGAGAGAGAGAGAGCTGCGCACGCGTTGTCTCGGCACGCCCTCGCGAAGCTCCTGTACGGGAGGGCTTACTCCTGCACGTTGCGACGCTCGACAAGGATGAGACTGCAGTTGTCCAGACCGACGCCCTCGTCGTTGTCCGCGGGGGCCACGCACTGCGCAAAGACACC